AGATTGAAATTATATATGGAAAAGGTTACAAGAATTGACGCGACAGTCGTCTATTTGAATTTTCGTAGAACTGCTTCGGAAAAATCTCTGTGAATCTATAGAAATGGCAATTTTATCAAACCGTTTTTTCTATGGCTTCTTCCTAATTTATCTGTAAATAAATACCAAATAAATTGATTTTTGTTTAGAATACAATTTTGCCCAATTTCACCTTACAACTGCACTGTTTATACTTCGTTTACCAGCGATTTTCTAATGTAAATCCACGCCCGTGATGAAAGCCGCGGTTAAAATAGGCGCTGCGCTGTCTTACCAAGCCTTCAGGTCCAGAACATGGTTGGTATTCGCTTGAGATCAGTGTGCTTCAGTTGCTTGTGTAAGATGACTCTTTTCTTTGTTCCCAGGATCTTCTCTGCTCTCCGAATACGTCTCTCTAATATCAATCCTTACGAAATAACGAGCCCACAGTATTTGGCTAGCAGTTGTACGCTCTCCACTGTTGCCAAGTTGAATAAAAAAGTCGAAAGAAGCACTAGTCCAGTTCAATAATGAGGTCAAAGAGAGTAATCCTAACCTTGGCTCCAGTTTGAACGACTCAAGAGAGTTGTAACCTTGAACTTTCTTTATAATTAAAAGTTTTTTAATTCTCTACATCTTGTCCACTTTCGTGGTAACAACCACGCTGTAGTGAAGTGCAACACTTGATGTAATATGCAGGTAATTGGCTTGAGATAGATAAGAAAATCGTGGATGGCGTGGGTACCATATCGCTCTTTGCGATCACAATTAAACTATTGCTGGAATGAAATATATCGCTTTGATGATTAATATGTAATAAATCCCAACTATTCATGCCAAATCTCGTCACTCAAATTCCCGGAGCTTGAGTCTTTCCAATTATTTTATCGATGAAAAACCTTCAGATTAAACCTACACATATTCTGTCTCCCACAGTCTGTGAACGAGACTGAGTTCACATAATTTGCAGCTTCTAATGATAGCTTCTTCTCCCTGTTTTGGGGGCTATTTGAACTCTCATATAAACGACTAAGTCCTGCTAATTCGCCGCTTAATTATTTAAGACAAAAGGCGCAAATTTGCTCCACAATTTAGGAATTTCAAACATTTATAATGCGAGAGTATTTATGGACGCTTTATGTGTAAATCCTAAATTGTCTTTACAGTCATTTCCTCTAAAAGAGTTTTCTGAGCAGGCAGTAAGATTGGAGTAGCAAAGTGTGGTAATTCACCTGCGGAATGAAAGAACTATTTAGACGGAATGAATGATTAATGGGGTCGTTTAGTTGACGGCTCCTTCTGTTGTTACCCAAGAGTTTTGGACAAATATGGGGTGAACTGTATTTGACCTCTTGAGCGAACAGTTGGAATGAACTGATAGAGTTGGGAAATGTTTACGATTGCGGGGGAGAAACACTGCATGATCTAACATAATCATGCATAGTGAGCGTTAATTGATTATCAACCAAGACCTTATTATCTGTGTGCTGTAACATGACTCTCTCGTGAAGGTATGCGTGGGCTGGCCATGAATGTTTGGCATTGCACATCATATCTTGAAAAAAATCACCAGGTGTCTGGAAACAATGTTAATTGTGCATCCCCGGAATTTCATCTACATTTCGTAGAGCTGTTTCACTACGTTTATGTTCCTTTGTTTTTGATTATATCCTTTCTAGACCTTCTTGAATCAAACATTCTCATCTTATTAAAGCAGGCTCTATCTTAGAAATATTGCAAGTATCTCTCGCTTGCATGCATTGCTGTTTAACCATTCTCTAATACAGACGTCTTTCTACAAAGTACCTCTCAAATACGGACACCTCTCTAATACGGAGGCTTCTCTAATACTAACCTCACTCTAACATACGCACTCCTCCTAAACGGCCATCTCTCTATTTCCAGCCTGGCGCTTACAAGGACATATTTCTCATGGACATGGATTGAGAGAACTCGCCCACGAACACGAGAAAACACGCACATTCCTGTAATTCAGACACAGATACCTCTCTCTCTCTCTCAACTGTCTGCAGTTCCCTGCGAAAATTTTATTTTGATATTCCAATTATTATTTTCCCTGCTCCTTGAATGGAATCTGATTAAATCACCTGTCTTGTGTGTCATTTTTTTATCCTTTGTCCACAAATTGAACAAATTATGAAGATAAATGCGCTTCATTCCTGATCAATAGTGAAGTATTCTACTCCAGATTTGGTCGAGTCATGATTGCATGTTATAAAATCAATATTATGATTGTCAGACTTGCTAAGTTCTCGCCAGGAACTTGGTATGTTCTGTATCTTCTGCAATCAACAGGCTCTTGTAAAAGTGAGACGTTGTGGTTTCTCCAGACTTTTTACTTATCGCTCCCACGCGATACAGCTATAAGTTTCAGCTTGAAATCAACAAATTCACAAATCTTGCTAACCCTCGTAACAAGAGCACTAAAGCAAGATAAGAAGAAATTGTTTTGAATGTGGCTCACCAACGTGATTGTGTTGACAAACATTCATTGAAATTAACTTGTGTATCGCGCTTCACGCGTTGCTTTTGTTCTGTCTCTTAGTGTTTGAATGTTGTATGGGAGATTTTAATATCCAAATCTCGAGAAATATGCTGAAGAAGCTCCGTTCTCCGTTTCTTGCATCAAATGCCATCATTATTGTCTGCTCATTGTATCGTATTTGAAGTGTTTTTAAGTCCAGGAGAAACGCAGATAATATTTCCTCCTCTTAAATTTCCCCCACCGGAAATCACAATTGACCTTCCGTGTTTACGTCACTGTTCTTTATCTTAATATGCTTCCAACACGCAATTTATGCAAGAAATCTCGTCAAGTGTACTTGGTCGTTTCCCGCGCACTTGTCGTGGGATTCAAGACCCGTGTCTTTTTGCCCATTGACATTATACAGACCAGGTCTTGTATTTTGTATGGAGGCGTGTAAATCCTCTTCAAAAATTATCTTGGAACTGGAGACCACGCAGATTTATAATACCCTTTCCAAGTGCAAGAATATCTTTCGTGCCATCTCGAGGAACATATAAATGTATTTTTAAGAATTTTTTTTCTTTCTCGGCACATTGATTTCCAGTAAGGAGATATCTAATTGTGTTTCATTGTGCTAACACCTTAACATGATTAGTAACAGCGTGAAATGAAAAACAGGCTTAAACAAAGTATAGACACTCCGCCATGCAGGTTAACCTTAAGAGCAATTAACTTGCTTTGATGTACTTTATAGATTGCCTTTTCACTTCAGATTATAATTGCCTGAATGGCCATTTATGTTCAGATATGGTCATCCATTCACCTTTTCCATTTCATTGAGGTAGCTACTGCTACGAATTGATTATGAGAAATAAACTCATAGAATTTGGAATTGGAATTTGTTGAAATTGCATAACACCATTGACGATTTGCACTTTAAAGTGCTATGCAAAATAGTTATACAAATCAGAAAGAGGTATAGAAATCAAGAGATATTTTTAGACAATTGATAATATTATGTTTTAAAGAAGGAAATTGAATCTCCTAGTTTTACAACAGATTTTCAAAGGCTTTTTTGCACTAGCTGAGGACATTTTCCGGGTAAAGATTATTGTTAACACGCTTATTAACGGACCAGATGCTGCTAAAAGTGTGCTTGTATCATTCAAGTCTCCGTAATTTGCAGCTGGGAGAAAAATAGAGAACAATTCCGTTGCGCTCAGCACTGCTTGGAAACGTGTATTTTTTTATTGATCAAGGATCTCTTGTCTATTTGTTCAAAAAAAATGTAATGAGAAAGTCAGATGAAATGCAGGGAAGTATGCAATTATCGAAAATTTCTGAACTATATAAGTGATATTGCATGCCTGCAGTCGCCTAACTAACCGCTTGTTCTCGCAAGTACGCGATAAAATTTATGATTATAATTCTTCTTGACAGATTGTGGCATTGATGTGAATAATATCGTTCACCATTTTGGCAATATTTGCGATAAATTGCGCTTGTAAAGATCAGTGAAGATATACAAAGAATTTGTATCATTTTGAGAGGATCTAGTGCAACGCATTAATAACATTTATTATGATAAGCACCACGATAACTGTAAAACGACCTGATCATTTGAATAATGCGTTCATGCCATCGGCATGTGACCTTGTGTTCACAGGCAAGTACACACACCACGTGTATTCTTACAACTCTGATTCCTAGCTCTAATACAATGAACAGGAGATAACATTATCGTTGGCTGATCAAGATTTGGCTAAAGTCCAACAGCAAATGAAGATAGACTTACCTGTTAAAGAGTTAGGGAATAGGGATTACTGATTGATTTAAAAAGATCATTGTCTGCATATAATGCACAGTCTCTTAAAATTTCACCAGAGGCTAGTCTACGAATCACTTAACTTTAGCAAAAATTGCCAGATTTAAATCTGCTTGTACGAAGGGAGAAAAAAATAGGTATAGGCTTTTACCGTAATTCATGCAGAAATTGCATTGATTTGTTTAAAGTTGCGCGTAACTTTATGGAATATATTACGTGTTATTCCCTGTGTAAATAAAGGGAAAACAATGAGAGTCTATTAATGATGAACAAGAACAAGGAACAGTTTTTGCGTCAGAATGTGCCAATAAGTGTGCGTCAGTTCTCTATGGCCTTGTTTCAAGGTTGTAAACAACATTCCACGCAATGTTTCAAGATTGTATGGTCCACCCACATAATATAGTTACATTGAAAACCATTGACGTCTTGTTGATGGATTGCTCATTGCTTTCTACAATCATTTCCCAGGGTTTTTGTGCCTGAGAAGTTCGTAAGATTCGGCAAAAAATTGGAAAAAGAAGAATTATTTTGGACGAAAGCTTTCATGATTTTGGGTTCCGCTGCAGCGCATAGATAACCGGAACCGGTTTTTCACTGCTCTTAACCCACCACGATCAGGCTTGATTGATTACATACCGTGCACGAGGGGTATTTAAGCTCTTCTCGCAAGCGATTCACCTACTTTAATTACTCCAGCTGTAACAACGAAGGTCGCTACATATGTAAAAAGCATTATAGAGAATTTATGACGGATAAACGAAACATTGATCACAAGAATATGCGCAATTCAGAAAATGATTACGTGCCACCACCAGTCAAGAGACCAACGGTTATATTCTTTCATGGACTTAATGAGAAACCGATCGAGTTGGATGCTCGAGAGATCCTAGCTACAACTCCAAGAGGAGTAAAAAGATTCTTGAATGCACAAAATGAAGAGTTGACGAGGAAAGATGAACGGAAGTTAGATGAAAATACAAAAATATTCACACGAGGTGAGCAGAATTCAGTATTTAATGGTTTACTTTATAGAGTGTGTACTCTTTACGAACCAGTTGTTTTGATTCAATGGTTATTGCACTTGCATTCTAAATAAATAATGATGTACCTAGACACAACGAAGCATGAATAAAATCGTTACTATTATTATAAATTCACAGAAATTTGATTGCAAAGGTTTTAGTGTAGTGTACATATTTGTTATTGTACAGGTTTACTATATTGCGCTGGTAGAAATGATAAATTATCAGGGAATCCTATGCTCTGTATAGTTCCAAGTTATTTGTCAGTCTTGTCTGTTCAATGTCAAACAATAAGCTCGTATATAATTCTCTCTATTAAACAGATACTGACTTGAGGTATGCAATATTCTATGAATACAATGGAGATTGATTTCATTGCTACTGATGTTTAGAATAATCCAATAGTAGGCCATACAGTGATATAACATTGGGAACAAATTATGATGTTTGTTAAACGTTTGCTAAACGAATCAACTGTGTTTTGGTCGTTATGTTGAAGAATAAGATACAAGAAAAAGATCAGATGATTTGTAATGGCAATTGTACACAATGAAACATTGTACGCTGTATGTATATCACGCTTTTATGACCTCTTGTGGAGCCTTTTGCTTCGGTGGTTACAAGCAATGCGAGAGAATGGTTCGATAGTACATGCTGTCAAACCTTCATTTAGTTGTTCAGAAGTCGACAAGTGTTGCTCAATTTTTCTGCAGGCTAGAAATGCATGACTAAGAGGTGCGTCTTCTGAGCCCATTATAACCCCATATTGGTCACTTCGCTGTATTCACATCAAGCGTAATAATCAATGTCCTATTTCTTTCATATAATAAGATAAGTTTTCATTGCTTCAGCACTCGACAAGCATTTTTATCCACACGACGAAGTAAAATAACGTAGAAGCTAAGTCGTAATTTTGATCCTCCATAAGGTACAAACTGACGTGCCTCACCGTAACGACTGAACTGTTTATCACTGGTGCTTAGCTTGTGGGGTTTAAAAGCCATTTAAGGCATTGGTCAACATATTTTTCTGAAATATAAATATTTGTTTTAATAAAAATATCTTGAGTAAGGCTGCTTGACAGTATATTGTGTTTCAGACTTGTATAGTTTTGACTATATATATTATCGATTATAACAGAGCAATGCTTGGTATTTTTCTAATTCTATGGATCAGTTCTGCGATAGATATTCTCCCGTCTTGAGGTATGCTCAAGGTTATATCACGAGCATATGCATTGAGTTAAATGTCATTTATACCATGCAGTATCCTTAATTTACCATATAAACATGATTCTTACTGTGAATCTTGAGGCGAAATCAAGGTCCGCAAATTATGTTAATGTTGCAAGTATTTACATGATTTGGGAAACCCGCAAAATTTCTACGAAGTCGATCAACTAACGTTTAACAATATAACTGAATAAAATGTTTTGTAGTTGATTCATTTGTAAGTCTAAAAATGCATTTGTAATATTAAGCATTCGCATATATCTGTAGACCCTAAAACCATATAAATATCTTAAATTCTTGTATAAGCTGTTGTCTAATACGTTCCTTGCCAACGGTGTGACTTACGTTTTTGATGTCGTTTTAATAACGTTGTATATCTGCTTTCAGGATAACCCTTGTGGCCTCAAAACAAATTGAAATCAATTTCTCACTTCTATAAATCTATTAGTTATCAACCCGCATTAAACTCGTTAGAATATTAGTTTATATGCATGATTATAATTCAACCTGCTCCCGCGACCTCTTCAGTAAATTATTTGCATTTTAGATAATTTAAACATTTAATCTTTTCAGATAACGAATATTCGGAAATGGAGGAAGATTCCTTACGCAAACGTCATCGAACGTCGTTCTCCTCTTTCCAACTGAAACGACTTGAGGAAGAATTTGAACAGGACTGTTATATCGTTGGAATGAAAAGATGGCGTCTTAGCGAAGAACTAGAAATTCCTGAAAAACAAATCAAAATTTGGTTCCAAAATAAAAGAACAAAAATGAAGAAACATTGTATAAATTGCGAGCATAAGTGATATGCTGTGCTCCCGTAGATTAATTTGAATAAAACGCTCATGATAAATGAGACGGTTTAGTATATATACGCCTGTAAATTATTGTATGACACCAGAATGCCTCATGAGCATCCTAATTTTATTGAGCAGCTTGCTTTCATTTATTAATTGTTATAGATTTTTGCAAAGATTTTGAAGGGGTTTCTCCCGTTGTGGGAATTGTGTTTGTAATAAAGTTCAACGATACAAAATATGTCGTTTTTGTGTCAAAAGGCTTATGTATAGTTGCGTAATATACAATAAACAAAACCTACCTGTAACACTTTCTGCGTGCACAACTACAGAAGTGTTCATATTTTATTTATATCGTAGAACGCAAGTGCCTTGAATTGCGTTTTCTCGGTATTTTTGCAGACTCGTATACGAAGTTGTTTCTGTACGTGCTCTTGGGCCCAAACAAACACAGGAAATTGCATTGAAATGATTGGAACATCGATTCAGAATCAGCTTGCATGGACTCGGGCTTGTTCGATCATATGCATGCATTCAGAGATGAATAAAGATAAATAAACATTTGTTATAAAACCCCTTCGTACAATCCGTAAGTGAATGTTTAGCTTTTGCAAAATTACGCAATGCAATGGTAAAATCTACTTTGCTAAGAGTGTATTAACTTCTTAAAGAGCATGGATGGATAAAAAGATGAGATACAAAATGAGTGGGTGGGAAAATATTGCACAACTGGAAATCTCATGACTCTATTTGGTTAAAATCCGCTACCAAAAGCATGGAATTTTTATGATTAATGAGAACCCATACAACGCTGGGGCTTCAATTTAAGGCCCTCACTCCAACGACTTTACTCCTACGCACTCAGCAGATGAATCGAGTTAATGATGTTCACATAGTTGAATGATTTGTACCATCAATTAGTTCGGTTCCATAGCGGGTTCGCCGACCAAATGTTCATTTGCAGCGCGTTTTGTAACCCAACAAAACTGCAAAACATGTGTCCTGCGTCAATAACAATAAACAAAAGCAGACAACAACGCATTAACGAAGATATCCACGGATAAGTTTGAAATTCTTGAATTCATCACTTAACCACTTACGATTCTTATAAGTACACTTGCATGTAAAAGCTGGTATCATCCATTACGTGTAGAACGCCGTTAGCATTCTAGAATCCAAATGTTTCAATTTTTAAGTAGCTGTCATTTAATTTGCGCACATAAAATATGTATGAGAACGTATGACCACAAGGTCATACCCCTGTGAATAGTTCTTATAACTGCTTGTGCGCGTTGAATGCGAATATCCAGTCGCAAGTACTTTACTTGGAAACTAATGCAATGCACTAAAATCTTTGCGCGCTTTTGCGCGTTCAAAAAAGCCATTTGCTTGGTAAAGCATAATTTGCGCCGCACGTCCGGTAGCTTGTGTAGAAATTACTCATCATGCAGTATTATTGCTGTACTAGTAATAGTTATACTTTATCTTCCAAGAAATGGAACATGCTTCTAGTGTTTTATGTGCACATACAGTGAGGTCAACTTGCAAAAGGTATAAACCAAATTCCAGTTATTGAGATGCGCTGCTGGAGCCATCATTTCTAAAATTAGTACGAGATGTCATGGTGTTAGCCTGTTTATAAATAGATCAAGAATGTACAGGACCATGCACGCTGAGTTTCCTGAACCAATTAACGTGCGCAGTTCCCTTATTTGCGCAGTGTATGTAAATGAGACGTGAATATTTGCAAAATTTCTTGGAGCTTGCGCTCCTGACATGGCTGGCGACGAAAGCTGACGTCAAGACGTCAAAACATTTTTCCCCTGCGGGTAATGTGTGACAAAGTATTTGACATTAAGCTCGTATATCGTTGAATAGAAAAACAACGGTGGTACAATGCATCTTTTATGAACTACTTTAACCATCACAACCCGACTAATGGGAAATAATATTCAGTACTGTTTCAGACATTATATTTCAGAGCTTCATGCGGTCTTAGCGTTCAATGTTTTTCCCTTGAGTATTTCAGGAAATGATTGCTTGCAAAAAAAGCTTGCAAGTGTTGTGTTGAAAGCTTTTCGTTCTACTTTTGTGCTCATAATTCCAGAAATCGTAGTGTCCTATTTCATAGTGTCTCTAAGTTGAAATGGGGCTGTAAGCTTTGCAGCATGTTGAATATATCATTCGGGGTTGTCGAGTACATTCATTTGCACCATCAGGACATCAGCCTTGGTTTAGATAATTTATGACCACATTTCATAAATTCCATTCTCACTCGTAAACAAAATTCCTTTCTCTGAAAAGAAATAGCGTAATTGTCTCACCGTGTTATCTTCAGATTAGATAAACGCCTTATACCACATTACGTTTGTTGATAGATAAATAACGCACACTTTCAGCGGTCTGATAAAACACAGCTACTCTCCATTGAACGAGTTATGTGGAAGGCAAAACAAAGTGCATAATATTTTTGTTTGTACTAAATTCAACATCAACCTCAATCATCATGCAAAGATCTCAAGCCTGCGGTTTTGCCGTTGTGAAAGTAGCATTGCGAAAGTGGCTATCAACTTCGGGTCTGCATAGGATCAATCTCTTAAAATATGAGAAGAATCTCAACGGTTTAAGAAAAGGTTCTTCGTCTGGTCACATCTATAATGTTGTACATGAAGTTGGAGGGTAACGCATAGCGAAACTTCGTTTCTGTTAAAGAGACGCTTTCACCAGGAGTATTTTACCAGTAGAAAAAAGCACGTCGACCCTATTAACTCCGCCCATTTTGTTTGTAAATCCTACATAAAGTATAACATTGTGTGCTAGTTGGAGCAAGGATTGAAGTGAATTGCATTGATGATCTACCAATCCCAATATTGCAATAAAAAGAGACCTTGTGGAATATCATCTAGAATTTCTATAAATCCGTCTGATATAACTTCTCAAATAAAAAATCGAAGAGCCCCATTACTGTTCTACAATAAATTATGTTTGACACATTCCAATAGCATTCAGAACATTCACATTCAAATGGAATTTCATAGAAATTTTCATTGCTTTGATTAACATCTTCTGTTTGATGACAATCGGACTGGCCACGGGTACACTAGGACAACAAGCAACATTAAAATTTGTGGAATGACCGCTTCTGCAATCAATTAACATTTCCAAGACATGCACCATGCTTTAAGTGGTAGTTCTAGGAATTTTAATTAGCAATTGACTTGTCATTCTCCCTGATTCACGATTGATAACAGCTGGAAAGCAGCTCGGCAGCTCCAAGGAGTGAAGAACAGCTGTTTCTATGCCGAACCCCAGCAATGACATAAAAAAAGATAAAAGATATTTTATCTTTTCCAAATGTCTCATAGAGGTGATTTTCAGGTCAGATTTCTACAATTGCCAGCATGTTTTATCTCTTATTTCAATCCGGCGCGCAATGCTCTGGTTTACGCCCTTTGAATACGGTTACGCCAAAAAAAATTTGATTTACTTCTAGAAATTGCAATTGTAACATTTCTCTTTCCAGAATGTTCAACGCCGTGAAATATGCTAATACATCTTCGTACTTTTATTCCGGATATGCGGTGAATGTTCCAATGTCGACAAGGAGATTCCTCTGGAATTTGTCTGGTAAGAGACTGGGGAAGAAATACCTGTATACACGGAGTTTAAATTACTTAGGATTAAAATTGGGATTATAGGCAGGGCCGCCGAAAGGAGGTGTGGGGCAGGGAGGACAAACCTGAAGGGGGCCCCCGAGTTAAGAAAGAACCTAAATTTAAAGCACCATTTTCCGGCGAATTCGACCATGGTCGTATGAGCCGTTTTCCGGTGGACTCGACCAAAAACGCCGGAAAACGGCGTATAGGCACTAACGAGAATGCAGAGTTGACTGTCTGAATGTCTTTTTTGCTGTTTTACTGCTCTAAGGTTAATGAAAATGTTGATAATAAATGTTTGACGGTTTATGAATGATCTCTGGTATCGTTTCTTTCAGAGACTCAGCCATGCAGAGACTGGGGAGAGTATTCAGGGGTTAATTAATGTGGTTTTTAGTCGATATAATTTTTTTTTCGAACCCTATTCGGTCCATATATGTTTAATAACAGCATTTTCTTGTATGTAAAAGAAAAACTTGGAAAGCACGCCAAAAAAGAAATTTGGAAAGAACGTAAAAACACCCAGCAAAAGAGATCATCCAGCCTATGCCACAATCTAACCTGGTTATACAACTGGCTGCAATATTCAGCATAGTTACAACTACGAAAGGTGCAAGGACAGTTGCTATAGGAAGAACTCCCCCCCATAACTCACATCTTAACGGCCGTCTAAGGGGGAGATGCACTACGGCCCCCAGACCATGATGTATGTGCACCTAACCGTTACGTCTCAGTGAGAAACAGAGTATGCATCGCCACAAGCCTAGCGTCATAGACGAATCAGCTACAGTGGCTAGCCCTGAGAGCGAAGATAAATTTAACGTATTTAAGCTTTTCCTGGTCTCGGGGGGCGGTCCCTGACAAGTATATGCATAGAAAACGACTAATAAGACACACGCTTGGAAATGTCAAGATTTAAACGCCTAAACGTTTTTTAAGTGATTTTAGCGAGAAATTTTAGTCTTTTTATATTCTTTTAGAAATTTTAGTGTTTTGAAACAATCCTTGTTGGTTTTTAACGTCCAAATAGTCATTTTCTCGAAAGGAAACTCAATATAAATGACTGAACGACTTAGTTTACTAAAATGGTTTTTTTTACTGATTTTGTGTTTAGTATACGCCGACCATGTTCGAATACGGCGTTCTCCGGCGGACTCGACCATGGTCGAATACGCCATTTTCCGGTGTATTATTCGCACACTAGTCGAAAGTACGAGTGACAGTCATTGTTATTTTAATTTCTAAGATATGTTGATATTATTTGTCCCGGGCCCCACAATTTCTCTCGGCGACCCGATTATAGGGATTACGATTTAGGGGGTTTCGCTTTGAGCAAGGTTAGACCGATAGGGACGAGGAAGGTACATTTTGGGTAAAAGCGGTCAGGACGGGATAGAATGGAGTGTTATCCCCTAAAACGCGACAGGTATATCATGTTACCAACCTATAGTTAGCCTTCAAAAATAGGCATGTAGCTATAGTTATCCTTTATTCAGACTTCAGAGCGATTTTGCATTTTCATGAATCGTGGATGCTTAGGTAGATATTTATGAATGCATTGGCAAGCCTGATTCGACACTTCTAATCACATTGTTTAATCCTAAATCAAGATCTTATTATCGTTCGTCACTACTCTGAAACTAACCGTCTAAGACGACTACGTGTTAGTACATGAATACGGAATACCATACATATGATATGTGATATCTGAAGTGATCTCTGCAGGCTACTCGTGCCCATGTTGTGCGCTGTCTGATGAAGTTAATCCAGGTTTGGTTAAAAGCAGATCCCAAAACACAATTTAAAGTAAAGTCGGCCATTGACAGTTTCGTATATTGACTCTCATTTAAGATCTTCTGTCTTTTCGGAATTTTTTTTTTAACTTTTTTAAATTGTCGCCTGCTCCTGGGTTTCAGCTGGGTTTTTACTCAATTTCCGATTAATATTTGTATTTTTGTCAGCAAACTTGAATGTTTAACTTGACTTGGTCTATAGGCAAAAATTAGTATTCAAAGTTTCAAAATTGGTCTGTTCAAAATTCCTTTCTTGTCAGATTATTTTTTGTATTTTTTTTACTGCATTCATTTTTAATCTCGGTCCATTGCATCCGTTGACGTTGCTAAAGTATTTAATGATATATCCATGGATACCCTGAGTTACGGGGTGACGTTAGACAGGAACATGGACTTGCTAGTTTGAAAACAATTCTTTGAAAATGATTTCCCTTGAGGTAAGATACGGAAATCTGAGCAAGAACGTACCTGCCTGTTCATATGCGAAACATTCGTCCATTTAAATCACGTAGCTATGACTGACTATGTATAAGTAATGTGCCACAGTTTCCCAGCAGGTGTCAAAGACGTGTTATTATTTTACAATACAAATTACCACAGATTGTGTTCAGTGTTATTTAATCTAATTCTTATGTGCCCATGCAGTCATAACAAAATCGGAACTACAGCGTGATCCTGAAATGATCTGCGACGAACAGAAATTTATCAAAGTCACGCGCGATATTGCATGAGAACTTAACGTCCCTAAGTTCCGCTTAACTTTGTTTACTTTTTGTGCTTTTAAAGCCTGAAATACAAACACCTCAACCTACGCAATACAGATGGTTCTTGATCGCTGGAATATGGAGAACTCCGTGCTTGTCTGCCTTTGTATTCAAATTCTTTGTAAGTAGAATCATGGTTTTCTCAGTGAGTATTTTGAATTAATCGTACCTCAACTGTGGCCTAATTCAATTGGCATATCATCTATACAGTCATATATAGTTTCTGACGTTTAGAAGTGCAGTATCAAGTACCCTGAAACATATATCCATAACTATTGAACATAACATATTTTTCGACGATGAATTTCACCTTCAAATATAAAATAACTTAAATTTTAGGTGCAATATTTACCCATGGAGAGACTTTGCAGACGAAAGATCAACAATTCATTGACAGCCTACAGCAATATGAGTTTATTGAACCAATGTTTAGTGAACCTGTGAAAGATGAGATCGACGCTAACTACATCACGGTATGTTTAATTTCCCGTTTGTTAAAACAGTGAAAGAATTCTTTTTTATTAAACATCCAGACTACATGAATGTTCAGCTCAACGATTGTTCTGCTGTTTTGGTTTTATATAATGAGGATTTTATTATAGTCTTTTAAATTATTGATCATATGATGAGACAAATGAAATTCCAATAACAATTATGCTTTTCAAAATATTCGTAAATCTTTCATTGTTTTATTTCACGAAAGATAAGGAATGATATTCATGGATTCATAGATTGTTGGTTTTAATTTCGTTGACAACAAGGTTGCAAACCTCACTATCCAACGCCCCAGAGCTCAGTGATGACAATCTCTTTGTCGTATAATCAATTTAGGCCGAAGAAAAGAAGGTTCTCTCTTTCCGTTTTCAAGGACAGATCATTAAACTACTTTTGACGCTTAAAAGGTAAAATGATGAATTTCATTTCATTTTCGTTTTCAGTTTACATGGGCCCTGCCTTTGCGTAAGGCGTGTTCCTCATTAATCCTGGCACCTGATTATCCATCCCACAATATTTCACAGGTCCAATTTTAATAAGTTAGTTAACTATAAGCGGATATTATAAAGCTGTGTTTATCTAACAACAATGTTTGTCTTCGCCCAGATAAATATTTACAAAAATAAACGAAAAAAGGCACCAGTATTCTGTAACAAACTTGATGCTCTCATTACTCTGCATCAGCAAATCATTTCAGAATTTCTTTCAAGTTTTTTTACCGGGACTAGAGCCACCTGCATGATTTTTTGATAATCTTCTACGTGTTATATGAAGGTGTTTGTAAGCATTTGTCCTGAGAGTCTGAGACCAAGTCATATGATTGTTATAACTCACGAGAATTCCTTGGTCGTTTGGGAAGAATCAATTTAAGACACGGTCAATCGTAAGGTGCTCATTCGTTTAAAGGATTAACGTTTATTTATATACGTGATGAAATGAAATCGTTTAAAATGAGTCTTTGTTTGTTTAATCCCGTTAAAGACATTTTAAAAGCACCCCACGCCAGAGTTTTCGCATGACCTCATGAACTGCGCTCTACCGTTCAAAATATTTCCAATCCATGCATTTTCCAAATTAGAAAGTCAAGAACTGGTTTATTTAACTGAGGCATATTATTGCCGAGTCTGGAACAAACAATTCTTTTTTGTTTTAAAGCATAAGTCAAGATTCGACAAGTTGAGAGAATTCTCCAGCGTGTCTGGTCCAGCTCTGAGGAGAGTTTTCTCAAATAGAATCTGATGTATTCCTGAATATAAATTGGTGCATTTTAACGCGCGCTGGTAGACATATATATGATATACAAAAACTGATTTAATTTCGAATTGCTTATGTGATATCATAATTATTAATCCTATAAGCCTAATCGTTTACGAAACAAAGGATTGGCACTAGTGTTAAGTTTGTCGTATTGAGAAAGGTCTAGCTAATATAGATCACAATATATTATTCATATATTGTCGGATATGCTCTTGGCTGGTCTAATGTGGCCAAACTCATCATCTTGTGGGTTATGACCTGAAGACCGGGCGAAGATCATGTAGGGACTAAGACGTACATGACAGGGTGCATGCTAGTGAGCTCAGATTAACCGTAAAAAGAATTAGCACAGAAAAGAAGGAACAATTCTTTAAGTATAGTGACGTGTTTTAGCAGGAAAATTGCGTTGGTTATCATCCTGGTTATGATATGAAGGAAGTTCAGTTTTTAATAAATTGTCAGCCTCGAAACTATTTAGTTTTAATTCTTTTCAAGAATTTTTACAACTGTTGAAAAAATCCGCATCAGGTGGGAATAGCGCTATCAAGTCCTTTTCGCTTAATATACTGAGTTTTCACGTAGTAATTTACTGCTTTCATTTATCATCTCCTGAAAAGTGACAGAAGCGCGGCATTAGCTAATTTAGCTTGCCAAACAACAAACAAATTGTTATTTGAAGAAGTGGTCAACATCACGCTGGTTAATCCATATTCATATATAGCTATTAGCTGAACGAAACGTCTTAATTGGAATTTGGAAGCAAAAGTATATTTTATACTACATGACATATTGGCAGGTCACTAGTACATCATGTGCCTTATTCTTAACATTCCTGAATTCATGAACATATCAACCAATTTGAAACCATTTAAGAGATTGTCAGCGAATATACCAGTTCAAAAATACGTTTGTTTCGTTTCCAGAGTGTATAATACGCATTTAAGACATCATAGTCCGCCTTCAATGCCTTCAAAGCATAAAATCCTCCCAGATCTTTTAATCTTCCGATGAAATTCCATAAATAAGGTTTTGTTATGACGAGTTATTTTATCAGAATTATCGTCAAACAACGCATAAATATCAAAACAACACGTCCATTTAAATGACTATTAAATGTGACTGTTTCAAGTGGTGTGTTTGAATGTTTTTTTAAATAAACAAGTCGTTTTCAAATTTTAAAAACGTTCCCAAGCTTCTCGTATTTCTGTTGTCAATGAGAATATGTTTTTAAGTTTAAGTTTTCAAATTTCCAAGATATTTCCGCATTTCCTTATTTTGAATAACATTGTCCCTTCCACACTCTTTAGCATATGGCTATTAAAACCTGCCTATTCCAACATGAATATTGTTTAAATGTTCTCAATCCATCATTGTAGAGAAATATTGCTTCAATCTCTCACTAAGGAAGTAAAAACATTTAAAAGCTGACATGCGCCATAAGCCATAAGCCATGACGCGAGCAAACGTTAAAAGTCTGATATCATTGTTGTGTCATTGGGCACATCAGTTCCGTGTGAGGCAGAAATTCCCAACACAATCAATACAATGCATGCCGAGTCATGTATTGCCAAGAATACAAATCTTAGATCACACAGGTTTAATTTCATAGTCATGAAGTGGACGAGTAGGTATGTTTGAGGTGTATTTTAAAGGACATTTCCTACATCTTCTCTTTCAGAAATTTGTTTTCTCCAAACTTTTTTGAAAGATACGTCACTAAAGATGGATACGAGATTGTTAACGAGGTGTGTTATGCGTTATACACAGGTCCTTCTCAACGAGTTGTGTGATAAACAACATTGAAAATAACCGAAAAAATCAACTTCTCAGCAAAGGCATGAAAAACAACGTGTTTGTTATTTTACCAGGTCCCACGAAACTGCTATTATCACGGACATGTGGATGGACACAAAGATACGATTGTAGCACTTTCCACTTGTCATGGGATTGAGTGAGTTTTCTTGTTTTTCTTAACCTGTTTATTTTTGGGTTACATATGACGTCATAGATTGCAGTGATGGTAATTCCAGACTCAATATAATTGAACTGATTAAGATCTTGACTTGTGTGTGTTGTCCTTGTTTGCGAATATGCAAAGTTTCGTGTCAATAGTTGCTCTGTTGCATAATCGTCGAAACATTTCAGGCAGATCATCGCTCCAAAATCTGATTAAAATTTTGAGACCCATTGATAGCAATGAGGCATGAAAACAAACATTCCAGTCTTCCTTCTTCTCTGTATTTGTTTTAAACTGATTTTATTTCCCAGAGGTTACTTTACGTTGAATGACAAGACATTTTCAATTCATCCTGTGGAAACACTAGAAGGCGAGGTAAAGAGTTTTCCATACCATCCTCCTGTAGTCACTTCCTCACATGCAATTATTTTATTGTCATCGTTTCTTTAGAAACTGCATATTGCGTTTGAAACTGATGACCTTGAACTGCCAAAATATACCTGTGGTAATGGCCAAGTTTCAATCTTTGGTGTACTTTTTTCATAAACGGCCAAGTTTCAATCTTTGGTGTACTTTTTTCATAAACTGACAAAACGAAGTCGATCGATATACAGCATCTTCTCAGTTTCCTGATTGATCAATTGTGATGAATCATACCAAACATTTCTTTTCATTTAGACCACCACAGAGAAAATGTGTCTCGTGATACTTACGAGAGAAGTATTTCGGTAGAAAGACATCGGGTATGCATAACTTGATACAACTAAACATCTTGAAATCCACAACCTAACTCACTTTTCAATCTTTCCAGGTACGTCGCGATGTTTTAAGTGAAACCAAATATGTTGAACTTGTGATAATCAATGACTTAAGTCAGGTAGGAAGATTTCCTGTTGCAACTCGCACTGTTTTACTCTCACTTGGATCATATTTTTAAATGTCTTTATTTCAATATATTTTAGTACCAAAGACGTGGTTCGGAAACATCAACTCGTGCAATTAAAATGGCTAACTTTGCAGACTCGGTAAGAAGCATCCCTGGATAGTTGTACAACGTATCATCTGCGTGAATTTGTTGAGCTTACGACATGAAATTCTTCGTGAACAGTACTATATCTTGAATAAGATTCTTTGTCTCAAAAGTTCTCCCGAAACATACAATATTTTTTTGTTCTGCAAACTATTTTTCTAGACGTATCGCGTTCAAAATATCCGAGTGGTTTTAGTAATGATTGAAACTTGGAAACATGCAGATCAGATCGCCAGTTCCTCAGATAACGATCAATTTCTGGCGAATTTCGTTGCATACAAGGATAAGGTTTTGGATAAAAATGAAACAACTCAAAGTGATCATGCCGTATTAGTTACGTGAGTGACAGAACTTATTCCCTCGAATCAAAAGATTTTTAGCTTTCAATACATGCAGGAGAAATCTCACAAGCTTTTCTATATTTTCAGTCAAAAGAAATTGCAAAATGACCGCCATGGGTGGGCGGTTATTCAAGGAATTTGTTCTCCAAGTTCAGCGTCTTTACTTTATGTAAGTTGTCATGTAGTTGGTTTAAATAGATGTATACCCTTCGGTTGCTTGCATTGTGATTGGCAAAGATATCACCCAGCACTACATTTTGACGTTGCAGGATGCTTACGACTCCACCAATCTAGCTGGATCAGTTATTGCGCACGAATTAGGACACAGTTTTGGTTTCACACACATTTCATCCAGTAAGATGGTTTATTTTTCCCCCCATTTCACGTCGTATCAAAACTGAATGTTTTATTTACCCAACAGCTTGTTCTTGTGACGCTGAACCTTCAAAATGCCTCATGAATGCTGATGTGAGGTACGGTCAATTGTTCGGTTCTTCAGTCATTTAACTTTTAGTTTTAACAAAGAATGCTCTTGTTACTTTAATTACAAAAGCTATGGTCCGTTAAAGTGGTCAAATTGCACTAAAGCGAAGTTAAAAGATGTTTTGCTAAGAGACTATGGAACCTGTTTATTTAATCTGCCAACTGAAGTAAGTTGAAAACGAAGATCACGTAAACTTCATTCAGATATTTCCAAATCAACGTGAGTCGCATTGCTTGCGTCTTCGTAAGAACATCTTGTTTCTTTAGCATTATATAACACCGAAATGTCAAAATGGTTTGGTTGATCCTGGAGAAGAGTGTGACTGTGGAACGAAAGAGGTGCGTACAGTTTGACATGGCCGCCGAGAGAAATTGTGGGGCCCGGGGCAAACAATATCAACATATCTTAGAAATTAAAATAACAATGACTGTCACTCGTACTTTCGACTAATGTGCGAATAATACGCCGGAAAACGGCGTATTCGTCCATGGTCGAGTCCGCCGGAAAACGGCTTATTCGACCATGTTTAGCGTATACTAAACATAAAATAAACAAAACATTTTAGTAAACTAAGTCGTTCAGTCATTTATATTGAGTTTCCTTTCGAGAAAATGACTATTTGGACGTTAAAAGCCAGCAAGGATTGTTTCAAAACACTAAAACTCCTAAAAGAATATCAAAACACTAAAATTTCTCGCTTAAATCACTTAAAAAACGTTTAGGCGTTTAAATCTTGACATTTCCAAGCGTGTGCATTATTAGTCGTTTTCTATGCATATACTTGTTAGAGACCGCCTCCCGAGACTAGGAAAAGCTTAAATACGTTAAATTTATCTTCGCTCTCAGGGCTAGCCACTGTAGCTGATTCGTCTATGACGCTAGGCTTGTGGCGATGCATACTCTGTTTCTCACTGAGACGTAACGGTTAGGTGCACATACATCATGGTCTGGGGGCCGTAGTGCATCTCCCCCTTTGACGGCCGTTAAGATGTGAGTTATGGGGGGGAGTTCTTCCTATAGCAACTGTCCTTGCACCTTTCGTAGTTGTAACTATGCTGAATATTGCAGCCGGTTGTATAACCAGGTTAGATTGTGGCATAGGCTGGATGATCTCTTTTGCTGGGTGTTTTTACGTTCTTTCCAAATTTCTTTTTTTTTGGCGTGCTTTCCAAATTTTTCGTTTACATACAAAAGAATACTGTTATTAAACATATATGGAACGGATATGGTTCGAAAAAAAATTTATATCGACTAAAAACCACCTTAATTAATCCCTGAACACTCTCCCCAGTCTCTGCATGGCTCAGTCTCTGGGATCATTGATATACATCAAACATTTATTATCAACATTTTCATCAACCTTACAGCAGTAAAACAGCAAAAAAGACACTCAGACAGTCAACTCTGCATTCTCGTTAGTGCCTATACGCCGTTTTCCAGGGTTTTTGGTCTAGTCCGCCAGAAAACGGCGTATTCGACCATGGTCGAGTCTATCCGAAAACGGCGTATTGACCATGGTCGAGTGTACCGGAAAATGGCGTATTCGACCATGGTCGAGTGTACCGGAGGTACAAAATTCATTCTAAAGGTCATTCCTCATTTAACCAAACCTCTCGGTTATTAAAACGCCTGGCCTTTATTTAATTGTTTGCCTTACGGAGAATGCTTCTTATATTTTCTGGAACCTGGTGAACTTGTTTGTTAGGAATGTGAAAGAAAGCCGTACCATTGTTGTAATTACACAACTTGTAAACTTCATCATGGGAATGAGTGTGATAGTGGAATGTGTTGTGACAACTGCACGGTATGATATTATTAGAAAACATTGTTTTCCTCAAGTTCATAGGTTAGTTCATAGAGTATCGTATTTTTAATCCTATTATACCCTAGAAGTGATTTTTCCCTCAGGCTTTCACCCTAGAATTCCCCGTGTGAAAACAGACTATAGTGATACAAATTATTTGGCAGATAAATGCAAAAGGTTCATTGTGTCGAGATAAGGTTAATGACTGCGACCTCCCAGAGTATTGCGATGGAAAGCACTCAATGGTAATTAAGCGTTTTGTGATCATTGCACTATATGTTAACTATTTTTACTATCTTTGCAACTAGTAAATTTGCGTAATCTTATCATTCTTATGAACTAACCTTACTGATTATATGATGTTATATTTTTCACCTCATGTTTCTACCTCGTTTTATTTCCTTGTAGTGTCCTCCCGATATGTACGTTCACAATGGCAGATCGTGTAGCGATGTCAATGTATGTTCTTTTACATCTTCGCTAAATATTTCAAAACGTCTTTATAAGTCTACATAAATTTTCGATGTTTTAAGGACACAAGCCTCTGCTATTTTGGAGTTTGTCACACTCATAACAAACAGTGCGAAGCATACTGGGGGTCAGGTACACTCGATGATAATCGTTGAAACGATACGAAATGATATCATTCAGTAAACTGAATGAATAGTTAATGAATATGTTAGATACGCTCGTTACTTTGTCTTTATAATAGAAGTATTTATGTTCTGAAAGGCTTTCTTGTATTTTATATTGCTTGTTTAGATGGATTTTTTTCCGAAAGGTGTCATAAAAAAATTAACATATTAAAAAATACCAAGTATGGATTCTGTAAGCTTCTTGGTGAAAACCAATACGTGAAGTGTGCGAAATCGTAAGTGTCGGCTTGCTGTGAAAACTGGGATATACACATGTGTAATGTATTTCCCCTTTTCGTTTACTCTTTTCCTCTTCACAGGGATGCTCTCTGCGGAAAGTTACAGTGTGAAATGAAAAATGAATTTGAAGACAGAACAACATTGGATGGTAACGCCGCAATTTATATCCAAGGAAAGTCCTGGTCACACAAGTGTTGGTATGTTTTTACGCTCTAAATTAAACCATAAAGGAGCAAAATGGCAGCGAAGAATTTTCATCAAATGTGAATTATAGAACGTTCTAACGTATACAAAAAACCGGCCTCTTGAGCCGTAGGTCAGAACGTCGTGAACTTTTGTGGTGCATCTTAAACACTTGCCTTGCCACATTTATTGAGAAGTTTATTTTGTGTACGTCTCTTTTCAGGAGTGGAGAGTTAGATCACCGTGTTCCACATATTGGTATGGTAGAGACTGGGACAATGTGTGGTGAAAACAAGGTATACGTTTTGCAAATCAAGCCACTGCCCTTGAGGAATGAAAACTATTAAACTATCGTTTTCCTCTATCATCGGCGCACGTTCTCTTTTCTAATGTTAAACACGGTGTTTTATTTGAAAACAAACACGATTGCTTATTTTTTAGGTTTGTTTCAACAACACATGCATAGATATAAAAGAGGCCTACGCAGATCAACCTGAATGTCCAAATAACTGTTCAGGAAATGGAGTGAGTGTTATACTTCATTTAAAACGACTGTTAGATGAGTCTTTCTTCATACCTGCACGTTCTAGATTTAAGTTAATTTCTAAGTTAATTTGTTTAATTGATTGAGTTATGAATCATCTCTATTTAGATCTGTAATAACCTTGGTCACTGTCATTGTAATCCTGGTTACAGCTGTCCTAACTGTTCAGAGAGATGTAATAGTACTGGTGGCAGCATTGACAGTGGCAATGATTGTTATTGTCCAGGTTGGTGCTCAGTCCCATGCATATTCTATAAACAAGTTTGACTAAAATTTCATGCTTGGAAAATCGACATAGGCGTGCGGGAAATAAAAAAGGAAACGGCAAGTTTGTAGTCTTTTTAAAAGCCGGCTTCCTGGTATAATAACCTCCTAGTTCGACGTTTAGAAAATAAAGCAAAAATGTGTTGAACGGAAGTAACTTTATAATCACTCTTTCTTTCTGTTTCACACAAGTTGCAACAACCACTGAGTCGACACAACAATCTACTTCTTCGATGACTGAAGAAGCCAAAACTACCTCCGCTGGCAATGAGAATGGTGAAACATCAACTTCACAAACAATTGAAACAACTCATAAAACTACTGGAGAAACAAGAGAACGTTCTTCGTCAACTAAAAAAGCCGCAGAAGGTGAGTGCACGTCTTTTTCATGTAAGATGATTTAGGGAGTTTGTCAAATGAATTTTTTGTTTCATGTCATTTTATCTTTTTCTTTGCGTCGACGAAACACGAAAGAACTCCCCACTTTCCAGAGTGTTGATAAGTGTTTTTGCAATGCCGTTTGACGTAACAACAAAATAAGACACCAGCCATAAAGATCGCTAAATTTTCATCAGCGTTTCATCAGTTTATTTAACCTTTTTTGTTACAAGAAGGTACAAAAGCTAAAAAAGAAACAGCAGACAGCGAATCCCAAAAGCAAAGCCAAGGTATATCCGCGTATTCATATTCGAATCAAGCAAGTGTGTTCTTCAAAATTTTTGCTTGAATGTGGTTTTAATATTTATTTGTGTAGACGACGTTCTAATTATTGTTCCTACGGTGATTGGTGGTTGCATTGTTCTTTCCTTTTTACTGATAATTTTGATCCGCCAAAAACGAAAAAAATTGCAGTAAGTGTTTTTAACTGATCATGATCAAGTAATATCAGTGCTAGATTGATAAATTTGTCTGATTCTAAATAACGCACTTCCTTGCTGACGGATTAGCAAAGATATATCCAGGGAAAAACCAAACCTACTCTAATTTGCACTAGTCTGATTCGTAACTATAGTTAACTGACTAGCTCCTGCATGGTAATTGTCTTGTTTACAGAATACCTGGAAACTACTTTTCCAATGTCGTTGTGACACTAAATTCTTCTGTAGGGCGCATTGTAAAGAGACAAAGAAACTGCCTAAATCTTGGCACCTGCATGCTAGCCCCTCCACTTCCGAGCAAAATTAATTGTCGTACCTACGAACAGGGGCAAAACCAAGCATTCTTATACCTGTACCTTAGTACTTAAACTTGCCCAACCGAAGTAGAGCTCTGTCGACTTATCCTTTTCTGCTCTTAATGTGTGGATTTATATATGAATGTAATTTTTACTAGAAAATCACGTTCTAATCCCGGTGATCCTCGCGTTGTTTTCTCACAATGTGAATTGGATGCAGGAGAATCCTTCTCTCAACATAATATCATAGATCAAGGGAAAGAGTCTGGAGATAAAAATATTCAGTTCACTTCGTTGTCTATTATGCCTGAGAGCAAAATTGGTAAGGCAATGCCCAGGATTTATTATCCTTGTGTTTATTATTTTTTCATCGTCTGATTTACCAAATATGCTTTTATCCACAGGTTCAACAAACACCGGGTCCTCGGTGTCTTAATGTCAACTAGAATCTTGATTAAACTATAAGATTTATGACCTGCTATGATGTTCTACCAACGATGTTTAACTGGACTGTTACAAGCTGAAAATTCAAAATTTTCATGCAGGATGCGATTTTGAATAGGTATTAAAAAGTAGTTGCTTTCCAATCATTAGTCGACCAGCTAAAATCCGATCGATTCTGCCTGGTTTTAGTGAAATGAACCAGAAAAAAAAGAATTTTATAGTTTTGTATGATCAAGCTGTATAGTATTTCTTACAACATTCGTAGTTCGGACATTTTTATGTCGTTAAATAGGGATATTAATTTATTGGTATTGTGGAAAAAATACTTGTAATTTTCTTAGCGTGAAACGCGATTTGTTACGCTTATTTTTAGCTGTGTGTTAATACTCGTGTCCCAGTAGGTGTCTGATCTAGCCTTTTCATTGATACAGGTATTTTCAGCGTGCAGTTTTGCCTATTTTTGGCGATGTGAGTGTGTAAACATTCTTCACATCTGTAACAATTTAAGAGCATTTCGCCCACGTCTTTCGCACAACTCCATTTTTAATGATCCAGTACGCGAGCTCTAGCAACACTCTCCTTCCTGTTTACGGTAACTGTAATGTTGCTAACTTGTCCAATTAAATGGGAAAATATTTTCAAATAAATCATGATAAGAACACTTCATTTACACTTAGTGTGTTCTTTATGGTAAATAATGGTCCTTCGATACCACTCATACCAGCCAGATTTGTTTAAAACGAATTCTTTCTTTGTTTGCAGAACAGATACAAAATGAATTAATCATGCTAACTTGTAGTTTTTGGCAAAAGGCGCAAATATTTAACATTTATTAGTTGTTTTTTCGCTGGGCGAATGAGTTGTGATCTATTCTTGTTATGCGTGGGTGATTCAAAAAATGATTCAAAATGTGGCTTAAAAACAGCCGCGTCCCACCTTAATTACGGCTCATCCTTGACGTCACTCCTCCGCTGGTGCTGACATACTGTGTCTCTCTGGTGTTTCTGTTTAGGACGATGACGCATGATTATTTTTAGATGAATACGTTTGAGGACAACTATCTAACTCTGATGCTATAAATTCCTTAAATAAATACCAAGCCTCTTGGAGACGCACCCATATTACAGACAGTTTCCAATATCTAGTTACGTATATTTGCTGCATATGTTCTTTTAAACCTTTTACTTCAACTTTTTACTTCTCTATCATATTAGAGAATAGACTTAGGAAATATGCATTCGTGACAACGCCCACGCGTGTGTTTGACACGGCCTCGATGAAATTTGAAGAATGGTTTTTTGCTGACGAGCAAAAAACCTCCCATTTCACTGTCGTCATAAAAACAACAGAATTCTCTTCCGTTCCATGTGCACACCTTATTGAATCGTGGAAAACCAACTGAGAGTCACGGAAACCGCGATTTATTCCGCTTAATTAACTTTGCGCGTTCGGCGCATGCAATCCTGAAGCCTTGCGTGCCTTATGCTAAATAACATCTCGAGATTGCTTTGCAGTATTCTCAACTGTGTAGTCTGTGTTAATCTAAAGAACAGTTTCATTATTGGTTTGTTTGTTGGGAGAACTAAAGAAGCGAAGGTGAATACGTCTAACCAAGTTAGTAATCAAATCTGTCAAGAAGTAAGTGCGTTCATTGATGATATAAATTTGGCTCTTTTCGTGTTATTAATTTGTTGTATTATTGGCTCTGTCTCGGGGCACTTCCTTGTTTAAAACTAACAATAGGTTTTATTAATTGTTTTCCCAGGGAATTTAAACGAACCGCAAGGTACAACTAACCAGTGTCCATTTACTATCAGAGGATGAGCTTCAATAATTTTCAACCAACTTGGTTTTCTTATCAAGCTCAGATCAGCGAAGACATGAGCAGTAAAAGTCTTATGGTCGGTCCAGATTCCGCAACAAGTCCGTTTATAGACCTTCAAGCTGTTGGAAGACAGACGAACTTGGGTCAATGCTTAGGAAATTACTCTAATGAAAAAGGAGTAGTTTATCCGCAGTGTGAGATGGAAAAGTCGAACCAAGAACCAATGATATGCTTAACGGAATGTAGCACTCATACAAATGGTAAGTTACCCTGAATTTTGACTTATATTCTTGTATAAATATTTACTCTCTGGAGTATCTGCCGTCACCTCAAACGTGAACGCAGTAACGAGGCGCAAATCAGTAAGTTATCTGAGTATTCACTCTAAGTTATCCTAGTATTGATTGACTTATTGCACGTTCAAAGGTATCGCGTGATAGTATCAGACATGAGTTTTCCTTTTTGCTAAGTATATGTTCCGGATTCATTATCATGAGCACGACCTTTACCTGTGTAATTCTTCTTTTTTAGTTGTAACTCGCTATTGAGTTGTTTTTACAATGAAACACTGCGATATTTATAAGAAAAACTCCTCCGTTTGAGAACTTACGTTTATAAAAACAAGCCGAATAATCGTGTGCGTCATGATGAATCCTGCAAATATTTAAATGTGAGTTTGTCTTAGAGGAGCTGTCATCACAAGCCGGGCAATAAAACTGCGGAATAAAACAGACCAGTTAGGATTAGATTATTTTGCAAGGAAAGGAAAGTGAACGAGTTCACAAGACAACCCAGCCAAAACATGGCGTTCTCTCAAAACATGAAGCAGGGTTTAACTTCTATCTGTTGTCAGGAAGAACTGATCTATTATTCTTTGGCCGAGACAGCAGAGAAAACTCATGAGTATTTAACTTGTCTTCTGTCGTAACTGATTCTTGGTCGTTGATTAATTGAAATGAAATCTTAGGTCAGTCAAATTCAAAACAGAGCCATGCGAAGAAAAACATGTTAGACGCATGTTATGTAAATAATTATTTGGTAAAAACCGCGAAATCCATAACTCTGTTTCCAGCTGTTTTCTTGGCTGGACATCGGAGACCCCCGCGGTGTGACGTCATACCACATGCCGCCTGAATTAACCCGCAAACAGCCACGCCTTATACACCGCTTCCCTTGAATGTTAAGAACGATCAAACCACTGCGTTGCGAGCGAAGGAGGCAATCGGTCGGAATGACTCAATACAACATTGAATATTAAAAATGCCTGAACACTTGTGCAAACCGTCCAATTTTCCAAATATTTTACTAAATCTACGTTATTTTCGACCAGGACGTCAAATCAAACGTTGAATTACATCTTCTGATTCTGTATAACTGATTTTCTAGATCCTAACCAGCTAAAGCAAGATTCACCTCGAAAACGTTACAGAACGACATTTTCTCCCTCGCAACTGAAACGTTTGGAAGGAGAATTCAGCTGTAATATGTACGTTGTTGGTTTGAAACGACTGCGGTTGGCTCAAGAGTTGAAACTTGAAGAACGGCACATCAAAATCTGGTTCCAAAACAGAAGGATGAAGTACAAACGAGATCAGAGATTGAACGAAAGAAATGCAGGTTTGGCGTTTCAGAATTATTGCTTCTATTGACCAATTCTGGACACCAAGTTTGACATTGCAAAATTGGAACTAAGATTTTGGAAAACTTAGTTGAACCTTGATGCAAATGATTTTGACGACCCTTCAGTGGGAAAACGATATGGTCAAGAATATCGACATTCAAGAAGACGTGTCTCACTGGTTCGAGACCATCTCTGCATCAGACTCGCAATTTCTCGCGCAATGGTAAAGGTCGATCTTGTGTTGTGGCTGGTCCACACTCAATTTATTATTAGACCTCAAAACTACGATTCGTTTAAACCATATTCATATATTTGTTTATACTATATTTCATTGATCTATACTATACATATGTCATACAAAATTTTTGGATTACTATTTCATAAAATATAAATATTTATAAGGTTATCTACAGCGGGCTAGAAGACTCAGGTAATGGGGAATAATATGGCAGTATTTATATCGTCACCGCTGCTCTTACAAGCTAAGCTCAGTTTGTAACAAACGCTAAGCAAAGATTATGAGCGGGAGTATATATTTGAATTACAATACAATCTTCGTTCACGTCAAAAGAACTTCTTGTGATCTGTATTGCAAAGTTAGCAAATGTTCACTCTACTAATTTAATACAAAGACACGGTGAGTTAGTTGTATGATGGTGTGGCATAATATGCATGCTAACTGAATGATAATTGTCCACCTTCAGTCTCCATCTTGTCATGTAGATAAATTCTAATGTGTGATCTTTACCCATGATTTCACCATTGCATAAAATATCAACCTGAAACAGCAATACATCAAGTTATTGTAGTTGCAGCCAGAAAAATAATGAAATTCATCTTACGCTTACTTCTTTCTTGTGAGGAAGATTCAGTTTTAGACGAAGATATTTCTTAAGATGGCCGATGGTCAGGCGAATTGACGTTTTTATGAATTTCTTTGCAAGAGGTTGAATATATTTGCTCGAAACGTTGTCATTGCTGGAAAGAAGGAAATATTTTGTTTCATTCAAGAGACAAAATTGCAGGTTTCAAACAGTGTTGCAGTTTCAAACGGTGCCGTTTTAAACAGTCAACTTACTTTATACAATCCAAACAAAATGCAATCTGTGGGTCGTTACGATGGTCGCTGTATTGATGCTCATCTTGAGTTCCTCTTTGTCGTTTATACGCCGGTTGTTGATCCGACTCATCTTCTGTTTTAAGAAGTCAGTTTTGAGAAGATTTTCTCTTGATTGGGCAAAGACAAAACGAGGAAAACAACAAGCCTAGCTCTTTAATCTGGTTTTATACGAAAGTATTTGAACTGTTTTTACCTTTTTCTTTCCTTCTCTTCTGAGCAAGATTGAAGTTAGTCTCACGTTGCTTCTCACCTAGTTATTGTAGATAGACTTTTGTGTTGATTCTAGACGTCTCTAGTTTCAAGGACAAAATCTTAACAAAAGTTTTGACATTAAATACAAGACATACACCAATACATACTTTCCTGAAGGTGTGGAACTAATTTAAAAATAATATCTTCTAGTGTTTGGTCAGCTCTAAAATTCAAAAAATTGCCAAAATATAAATTTCAGTAAAAATTGAATCTTTCGTAAAAACTTTGTAGGTGAAATATAAAGCAAGAAGACTTTTTAATACCTGAGAAGTTCTAAAGGGTTAGTTTCATGAATAACTGTGCTGCATCTTGGACACTCGTTTTCATCAGAATCATCGAGATATCGTACGATGCAACTCCTACAAACTAAGAAACAAGAGCCTTGGCAACATTTTCACACGCAAGAACAGCTTGATACCGAGGCATCCAACTCGCTAGGAGCCTTCATTTGGGTCATGAACGAGGCATTCTAGTTTGAAACTTGCATTCAATCAGCTTTTGTGCGAAATTGAGTGCGTGATATGCTAATATATATTACTTTCAATATGATATTTTATTTTTCATTGATAGTATTGAACATCCATGTTTCAAACGATCCTAATTATGATAATCATAACCCGCTGTTCACTAAATTGATCTATTATAATCTTCTCTTTTGATGTTTACGTTTTCTGGGTCAGCTGCCATTATGAGGTGACAGAGGTCTGCCGACATGACGCTTAACACACAGTTCCTTTAATATTTTACTCCTCATGTCGTTGTGTTGAGCCTAATTTCTCCGAAACTATCACAGCAAAATGAAGACAAGATACGAACTCTAAAATTCTGCCAAACATTCGTTATTCATACAAAAGACAAAGAGTTCAATATCTTCTACCACTTGTTATTACAAAAGCCTAAATTATCTATGCATACAAAACATCTGCTCTGTTTTGCTCAGGGAGACGCTTGCTTGACAACAAGTTTCTTTTATATTATACCTCTAAACTTAAACGTAACTTATCCGATCTAAACATAAAGTAATAAATAATATATTTTGCTAGATATACGACTGCATGCGGGTGATATTTTATTATCATCGGACTAGAGGTCAACTTACATGTATGAAGACATTCGGCGATAGTTGTGGGTCGGATCCAGTAACCTTTGCATAAGTAACACGTCAACAAGTCGTTCAATTCACGAAGTTCAACAGTGATTGTTTTATTGGACTAAAAAACGAATGTAAGAAGATTTCTTCTGAGTGAGTCAACAGACTCGACACGATACAAAAAAAGTCAACATGTCATTGGATTCTTACGACATTGTTTTTAAATGTATATACATTACATGATACCGGCGCGGAACTTTATTAAACTCGTAGTTATAATCTGCACAGAAATATATCTCCCAGTTGTTAAAAGAAGATATTATTTCGTAGTTGTTGTGCTTTTCGCCTTAGATGAATCAGCATCATGCAAGGTTATCAATTTATTGCGACAATTTCTCGCGATCTTTATTACACCAAATTAGGAATCCGAATCAGATCTGTTAAAACTCGTTCAGTTGAAGATAAGTCTATCTTTAAGTTATTCAAATGATTATCGCGATCACGTCTCAACGAATCGTTGTTAAGTATGGATTAGTATAGTTTACTAAAACACTCCATACTGAAAGACAGTTATATAATCCTAGATTTAATGCTTTGTTCATCTTTGCTGGGAACACTATCGACTCGTGAAATCATATTCTACGGACTGGAATGTACTGTTGCCTTATTCAAAACATTCATCAAGTCTTAGGATTGCAAACATCATTATTATATTCCTTTAACTCAAGGGCTATTTTGCTCATTCAAGACTGACGTCTTATTAAAAAAATTCTCATAAATGTAATATTAGTCGTATGTCTATTGTAACATTCTCATTGCCTGATCAGTTAAAGACGCAATATTTCTCGTATTTCCTGATAAATTTTACCCAATCGCTAAAGCGAATTTCAAATACAAAAGATTATTTATATATTAAAGTTCCTAGACAATGAGATATGCTAAATCAAACCGCATTTTACATGGCCTGAAGTCATACAACGTCTTGTGTGTTCTTTTGTTATACGAAGCTTCATTCTTGGCTTCTGTCCCATATTACCTGCAGAAGATCCATTGTTCTTCACCCGTGTCTACTTCCTACACTGTATGTCTTACTGCCAATGTCTGTAATAATGGCGTCAGTCCTAGGTCCAGTGCCTTCGCTGTTATTTAACTACACAGCCACAAGACTATATCCCGGATGTCAGCGTCTACATTCATTTGTCAATATTGTTGCGAGTGGTCCTATAATAAACTGTCAATCATCTTCATGATTATAATCGAGGGATTTCATGCACACTCCCGTACCCCAAACCTTCTTACTAAATACAAAGTCTGGATTAGATTTTCAACACCGTTTTTATAAAGGGGAACAGCAAGGCAGCTTCTTCAAGCCATCTTCTTACGAGGCCACGAAGAAAATACAAGAAATCTCCAGAAATGCTTCTTGAGATTTCGACGTAAATCTTGCTCTCTGTCAGAAAAGGTGACTTCGCTCGAAACTACAGGCAGTGGCTGAACCAATTTAATGAGAACAAACGTGAAAATGATTCACTGATTCGTTCAAGCACTCCGTGCCAAGAAACACACCTGACTGCATGTTGTGCCGGGTAAACTAAGCATAACTTGCTCTAGGTAAGTGTGATATCAGTGTTTCGTAACGAGTGGAAGTTTAGAACGCAACAATTGTTTCTACTTAATCACAGCCACATGAAGAGCTTGCTCTGAGAGCTTGTTAAAAATTCCTCTTTTCAAGATTGGAACAATTGCAATTCAAAGAGTGGGTGTGTGTTGGGTGTGTGTAAGGCAAGTCAAGTGCTTGAAGTTTGCTATGCATGCTGGTCGCGAACTCGCGGTCAATGGCATTGCGATTGTGTTCAGTTATCAGTTCACTCTTTGAAAGATTAAAACAAGATAAGATAAATAAAAGGCACATTTTTTTCATTATGTAAATTCCACGAGCTAATCTCTCAATAAATATATCAGACATGCCTACAAAGACACGTTTATTTTCTTTTTGTGTTTCATTATTTCAATATTAATCCTATTGACTGCCCTTCCGTGTTTGGAATTAAAAGACCAAATTTCACCGATGGTGCAACAAAATAATAAATATATCTAGAAAAAACACATATCAAGACCTTGTCAACTTTACGATGACGATTAGGTCAAAACTATACAGTTTAACGCGTCTTTCCAGTGAATGGCTGAGAATTTGTCCTTTCATGAATCATGATCAAGCTTGTTAAGTGATAAGTTGAGTTTTTATTTTTTTACCCCGTAATTTAAATGATTTTAGCCTCTCTCTTTGACTCTTTAGATACCTTTGAGCTAACACAAACGAATCTTTCCTTGTAGCTAAGAATTAAGATAACCCTTGAAGACTGTCATTTTGCCTGTAGGCAATACCCCTCTATATAAACTATGATTTTTAATGTATATTTGCAAGTGTAGAAGCATATCGTACGGACATGCAGGTATAAAATTATGACAAGAGGAAACAGTTTTACATGAATGAAATGGTACCAGAACATCTTTATAGGATTGGAATTTGCCAAAATTAATATATTTCAGTCTCATTCTGATTTAGAAGATGCTCAGAGTGAGTGTGAATTGATGCGAAGTGCATATTGAACTGACGAAACAGTTCGTTTGCATATCATTTCGGCTCATCATTAAAATATGATGAACGGAGTGACGATAATCCTGAGTTATCCTGCAATTTCTTAATGTAATGATTAGTAATAAGGCATCCAGCAGATATTAGTTACGAGTATATTACGAGATGTCTTGATGTCAGCCACGGAAAGTGATATAAGAAAAGCTCTGGCAAGACGCCATAAATACTTGAAATACTAAAGGTCAATAGGTGCGACCTGAGGTGTTTTGAAAAATTTTCTTCACTTCCGATTAATCTGCTTTCAAACAGAGAGACACAGCTTGAAACCACGCAACTACGACAAGCACTTCATGGCGTACTAAAGTTGTCTAAATTTTGTCTATTCATTTCTTAATAATCTCAGGAGAACCATATCAAGATATTAAGAAGACGCCAAGCTAAACTCAAGATAGAAAGGTAAATATATTGTGTGATAAATAAAACAAGAATTGAGTCCTAAATCTAAGTAATTTTCATTTCAATAGTCTTCCTAAGCATATGGTTTAAAGGCTAAACAGGTATACTATAACAATTACTCCACGGAGTATAGACGCAATTGAAGCCAAATTATATTCACATATTTATTGTTTGTATTGATACATGGCATTTTCACGACTCGGCTTAATGCCGCATACATACAGCGGTTTGTGTCTGAAGAAATTCGTACAACCGTATACGACCACTCTTGCAGTTTACATTTTGAAGTGTTTCCCTGTAATTCGTGCCACATTTGGCAAATCTTACGTCCCTGTCTTTCTGTTCTATACCTTTGCCTCAATGACAGGATGAACCACTTAAACATACACGGCCGGCACTGAATTTTGCCTAACTGCATGTAAATAGCATCAAATCCATCAATAGCAATTATACCAGCTCATTTCAATCTTACTTAAATAAAGACTGCCCTGAAGGATATTTTGGAAATCCATTGTAAAAATTCAGCGCTACCCTATGACAATTTTCGATTGTAATAGCCGCTTACACCTCCGGCAACAGAATCCACCGAAGATGTATAACACCAAGTCGATTACACTAGCTTTGAGACCAGTGCATTTCATAAAGACCACTGAATGAAGTTTTCTCAAATGGCACTAAACGAGTTTACTTTCTTTACAGACTTGTCATGCACTGCTTAAAAACCTTTTATTAAAAATCGCGAAGTTTTAATTGCAGTGATCTGAAATCTGAAAGGCTATATCATTTGTGTTCTGCGATGAAAAGACTTATTCTCATATATAGCTATACTAATATTAATCCATATTCAGTATATATCACGCAGACAACAAAATCCCATCATCATGCACTTTTAGAATTGACTGTCTTTACATATGGATCTATTCTCTTCTCGAGCTTCTCTGAAAATGTCATTCATCTCTGCATGAGTCGATATGTTATAGATTTTAGTCCTATCGATCTAATACAACCTCTTATCAACGACCCATTCCACTTGCTCCGATATGCTCTCGAACTTATTTAACTTTAACGCTTTACATTCCTCAAAAGAGAGCTTTGATTATAGCTTATGAAAGGTTGATAAATCTTCCTCTACTGTTCTACAAACTTCAGCATCAGACTGGACTGAGTTAATGAAAAATGTTTTAGCAAATTTCATGGCACTGTAGTCGATCTGCATGAGGTACTTTACATCAAATGTTATGGATCATGCACATCGCATTTTAACCACAGCTTAAACGAAACAGATTGACAACAAAAAGAGCTTTATATTATCGTTATTATACTTCAAAAATACTAGTCGTTAGATCAAGTTGAACACCATTCATATGACATACACCAACAGTCGTAAGAAAGACTCGACTTGACTGAATTTATATACGGTATTTAAGTGCCTATTTAAATCGTATTTTATATTAGTCTTGCCTGCCTGATTGAACTGATTCGCAACATATTTTCTGCTGTATCACCATAGATAGCCTTATATTGTTCTACTGTATATAAGCAAGAAATGCCAAGAATCATAGGGATATAATTAAACAAAATTATCAATTAGTTTACAAAATATAATCATTTTGACCGACCTACGACATAAAACTAACCATGCAGGCGTAGTTACCAGACCGTATATTTAAAAGGCGACCGAATGTGTAGTGTATTGCGTTGTTAAGTCATATATATACAGTTGAATGTTGAATGCTATATAGGAAAAAGTCTGTTGAAGAAATTATTTAGTGGTTCTGATAAAGTGTATATATATATATTGAAGATATTTATTGGTTAAACCATGCCTTAGCTAAATTCAAGTCCAAAATATTGATTTCTGTCTCCTGTATAAAGCTGCTTTCAAATACGTTTATTTAATAAACTGCATGCATGTATACTTTTATTGCATCCATGCCATTTTCCTTCATCTCATCTCCGTGTCGAGGTAATATTTAGCCGGATAATTAAAATAGTATTATGGATAAACTGCTGTTCGTGAGATATGCGCCAGTCCTTGTTTCTATATCAATGGTTCATTGAATGACGAGACAGATGAGTGTCTTCGCTTTGAAAAATTTTTACTGTATATATATATGAGAGTTTATAAAACTATACATGTTGATCATATGTAGTGAAGATACATAGTAATGATTCATATACGCAAATCAGTTGTCCTGGAACATCAACTGATGCGCATTTTTTCAAAATTCGCCATCATTTTTATCAGCTATAACATTTGATTTTAAATGTATACGGAAACATAGTTCAACCCCGTACACATGCACTACAATACTGAGTTATGAGTTTACACAACTGATTACAGATTATTTTCTGCATTATAAGTTAAGTCTTATAAGTACCGGAACAGTGTGTTTCATAATCTTCACTAAATTTTAAAGGATTATCTCTTGAATGTCTACAGTATGTAAAGACATCTGTCCCAACAAAGAAACAACTCGATTCATCAGTCATTATAAAGTTGAATAATTAAAGCATAATTAATATCTTTCACTGCCCAAAAATTCACGAGTAAAACGCTACAGTTTTTGTGCTGTTTAACTAACTATTGAAACGACAAAATATTTAATATTATACCTCTTTGGAATTGTCTTGGATAGAAGAGTCTAACAGAACAACAAAAAGGGATAAATGTTTCCGTCGTTTGAAAGTTTGACGTCAAAATGAAGGAAATGTCCACTTGAAGAGCTAGCGCGACACACGTCATGTTTTCATAGTTCATCCTGTAATCCTTCACAACAATTTTATGGTTTGCATTGTAGCCGAAACAAAATAACTCACGGATGAAACGCATGTAAAGTGGATAATATTGTCAGGAAACTGAAGATTACATGCCCATTAATACCTTTAATCTAGGTTTCTGCATTAAGAGTTTGCATGTACATATTATATACAAGCTGTGTTTAGGTTTTTTTTGGAAAAACATTGCTTTCTAGGTCTAGATATAAAATTTGTATGCATGCATTATTCTTAAGACCTGCGACGTGATGGAACAAAGAATGAAGATGAAAGAACTGAATGAATTCATAACATGTGGCATTTGTTCTGGGTATCTTATCAATGCATCGACAGTCACAGAATGTCTTCATACATGTAAGTTGTTAATCAACTCTAGATCTCCAAGATCCTTTCTAATTCTACAGCTTTGTCATGCAATTGCAATGTTTGTCTTCCTTGTCATTAGCAAAACGTATGCTTTTTAGTTTGTCGTAGTTGTATTGTGAAACACTTAGAAGAAAACACGCACTGTCCAAAATGCGAAAAGGTCATTCACCATAGCCATCCAATGAATTATTTAAGGTTTGCGCATTCTGTCTTTATACCTTCGTTATATCATTCTTCGCAATATTATTTTTATCATGATTATACAACATTAAATAATTATTGCATCAGTCATCGTCACAATTTTGTCTCAACATCTTTCACCATCACAGATGAAGACGGTGTTTCTTATCAATCTAAGTTAGTTATCTGGTATATTTCTTGCAGATTAGATAGAACAATGCAAGACGTAGTTTATAAACTGGTCCCTGGTTTACAAAACAGTATGTTTAATTAAGTTCTTCAATCAAATAATCATCCAGCTCTACGGTTGTATACGAGCCATCCACTGGAATTTTGCATTTTCAACTTTTAAGGAGAGAAAAAGAGGGAAGAAAAATTCAAAAGAAAAGCCAGTTCTACTGCAAAAACTAAAGGTATGTATGTAGGACACAGACAAGAATATCTTACGTTCTCGTAATGATCCGATTGTGAAAGCCGTTGGGCTGATATGTAAGATTGTTCATTTGTTGAAAAGCATTTAATACCAGTCAAAACTTCGAAATAACTTCTACTTTTCATACTTTTCGCATGCTTTTTGGATATTCTACCCTATGAATGACCTTTTCCCCCGTCCCTCGCCTTGAAATCGTCTGACGACGGCTCATTCTTCAGTTGAAGGTACAACGAAAAGCCACAATTCTTCAGTAAACAAATCCAAACGCAAATCAAAAGTAGAAAATGATTATCACAGAAATGATGAACAGGTTGCAATCTGTCTGGAGTGCCAGAGGTACGACATCAAAACCATAAGAATGCTGCTTGGTTCTTTGATCTAATGGTTCTGCCTTTCTTGTAGGTTGCCTGAGCACAAGAGATCAATACAGGTAGAAATCTGTCTTTCTTTGCTTTAAACTGATTTTTATCAATTCACCGACAAATTTCGTTGTTTTTATTTTAGCCACTGAAAAGAAAATACCTGAGATTGTCTTCTCAAGCAACTGTACAGATTCTACGAAAATATCTTGCGAAGAAATTGAAATTAAAAAGTCATACAGATGTAAGTGTGAAATCATTGCAATGATAATTTTTTTTCTCTGAAATCAAATGCACCCTCACAAGTGCTTTGGTCTTCCACACGTGTCAGGTTATTTGAAAGAAGTTTTTTGTTTTTGCTGTTCAGATAGATATATTTTGTAACGAAGAACTCCTTGGAAAAGATCATACGTTGAAGTTTATCGTTCTCACTCGATGGAAGTTTAAGGCAAGTAAAATTCTTTCAATTTAAGTTTTTTTTTTGAAAAATCATCCTTCGGTTGTCATCATCTGTTAGCATAGTTTACTCTGATGATTTTAATGCCAGTTTTGAATGTTTTTAGAAAGGACCACTGATGCTTCACTATAGATCAAGTCTCAAACTGGTTTGAATCGTCATTCAGTCATACGACATTCTTGCACTGTAGTAATATTATAGATAGGAATATTTAAATCTTTTTATTTACCACAACAGATGAAAAATATTTGGGTTGGGTATGAAAATAAAGACAGCTGGGTTAATGAAGTACAATTTTCTTTGAAAGAGGGGAGATAACAGCCCGCTTCAGTCTACCATGAAGGGCAATCTCAAAATTATTTTCACTGTACTCTAACGGGATCCGAACCATCATCTTCCAACCAGCAGGGCCTGTTCATATGAGACGGGTCAGCCCGTTTAGAACAATCTTATGTCTTTTACGTCATTGTGGCTGAAATTTTGCAACTCATAATCTCGAGATGGGCTTTTCTCCAAACATCAAATAAAACTTGAGACATTTTTTGTTCGTGCGCAAATGCATAAAGCGCGCAAGAGCTGGTGTGCATTCGTCATCCGATCACGTACCGAGATTTATCCGAATGGTCTCGAGAGTTCTAGACAATGGCTTACCATATATGGATACTATTTCCTGTCGGAAACAACACTTGATCATGCTTGGATGGTAAATTATTTGTTGTCAAAAAGATAGGTTTTGAAACAACTACAGATATCTGTTCATATATGTTGCCATTCTTTACGAAACATTGCCAGACATAATGGGGTCTTCTACACTATATGCTCTGTGTATTTTCCTACTTATTGAACTTATAAAGCCTGAAATAGGTACGTAAAAATACAAAACTAAATTTATGTCAATGTGCTTTAGGCTGATGGCTTGTTTGATAATTTAAACGTAACGCCTTGAATTTCACTGTATAGGGACTTCGTGGACAAAAAACGTGTTTATTCATTTATTTCGTTATTGTATAGTGTCCACAGATCATAATTAGTATCACAATTCGCAGTAAAACTCAGTATATTTGTTATATAATATCAGTGATTATACATCAAATTCCACAACATTTGACATACACAAGTATAATTTCATTTTCATGTTAATGAGAAATTTATAATATCTCTTTAGAAGCAAAACTAACAGATGATCTTCTACATCACAATGCAAAGCTATTAAAAAACATAAGATCTTACGAGGTTATTAAACCATACATTGGGGAAAGATTGAAGCGTCATGCAAGTACAAGAATTCCGGTATGTATTTAATAATTTAAAGACTAAATTTAAAGACTTTAAAGTATTTAAAGACTTTAATTCAAATATGCTTTAGTTTATTTCTCGAAAAGTCCATTTTACTTCCCTATATTTATCCCAAGGTCCAATATATAGTTTGTAGAGAAATAGTATGAAAGGTTAAATATTAACTCTTATATGAAATGCAGTTAAATATAACTGATATTAGTTAAGGTAATACTCGTTGTTAATATTGCTTCCTATTTCTTTTGCTTTAGTCTGGACATCTCCAAGAAACAACGATTGTGATAAACAGTAGAAAACGACGTTTTGACCTAGCAGTATCCTTGAACAAGTAAGTTTTAATATGAGATAAGATGACATTATTCTTCCTTCGGACATGACAGGATGGAATTGTCTTCAATTTTGCCCTGAATTTACTATTCAAACTTACTAAGGAAGGAAACATTCCCTATGGCGTGCTTCCTGTTTTTGTTATCTAAGGTATATTTAAAAGGTGATTTAAAGTGTTGGGTTGTATTTTCTTTGTATTTAACCCCATGCTGAACAATCGTGTGCAGTATTACATATCAGATCAACCTTATAACTGATCATGATTTAGAAAATGTACCAATTTTGACCACAAGTGAAGTAGTAGGCGGGTCGGATCTGATATTAGATACAAGACTTTTTTGGTCCATTGTCTGCTCAATGACTTCATCCATTTGTGCTCATCCATCTGTGCTCATCCATCTGTGCTCATCCATCACTCAATTGCGGAACTCAAATTGATTGTAATTATTTTTTAGTTTGTAGGTGCACCACATGCATTTATTTCTGCAAAGTTTTCTGTCCATTAAATACAAGCCTTCATGAGCATTGATATTGGAAATTCGCCATATGCAAAACAAGAAAAATATTAATACTTTAGCAAACTGTTTCCAACGCATTGATTTGTTGTATTTTTAGGGGATTGTTTAAACCAGAATTTGAGGAACATTATGTTTCAAATGATCATTCAGTGAAAATGGTACATCAATATTTTATATTTCTTGTAAATGTTTAAGAACAAAATACGGTATAAGTTACCAGTTTTTCAGTATTTCACAGTGGCAATGGTTTCATTTTTTAACCATTTCCATGTTGGTAGGTGCCTCATGAACATTGCTATTACCATGGTGTTGTAAAAGGAGATAAAAACTCTGATGTTTCTCTGAGCACTTGTGATGGAATAGAGTAAGTCTCTAATGATAGAAGAATTCAGCCAACAAAGATTCCACATACTAACTCACTATGATAACAGCCCAGATGGACATTGTAATGATTCTATACATTTGATTGTATACATAAATGTCTGTGTATAAATGCATGAACAAATGTCTGTGTATAAATGAAAAATCATACAATAAATTAAGACATACAATTAATCACATAGCCTTTGTCACATTAATGTTTCAAAAAATAAATCCAGAATATATACAGTATATATTCCTCAGTCAATTTGTAATTCTTATTTATAGGGGAGTTATCAGAACAGCTGATGGTACCTTCTTTATCGAACCCCTAAAGTCTAAGGATGGCCAAGTATGTTGATAAAGAAGAACAAAATCTTGATTGTAAATAGTGGATTTATGCATTCTTATAATTTCTTTTGTTAGGTTCTGGATGATCATATTATTTTTAATGCTGATGATGTTGATGAGCAACCAGCAACTTGCGGTACTGATTGTAGTTGATCTAATGCTTTATTCTTAATATAATGCTGCTATTAGAAAGTGTAATTTGCATGTTTGTTTGTGGCGTTCAAATGTAACATGTTATATCATATTGGCTAAGTTATTAAAATGAAATAAATGTTTAGGCCTTGAAGACTAATATGTAACCTTCAATATAGGACATGGTGATCACAAAATATCACTCCAAAAAAAAATCAATCATAAAAAATCAGTTGATCTCAAAAACAGGGTAAGTATTGCTAAATGATTGAATTATACAGGCCTTTTCAGACACAGATTTAGTTTTTTTAACCTAATAAATTTCTCTAGGTTAAAAGAAATGTTGAAACAGAGACCAAATATATAGAATTATTTATTATTAATGACAGGAGACAGGTATGAGATTTGAACTGCTCGATTGCTAAGCAAAAAGTAAATAAGACTGTCATACATGTTGTAAATAATTTAACTTTAATCTGATATGTTATGGGTAGTTGTATTTTTTTATTTTTAACAAAAACCAGGTATTTTTCGGTGATAAGTATCCAGTCTTGCTGGGGTTTTTCAAGTGCTATATGTGGTTTAAACTAACAGACTTTGAACAACAGGTCCCAGCCTAGTTGGTTTAAGAATTTACTTAGTAAAAGTGGTTTAAGCTGCAATGTTAATGAAAGAGAAAACATAACTTAGAGTAAGTTTCTATTTTTCACTAATAGTATCAAGAATATCAAAAAGGTACAGGGAAAAGAGCAAAGGAACTGGTTAATCATCTTGACTCAGTAAGTTTTAAAAAAATACACTCTCTCTTGATGCATCAGCTAGGAAATTAACATGAGCGACAAGCAGTTATATATATTACGAAAAGTACTAGTATCAGTTATCACTACTCAGGAGTGGATCCAGACTGACACGACTTATGTGATTGCATACCTTTGGTATCATGTGGTATCATGTGATACCTTTTTTCAGTTCATTCGACCATGGTCGAGTGTACCGTTCTTTTCATCAGAGCGAAACAATACAACTTAATTGTTTTACATCTTAGACTTTTAGACACCGCAACATAAGAGTGGCTTTAGTTGGAGTTGAAACATGGACAGACAGAAACCTCATCTATGTTGATGTAAACATTACAAAAACTCTCAACAATTTTTTGGAGTATAAGAGGAAAACTCATGATCACTTACATGGAAAACATTTTGACAATATTCAACTAATCTCGTATGTATATTTTTATTTCAGTGTAGTACGTTAAATTGTAGCTGAAATGGTGATTTAAACTAAGGCAGATACAGTATGCATATCTTGATGGAAGAAAACTGGCTTGCATGTTGCATGTAATGATTGATGTAAATTTATATTCTTTTCCCAGGGGGCTAGATTTTTTAGGATCAACAGTGGGCTATGCTCCGATACAAAGTATTTGTGGGCCAAGATCTGCAGCTGTTGTGCAGGTTTGTGAGCTCTGTGGTTTCCAAATACTAAATTATTTATGTTCTTGTTTTAATTTAAAATACTTTGTTTAGGACTATGATAAGAGAGCTGCTCTAACTGCTTCAACAATGGCCCATGAGCTTGGTCATAACTTTGGTATGAAGCATGATGAATCCAGTAAGTGAATCCTCATTTTATCAATTAGGTCGAAAACATTGGAGACGGTTGTTGAATGTTGTGATACTACTGTTTCTAATCCTGTATGATATGTGTTTTCAGATTGTGAATGTCCAGATCCTAGCAGCCAGTGCGTTATGAGTGCATCTTTAAGGTTTGTTGGAAGTTTAAACATTAAACATTTACACCACTGAATAACAAAGGCTTACATAAATCATCAGTTACCAGATGAAACTATATTAACTCTGTGCTAATGAAAGGATGCTGTTGTGCCCAGCTGTGAAAGAGTGACTGGTACACATCACATCTTGTGGACCAGAGTCAACTTTGCCATTTTGCAAACTAGCTTGTATATGATAACCTTGTCTACGCAATTCTTTGTCATGAGGATCTGATCAAATATGCAATTACTATATTCAGTGTCTTTCCTCTGTAGTGGGGCTGCTACAAGATTCTCATCATGCAGTTTGAAAACTCTGAGAGAAACATTGAATGGTGGTTATGGAACATGTTTGTTTGATGAACCAATAAAGGTTTGATATATCTTTGTTTATTTGCTAATCGTCTTGAAAAACTGAGCAAGAAATATGACCATGCAGAGCTGAGGCTCAAGTCTCAGTTAATTCCTCTTAATGTATTTTGTAAAACCATCTCCTTGTATTCAAGTAATATACTTTTTGGTTAAGAGGCTAGCAAGATTGAAAACTAGTTGCATCTAGTGTAAAAGTACGGTGCATGCATCAGTATGACAAGGGTATTGTGTTTTTGTAGCATTATGGTGATCCAGTTTGTCGTAATGGTGTCGTGGAAGAGGGTGAAGAATGTGACTGTGGGACACAGGAAGTACGTCATGTTATATATTAAAGTTGCGTGCAGAGATGAATCTTCAGTAGCTTACTAACGTATTACTGAACTTTTATTTCATTAGGAATGTGACCATTTTAAACAACACTGTTGCAATACAACAACTTGCACGCTTATACCAGGAGCTGCTTGTGGTCATGGTGAATGCTGTGATAATTGCCAGGTGAGTCAAATTATGAAGACACTTACTTCTGCATGTTTTTCATTGTTTTTTTTTAATGTCCAACGTTTAAATATCTTGCAGTTTAAACGAAGAGGAGCATTGTGCCGAGAGCAATACAATGAATGTGATCTTCCAGAATTTTGCACCGGAGATCACGGAATGGTAAATATTGATCCGTTTTGTTGTTTAATCATTATCAAGAGTTCGAAATTTGATGCTTATTTGCATGGTCCCTGGTGTGTTTAGTGTCCCGAAGACACCCATATTCATGATGGTCTGCCGTGCGAGACACACCAAGATGTAAGTTTAATACTAGTCATTAGAGAAAACATCCTTGGAAAATTAACATTTTGTAAACTGAAGATATGGAACTTGGGGTTTATGGTTTCAAAATTTCCTCACCGATGTTTCAGGGTTATTGTTATGGCGGTGTTTGTAGACATCTTCTTCTGCAATGTCAAAAGCTTTTTGGGAACGGTAAGTATTGCTTCCTTCAATTAAACAATTTTCAGAAATATAAAGGAGAGTTACAAAGATATCTTTTTCTTCAAATGTTATTATAAAAGACTGTATATTTGTTTCAGATATTAAAGTCGGTGGCGACAACTGTTTTCATCGGAATACCGAAGGAGGCTCATTTTATAATTGCCCAAGTGAACCTGGAAAGTACATTCGTTGTGCTGAGAAGTAAGTGAATATATATTAAGACACGTTTACACTTGCGATTTTGCATCTAAAATTGATCTTTGGCTAAACTGAAGGCCTTCCTGCCTTGTTGTATGCATGGAATCGAGTTCAAGTTTTGGAAAATAAACCGTTTATGTTTTCATTCGTTTTAGGGACGTGAAGTGTGGTAAAATTAATTGTTTATCAACGAGGAAAGATCATAGACCAATTCAGGGACAGCAACGATACCATCATTGGATTTCATTCAAGACAGGAGAATATTGCATGTAAGTTTGATATCACTTCAGGTAATCTTGCGCTTATATCGTAGCCAATCACCGCTCAGAATGCTTTTAGAAATAGAAATCCATTGTACAGAATTTAACGGATTAGATTTTTCGACATTCGTTGTTTTTTTTTATGAAATAAGCCGAAATTTTGTGATTATGTTTAGTTATAAAAACTATAGCTCTGACATAAATTGTTGCTGGCTTTTGTCGTGGTGTATAATTTCATGTCCAGAATGATTCTAATTCTAGTCCTTGATTCTAATCCTTTATTATAAGTACAGTAGTTGGGTAAGGATTAGGATCAGGTTTAGGATTAAAACTTAAAAAGTTGGAATTATATTCGTGGATTCTGGACATGAAATGATTAGCAAGAAAGATCTGAAGATCTGAGTTTAATTTTGTAGAGTTCCCGCTTCCACGTGGGGTGATGGTCTTGATCCAACATATGCTGATGATGGAACACCGTGCTCCGAGGGAAACGTATGAATTGCTCAACATTTTCTGGTTAAGCTTACTCTGGGTTTTTGCTTTAAGAAAATCTGATTCCTCTTCGTTCTTAGATGTGTTTGAAAGGCAAGTGTATTCCTGTTAGTGAGGCCATCCCAGTCTCCTCCTTTGGCAAGTGCACGAATAATTGCTCTGGAAATGGGGTAGGTAACATTCTATGGGTAGCAACCTGTAGGTGATACTCTATAGGTAGTAATCTCAAGTTAAGAAGTTTGTTTTACTAGTACAAAGTTTGCTGTAGTTGAAGTTGTTGTTTTTTCTTGTTTATTAGATATGCAACAACAAGGGTAACTGCCATTGTCATTCTGGCTTTGCATGTCCAGACTGTAATAGTATTGGGCCAAATCAGGGGGGTAGTGAAGACAGCGGCCAGGGATGTCAACTATCCGACAAGAAAGATTCTAGTTGTAAGTGTACATCTGACTTCAACTAGAGAAGTCTTTTTTTGTGCAAGTAGCTACTATCAGTTGTGATAATCGTGTCGTGTGTGGGACGAGTTCACCTTTCTGATATCAATCCCAGATCATTTTATTACAACATTTTAGCCAGCACCAGGATCAATGTCGCTGCCGCTGTTCTTATTCCGCTGTTTCTGTTGTTGTTGATCGGGATCGCTATTCTTTGTTACTTCAAACGAAAAGCAATTCAAGAACGTCTTCGCCATTACAAGTTTGTTCGAAGAACCACGTGAGTTTTACTCGTTCGTTTTTCAAATGAAAGAAAAGAATGATAAAACAGAAAGTACGATCGAGCTATCGAGGGTTCTGATGTGTGACAGTTTTAATGTAAACCAATCTATTTAATGATGTTTTAGGAGTCTCTCCTCAAACAGTCAACCTGCAAGAAAATATCAAGCTTCGGCTGGTTTGCATGCTGGACTCATTTCTGAACCAAGCCCCTCTCCTCAGCCAGCAGGACAGGCGGCTAGAAGGGCACCTACAGGTGGGTGTAATCTAAACATTGTCATATATTTGTGATATTAAATGTCGTCATATTGAATGTTTTAGTTCCGATTAAAAACAACGAATCATACCCGCAAGTTCATAAACCTCCTCAAAGACCACTCACACAACCTGTTGCCGCTGCACAACCACTAAATGTTCATCAGTCCGTGGCGTTGTTTCCACCAAGTGCTGCTCCAGTCTCTCAAGAACCTGCTAAAAAACGGCCACTCCCTCCTACTCGTCCTTTGATAAAGTCAAACCTACCTAGAACGCCATCCGCCCCACCAGCCGCACCAAATAACAGACCTCGACTACCACCCTCTCAACCACCTCCTAGTTATAAATCTGTGCCAGACATCCCCGCTGCCGCAGAAGAAAAGACTACAGCACCCCCGAAAAAAGGGCCGAGCGCGCCGGTTCCCAAACCGCGAAACATCGCCCCCCGGCCGGGCCACCAGTCAGTCCCACTTTTTAACTTGCCTGAAAATGAAAATGACGGGGGGTTTGTGAAGCCGTCAGCTGTCAAAGCTACGCAAGCAAAACCATCACCGCCAAGAAGACCCAGAACAAACGAAAATCAAGACGATAATCGCGTAGACTTTCGAGCTGCCCTCAAACCTGTTCCCAAACCATGGGAAAAAACTTAATCAAATATTTCAATATACAGGAATTTTAATGTTGGATATTTTAACAGAAACACTTGCCAACATTACGAGCTGTGGCTATCTTGTCAGTTGTCCGTTCAAATTATCGAAAATTAATGGTCAACTCCCATTGCAGCTAAAACAATTTTGATTGAAGAAAAACAGCGTTTTTAATTTTAACATTTCTATGTCATGTTTGAAGAAACAGCTGCCAGTCTTGCTGACCACTTTTAGACATAACGAAGCCTCTCCTTTTTATTCAAATATATAGATAAAATGGGGGAGTTTGGCAGCAGAAATCTGCAAGCAATATTTGTGTTTATATTTTATCAATTTTACCATGATTATCGACATCCTGATCATTCAGAAGAGCAAGGCTGTAATATAATATACTATTTTTCAATCATGGATTGGTGTTTACCTACCTCCTTGTATTTTAACAGTGGTTTACTGTTCCTGGATTTCATTTGTAGCGTAAAATCTAGCTTGTTGTCATGAGCTTCAGTATGATTCCTTAATAATTATATCCACACACTTCAACTTTTTTGTTCACAAGATGAGGACTTGGCGTTAAAGTATTTTGCGCCATCTTCACACCGACAATCACGGAAAATATTGAAGTGGATGATTTGAAATATTTGTTATGTCATTCATTGCTTGCCCGGGCTGCTGTGATTTTGTCCAGGCAATGCTAATAATAGCCTCATTCTTGCCATAAATCATAGTTGGGATAAGATCTTTGATCTAGCCGTTCCTGTAATCCATCATTTCATGCCTAATTAGCAAATCCAGAGATAAAAGGGAACTTCTAGGCGATAAAAACTATAATAAATACATAGATATAATAAAAATCATACTATAAATGCATTTGTATGACCTATCCACTTGTGTTTTATCATAGGTTGGCTAAGGTAGCCCAATGGTTTTATTGAAACAGAAGATGAATGCTAGTAGTCTATCCTTGATATTTGATAATTTCATAATGCAGTTAACTTTAAGCTCGTTTATTTTTTATTAATGTTACGACATCCAGAGCGAATAAAACTGCCAATTAAATCTATCTTTTATTTTAAATCCTTTGAAAATATCGTATTGCATCGTCAGACGCAAGGATTGAATCAGAGGACACTTCCATAGATTGAATGAAAAGTGAAAAATAAAGAATGATGTAGTTCTTCGTCGCGCGCTACAGAAGTGAAAGGTCATTGCAATGGTCACGCAGTTTTATCGTTCGTATTTCAAAGTTAAGACCCTGAGTGCAGTGTCTACAAGTCCTTTCACATATGTCTTTGTTAATACAGTCTACCTATTTAACCTCTGGGTGCAGAGGATTACACAGTTTGTCATAGCGGTAATGATATAGAAGCACAGGTCAGATTACTAGATTTCACAAAGACGCGTCATGGCAATACACGGCATCAAATACACTATCCGGTATAACCCTGTTTGTTAGCTTATGTTTTGACTTTATTAAATATTCATGTCTAGATCAGGCCTACATGAATATGGAAATGATCTTTAAAGATGCAAATATCACACAACGTGTCTTGTTATCAACACAAGGAGACTATAGTCAGTGTTCGCGGGTATGAGGCTGACCAAACGAAAGACATTTGCTTCTTTACTTTTCTGTGGTTTGGCATTACTTACTCTTTACCTTTACTTGCTGTCTCGCAATGAAAACTGCTCGTCTGGCTTACAATGTCTCGTTGTTGGGTGAGTTTGTGTATAGTCTGCTAGTCTTGTAATCAGTCTTACATTTGTTGTATGTTATTCAAGGCATCATGCAATGTATGGCAACCGTCTGTGAATTCCTTTCGTTTATGACAACGTCAGTGACCTTACAGAGTATCGTGTTAAATCTTTCAAATGTCGATTTAAAATAGGACAGGAACTTTGAATATATTTTGTTGAGAGTATAGACATCCCGTGTTTAATATTACGTCAAGTGAGTGTGGTGCGAGCAATGGAAGGTAATTGATACTTCAAAGTGCTGACAACTACTTTTGTCGCAATTATACGACTAAAAACAATCACACTTCGATTCTACGCATTCAATTTCGAGAAAAATCCTTAACAGGATTTTAGTTGATCAAAAATATCAAGCATCTCTTGTTTGAAATAAGGAAAAATGCAGTTTGAAGACTCAGATATTACCTGAATTTTTATCTCGTTCAGACTTCTTGCTGTTAAACAATGGTGGATTTTCGCTCCATGCTGCACGAACACTATACAATATGACAGCGGGGTTGAATCCATATGTCTCAAAAAGAATTTTTTGAATGATTTTGTCTTTAAGATAACGCAGTTTGCTTATTATAGACTCGTTGGATTCGCTGAAGGTTTGATTCGAAGCCGGACATGTCAAACATAGAATTCAGTTTGTTTCATTTACCTCGGATTTTATCAACAGGCATTGATATTTTCATCAGTCAAGATTAAATATTTGAGAAGCACTTGACGACTGTTTTGGAATGCGGGATTTCCGATTTTGCCTTGTGGCATCCTGCTAAATAGTTTAAAATAGCGTCAGCTTAGATCTATCTATTTATCTCTTCCTTCTGTGGTTTTCTTGATCAAATATTGATCATGTAAGAGTTACAATCTGCTGTAAAGTTATCATTGCTGATTGGGTAATTTTGAAAAATTGGCAATGATATTGTACTAATTACTCGTTAAAGGGTAATTGATTATACTAATTACTTCTGGACGACATTTTATATCCGAAATATTGTATCATTCTTTATTTTATTAGCGATTGATGATTATATTTCTATTTGTTCTCTCAAGTATCCAAGCAATATATAATTTAATACGGTCACAGCGTATTTGCCAATACGCCTCAGTTTCTGTTAGTTTGTTTGTTGTAACCGTCGTAACATCAATAGAGAAGCTGAAGGATTTGAACGGGTTCCAAGTGGCCCACAGGTGTTTCCGTTTTCATATCTTTTGAGATATTTTTATACAAGTTCTCTTTGGTGATCCTCAGTGTCGGAGACTTGCATTAACGAGTTTTTAATTTAGAGGTTCTTATTGAGAGACATCTTCGGTCATCTCATCCACAACTCAACAATACATTTTGCATCTCACCTTTGAACTCATCTGTGAGATGTGTCTAGGCAGTAAATTAGGATTTGTCTAACCTGTGAAAAAAAATACGCTTTATCTGTCATCATTAAACTATACCTTATTGTTTTAGCAACCAACGTACAGTCAGTTCAGATGAAAGTCCAGCAATCTGCGTCCTGCCTCAAATCGACCCATTTCACGAGTCTGTCAAACATTTGATTAAAAACTATCCAAATGATATCACTGCCGTTTGTGGAAAACCAAGTAAACTTTTTCAGCTGGTCAATGGGAGAATAAAAATTCGTGATAATTCTTTGTTGACAAATATTTCAGAAAGAACAGCAAAATATGAAATTGTGATTCGTCCTCGAGGCGAAGACAACAGAATTATTTATAGCGAGAAGGTTGCCATTTCCGCTGGAGAAGGTCAAAAAATTGACGGCGATTTTACGAAAGTGAGTTACAAGTTAAAAAATGGCAGTAGAAGAGTTGAAATGTTTGCACAGATTGTGGAAAAACTGCACGTCTTTAAAAGAAAATCGAATCCAAATAGATTCAGGCCTAACGTTGTTTTAATGGGTTTTGACTCAACTTCAAGTGCAAACTTCAAACGGAAACTAAAAAGAAGTTATAAGTATTTAGTTGAGAAACTTGATGCGTTTGTCTTTAATGGATATATACACCATCATTGGGGACGGAACGACACCAGCATTAACTGCAATTTTAACTGGTAATTTACTCAGTTCAATGTTGGCAAAGAATCACACACATCTGGAATCATGGCCATGGGTGATGAACAACTATAAACGAAGAGGATATGTTACGTTATACGCTGAAGATGATCCACAAGTTGCAAGTTTTGTCAAATTAGGAAATTTTCGTCATCAACCAACAGATCATTATATGAGGCCTTTTTGGTTGGCTGCCGAGCGCCACGGTATTGATGGGAGACGCAGAAATAAGTCAAATTCATTGCAACGCGTTTGTTTGAACAACGAACCTTTACATAACATTACGTTCAATTATTTGAAGGATTTTCTGGCAGCTTATAAAGGACTTCCCAAATTTGCCTTTCCCTTTTTCTCGTATCTTCCCCATGGAACTGGAGAGAAATTGAGCCTCGCCGACAATGACTTTTTATTGTTTTTGAAAAACTACGAGAAATATCGCAATAATAGCATCTTGATAACCTTTGGTAAATGATTATTTTTATGTTTTATCATTAGCACGTACAGTATCCATCTCTGTTCTGTTGACAAATTTCCACTTATTTTAGTATCCTCTTTTATTTTATTTAATTTACCTTTCTTTTCTCCGAGGGTTGGTAAGTGGTTAAATAAAACTTAGTTTTATAGTTTAGCAAAGAAAGAAACTGGAATACCTCGGAAACTGGAAGAAAAACCTCGAAGCACAGCAGTAAACTGACCATGCAACTAGTCGCAATCAAGTAAACTGACCCTGTCATTTTTGTATTCAGATATTATCTCCTGATTCTTCAACCATCTTCACCCAACAGGCGACCACGGAGCAAGAGTCGGAGCCATTCGCAACACAATTCAAGGCACTTATGAAGAACATTTACCATGGTTATCTATAGTAGTGCCACCGTGGTTTAAACAAGAATTTCCAGAACTGGCAGAAAACATGATAGCCAACCAAGACAGAATTGTTTCAGCATTTGATCTCCACCATACTCTACACCACATTCTCAACCTGGATCGACAAGCGCCTGGTACAAGTTTGATGTCTGAATTAAATCCACTACGAACATGTTATGACGCAGGTACAATCATCTTCTAATTTCTATGTCAGAAGTCAGCCTCGTCTTTTTCGAATCTTAATCTATTAATTTTTTGAACGTTATTTCAACTTCTATTCTATTTAAAAATATCCAGGTGTGACGGACGAACACTGGTGTCCGTGTATAAGGTGGGAACCAGAAGATGTAAACAGTATTCCAATAAAGAAAGCTGCGCAGCTTTTGGTCAATCATATCAACAAAGTTATTTCGAAAAAACAAGTCTTTTTAAACTTGTGCTTCACCGTTTATCTGGTTGAAATCATTCTGGGCGCAAGATCCAAGACAGGAAATATTGTTTATTATCAAGTAATCATTAAAACTAATCCAGGCGAAGGGCAATTTCAAGCAACTTTCAGATATTATCCTGATTCAACTCTCGTGATGACATCACACGTTAGTAGGACAAGTATGTATGGAAGAAACCCGTGGTGCTTGGATCGGAAACATCATTTTATGAGGAGATTTTGTACATGCAAAATAACCTACAAAAAACACTCCAAAAGGAAAAGAATCGCTGAAAAAACGTGAACATGTAAAAGAGATTTACTGGGTCAACTTGGTAAGGAAGGGAGTGTATAAATCGCAGTCTTTATGTCTGTATAAAGCATTATATTGAGTCAATATATTTGTAACTTTTTTAATTTTTATACTTGTACAGGTCAAACTTGTATTTTACATTCTAATCACTTTGCTACTGGTACAAAAAAAGGAAAGACTGAACATTTTCTAATTGAAAACACATTATTAAAAATTGACAATTTACTATTTGAATTAGTGATCGCAGAAATGTAAAGTATGTACAACAAAACATTAGTCAACCCAGTGGGTATGTCATATGTCAAAAAACACAAGATCTGTAAGCAAGCCAGCGCAAGAGAATGTATGATAAATCACTATAATATGTCTCTAGTTTGAAGTTTACAGTCTGTACATTACATGTACACTACACTTCATTAAATTGGTATTATTGTGAGGAGAAATAAAACTCCCATAAATAATGTAAATAGAATAAGTGGTGTGAAGAAGCCCCATAATGGCCACAATGCATATGTGCAGCTAAATAGAAAAGAAATTTCTTTATTAGAGACTTTTGGAATGATTTTAAAATAAGTTAGAGAGGGACCAACTAGAGAGAGACCTAATTAGAGAAGTATTAGGAGGGGGCTTGCTACAGAGCGTATTTTTAGAGATGGGGGCTTATCTGAGAAATGACATATTTGAGCATATATTCAAAGAACATCTCACCAAATCATTCCAGCAATGAACGCTGCAGTTGCCACGGGCACTGCAAATGGCGCGTATTTATCCCAATCCTGAATATTCTTATAATATGAGCACCAAAATATGAGGTAAAAGGCTATTGTAAAATTCACCAACAAAAAAACACAACCAACATAGAGCCATAACCTAAACAATAGCATTCAACGTATTATTGATAGAACTAAACAACGAAAGCGTTCGGTTAAACGAAGGCTGGTTTTGTACTAGGAGCAGTACCTATAAACTCTAGGGTCAATTTTCACTGCCATGTAAAAATCTGTGTAATAAAAAACTCCCATCGACGCAACCATCCAGAAGACCATGTGAATATTTAACATGGCTTTTGACTTATTCTTGGGATCATTCTCTTCCAAAATCTTTCTACCTTCTTTCTGGAGTCGATCTGAAATTTCCAAACATACTCTCAGTACAAGCGCTGCATGGATAGACATTACAAATCACGATACACTCTCCATCATTCGCAAGCTTACCATCTAATTTTTTATCATATTCTCCGCGACGATGTTTAAGAAATGCTTCTTTTAAATTTTCATCCAATTTGAACGCCATCTTCGTTTCTTGTTTATGTTGTTGTTTGCGGATACTTCATGTTAAGATGATTGTGAGATGACTGTCCTCAGCCTTTAAATTACTCGTGATTTTCTTGTCATTATTCAACTTTAATAATGACTATTTTTCTGTATTTTTTTAAGACGTAGCCATTCTTATCATGAAGAGCGTTGTTGTTACAAGCTCTTTACCAGATATTGTATATTTCTGGGCGGATGAAGAATTCAAGTCGCACTTGAATAGTGTGTTCTTGAAAGACGGTGTCATCAGCCAAGATGATGATCCAACTAACGTTGACTTGAATGCTGTCTTGCAGTATTTTTCACCTCTGATCTTGTCACAGAGGTGTATGAAAAGAGAGAATTGTGGTTACAAATCAATCACCCTTGGAAATGGCATTATCATTGTCATTGATCAGGTATGCAAATCTTTACTAACCTAATACCTGTGTAAAATCATTCCTTCTAAGAGGTAACTTGAGATGATACTGCAGAACAATCAAGGTAATACTTCTACAACATATAATTTGAAATTCTTCACTGTTTAATCGACAGAGAGATGACTATGTGTATCTTACTCTAAATGGTGATGGACAAGAGTCTGAGGAGTTTTTGAGGCGGAAACTCAGAGTTTTTCAGTGCCTCATAAGTTTTCATTTTGGACCAAATACAGAACTTTTGAAACCTGAAAGTAGAGAGGTGCGAAAAGATCTGTGGGAATCTCTGAGCCATATTTTAAAGACATATTGTTTTCTTTGCTCTCAACAGCAAGGTTTTCTCGTTGAAGCGAATGAAATGATTCAAGTAAATCAGCGTGTGAATGAAATGAGTATTCATTTACTTGAATCTGTCCTAAGCAAAGCAAACAAAGAAGGGGATCCACAAGCTAAACATGCCATGCTTTTTGTTAATTCAAAAGTTCTTGCCCTCTACTCACAGTAAGTAGATATTTTGCACAGTACCCAGTGGAATTTGAGCTTTAAGATAAGAAATATTTACTCAATGTCTAATATGTACAATTTTCATTTTCAAGCAATAATGCAAGTAAACTTCAAGCTCCTGATATCATGTTGCTAACAACACTTGTTTGCTCCAAGTTTTCTCTTCCTCCTCAATCAATCCCCCTCTCTGCAAACAGAAGTCCTCCCCCCCTGGCACATGATATTATCAAGTTTGACAATGTTCAAATCAAAGCAAAAGACTGTCCTTTTGAGAACACAGATCAAGACTCCAGCTCACCATTTGGGGAAGTAAGATCAACCAGTTTTGAGATTGTATCTCCTAAAAACACAACTCCCTCGATAGAGGATACTACAGATACTACAGATACTACAGAGCAAGGCTCTTCAAGAACAGAAAACAATGAAACTTTTGAAGATATAAATAAAGGAAAGTGCTCCACTGATTCCGTAAGTTCCGAAAGGTACTACACCCCAGAGGAAGATGAAAAATTTTTCTCAGAAACTACGGTAAGTTGACCCTTACCCAGGACTATAATGTAAAGCATGATACATAGGCATCATTTTCCGCTCTGTACGGACTAAGTCTCAACCATTGCTCGTATACATTGTGAGATTTCAGTTAGAAAAGGCAAGATGAACAAATAAACGAACTAATTTTCGTTTCAGGAAAGTTTTGTAACGAGCAAAACAAGATTATGGGATGAAACAAGTAACAGCAGTAACAGTTTTGTTGATCAGGATAATGAACTGTTTCGTAGACGAATATTCTTGAAACCAAGACCTGGGATCTTTGTTCCACATACAGTACATGGGCTACAAATATCTCCTGGAACAGTCCTGGTCATCATCAGTGAGGTAATGACTCCCAGAACAACACTCACAGAACAAAACGACGTAAAAACTTGAAGGTTCAAAAGACAGTTTTACCTCGTCGTCACTTCCGTCATAGGACAATTTTACCTCGCGTGTACAATTTTATTTGGTCGCTTAGCGAGTATATTCTAGTTAATGTCCATTGTATTATTGCAGGTGAGGAAATGTGAAATTGCGAAAGAGATTTGTAGCTTGATTTCGATTTTATCTGGTTTGCTTGAAGTCAGAGTGAAAGATATGGCAAATATGATGGAGAAGATGGAACAACATATGAAGAAAATTACTGAAGTCTTCAAGAACAAATCCGCACAAGCCAAGGAGGTTTTTAAGAACTATAGTTTAAAAATTTAATACTCCCCTGTTAACAACTACACTAATATAATCGTTTTTGGAAATTTGTACTCTAGAAAAGCGTAGACGTGCGCGTGAACGCGCTCCGACAGAAATGGGAGAAAGTAAAGTCAAACGACTTGCTCAGTTATCTGCAAGGAAAAGAACGACAATTGTCAGGGAGACTTGAAGGAGCTCTTGTAGACATGTCCAGAGGTTTGCTGATGTTATTTGGGACTGCTTTTTGTGCTGGCGATCTAATGAAAGGTCCGTCCATCAGCATTCACCATGCAAAAACGTTGTACAGAATACAAGAAATGGTCCAGATGGAGTTGAAGGATTATAAGGGGTTTTTATCAGTCAAAGGAGAACGTAATATCACCATGACAAGATATCCTTTTTTTCACCTTTTTGCATGGCTTTTAGAAACCCTTTGTTAAGTCTAACCACCTCTATGTTAAGTCTGTTTTCACTTAAAAACTATTCGGGAAACATTCACAGTTCTTCTGGTATGATGCCTCGGAAAACTAATCATTTTCAACTAAAAATGATGATTTTCGTTGACTAATTTTCAGATATTTAGAAGAGTTTCCAGGTCTTATTCATTTTATCTACGTTGATCGCACAGCCAATCGTGTGATCGCGCCGTCGATAAACACAGACGTTTCTCAAGTATTCAACCATCGTGATGCTGCACATTTTATTAAACAGAGTGTTTGGGATGGATGGAATTACATACAGACATTTCTTGTACAAGGTTAGTTTATATATTTCATTATTAATGCACAATCATTATGAAGAAGTTGCCAAATTCCCTCTAATGACAGTTAGTTTCTTTCAAAGGTTACATGAATGTTTCTGTCCGTTATGGAGATTTTCTCTTCACGTACATTTTATGGTTTGAAGACTCTTCGGGAAATCAGAGAAACGTCAAAGATACCAATGCATTTGTGGCTGAATTCCCAGAAGCTCCTGGAATCATTGGCTCCTACTTTTACAGGTACAAACTTTGATGGTGTTTCGCGCGATATCCCCGCATTTCAGTTGCAGAATTCTGAATTACTCGCGTTGAATACGTCATATTATTTATTATTCGTAGTGAGTTAAAGCGACGCTGTTTTCCGTCCACCCCCCAAGACAAGATTTGTTGTCACGAATTGTTCTGTATGCACTTGGGCGTGTTACCGCTGAGTCAAGCAACAGGGCATTCTCGCAGGCTCGCTGCCATGATGTGGGAGGTCTCGGGTGGAGCGATGGTGGTCCCATTACTTGCGTAAACATTTTTCAAATTACGTGCGATTTATAAAGCGATTACGCATAAAAACGCGAAAAAAACGGTCAAATAAATTGGCAGGCACTCTATTTTTAAGGCCAATTTTTTATGGCAATAATTTGATGTGGAACTTTGCCAGTGGGTTGTCGTTTTGGCTTGTTTAGGATTCGTCTAAGACGTTTACACAATAATGATATACAACGGTCAATATCATAATATGAAAGAAATCTGTGCTGACGTAACAAATATAGTAACTAGTCGAGTATAAATTTCGATAGAATAATGAATCTGTATTATGATCGTTTGTAAAATGAAGTGATTACGAAAACCACTGGGTATTTTTATTGAATACAAAACAATGATAATTCCGAAACCATTTCTCCACGTTTTTACCTTGAACTTATTAGACCGGAATATTCTGGATGACGTCATTGTTTATTGTTTGCCCTTTATTAACCTCAAACAAAAGAAAATTTCTAAACACGTCTGTTTTCATATCATGTGACAAACCCGTGCGGCTCACATGAGGAGACACGTCTTTATAAGCGACGTTGGGTATTATCATAAACTAATATGTTTATGAACTTGGAAGACCTTTCGTCTTTCGCGTGAGCAAGTTTCTTTCGAGACGCACTTTTATTGTGAACTTTGTGTGATCGTGTCAAGCAATTTCTTCATAATGGCGATGATATACTGGTGTCTAGCGCTCGCCTGTATTTACGTGGTCCAAGGACGCACACCTCAGATCTTCCTTAAAAGACCAGCGTGTTATCTCAACCCAGAGCTGGACAAGAACAGTAAAGAAGTAATGTATGTCATTTTGATTTTTTATTGCATCAAATCTAGAAACCCTGGGCCCTGGGGAAGGAAACAAAGTGTGCACTGTATCAGTTACATCACTGTATCATTCAAATTTTCGCTCGAAAAACAGTAATGAAGCGTTCATCGCTAAAGTTTTCCGCCTAAAGTTTTTAGAAGGAAGTGCGACAAAAGGGCACGAGTTTTGCGGCATAATCTCAATTCATTTTAGCGTAGTTGCCGCAGTTGCAAATTTTGCTTTTGTGAAAAGATCGTAGTATCGTATTTCACTTTACGTATAAATATCTTGACCTTCTTGTGTTATTAACATAATGCCCCGACAACCCCTCTGGATATTGATTTCCTTATATAGTAGGGTATGATAAGGGTGGGATATGGCCTGATCACGCTACCCTCTTGGTAGGAGCCAATAGTAACAATACAATCCTGATTTCTGACAGAAAAACACCAAGGCCTCATGAGTACATCAATATCAAAGATCTACCAGCCTCTTTTGATTGGAGAAATGTTGATGGACAAAACTACGTGAGTGTAACACGTAATCAACATATCCCACAATACTGTGGTTCATGCTGGGCTATGGGAACCACAAGTGCATTATCTGACCGAATCAACATCCAAAGAAAAGGAGTGTGGCCTGTGAACTACCTTTCAGTTCAAAACGTCATCGACTGTGGTAAGTTAATTAAACGAAAATGAACTTTAATAAGTCGTGGCATATGTAGCGGAATCCCTGACCAAAATGGTACCATTTATTAATTTTCTAGGAAATGCAGGCTCATGTAACGGCGGGAATATGATTCCTGTGTATGAATATGCACATACTGATGGGATACCTGATGAAACTTGTAACAACTACCAGGCAAAAAACCAGGATTGCGATACGGAACATCAATGTAAAACATGCTCACATTCCGGCGAGTGTTACGCTATAAAGAACTACACTCATTATAAAGTTAGCGAGTACGGTAAGACAGATTTTAATGCTTCCTTGTGGTATTTCTTGAGGTGTTTAATATACAACAATGCAATGTACAACAAACTTTGTTGTTCAGGTCGTGTTAGTGGTTACGACAAGATGAAAGCGGAGATCCACGAGCGAGGTCCCATTGCTTGTGGGATAATGGCAACTGTGAAGTTGGATAAATATCTTGGTGGAGTATACTCAGAATATAACAAGGATATTTTCATCAATCATGTCCTGTCTGTGGTGGGGTGGGGCGTCGAGGACGGTGTCGAGTATTGGGTTGTCCGCAATTCCTGGGGGAGTCCCTGGGGGGAAAAAGGATGGTTGAGGATTGTGACGAGTGCATATAAAGGTGGTCAAGGAAACGACTATAATCTTGGCATCGAGACCGGTTGTGCCTTTGCTGTTCCTATTATTCCCCCTGAACTGACCGCAAAATGATTTTTGGATTACCTGGATTACCACTGCTAAAGAAAGGCCGGAAATTTGGACTGAATATGTAGCAAGTTTACAACTAATATTGAACTTTCATTTTGACCTGAAATATTGAAATAGATTGATTTAAATACCAAATTATAATAACTTTTAAGTTTCTTCCATTTTTTTAATACATTTCCCATTTCAACGTAACTTTAATTATTTTTAAAGCACGGGTAGACATATTTACACTTTATGTTGTGTTTTTAAATACAACCAGTTCATACACCCATTTCTAACTTAAAGTAAATAATATAAATCGATTAACTTACGCAATTTTTTTAGACGAAAGTCTGCACATGCGTACAAAAATATTTTCTCACACATACATATATATCCCCAGATATCCCCTGGTATTTCATACCCACTATAGAGTCTAATTCCCAAAACTTCATTAACGACTATTTATATCAAAGTATCAACTTTGTGTCAACTTTCTGTTTCTTTATGATGACACACAAGCACTCTAGTAAAGATGCTCCACTATACTTTATAACTACAATAATTCAGAAGAACAGCTACTAACAAACAAGTGTTATCTTAGTGCGTGAACAATCTTTCACTTGATCAATGAACGACGACAGTCCATCTGAGCTTCCTAAAATGATATTACTTTCGTTTCTTTTGCACTTTGATATTCTCCTTCGTTGCAGCCTTTATGTACCAATCATTTTCAAGCAGATACCAGACTGGTGGCCATCTCCTGGATTCCAGGCTCCTTGCCGTGTTTGCCGGAAGCTCGTTCAACGCAGCTGCGTTGACTTTCTCAAAATTGACAATGATGTAATTCTCTGTCCATGCTTTCAATTGTGTTGCGTTGTGCATCTCGGCGGCGAGAAGATATTCTGAAATAAAATGATATTTCTTAGCCTTAGGTACAGGTTCCTGCAAAGCAGTGATTTCTCTCTACGAACACCGAGGGTGGTACTCTATGCCTGGTAACTACCGGGAAGAAAAAGGTGGAATATTTGATTCCAAGAGGCAAGACCAAGGTGAGCTTGCTCTATTCGCAAACACCTGGAGACAAGGAAGAAAGAAAGGCAGAGGATTGGTTGGGAGAAGCCAGCTAGAGAGCAGAGCAGGCTGTTTCAAAACGGTCTGTTGATGATCCTAGCTGTTACCCAGAACGACCTTTAACGATGCAGTGGGATTCTGAGCTATCTAATCAAATTCCGAATATTGCAAAGTGACTCCGAAATCAAAGTTCTTGTGAGTGAAAAGTGATACCTACCAACAACAGTTTTCACATTGAATATATCCGTTTCTGTCTCTTCGACAATCAGTTTCTCATACAGAGCAACCAATCTTGGTAGACAAAAGAAATTTGCTACAGCCATTGCAGCAACCTTGTTGTCCTGGTAGTTCTTGCTTACTTCGTCAGTGTAAAGATATTCCAACACCGCTAAAAAAGCTTTCAAATTCATGTCAGGAAGTTTGACCTAAAAACACAGTGAAATCCGGTTAACTATTTCCTCTTGTGTAAACACGATAGACCTTGCGAGGATATAGTTTGACTCTTCAGTTCTTTAATTAATTTGCGCAAAAAAAGCTTGAGATATGGTTCCTTGCGTATTTCGAATATCGAACGTATTATCCGGGTTCTAATTTTCACGTTTCTTAATTAGAATAACTAGAATGCCTGATTAGCATAATTTGCATAAACTAAGACGTACATTTTGGTCACTATGTGTTCAAAAGTATGAAAGAAAATATCGTTCCAAAAATACAATTATTTAGAAATATCATTGTTTTAACTTAGTTTCTTACTATTTGCCTGTTTGCTTCTTCAAAATGACCTTCTTGAAACATCGCGGCCATCATGGGGCAACGTGACATTAATATGGCTTTGTGTGCAGGAATAATATTGTCCTCGAGGTCAAAGAAAATATCTGCAAATACGAGCTGTTTCTTAAAGAGTAAGTTTCGCATATTTTCTACAACAATCGTCTTCCACAAGATGAAACTGTTCGAGGAAACGTCTTCGCCACTTTCAATGCATTTGACAATAGTTGTGTTTAAAAATTTTGCAGCCTCGAGAATATCTGGGGTGATGTTTGATAGCATGGAACCTGAATAAAGAAACTGAAGAAGATGGTTTAGTGCATCAAAGGTAAGAGATGAATCAGTGTTGATGATTGTCACAGAGTGGCTGTCCGCATGAATATGTTGCGATTCTATCAAGCATTTGTCGTCATCCAATGATTTCATGGCAAAAAGGTTTGGCATTTTACATGCTGCTGCAGTGAGGATAGCTTTATGGGCTTTGATTTGTTTGCCCTCAACAATAAAAACCACATCGTAATGAAACTGACTTTCTAGGAGAGATGTTAAATCAGTTTGGTAGGTGGAAGGTGGGACCTCAATCGCTGGGGTTTGGGGTCGTGGGGGTTTTTGCGGCACTTGCAATTGCGGTGGTAACACTTTTCTTAGTTGCTTTGACAACAATCTCTTTGCTCTTTGGTTACAAAGTGCTGCCCGGATGATATTGTGAAAAACATCTTGCAATCCAGACATGGAAAGGACGCTGCATTCATAGTAATATGCTCCAATTTCTTGAGCAATTTGTCTACCCATTCTAGGCGCGACAATACTGCATTCTCGGAGGGTTTGAGAAAAATTTGTCCGCTTGAACGGATTCATTTCCTCTGGTGGTTGACCCTGTCTACAGTCCGACTTAGTTCCAACTAATATAATTGGCGTTCTTGGACAGAAATTCTTTATTTCATTGTACCAGAAGTAATTCACACTTTCCAAAGACTGAGGGCAGTTGACAGCAAAACACAGGGCGACAACGTGAGAATTCTGATATGCAAATCTTCGATTCTTTTGATGGTCTCCAAATGTGTCCCATAGTCGTAAAGCAACTGGGACACCATCAATGATCATGTTGCTTCTTGCTTGAATCTCAGCAGACTTGTAATACTTGTCAATTGCAAATACTGAGGGTTTGTGTGAGCCATGAGCACATTGCAGAAGTGTACGTTTAGGTTCAAGTTTAATAGATTGTCCGAGCGCTTGTGCACAAATGAGCTTTGTTTTTCCAACACCACCATCTCCTACGACCACACACTTGATGAGTTCTCTTGTTGACTCGCCATCTGGTAGTTCTAATGCCATCCTTCACAAACAAGCTAGAACCCTCAGCTTTTTTGGGTAGAATATTTGGCTCTCAAAAATCCACATTGACATGAAACATTCTTACATCTAGAATGTAAACATACATGTGTGATTTCACTTACACAAATTTACTTTTACATCTTAATGGTTAAATAATTTGGTGTTAACTAACTCGTTTACTGCAAATTGTTGCATCTTCGTGCGATATTAAGTACTTTTATATCAACAGAAAGATGGCAATATCGCATATTACGTTGCATGCGTATTGACAACGGTAATGAAAAATAAATATTTATTGGACAAAGTGGCAATTGTTTCTTACGCAAAACATACAAATACTGCAGAAATTTAAATTCAGTCTGTCTAAGACCATTATTAGCGTTTCGTAACGATTATAACAGCTTCAAAACATACAGATTTGATTTCATCTACTACAATATCGTTGACTTTCTTCCTCGAGCTTGAGATTTGAGTGCCAAAAAGCGGATTTTGTTGCAAGTGCAAGATCTTACCTAGCACGTCATTTTTAAAGAGGATTTACGGAAAGATAATAGCAGGACCGTTTCCTAAATGCATAGCAGTAGACTAACCTTGTCAAAACGTGAAATATTATGGTATTTTCTGCGCTCCAAAATCCTTTGTTTACCTCCCGGCAGCTGACATACTGTGCAAATGTAAACAATCTTTAAGAATCATGCTCAGTCCCCCCACGTCCTCCACCTAAATGTTGCGTGACTTTGTGTTCCTCATTCTGGTCACGCAAGTGACGCAAAATAGCATCAACTGTTATCTTATCATGGTGTTTATTATGGTGTTTATTATGGTGTGACCAGTGAGCGTGACTCACAAACAAAGATTCTTTTCACATAGAAAAAGTTTTATTTGCATTTGTAATCTTACATTAAATCTTGATTACATAAGATTTTGAATGTCAAAAGGTATTGTGGTTCAAATGCCATTCTTGTCTCCGCTTATTATATTCATGAAGATGTTCCGACTCTTTTTGGATTCCAGACTCCCAGACGAGCACATAGCCAAAGTCGCGACTTGTAGACTCACGGGAAGACGACCAACGTGGGACAAATCCCAGTCCTCCAGATAACACGACAGAGATTTGTTTCCCGTCTTTTTGAAGAAGTTCAGCAGACAACAAACAACGTACAGCGGTCTTATGTCGGCTCATTGCCATGAGCAGGGAACTGGATCTAGTATCAATAAGTAGTATGTGTCCACCCCCCGTCCCCACCCAAAGAATATCATTTTGTATCAACATACTAACAACGCGCATGCCTCGGGTAGAGTTCTCGATTGTCTCCGAAATCGGAAAATCATCACAGTTCACAACTGCGCGACGTTCCTTTGACTTCATATTCCACAACTGAATTTTTGTGCTTCCTTTCGTGGAAACCCAAATGCCATGTTTATCAACTATGATATTCGACACTAGTCCTTTGTGCGGATCAGCATCAGTGGATACGCTCCAGTGGGATTCAGGGAGCATGTCAGGTAACCCTAGTTGAAACACAACGATATTATGTCCAACACCACAGAGCAGTTTCTTCGAGTATTTGGTCAAAGCAAAACACAACATTGGAACGTCACGACAACAAACTGAGCCTCCAATATCTATGATTTTCGTTCCTTTGGGTGGGCTTCTGAGATCCTCAATGCTATACATCGCTAGTTGGCCATTTGCTAGTCCTGCAAACACACGATCAACACCTCCTACGCATGCGTGAAGCAAACAAACAACAACGTCTGGGAGTTTGCTCATGGCGTGTGTGAAACGTTCTTTGGCAGCATCATACACCCAGATATGACCAGTTTGTGTTCCAACGAGGATGAAGTTTTCACCAACTACGGTCAGGCATATGATTCGACCATCTTGCAAAATGGTTCCTTTACAACCCTAAACAAAATTAGTACAAAGTTGAATTCTTTAGACTGTATTCATTATAATTCCCTAAAATACAGCTTGTTATGCAATTACACTTCTGCTGGGAAAGATCAATTACCTTGGGTTTTGATGAGCTCATGTCAACACGTGATAGTTGTGACGTATACGTTGCTTTGTCACTGTTGTTTTTCGTATTTGTCCAATCAAAAGCTCCACTACCGATCCAGACCTCCATTTTCCTTACGCCTTCATGAAGGTAATATCGGGTTGCCATACACTCGACAGCTTGTCCCTTACACACAGCAATGTCTTGTTTCAATGAGATAAACTCCGCGTCACTAAGTCGTTGATAAACCTAAATCAAGTTGCTGCGTTTTAATTTAGTGTTGCCACCAGTTTTATTGAGCGAGATATTGATGACATCGACTGTGATATACGCTGAATATCACTAGCAGTAGGATGAAGCTTGATGTGGTTTAGCAAAGTAGGAGGATCAAGTCTTTTTAAACTCAGAACCTGATTGAATATTTTTGCAAACTTACTGAATGAGGAGAACAATTTCAGGTCTTACCTGGTCAGCAGTTGGTCTTTCATCAGGCTCAGACACCAGCATATTATCCAGCAGATCCTGCATATCTGGCCAGGGGGGTGCACCCGCTACCACAATTGGATCAATTGCTTTCCCAGTGATAACAGCCTCGTCATATTCACTACGAAATTTCAGATCACTAAACGGTTGTTTTCCTTCTGTTGCTAGTTCATACAGAAGCATTCCTAGCGAGAATATATCTGCCTTCTCGTTGTAAACAACGTCACCACGAGCCACCTTAACAAATCAGTCGCATAACGTATCAATGGATTGCTTTAAGTAACATGAAGTAATATGCCGGGTTAACAAAGCAAGGTTATGGCAAATACCTCCGGGGCTCGATAGCCGGGCGTTCCTTCAGGCGCAATAAAACCACATGGCGTTGCATATCGACAACTTCCGAAGTCAGAGATCTTAGCATTAATAAGTGAGCCCGCAGCAAGAGAAAATATGAGAATATTGTGTGGTTTGAGGTCTCGATACACGATGGTATGATGATGTAGATATTTTAGCCCATCTGCAACCTGAAACGAAAAGGGAGAGAGGTTTATGAGAGAGGTGTCCTTTCGGAGGTGTCTTTATTAGAGAGGTGTCTTTATTAGAGAGGTGTCTTTATTAGAGGGTGTCTTTATTAGAGAGGTGTCTTGATTAGAGAGGTGTCTTTATTAGAGAGGTGTCTTGATTAGAGAGGTGTCTTTATTAGAGAGGTGTCTTTATTGGAGAAGTGTCCTTATGAGAGCGGTATCCTTTTTCAAGGGATTTCCTTACCTGCATCGCAATCAAATGTTGAACACCACGACTTAATGGTTTACCACTACGAAAGATCATATTAAGTGAGCCAAGTGGAGCTAGTTCAAGAACAATGATGTAGCGGGAACCACAACACACACCAACCAAATCTATCACACTTGGATGACGTAGCTTAGCCAGAAATATCACCTCTTGTTCCAACAATAGGCGAGGATCTGATTCGATATTTTTTTGAAAAACCTACAACATAATCTATTATTTAATAAATGAACTAACGAACCATAAAATGTCATACCATAGACTATACCTTAACAGCCACGTTCTTGTGTCTATATTTCGCTCGATATACAATTCCAAAGCCTCCTTCTCCTAACACAGAAGCACGATTCTCTTCAATATTCAAATCGGTTTCGTCAATGATGAACCGCTGATCAACATGGGCCAGCAATAAGTCTGGGACCAGCTGTTTCAACGGTATCAGTCCCCCCCCGGTGCACCTCATAAATGACGTAATACAATCTTCCAGGGGAAAGTCGTGTTCTCGACAAGTACACAATGCTGTCTTCTGTATTATTGGTCGGCTGTGAAGGTGATCAATTCCACCTAAAATTGTTCAGTTAAAAGGGTGTATTCTATTCTTACTATGATCTCACAGAAAAGCCTCAGGTTTACTTACAAAGATCTGGGTACCACTCTTGCAACAACGCGTCAATATGGTAGACAAGGTTCGCCAGAATAACATGGCCTTGACGACTCTGTGGGACAAAAATATCCAAGACATTTCCAGATATCTTCACCGTAAAGTTGACTTCTGATGACCAAAATGAACAGAATTCGCCAGACCAAAATTGAATACTTGAATCCTAGTTAACAAAGACAATCTTTCGCAAAGGTGGACACTTCGGGATATCTGGGAATTCAGATTTTGCACTCGGAGTAATATCATTAAGAATCCTACTCATCTTGAGTACCTGCGCAATCTCTCTGATCAGCGGTCGTTGACCTCGAGCCATTTCCTTGCGATACAACAATAAATGTGTGACGAGACGGCGCCAGAATCCCTCGGGGGCATAGGGCATGATATACCTGCGACGAGGCATTGTGTCTGTGTTCACCAAGACGGAGGGTGGAGGGCGGTCGAGGTTTGACGTCAGTAAATACTTGCATGCGCTCACTGGTAAAGCTAGTTCAAAATCTTCCAATAACCTTAAATTAGATTACATAAGTCCTGACAAACACTCGGCATTAATTAACTTACTGGATCTGCTGATGCTGTCAGATGGGAATGTGGTAAGTAAAGATCTCTCTAGTAATAAATAACAACAATAAATAACAAAGTATCCTACCTTAGTATCTGCGGTACATGTGACTCAGAAAAATTCTCACTAACGATAAGGTTAGACAGTTTCTCCCTAGTAATCAGTTCCTTCGAGTTCACAGTGTTTACAACGAACGCCACAACTTTCGCAATCAATGCAGCTAATTTGGGAGGGGATAAGAAAAATAATTCGTTCAACTTTGCTGCAGGTTTAGCGTAATTCACCAAAAGACCTAAAAAAATACAAGAAAGATGATGAATTAAGTAAATATTTTAAACACAGATCATCTCGTAAACCTACCAGACTGACGTAAGCATACAACAGCTTCGTGTAACTCGTCATCTTTGATATCAAGTTTGGAATCTTGCACAATTTTTTTTATGGAGTTAAGATGAATGACGCCGCCATCGTTCGTTTCATTTCTTACATTGTTCTCGATTACATTCTGCAACATGATAAAGCTTTTCGGCATCTTGTGAGTGTGAATTTGATTTCCTCTCGTATTGCAAGCCATGGCAAGGTTTAACAATCGTTTTGCCAAGTCGTCTACGTCGAAATTTTTACTTCCCCCGACGAAAAACATTCCTCGTAACACCGGAATTCCTGGAAGTTTGCGAATCGTCTGGATTCTGCTCCTGATATTCTCCAAGTGTGTTTTTCTTCGCTTAAGCGAGATCTTTTCAGCATGAGTACCAACTAGGATGACTGTTGAACCAGGACATTGGTCATGGATATTGGCCAACCACGGTTTCACGTTGTCAACTTCTTCAACATTTCCACTCGAATCAAAAACGACAATATGAAGATCTGTTTCGTTCAAGAAACAACGATGAACGTGTGGACTAGCATTGGTTCCTGAAAATTCCCAAATTCGCAAGACGAGACAGACAGGCTTCTTTTTACAACAATCACAATCTCCTTTGACATCGTTGATGATCCATTTCTGGACATTAAGGCAATCAAAAACACTACTCTTTCCCTTTGACTTTCGACTTTCGTTTACACAAGGTTTCTTCAAAGTCTTATTTGAGGCCAGCAGCCGTAGAACAGTTGATTTCCCGCTTCCAGGAGGACCACAGACAACCACTTTCCTTTGCGGGTTTGAAGCAGATCTTTTGAGCCTGGCGTGAAGATGACCAACCAAATCACGAGTTCTCCCGCGCAGGAGAGAAGAATTGAGATCGAGTTTGACTCCTTTGTGTAAAAACTCCCACAGTTTACTTAAATATCCCATTTCCTCTGGTAGGATATTGATTCTAGTGTTTCCACTGATATCTAGCTGTCCTAGAGACTTTAGCTCGCCAATACCTGCAGGGATTTTTCTCAAATTATTATCACTTAAATCCAGTCGTGTCAGATAAGACCATTTTGTCCCAGCTTCACTAAGGTCGATACTTCGAATGTCATTGCCAGAAATATTTAGATCTCTCAAACGTTGACTTGTCCAATTTGACGGCGACGCGATTGACTTAAGGTTGTTTCGACTTACATCAACTGTATGAACATTGCGAAGAAACACAATAAACTTTGAAACAAAGATTGGATCTTTCTCCACTAGATTGTTGTAAGAAAGCTTTACAACCCCCAACTTTGTCAAAAACGGTGCAGAGGTATCTGGTAGGCTTTTCAAACCGTTATGCGATGCTTTGAATGTTTCCAAGTTGACTAGGCGAGACAAAAACGAAGCTGATACAGTTTCAATTTCATTATGACAAAGATTAAGGGTCTTTAGGTTGCTAAGCTTGACGTTCAGCCATGATTCACCTTCCTTAACACTTTCCAACACGTCGTCACTTGGCAAATTCTTGATGTGATTATGGCTCAAATCAAGATGTGTTAGAAACGGAAATCCTTCGCAAACACACTTGGGAAGATCTTCAATTGAGTTGTACGAAAGATCAAGATGCTGGACGAAGCTCGTGACATGATTTCCCGGCGTCTCGACGTTCTTAATGTTGTTATGAGAAAGATCAACCCACTCTAGCACTTCGCTACAGGTGAAAACACAACTTGGAAGATTTGTGAGATCATTGTGGCTTAAAACAAGTTTTCTTAACTGTTGCATGTTCTGACTCAGACCAAACGGTAGTAAAGCTAACTTGTTGTGACTAAGATCCAGGTTTTCAAGACGCGAAAGATGAAACGAAATTGTGCTTGGCTGTTCTGCTAAAATATCAACATTTGAAATCTCGTTTCTGGACAAGTCTAGACATCTAGAAAAATCAGAAATATTACAATGTTTAATATGACCTGCTATAACAAAATCATCTTCGTTCAGTTACTCACCAATGGACTGTAACTGGTACTCACCTCACCATGTTTTTTCCTGCATGAAGTGCAGAAACATTGTGGTCAATTTCAATCATGCTGCTCGATTTTGGCCGAGGGAGTTGCCGTTTCTTGTCTCTGGGAGGTGTAGATCCATGAAATTGACGATTTTCAACCTTATCCAAGAAGCTAGAAGAATCGCTGAAACATCTGTTACGAGAATGGGATGACATCATAATGGTTTTCTCCAAAAATGCTTCATTCAAATTTTCTCTAGATTGTGGTAGAACCAGACGACTGCATTCAGCGACTGTGATCATCCGTGACTCACTGACACTGTGACCCAAAGATAAACGATTGCGCGACTGTCTTCTGGATTGCTTATGGATAGGGATATCGTAGTCAAGGAAAAAATCGTCGCTTTCCAGTGAAGCGTCCTCGTGATTACAGCTAACATTGCTTCTGGTCACTCTGGGACTTTCCCCTTCTGACGTCATATCTTCTTGTACACTCACGTCTGTGGTACTAAGTTCCGTCAAAATATCCTCATCGATATCTGCGCTACCGATTGTGCTGACACTCAGACGATGTCGAGACTTTCGTATTAAACTCAACCACTGTGTTGACGCAATATGGAATGAGTAAGTTTCACTTCCTATCAACGCAGGTGCCAACCAATCTTTTCTCAGAGTGCCAAGTTTCAAACCTGGTAAAAAACGAAAATGAACAAATGATTCGTCTAATGTGAAAGAAAACGGACCTGGTTGTCTGTTAACGATCAGATGCAGGAGACAGATCCGTTGACTAAATGCATAAAGGCTTAACTCTTCAGAAAACCTTGGTCTAGGTAAGAGATTGAAAAAGTCTGACCAGTTTTATTCGTTCTAACCTGTTAATGATATGGAACCAGCGTCTTCATCATGACCCATACGTTTCAGAATAAATCCTGCCAACCTGTGACGTTTTTTATCCTCTAAACACAACGTTAACGAATGGTGCATGTCCGTTACTCCTTTCGTTAACAATAATTGAACTACATCTAAGTTGTTGGATTTGCAGGCGACGCTCAAAGGGGTATCGCCTTCTTCAACGTAATTCACGTCAGCTGATAGTTGAATAAGAAGATTAACTGCCGTTGTGTTACCAGCAGCACACATTTCTAATAACATCACATTCTTTAAATTATGTTCACAGGCCAAGACGTAGATGCAATCTGCAGCCATATTTAACACCGAATCGTCTTCAAACTTCGCGAGAATTTCAAATAATAGTTGATGCAGAGGACCCTTTACTAACTGCATGGATAGTTCGTGGTTTTCTTTGACCAGATGAAATATCATCTCACAACATTGTACCTGAATGTCACTAGAGTCTGGATGAGCTTGCATAACTCTCTTGATCTCAGGCATGAGTTTTGTAACAACATCTTCAGATGATTTTATCAACCTTTTCAGAGCGGCAAGTCCTATTGTTTGAAATTCTGGGACTTTTCTATTGCTTCTCAATAAGTTACATATCAGATTAACACATCCACATGTTAGTAAGATATCTGCAATACCCTCTGTTTTAGAAAACACACCTAAAAATTAAAATATATTCAACTACATTCGCCATCAAGCAATTGAACTTAAAATCAAATAATCATCAAAATCAGCAAGGATAGCAGACTATGATAGACAGATATCAATACTCCTGTGGTTTTCTTGTGTTTCATTTTTTAATCTTTGCTAACACTGTAGGCAAAAAAGACTCACCTAGTGTTTCAATTGTCACCTCAAGAAGTGATAAGCACTTTCTAAACTCTTTCAAAAAATGCAATAATGTAAGGTGAATTTCGTCAACAATGCACTGATAAGTTGCCAATGGATAGTCATCTGCCAATGTTCCTAGCAAGATAACTGCTTGTTTTAACACTTCACAATCCCCACAGAATACTTCAAAAATGTGACAGATATGTGACAGAATGTCCTCTTTCAAGAGCTTTGCTTTAAAATTGGAATTATCATGTGATATGTACACCAGGACTTGAAAAGCTTTAACAATCTCTGTGGTTTCCTGTGAGGTTAAGAGCTTTGACAAAATTGGCCCATCCAGTTTAGCAAATTCCTATTTAAACATATCATATATAGTTGAAGTAAACGACAGTTCAAATCAGGTGGTACAAATCTGGTGGTCCCAGCAAAGTAGGGCATCTTCCAACTTCCAAGATGGAAGAGTGCTATTAGGGAGGTAACTCTATAACTATAAATAATTTACCACAATAGAATTAAACATTTTCCACCTTTTGCAAACATGGCTCATGCGACAGGATCATTAAGATGATGCCACAAACACTCTTGAAAACAGCTGATTCATTTGAATGCCTGGCCATTGCTGAACAAATATTGCTTGCAAGGGGTAGCTGTTCTCTCTCGGTACCAATATATTGACACAAAGAAGGACGTTCTTGTAATATCGCTGCCAAACATCGACATGCAGTTTCTTGTATAGATGAAGATTCTGGAAAGGTTTCCATTGCTGTGTTTATATCTTCAAGCCATAACATCTTGCTAAAATGTTTTTCTGAAAATAAAAATTCTCATAAGTTGCAATTATTCTATTACATACCACCAGTTAATCAATCAAAAAATTATCGTTCTCATTGCCATTACCTTCTTCTTTTACATTTGCATTGTGTAGAATGTCATTTGTGATCTGACATAATGCTTCTAATGCATTAATTTGCACACTTTCCGTTGTTCTATTGTTTCTCAACTCAACCAGGAACTTCAATCCCAGATCACACATTTCATTGCTTGAATACGAGATTTCACAGTCTTCAAATGTTCCTGGTGGTTCTTCATGGATAATTTCACTCATTGTCACTCTATCAAATATTCAATGATGAAAAGCAGATTGATAGCTTAGTCATCAGTTTAGAACTACTAGCACAATAATTTCACAATTGTTATAATTTTTTACCAACACAGCTTAATGGTGATGAATGGTTATATAATAGTTCATGGTTAACGATGCAATATGTAGAATATTTTTTATAATTATGGTAGTTGGTAGACATGTGAATCAAATATGAAGTGCAATGCACAAACATTCAACGTGGATGTAAAATTAATTCAAAGTTTATGAGTTTATAATCAATGCGCAACATACATTCCTATACTTTTTTATATATTATACAAATATTTCTATATTATTTTCATATCCTCACCGCAAAATCAAAGTATAAGTTTCCGTTTTCTATGGCAGGATTTTGCGAGAAATTTGCATTCCATTCGTGCTGGATAGTCGTTGAGAAAGTATAATGGTTTAGATCGTCCCAAAGGATGGAGAAATTTAAATGAAATACAATGTAAATGGCTACAATAACTTTGATTCACTTCCGTGATTTTGGATCAAATTACGCTGTAATTTATTCAACATGGTGGGAAATTCAACTTGTAGTGTTTCAAATATTTGCGGCAATCGTGGTTTTATCTCAATGTAAAATGTAATCACTAACAAAATTCTTGAAGGTTGCAGAATATATCTAAATGGATGTAAGTCTACGTAGCATTTCTTTGCGTTTTAATATGTATTGAGTCAAGAATATATGAAAAAGGAAACGGTTATGTTAAATAGTTAATAAACTTTCTTCTAGAAAGTTGTTAAAATTCGAGAGATCAACCCACATATTGTATGCAGTCTTTGTGCAGGATATTTTATTGATGCAACAACAATTACTGAGTGCCTTCATACATGTAAGTTTTTACATTTTTTTCCATTTAACAGAAGTTGGAGTTCCTGTTAACAATTGGATAATGTCTCCTAGAGTATTTTACCCCATGAAATGGAGTTAATGAAATTTTACTTTATTAAATGACATGTACCATGTTCTCTCTGATAGTTTGTAGAAGATGCATTGTCAAGTATCTTCAACTAAGTAAATATTGTCCCACATGCAACTTAAAAGTTCATGAAACTCAACCTTTACTTAATGTAAGGTAAGATAGTCTATTGCCACTTGTCATATCTTTGGCAAGTTCTTGTCAGACAGCCCTGACCATGAAAAACAAACATCTTTATCTATGTTACGTTTTAGTTTGGACAGGACAATGCAAGATATTGTTTTTAAAATTGTTCCTAACTTGTTTGAAGGTAATCCTCAAGGTGTTTGCTATTTAGTCTTCAATAGAGTTTACCATGTTGTATGGAAGATCTTTTCTATTTTCACAGATGAGGAAGCCAAGGAGCATGCATTTTATGAAGAAAGAGGAATGTCTGTACCAAAGAAAGAGACAGAAGGTTTATCTTTGTTTGATATTACTTCAATTAAATTAATTTAATTTCAATTCATTTCAAGTCCAGTAAGGTGTTTATGAGTTGGTATTATTTTCTTTTAGATTGTGAAAGTGATGATGGAAGTCATTCCCCAATAAGAAATGATGTCACAGAGTACTTAAATAATTTCAGAGATGATGAGTTGATTTCACTGTGCTTGAAACCATATGAGTGAGCATTTTTTAGTGTCAAAAGTAAACATTTCAGTGTACAAATATTTGACAAAATATTGTTCTTTATTTCCAGATCATATGAACATGATGACAAACTAGTATGTTTAAGTCTTTTAATGCTCAAATTTTATTATTTTTATACAAGCTTTACTTAATCACTTGCTCGCCCAGGTTTTATCACGGAAATATCTGCGCTGTTCACATCGGGTATTAATTTTACATCTTGCAAAAATTCTCCAAAGAAAAATGAATCTGCCCCAAGATACGCAGGTAAGAAGCAATGCTACAAATGACATCTAGTTTGCCATCTGTATATATTGGTCTGTTTCTTTTGTTTGTTCATTACAAATTGTATTTTGTATTGCTTAATTTCTGTAGCTTGACTTCCTTTGTGAAAATGAACTTGTTCATCCAGCCTGTTCATTGAAACAGATCTTTGTTGCAAATTGGAGACAAAAAGTAAGACAAAAACAAAAAGCAATTCAGCTTTGAGCAGGACTCTTTGTGAGTAATTTTTTTCTACACCTTTATCTCTCTGCAGGCATTGCCCATGTGTCTCCACTATCAAATTCATTTACCTACCCTGGCCACACAAACCATTGAAGAAACAGTTCCTGCAGAAGAAAGTATAGAGCCTATGACAGAAGATACTTGGTTGTGAATGTTTAGATCAATACCAGAAAGCAAGATTTTTTCTAATTAAACTAGGACACATTTTGTTTGCTCTGTCTATGGTTCGAGTCTAACTAAGAGCAGTTTTGGACGACGATTTTCATTGTAAATGATACATGTAAGATTAGGTTGAATTACAATAATTATAAGTTGTTGTAGTGGTATGATCATGGACCACCAGGTGAAATGCCGAGGTATGGTATATTTGACCTATACGCCAGAATATGGTATATTCAACATCTGTGGGATCAAATGTACCAGTTTATTTATAAAGTTAGTGAAATGGTGTATTACATTATAATAAAGCTCAATAAAAAGTGATATTCTTACACTATGTTGAATAATTATGTCGAAAAATTTATCGCGTTTAAATTATCTCGCAAATTTGGTCAAATTCAAGATGGCAGCTGGAACCACCAGAATGGAGGTGCAGGATTTAGCTGCTGGTTTGATCGAAAATTATATGAAAGCTGAATTGGAAGATGAGCGAACTCAAAAGATTAACAACATTAATAAAGGTAAGTAGCTGTAAATGCCTTTTTGTAAGACAAAATGCCGATTATATATGTTATTAGATAATAATAGTAATTTGTGGTTTTATCTGGGTTTTGTAGCGATCATTGCAAATGATCTTAGTCTGGTTGATATTGTGGAAAAGTTGGGGTAAAAATGTGCTGCTTCTTTGTTGAATGGATTGCTTAAGAAGATGCTCAGTAAAAGAAATCAAACCTAACTGCAGTTCTTACTTGCAATTAATTAATTTTCCGTACCCCAGACTCACTGCAGTGGTACTCCAATGGTTGCATTGGTACCCCAGTGTGCCAACAAGCATGGCACCTTGGAAGCACCCTGGGTGTATGCATTGAGATTTTCGTTTGACTTGTATACAAAATAACTTATTGTCTCATTTTAGACCATATCTAACAAACCCTGATGCTGGTGAAAGATGTAAAGGAACAGAATTATTACAATTCATATTACATAGGTTGCTGTCTTTTAAACTGAACGAAAAGGAAGGTAACTTTGATATGACTTTCACATTAGAAGTGAAAGCATTGATTTATGGACTTCTAATCTTTTGTTTTCTAGTCGCCGTCTTGGTTGAGTTCTTCTGTGTTCGCATGAAAGATCACTTCTCAATCATACCACATGTTGTGTCCGGACTACTGGCGTTGGTGGGTTTTTGCATTGTTCGAAATTACAATTCTGCAATAATAATGTTGAAAACTACAATAATACTAGGTGATTATATTTAATTTCAGGTCAGTTATCAAGAATTACCAGAAGATTTAACAATTAAAATTGTGAAAGAAATAGGGACGGGAATCCGTATTCAGTCACTACTACAAGCAGACCGACACAACGTTTTCACTTTGTTTTCTGTGCTATTGAACAAAAAAATGGCTGGTATGAACCACGGATATAATTATTTTGATTAAAATATAAATGTTTTTCTCTTCTCTTTATTCTTTTTTATCTTTATCATCTTCTAAGAACTCCAAAAACTTGGTGGAGATTTTGTCTTTTGTTTCATTCAGAGCATGGATGGAGAGAAGGTTGTTATGTTGATCTATGCATGTGCATACCTTCAGCACATCAAAATATTTGTAAACCTATGTAATATTTCAATTTTAGGACCCCAGAAATTTGCTGCTTTGTTTTAATCTTGTGCAAGTCATTGTAAAGAACTTCCCAATCAGTAAGAGTCTCTTTATGCAAAAAAACTATCATTATTTATTTCTCTTAACGTTAACTCTCAATCGTAAAATTCTCCACCTGTGTTTTAGCTCTTTTTGCAGAAGATTTATTTGAAGTTACCTCTTGCTATTTTCCAATTGATTTTACGCCTGTAAGTTTTAAACCATTTATTAAAACTACTATATCAACTGCACCATTTGTATTAGAACAATTGTAATTTGATCAATGGTGTACTTCCTTCTTTCAGCCACCAAATGATCCAAGTGCAATCTCACGAGAGCAACTTATCTTAGCTCTCCGTAATTGTCTTGCTTCTACATCAGTATTTGCACCAGTAAGTAATAAATAGTTTAATTGATAACACATATTTGTACACACACAAATAGCTTGACAAAAGACCTGAAGTGTCATTATTTCCTGTCTAGTTTTGTCTTCCACTTTTGGTTGAAAAATTATCCTCAGATGTTATTTATGCTAAAAGAGATGCCTTGTTGACTCTTGTGAGTTTTCTCTAAACTATTCTAGATACCCAATTGTGTTACAGATATATGCATTGAACAGTTGAACTGCAGTTAAAGGAAAGTATAGAGTATTATATTTTGTTTCTAGGCAACATGTGCAAATGCTTATGACTCAAGATTCATATTTGAATACAGTAATACATTGTGGGATCACATCAAAAAAGAGGTCAACTGAATTTCATAATTGCTTCATTTTTTTCTCTAACTTGATTTATTGAACAAAATATTCCATTTTCATTTCAGATCTTCGCATCTTCTGACCACTCAATTGAGGTACCAAGTGGTAATTAAGATTGAGTAAATTAGTGAAATATACTGTACTTAGTATCCTTTACCAGCTGATAGTTTTAGCACATATAGAATTAAAGTAATTCCGAAAAATGAAATCATAATACAAATTTTATTCTGTATATTTCGAATCAAGATCGATTCATCTTCAGCAGACTAGTTTACGTTTACAAGAAAATGGCGTATTCAACCATGGTCGAGTTCGCCAGAAAATGGCAAATACGACCATGGTCGAGTTCGCCGGAAAATGGCAAATACGACCATGGTCGAGTTCGCCAGAAAATGGCAAATACGACTATGGTCGACATCGCCGGAAAATGGCAAATACGACCATGGTCGAATTCGCCGGAAAATGGCAAATACGACCGTGGTCATATTCGCCGAAAAATGGCAAATACGACCATGGTCGTATTCGCCGGAAAATGGCAAATACGACCATGGTCGTATTCGCCGGAAAATGGCAAATACGACCATGGTCATATTCGCCGGAAAATGGCAAATACGACCATGGTCATATTCGCCAGAAAAATGGCAAATACGACCATGGTCATATTCGCTGGAAAATGGCAAATACGACTATGGTCGAATTCGCCGAAAAATGGCAAATACGACCATGGTCGTATTCGCCGGAAAATGGCCAATACGACCATGATACGACCATGGTCGTATTCGTCATTTTACGGCCAATACGACCATGGTCGTATTCGTCATTTTACGGCCAATACGACCGTGATACGACCATGGTCGTATTCGTCATTTTACGCCCAATACGACCATGATACGACCATGGTCGAATTCGCCGGAAATATACAGAATGAAATTATTATTATGCTTTCATTTTTCGGAACTCCTTTAACTCTATATATACTTAGTATCATTAGGGTATTTTGATTGAGCATTTGTTGCCATATTTTTTTAGATGGCCTGTATTGAAGCAATCAAAAGTGTTGTCAGAAATTTGTCTACCGCAGAAGAGGTTCTCTTTTTGAATCTAACCAATTAAGATTTTTGACTTATTCTTCATGAAAATTCATCATTACTATTTTCTCTTTGTTGCATTCAGCAAAATCAAAATGGAGCTTTGAAGGAAATTCTAACAACTCTCCTTAATGGTTTGTGTCTTATTGTTTAATCTTTTCTAATAATTGTGTTTCCTCCAACATGCATCCCATCAGTCATTGTGATCGTTATTTTTATTAGATTGCAAAAGTCATTTACTGCAACCTGATCATAAGCTGATGAGAACATCAGCCAGTTTATTGCAAAATGTTTCAATGGCTTCTGGTATGTTAAAAAATTTATTTCATGGAATGTTTGATTAGGTAATTGTTCCAGAAATCTGGTGTGATATACTCTGGTGTTTTACAGATATGTCATGTGCTGAAATTACTGATAAAGTCTTTCCAATTCTCCTAAAACAGTTTGAATGTGAAAAGCAGGTTTGTTATAACTTATACTTCCAGTACTAGCTATTAACTTCTATTATAAACCTTGCAATTTTTTATTAACTCTCAGATAAACAATCAAAAAGCAATCTTGGACGCTTTGCTTGGCTTTCTCCAGGTTGCAAAGGATTTCCAAGGCAGAGGTAACCTTTTTACACAGCCTTCTTCTGATCTTAAAATAGTTTGTTAGGGTCAAAACTTGTTAAATTAGCGTGTATGGAAATCTCGTGAAACTAGTATTTGTAGAACGGTGAAAATATCTCTGCTTTGCGTTAAGATTCTGCGAGAATTTTGGAGAATTACAAGGAATCTCTTCTGGCCTTTCATGCTCTGTGAACCATAATCCTTCATAGAACGCGGGGCTGGTTGGTTGCCATGGTCGCTACACTTCTGTTGAACAAGAGAAATTAATCAAACGCGTAGGCTTACTGTTACATATTCCCGCAAATGACCACTTTTTAAATCGGTTTATTAAGGTGATCATTCCTAGATCACTTGGTTTGATCATTTAGATGATAAAAAAGATAGTCAGGTAAGCGAATTTTGTCTCGAAGAAATTCTTCATTTTTTCTAACAGACCCACGTGCACATCACGTGTGACATGCATGCTATTTTTTAGACATGAGGCAAAACTTGCTTTGGCCTATCTCTCGTCCCAGTTTCCCGTTCTTGTTCGCTCACGGGTGGTAGCACAATTGAGTGAAAAACTAACGAATAACGGTAAAATTGATTGACGAGGTTCATTATTATTAGTGAGTTACTATGTTAAAGATAACGGTCTCATTACGGTACTTTCTTATAGATGATTCAAATTTAATGGAAACAGAAAAAGAATCTAGCAATACCCCTGAACGTCATCATATTAACCACGAGTACCTAGTTACCACGTTAGCCACCTTGTGTACCTCACAGGAGAATGTGGAATATATTGTACCATGTTTGGTTGAGAACCTCATGATGCTTTGTCAAAGTATGTTTTTTGCTGGGAGTCTTGAACGTCTGTGTTAATTTGTTAAAATATGATAAATTATTTTTTAGATATTAGTAATACAAATCGAGAGAGGGATATGTTTGTGTGGATTGTTTTGCAGAATATATTTGAAGGTAGGATATGGATGGTCCATACATATGGCATGGTGCTGTAGGTATGGTATAGTGTGGGATGGTTTATTGGGTGTATGTTATGGTAATGTGTTAGTGTACTGTATTATGTGTGTATTTGGTATGAAATTTATAAATTTATATTTAGGCGGCCTTAGCTTTAAACATATGGATTATATAAAGACGTTATATTCTACGTGTTTTAAAACTGCAGTCGCCAATTCACTGGACAGTGAGTTTGATATCGTTTTGATACATTTGTACCCATGCAATACCTATACGGCATTGATAGTATGCTATACGCTTATCTTTGTCCAGAGCAAGAATTCGTTTTACATCGGATCCTGAAGGGTTTCAAAAATTCTCAGAAGTATTTCCGCTAAATTACCTGAAATTACGTAAGTTCTAGGAATTCTAAGGACAAGGTGTTTCAGTTGATACTCAATCTGTGGAATTTAAGGCAATTTCTTACGCACTTAACCAACATTTTGTGCGATGTCTCAAACCATCATCATTTGTATTTTTTTATACAGCTCCTCTGATTCGATTGTCTCAACAATCGGGGAAATTTTTCTGGATAGAAAACTTGAACGAGCCAATTGTTCCGCCTTATCAAATGGACAAGATTTTGACGTATTGAATGTAAGAAAAAGTTGCCTGTTTAATGAAATTTCTTTATTCGCTAGTTTTTTTTTCGATATCTATTTCGAGTCACTCTCACACTTCATAATCTTCTCGCTTTTTCCAGGCCTCATCACCATGGCAACAGACACGGCTGGTTATGTTAATTACAGCAACACTCTGTAACATTTCAAAAACGGTAACTTACAACTCCATTGGTTGACCGAAGAAATATAAAATATTGTAGTAAATGTCGTTTAATCACTGTTTTTTAGGCTGTTATACCTCGTTTAGACAGCTGGTTCTCGTTTGTTTTCCTAAGTACAGAGTCCACTCACAGGAAACAAATATTGAATCATCGAAATGTTTAGCTGGTCTTATCAACAGAATACCTGATGGTAGGTCTTGTGTACGTCTCAATACTTACCGATCATAAAGATGAAAGTGGTTAAGTTGTATTTTCGATTGTTTTATGGCTATAAATAAAGATGTTAAAGTCGAAGAGGAGATAAAAAAATGTCTTGAAAAGTTGGATCCATTGTTGCAACAAGTTACTGATGAGGACCGGAAATGGCGCGCGACAATTGTCTTAATATGGGTGAGAGTTTTCATGGGAAACACACACGTATCTTTCTTTAACTTCATAGGACAGTTTCAAGCTGTAATATATTATCTGTGCTGATTCGTAGGTAACAAAAGCTGTGTTGATACGAGGCCACAATCTTGGATTGAAACTACTTGAGAAGGTGCGGTGTAAAATAACCCTCTGTTTTGAATACTAAAAAATATAAATTAATCTTCAGTGACAATTATTGTATAAAGAAATTATATGTTGTATTAGTTGTTAGGTTTATTTTGTGACCCAGCTATAAACCAATGTGCCGCTGATGGTTTTTATATTATCATGTCCACCCCTGAAGATGTTATGAACAATTCATATAGTGCGAATATTAAGGTTGGTATTGTGTTTAAAAGTGATGCGTTTCGTTTGAAAGTGATGCGTTTGTTTGAAAGTGATACGTTTTGTTTGAAAGTGATGCGTTTTGTTTGAAAGTGATGCGTTTTGTTTGAAAGTGATGCGTGTTTGAAATTGATGCGTTTTGAAAGTGATGCGTTTGTTTGAAAGTGATACGTTTGTGAAAGTGATGCGTTTTGTTTGAAAGTGATGCGTTTTGTTTGAAAGTGATGCGTTTCGTTTGAAAGTGATGCGTTTTTTGAAAGTGATGCGTTTTGTTTGAAATTGATGCGTTTGTTTGAAAGTGATGCGTTTTGTTTGAAAGTGATGCGTTTTGTTTGAAAGTGATGCGTTTTGTTTGAAAGTGATGCGTTGTGTTTGAAAGTGATGCGTTTTGTTTGAAAGTGATGCGTTTTGTTTGAAAGTGATGCGTTTTGTTTGAAAGTGATGCGTTTCGTTTGAAAGTGATGCGTTTGTTTGAAAGTGATGCGTTTTGTTTGAAAGTGATGCGTTGTGTTTGAAAGTGATGCGTTTTGTTTGAAAGTGATGCGTTTGTTTGAAAGTGATGCGTTGTTTGAAAGTGATGCGTTTTGTTTGAAATGATGCGTTTGTTTGAAAGTGATGCGTTTGTTTGAAAGTGATGCGTTTGTTTGAAAGTGATGCGTTTGTTTGAAAGTGATGCGTTGTTTGAAAGTGATGCGTTTTGTTGAAAGTGATGCGTTTGTTTGAAAGTGATGCGTTTGTTTGAAAGTGATGCGTTTTGTTTGAAAGTGATGCGTTGTTTGAAAGTGATGCGTTTTGTTTGAAAGTGATGCGTTTGTTTGAAAGTGATGCGTTTTGTTTGAAAGTGATGCGTTTGTTTGAAAGTGATGCGTTGTGTTTGAAATGATGCGTTTTTTGAAAGTGATGCGTTTGTTTGAAAGTGATGCGTTTTGTTTGAAAGTGATGCGTTTTGTTTGAAAGTGATGCGTTTTGTTTGAAAGTGATGCGTTTCGTTTGAAAGTGATGCGTTTTGTTTGAAAGTGATGCGTTGTGTTTGAAAGTGATGCGTTTGTTTGAAAGTGATGCGTTGTTTGAAAGTGATGCGTTTTGTTTGAAAGTGATGCGTTTTGTTTGAAAGTGATGCGTTTGTTTGAAAGTGATGCGTTTGTTTGAAAGTGATGCGTTGTGTTTGAAAGTGATGCGTTTGTTTGAAAGTGATGCGTTTTGTTTGAAAGTGATGCGTTTTGTTTGAAAGTGATGCGTTTTGTTTGAAAGTGATGCGTTGTGTTTGAAAGTGATGCGTTTTGTTTGAAAGTGATGCGTTTGTTTGAAAGTGATGCGTTTTGTTTGAAAGTGATGCGTTGTGTTTGAATGTGATGCGTTGTGTTTGAAAGTGATGCGTTGTGTTAGAAAGCTTTGCGGTGTGTTGTGTGGTAATATTATGTTAAGGAATTTAATATCAAGCATGTCTCTCATTATTTAGCTCATGTACAAACAACGAGTGTTTATCCAAGTCTCGCCAATGCTGACGAAACTCTTTCACTCCAGTTCAAACGGTTTGTTATCAAAAATTATTTCATTTCGTAGATATATATTCAACGTTCCACTCAGAACCTGTCCTAGAACGTTGCCAGTTTGGGCTCAAGCCACTTTAGCCAGTCTCACTCGGCAACAGTTCTCAGTACGCCTTGATAGTTTGTGTGGATATTTTATTCTAGAAACAAAGCATCTTTATCTCTGTGCACTTTCACATATCTTACATTGGCTGCCCAAACAAGTTCTTCTTAGTGAAATACCAACAGTAGGTTAAACTTTGTCCACAATTTCTCATTTTATGCTCTATACTGCTCTACTTTATTTAACTAAGACGATTATGTTCATAATTTTCTTAATATTTTATAGTTGCTGCCACTGCTTGTTCAGTCATTATCCTGCGAAGAATCAAATCTTCAACTCTCAACTTTAGAGACATTCTACTCGTTAACTCATGACGTGCCCAAGATTATCTCGCAATATGTTACGTCACTCGTACCCAGGTACATACACCTGGCACAGAATGCGACGTCTCTGGTGAGAATATCTCAGAACAGATATTATCATTTTTTTCTTTCTCTCTAATGTTTGTTATATTTTTCTCCAGAAAATACGATGTATGTCTCTGAAATGTCTCGGAGTTGTGTCTGTTTTACCTCATCATGAAGTAAGTTATTACTAAGTATTAACTATAGGCTAGACCAGGGAATCTTCTTCAGCCTCAGACTTGTTCAAACAAGTGCAAGCTGTATTTTTTGTCCAGGGTAAAGAAAGTATTTGAAGAAAGTATTTCTTTTTAACAACAGGTTTACCCTTATAAAAAGAAAGTGATAAAAGCCTTAGCAATGTGCTTAGATGATCATAAAAGACTGGTGAGAAAGGAAGCTGTTCTCTGCCGAAATGAATGGTAATTGAATTACTTGTTAGCCTGGAATCATCACGATTACTCTGATATGATGATGTCTGATTTAGTTTGTTTTAAAATTTTCCAGGTTCCTGCTTGGCTTGGCTGCAGAATAGTGTCCTGCAAGGCGGTGAGAAGATGTAACTTGTAAGGCAGGCAATAAGACGTAGGATACGCTGGAAAGGAATCACCTCAAACCACCACTTGTGCGTGGTTTAAACCTAAAACCTTTAACCAAACAGGGGCAATTCATATGGTGAATTATAGTCATGGTTTTAAACTAACACACTCCCTTGTTTCTCGTCTCGACGAGAGGACAGCTGAACTGCTTTATGGCTTGATTTTAAAAGGTACAAATCAACGTTCGTATTGGTAGATGAACTTGCTGATCTGTAACATTGACCTCTGAACTATCTTGGCTTGATGTGTTGTGATTTAAACCTTACTTAATTTAGGGAACGTTACCCATACACACAGACGATTACTGTATCACTCAATTATTTCGTGTATTTGCGTGTGCGTCCCGCGTGACGTACCCAGGAAATAAATAAAGTAATCATCATTGTAAACACAGCGACGTAAGTTAAAATGCAAATAGAAATCATAGTAAATATGTACAAATTTGAAAGATTTCTATTTTTTTATTTTGTGATTTTTCTTGGAGAGGTGACAAATCTAATTGGTAAGTGTCTGATATTGCTTTTTAAAGTATTTTAATTCTTTGCTGCATCACGGATGCATTTCCGAAACACCTCATAGTTGTTCTCCACTTAAGTTGTCTTTTATAATTAGCAGTTTCACCGTGAATATTAAAAGCTAAGTAGCATATGGATATTAGTTTAGTTTACTAGTAATAGTCTTGTTTAACAACGTTAATCTCATCAGGCGTTCATGCCTACTGGGCCTGACAAGCCAGCTGTTGTTGCATCAATTCATGCAGGTGTTAAACCGTAATTCTGCCTTATCACTTGCAATGTTAGCTGATACGTGTATTAATTTCAGGACAAAATGTATACTCTGTTCCTGATGTGATGATGTTTGAAAGCAATGATTTGATCTATTTTCATGTCATTCAACCAAAGAAAGTTAGTTATGTATTCAAAGCACGTTTGGCCCAGGATTTTGGAGACTTTTTTGTAAGTTTCGTTTTTGAAGAAAAATTACCAGCTTTCTCATTCACTTCATTTTCTTGCTTACATGCAATAAACATGAGAAAAACTGTTATTTTCTTCCTAAATTTATAGGATATAGTTTATAATAAGATAAACTTGGTACCAGTGGAACCTCCCCTTGGCTGTCTGGATATTCAAAATAAAGATTTGCTCTCAGGATCTATTGCTTTAGTTGAGCGTGGGTAAGTAAACACCTCTCAAACATTTAAGGTTGCTCATGCAGTTTCGCAGCGTATCTAGGTTTGGGACATGTCTACTTTCTGTTATTCTCTAAAGGAAATATTTATTTTCTTTAAAGAGAGTGTTCCTTTTTAACCAAAGCGAAGAATGCAGAAGATGCTGGTGCAGTTGGTGTATTAATAGCAGATAATAATTTTAATAATGATCGAGTATCTGTCAATATGATCAAAGATGACACAGATAGAAAAGTGAATATTCCTGCTGGATTTATGTTGGCAAAGGACAGGTAAATTATGGCTATAGTTTGAAGAGCTGCAATACTTAATTTGATTGATTATTTTTTATATTCTATGAATAAATGAACACTTGAATAAACACTTAATGGGGTTGAATTTCAAGTGCACCTATATCTTGCAGTAAACATATCAAAGATGCTCTAAAGATTGAGGGAATGTATGGAGCCATAATTACTATTCCAGTGAATGTTACCACCTCACCAGAACTGTTTATTAAGCAACCACCATGGTCATACTGGTAACATTAATTATCCTTAATAAATGTAATAATTGAAGATCAAAGGGAGAAATATTTTATTTTATTAGCTTAAAGCCTGTGTCATAATGACTAATTTGAGTCATATGTCATATTTCAAATACAACTTTGTGTTACAATTTTTTTTCTCCATTTTTCAGTTTTTAAATACCTTGATAAAAAGGTCATCCAAAAATGATTTAGCATTTGTTCTGACATTGTTTTCAGGAATCGATGATTTTTTGGATGTTTGTTCTTTTTTAACATGATTTATTCCATTATAACATTTGTTGTGTGGATATGGAATGTTCTTGTTGGCTTTCTTTTGAAAGTAATCGTTTTCCAGCACTTGCCAAGGTGACCAGGTACCATTAAATAGTTTAGGATTAGCAGTTGCCTCACGATCTGGATTATAGACTGCTCTACCATGTTGCTGGTGATAAATCAGCCGTTTAAACATTGCTGCGGCTATTTTCTGCTTTCGAGAAAACAGGTTGTCGTATTCACACGGATCTAAATAGAATAATCAAACTCAACAACCAGCGTCATAAAAACGTGAGTACAATCTCTCTAAATACAGATGCTCCTCTAATACGGGTGTCTCTAAATACGAACATCTCTCTAAAGCAGGTGCTTTTCTCATAAAGATGTCTCTAATACGAACACGGATACGGGCCCCCTTAAACGGATGTTTCTCGAAAACACCTTTTAAAAGTCCGAGATCGAGTGTTGAATACCTGTCTCAATGTTGTATAGACACGGTGAGATGGACGGATCGCAGTCGAAGGTTGAATCCCTTTTTTCAAACTTTGTGCACAGTAATTCTGCTCCAGACAATACTTCCATCTTTAGAACCTTGAAATCATCGTCTGGATCTCGTCTCGACTGGAATCTCTGAACGAAGAAATACCAGATGAACGTGTTTGGTAAAGAAAAGTTAACAACATCGTGATCGTTCGGGAACACCTCATTTTAGTTGCAACGTGAAGCTCTTCTCTTCTCTAAACAATCATCATCATTGAAATAGCATCAGCGGAACCCCGATTGTAAGTATGAAAACTTTACCTGGTAAACCACGATGAATAGTAATTCATATTTTGATTCACGATCAACTTGTATTCCCCCATCCGGATTGCAGCAGTTTTAGTGACTGGATCTATATTGTGGAGCACTTCTTTCCGGGGGGAAGGCTTACTAAATGATATCATATCCCACATATTGTATCCATCCACTTTAACCTTGAAATTATCCAAGTCTCCGCCGGCCGCGTGGTAGAGAGTTGGTAACCAGTCAGTAACGTGCATAACTTCTTCACTAACTCGTTTGTTGTCAATCAAGAGGGGACTGTGTACGAACGCTAGACCACGCACACCTCCCTCCCATAGTGTATGTTTGCCTCCTCGAAGGGGATAGTTGCAGCCCCAATTTCTATGGAACATATTGAGGAAAGACAATTGAGAATCTCTGACTCTGAATAACTGTGTTTCGATTAACAAATTAGAATACCCGCAAAGTTCACCTCACAAGCGTTCCTCCTACCTTTCCATTCCGTTTGGCGCCCCTCCGTTATCCGTGACAAACACGATAATGGTGTTGTCGTATATTTTCTTCTTCTTCAATGCTTTGGTTACCTCGCCGATGGATTCATCCAGTGAACTGACCATTGCTGCATACGTCCTTCGTTCTTTGTTTGGAATGTGCATGAAGTTCTGAAAGAAAGTATTTTATCAATACAAAAAGAGGGATAGTTGGGCGTCTGGAATACTTAACCTACAATTAGAGTGGATTTAGTTTAATCTTCCTCTTTCCTAACACTAGATCAATAAGAGATTATCCTTGATAGACTTCTGGTAGTAGATTAAGATCAAGAGATTTACTAAGAAATCTATGCTTTTCTTTCCCCTGTAGTAATATGGATTAACATGGAGAGGAATCTGAGAGAACCATTCGGTATAAGCTGAGTTTCTTCACCTTGATAAGTTTATTTGGAGCTTGCAATGGATCTTCAGGATTTCCTGTGTGAACAGCTTGATGTGCAAGGTATATAAATAACGGTTTTTCTGTATCGTGCTTCTCTATGATATGAATAGTTTCTTTTGTGAACATGTCTGTAGCATAATGACCTTTTTGATTTTCAACTATCTACAAATAAATAAAATTAATAGTTGACTTTTTGACCCATTATTACGACGGTAAATTGTCAGTGTATTCTACTCAAGATATTTAACAAACCTTGCCATTTCGTCTTAAATCTAATCCAGAATACTCTTGATGGACTCTATGGTTCCAATAGTCTTCTTGACCGTTATAAAAGCCAAAAAATGTGTGAAATCCTCGCTTCTCCGGCGTGTATTGCTTTTTGAAAAACCCAAGATGCCACTGCCAAGAAATATTACAAGAATATCAGCGTATTTACAGTCGTGAGATAACTTCACAGCTGGAATTGCTGTGTAAAGGGATTCACCCTCCGTAGCGGCTTTAACAACATGAATTAAATCCTTACCTTTCCTACACCATGAGTAACGTAACCAAGTGGTTTAAGATACTGTGGAAGTATTATTTCCTCCAGAGGCAAGCCATATGGTTGAGTGCTGAATATGGACCCATGCTGAAGACCTACAGCGGAAAGAATAGTTGGATTTTTGGTCGGATTCAGCGGCGATCGTTCTGCGCAAAAGACTGACCTAATTTAATCGGGTGTTTTCCAGTGAGAAGTGCAGCCCTAGTGGGTGTCCCTGTTGGTGAGACATAGTGACTGTTCAAAATCACTCCCTCGTTTGCTAGTTTATCAATATTCGGAGTTGGAATTTGGTTCGAGCCATGAAAACTGACATCATCCCATCCCTAGAAAGATGAATATTGCATTAGATGCGTCGGACTTTGGAAATTAAAAATTGCCTCGATGTTGCTTGAGTCGAAATGATCGAACTACTTTACCAAATCATCTGCCATGATAACCACTATGTTCGGTCTCTTGGAGTTGGATTTGCATTTCTTAGCAGAACTTGATAGCAAACTCAACAGCAATATTGATACAACAAACCTAAAGTTTCAGTGAATATGCGCATGATTAGAGCTTAGCATTAGTTTATATAATGGCTAAACTGAATTGATCTATTTTGATACAACTGCTGGTGGTTGCATTTGGTTCAGTTGGATTGAAGACGACATCAAAAGATATTTATTTACATGTGTATTGCAGTGGATTCACTTCATTTGAATTGCTGCCATGCTTTTTATAAATTATAATTCAATTCATAGAAATAATCGGTTTTTTACAAAAACTTTACTTATCCCCATGACGCCGGAAACATTGAATTATTCTGACCTCTTTTACCACTGAGACGTACTAATAAGAACATTAATATTTAAAACTTACCGAAGAAAAAGACTTCTTTCCATTTTTAATATTCTAATTGCGCGTTCGAAGAAGAGTTTTCAGCACTCTTCTCCCCAATTATTCAATTTAGTTGGTAAAATAATAAAACAGCGACATTATAAAAATGTTTGAAAATGCTAGTCAAACGGTAATTAATTACTTGTACTACCTGCTTGTTTCAAAGTTAACTGACACATTTGTTTTGAAATGTTTGTTTTGCATCGATTCATTCAGAGGAAACAAAGGAATTTGTGTGTAGCCCGCATGTGTGGCTGGTTATTTCAGGAGAAGGTCGTCTTACAGAATTCAAAACGGCGGGGTACATAGGATAGGACTAACTATTTTAAATAGTTAATCCTATCCTATTCACCCCGCCGTTTTGACATTAAAATGTCATCCATCCAGAAAAAACAACGAGATGTAAAATGTTCATTACGATGCAGCTTGAGAGATTAAAGCCACGGACATTTTTAGGAGTACAGGAAACATTCTTTTCCTAACGAGCCATATTTCCTAGTGAAATTGCAGTATTCATCGCGGAAGAAATGCTAATCAATTTCCCGTTTCTTTCACTTGCCGTGATGTATTCTGGGAAAATCCTTGGGAATCCTTGTTCCCAATCCTCGCGCGGGGACATGTCTCATGTCGGTTCGAAACTCCCAAAACGAAAATAAATCGAAAATGGTTTTACCTTTGACTCGCTTTCTGCTATGAAAATAACATTTTCAGACAGCGGAGCAGATACATCTAGATTCTACATTACTGTATATCGCTTAAAGTCACCAGGCAAGGCGAAAAGAGTGAGAAATTACAAGTCAAAGTACCGCTTGTTTGATGTTTATAGAGTTTGGAATATTCAAAACTAGTGAATGTTTGTGATATTTTACCAAACAAGTGGTCGAGATGTCAAGACACGAAGGTAATATATTGTTTTCTTGCATTGAATCGTACTGTTCCGTTTGTTTTTTCAACGTTTGTGGTTTAATTGTTAAGATATTTATTGAAGTGTACTACCAATTATCAATATAGTTTGTTCTTTATGAATGACCAAACCAGACTTCCTTGCATATATAACTTCCTTGCTCATGTAGTATAAAAAGTTCATATTTATTGCCATTCTAGTCAATATTACTTCTGCAATTTATGCAGTGTATTTGTTGGGAAGATGTGTTGGGGAAATGTATGCTATTACCTTATTAGCACATGAGTTATAAAGAAGGAATTTTAGTTGAAAGAAAGTATTGGAAACTATTGATGCACATTTTCACGTCCTGATTTTTTTTGCATGCATTTTATCTCCTTGCTTTGCCACTAAGCAATTGAAAACAGCTTTCATGAATATGCTTATTGGGAACTGAGCCAACCAGGTTTTTTGAGTTGAAAACTTTAGTGTCTGATTCTGTCTAATGACAGACCCATGCTTTCACTATCAGTTGCATATTGGTACCTCTCTTAATTCAGTACCTGATAATCAATCTAAATCTAGCCCACAAGAGGCATGTCATTCCTTTGAAAATATTGTTGCATACTTTTTAACAAATTTTTTTGATGTTTCATCATCAGGTGTAAGCTGTGACTCTTGCAGCAAGAATAATTTCCATGGGAAGAGATTCAAATGTTTAATATGTTATGACTATGATCTCTGCGCTCAGTGTTATGACAGTGGTGCATCAACCACAAGACATACCAAGGACCATCCAATGCAATGTATCTTAACAAGAACCGATTTTGGTATGTTAAAAATGGCTGCATTATGATGGACATATCAGATGTCTTATTGTATCATTCGCACTTAGTGCTTTCTTGAACAGTGTTTGTGCTTACCGTTAGAAAGTTTATGTACCTGAGCAGTTCTGTTTGTAATAATTTAGAGCTTTATTATGGTGGTGAAGCATTAACTGTGGATCAACCTCAATCATTTTGTTGTCCATTTTGTGGCAAGCTTGGATTAACTGAGAGTGGTTTACCAGAACATGTTACAGCAGAACACCCAGATTCCACTTCTGAAGTTGTAAGTTTCCTCTGGTATCAAATATTGTATCAATTAAAGATGCTCTATGATTTAATGAAGTGTTGTATCAATTAGAGATACTGTATCAATTAATGAAGTATTGTATCAATAAATATAATGTGTCAATTAATAATGTATTGTATCAATTTAGGTTTGTCCTGTGTGTGCTGCTTTGCCGCGTGGTGACCCGAATCATGTAACTGATGATTTCATTGCTCATTTGACAATGGAACATAAATCACAATCAATAAGAGATTTCATATCCTTTTACTTCAAAGTACTGTGATTTATATATATGGTAGTAAGCTATCTTAGTTTATGTCCAAACTATCTGAGAAAGATATCTTCAATGTTCTGGTGCAGTGTAGGTATCATTCTACAATAAGCTGTCGTGGTTTGTATCTGAACTACTACTTAGGGAAGGCACCTCAAACATGGTGAAAAAAAGACTTATTTCAACAATTTTTCCTTAACTTCATTTCACGATGAACCAACAGGGAGTCGAGTCAGACGTATTCTTCATGGCGGCAGGAGCCTGGGGCAAGCTCGTGCTAGGAGAGCAACCAATCAGAGTTTAGGAAACTCGACATCAACAACGCCGCAACTCGTTTCTAACCCTGCAAATGTTCGTGATACAATCGATCCAATTGCTGAGTTATTGTCGCAGCTCTCCGGCGTACGACGAAGTGCGCAACAATCCCAGCAGTCTGTGCAATCCCAACTACAACTCTTGCAACAACAATTACAATTTGAAAGACAACAAGTGCAACAGACTAGAGAAAGATTAGAAAGATTGCCAAGACGACCAATGAATTCAGCAGTCGGCTCAGCAGCGCAAGCTTCACAGCCACCTCGAAATGAGAATACTAATTCTTCAAATTCTGCTTTTCTATTAACAAGGTGAGATTGGCTGAGATCATTGCCTAATCTAGATTAAGTTTCCAGTCAGGTATAACTGGGGGTAAGTCTGTATCCATGGGGATATGTCCTGCTTTGCAGCAAGCATTTTTTCCGCTCCCTTCGTACCTTGAAAATAATTTTTCTGTGGAAATCAGGTTTGAAGTGCCATAGAATGGTAGGTTTTTGAGTGGCTGAAGAAGGGGAAATATGTTTCCTTGGTTCGTGTTAACAAATGTTACGATAGTTTTCAATGTATTTGTCTTGTTTAAAGATGTTACGACAGTGAACTAAAGGCGAACGAAATGTCTGAAGTGGAGGAACAACGAGCAACCAGGAGTCTTTTTGTTCAAGATCTCTTGGTGTCAACCCTCGAGTCTGTAACGTCAGCACGGCCAGATGAACTGTTACCCATTGAGGACCAGACCTTACTAAGTACTGCTTCTGATACACCAGGAGGAGATGAAGTGAAAAATGAACGACTTTCAGATGATTTAGAGTTGATAAGTCTAGACGATGCGGAAGAGAAAGAGTTATAACCATTTCCTTACAAGGAAAATAGAATTTGTAGGTCAAATAGGAAATGTTTTATCGTTTTCCAATACCAATGTTTGAAATGCAAGGTATAATCTTATCAAGAAATCTTTAAGGTTTCATGATCCAAAGATTTTACTAGGAATACCCTTGGCAATAATGTGAAGTGGTGCCTGGTTAATAAATGAAATTAGTTTGGTATCATAATGACCCAAATCTAATTCTATCAACATTGAGATGCGTACAGAAGTTGAGAACACGGGACAATCGCTCAAGGGAGGATAGAGCGTGTAAATGACTTGCTTTGAACTATCTAACTAGTGTGCGGGAGTATCTTTTTTAATTTTTTGTCGTGATTGTCGGTTGCGTCTCTGTCTGAGTCTGGTTCACTGTAAGAAACCTTATCCCCAGGACTTTCTGGCGAAGCAGCGTGCGCTTAGCAGGTAGCCCTGGTTACGAGCTCTATCACGACATTATTTGATTTATTACACTTGCGATATTTTTACAAATGATAGTCGGCGCTACAAGAGTAAATATTGTAGGAAAATTGAACAAAATGTCATAAAACAGTTGTTGTGATTTGTAACACAAATGTTTGAGAATCTTGTATGCATTTCTGATTTTAATTTCATTTTCTCCAAGTTTTAGTACTTAATTATCATTCTGTTTTATTTCATTCTATGCATTGTCTCGCAGATTTTATTAATGCGTAAAATTCGTCATTCTAATACTTTAGCAATCGCCACAAAAAATGTACAGAACCATAATCTTGAGTTTATTTTAGACAAAGCTAGAAGTACATATATTTTCTCACAACAGGTCTAAAATCTTCATTTGAACTTTTTCAAACCTTTTTGCAGTTTTGAAATTTCAATAATGATGCTTGGAGTCAAAACATGTAGTTTTTATTGTACAAGAGATGCTTAAAGCATGTAAACGTATGTAAATTTACGTTGATTAAACTCCACGGGGGCTGAGAAATTTGTGTAGGATATGTTCAATTGTCCAATCACCTGCTGACTTCAAGAGCCGTATTTAGCAGCTGGCTTGCGAGGTTAACCACTTGCCGCGTATGTTTTCATTTTAGATCATTTTGTTCTAACTGTAGTTTAAAATACGTTAGCAACGGTTTTATACCTTGCTTTATTGAGGTCATATTCGGCTTTGAAAGATATATGGTGAAAGTTTGGTAAAGGTATATTTACTGGAAGACTGGACTATAAATGCTCGGCAAACATACAAGTGTAGTTCTGGATTAATATTTGTTGACAACAAACAAGTCTATTGTAAATATGAGTAAAATCTTTCGAAGAAAAGGCTTAGCATTTCTATCAGGACTTATTTCACTTCTTACAGCTGCGATTGTTGTGACGGTATTGATAAATGATCCTCATAAACCAGAGACTCGTCCTTGGTCTTCCTGGGTTCAGGCAAACTTTACGCGCACAATACAAGTGAACGGAGCAAGACAAGTTCTGGCGAAGACTGGATGGACTTATTTTGGTTTGTTCAAAGGTTACAAAGAGAAGTCATATTCCGGGGACTATCAAGGATTGAGGAAGGAATATTTTGATGGTAAGTTGCCTTAGCGGAACATAAAATGTGTTAATGAATGTGTTTCAAGAGATGGAGGAATGCTAGTTGCCTGGAAGGTAAATAAGTTTTAGTTCTTCACAAGCGAGTTACAGGTGACGTGGAATTGATGGAGAAATAATTTGTTTCATAGGCTTTCAACTGGAAAATTTAAGTAAACTATTTGTCGTCTGACACTAAGAAATTTGTTATTCAATTCAAGGCAAGTTAGGCTGAGGAATATTTGTGATGCTGAAAATCATGTAAACCAGCATGAATATTTAGATTTGTTCTGATTTCTTGAGTTTTCTGTCAGGATCCTAAGCTTTTCAGTTATGAAACGCGGAACAACAACTACAATGAAACGCGGAATGTTCTCAATAAAAAGTTATCGTAAGGTATAAAAGACTATTATTGATAACCGCGGAAGGATATGAATTATTCATTTATTCAGGTGTTGAAATTATTCCATTCATCCTCAATTATCGACTGAAATATCATTCTCTTCAATTTGTTTCACAACAGTAATTCAATGTGGGCACATTCCTAATTTAACGCCTTGATGCGAGCAAAAATTTACTAGTAATTGGCTTCAATGAATCCGTGTTATTCGCAAGTTTTCCCTGTACTGCAAGTTCCACACGATACAGAATTCAAACTGTGTGACTGAGCCTGAGGTTAGCTCAACTCAGTTGGCCGACTAGAGATTTCTAAGGCACGAATGGTATTACTACATTAGTTCGGTATTATGTCTTACGTATGATGATTTATGCATGGAACCGACGAAACGCACGTATATTGTTGAAATTTGATAAATAGTTTCAAAACTGTCTTCTTCCCTTGCTCAAAGGAATAAACTCCATCTCATCATTTCAAAAAATATTTTGTGATAACTCTATTGAACTGAATGATTGCTGATCAGAGCTAATTTCAACAATAGTTTTAGATAATGATTATTCAAACTTAAACAGGTCCATAGAAAAGATTTTCTATGTACACAAACCTGTGACTGTTACCAAGTTACAAGAATCAGATATTCAAATGAAGCATTATTGTCAGTGTGAACCTAAAAAACATTTCTGAAAGCAAACAAATTGAAAGATCGTTTAAGGGCTAACTTTATCTTAAATTGGGAGCATTTTTGGCGATCTACGACAGGAATTCGTCTTTGGTGTTTTAGTTTAGCGATCGTGAATTTCTGTAGTTGAGATGGGCAAAATTTGTCGAAGAAATTCATTGTTCTTCTTTGCTGGCGTACTTGCTCTTTGCGCCATTGGTTTGATAATATTCGCTCTCGTTAGTGAAGACTGGGTCCATTGCAAGATTAAGCGGCGATCGCCAAAAGGAAATCAATCGGCTTTTGTCACTTTTGATACGGGTTGGAAAAAGTTTGGATTGTTTGAAGGATGTAAAAAATTAAGAGTCGGAATGTTAGACAGCGTAAGAGATGAGTGTTTCGAAGGTATTTATAATGGCTGGACTGGATGAGGAAGTCCATACAATCCAGTTATAACAATAATACGGCTAGAAATATCATAAATAAATATATAGATGAAGTTGCTAAACTGCGTGAGATTTTATACCAAATGAAATGCCCGAGGTCTGCGTAAATTAGAAATAAAATATATTTAATGAAATAAGCAACCACATGCAACCTTAATTTAGCCGAATATCTAAGAAAGCGTCCTGTCAACTAGAAGACTTATGGCGTCGATGTGGGATAAGTTATTGTACAAAGATAATTTCAAATGCATTCTAACCTGTTAGCTTTAGAATGTGGTGTCTTGCGGTCAATACTCTAGGTTCATGCATGCAGTAATCTATACAACAGATTAATCCTTAATCTTTGCTTCTTGCAGTGTTCAAGGAATTCGATGGTGTTTTTAATCTGAAGATCCTCTACGCTGTGATTGGATGCTTGGTAGTCGCTGGGATTGTGTTAATAATTTGTGCTGGACTCAGTTTTTACAACGAATTCACCAAGTCATCATACGTCATCCTTGGTTCACTCGGCCTTTACGCCTTCAATGCTCTCGCGTGTGAGTTCTAAATGATTTATGTTTATTCAGATATATTCCACTTCAATCGATACAAGGGTTTGTATTACTATTTACTGAAGAATAATGACCAGTTGGTTTGGACCGCTTGTCCACTCTAGATTTAGAGAAAGGTCCCCCTCTTTTTGAAATATTACGTGGATATGGATATAACTCCTCTGCCCTCTGGTGGTGAAATACATAAAACAATCCCGTAATTATTTCATATGAATTTATTTTAGTTTTCTTCATGCTGTGCGCTGTGGGCCTATTCTCGGGGCTTTATCATCAACAAATACGAAAAAACGTTCTCACAACCGAAGAACTAGACAAAGGTTTCGACAGCGAGGACAACACTTCCCTCAAGTTTTCATTCTGGATTCTGGTTGGTGCTTGTTTCTTACCACTGTTAAACATGACGTTAACTTTCTTGAACAGTGCAAGAGCGAAGAGTTACTTCAACAAAACAACTACGATACCCACCAGCAATGTTGATGGGATGATGCTTTACTAAAAAATTATGCAAGAAACCTGCTGGGATGCCCTGGATTTTTACCAGCTTCTAGTTCTGTATTGAGGAATCTGGAATTGTAAAACGCTATCTTTGATATTTGAAAGTAAATGACCTTGAGTATTTAAGACATTTAATAAAATTTTATATTTCTTTAGCTGAAAACGAACTACACAGGCTATAGAGTAGAGTATAGGCTTCTAAGGGAGGACAATGAAGATATCTTTTATTGCTGCAAAAAACCCGAAAAAACATGATATAAAAATGCTTTTATTTAAGCAATCATGTAAGGTATCATTTAGCCATCAGTCATGTAATTAGTATTTTATATTTAGCACTATCTAATCACCTTGGCACGCGTGCTTTCTGAAAGGAAATGTTGGTATAATATATGTTACAGTTTTATTGATCATTCCAGGAATTCAACCTCAACGTTTCTACCCGCATTCGACAGTTCGTTAAATCACCAAAAACATTTGGATACCATTCCAAAAGACATGTTACAGGGGGAGGGACACGCTTAAACGCTTTTTCCATGGTACCATAATATCCACCCAGCTTAGTCACTGATCTATATAGAACATTGTAGTGTACCTTTTTTGCGCATGGGTACGATGCTGTAGCCTGGGTACGAGGCAAAAAGAAAACAAACTTTATGATTTGAAAATTGAAACTTAAAGAATGTTCACTTAATTACTCTAAAATGTGCTTCAAAACAACATGTGGAATCTGTGGCAAAATCACTTGGAAAGGTGAGGTTCACATTTTATACAAAAAGAACTTAAAATGTGTGAATTCCTTGCTTATATTGCTTCTATAATGGAGTTAAATATCCTTGTAGGGTGTGGAAAGCATGTTGATCAAGTGATGAAAGATGTACCCAAAGCAGAACAATGTACATGTCCTCGAGATAATGTTTAACTGCAATAAACCTCTGCAGTGAAATGAAATAACTTAGACAACACAATGTTATAACACATAGTTTACACATACATACTAATTGTTACAGAAAGGGCAACTATTGCTCAACTGACACTAATTTACACTACAAGCTGATTAAATTTTATAGTATTAATGTTAAAATTTGTGTAATATACATGTAGCAAATATCTTGTATACAACATGAGTACTAACATGCAATATATGTGAACAGTGTCTTTTATATCCCTAGTTTTTCTCTAGCTTTTTCTTCAAGATCTAAGTGACAAGGTGAGTTGTTTAGGAATGGTGTCCATGTTCCTTGTATTGAAGGATTATCTGTGTACCAACGTCGAGTATTTTTTTCTAATTTCTTTCCAGACTCACTTTGTAACCTATTTATCCATTTTTCTATATCTTTTGTATCAGTATTTTTGAGTGAAATCACCTTACTACTGCCACTTACTAAATTGAAAAAATATTATTTGTATTTTTGTATTTGAAGATGTCTATACCAAAAGCAAGGTAAAGCCATGAATGCATAATTCAATGAAATGAATACTCATAAATGGGTTAAAAATATGCTTTGTGCACTTACAATAATTCGCAACGATACGCGGATGCCTCCCTGGTCTTTCGACGATATATACAGCGATATTTGGATTACTCTCTGTGAATTTTATCACCTTTTTATCAACAAATTCTCTACAGAAAGCAGTTTTAAAGAGACGTTGGGTGAAAAAGTAAAGTTTCACAAAACAGTTTAAACGTTTATGTTTCAAAGTACCTCATTGCTCTGCTACTTCCACCGACAGGACAAAAATTAAACGTTAATCTTTTCAACTGGCAAATATACCTACCAAAGGCATTCGCGACCGCCATGTTATTGCGCAATATCTTCACAATCAAAAATCAAAAATATTTTTGATTTGATTAAAACCCGCAAAATAGCAAATAAAATAATAATAAAACCGAATTTTCACATAGTAAATATGCATAAACATAGCAAATTTATATTATTATGTTTGTTTGAAAATGAAATTAATACCAAAAATGCAAATCATCACAAGAAATGTACAATATCGTAAGCCGTAAGCGTGACGCAAGGGTACTTGTCGTATTGTGATGAGTAGTGATACAAACAGCAAGTAAACTGCATAAAAATACGTTTTTTGCAAGCTTGGTTGCACGTTTCATAAAGTTTTGCCGGAACTCCTGGAACACAGTTCCGAGAATTTTGTTTCCGACCTTCGGAGAACTTGCGAATTATTCTCGCGGAAATTTGCGCGAAATAAAATACAGGAAGAACTTCATGCATGTTTTATTATTTGAACTTCCGCCATGTAGTTACAAAGCGCCTTGATCAGAATATTTTTTTGTTTATTTATTTTATCGCCCGGAGTATAAATACCAACGAGCTATGCACTTTCCTACAAGAACAGAAGTCCTTTCATGGAATGAAAATCAAGTTGCCGACCTGCTTCGTGAAGTAAGTGACTCTATTTCAATTGTACAGAGCAAGTGCTTTTGAGTGTCTTACATCTCAAAAATATCTTAAACCGTTGTTTCCTAATATGTTGACATCAAATTTGGAAGAATATTTCGATTGATTTATATCCAAGGAAATGTTTTCTATTTTAGTGATATATCACTAACAGTGTTTGTTAAAAATATTGCCTTGAATATCATTAGAAACTTTTGTCCAGCCTCACCATAAAATCTTTAAAAGGAAGTTACTCTAGTTCCGTATCATATATTTTATAAATATTGTTTACGTCTGTTCGTTGGTTTTTTATTTTCGCATATTTTGGTTAAATTATTAATAAGTCTACTGTATTTGTTAGTTGTTTAAACGGTTCCCCGTTTTCGTATTTTTCTGCGAAGCAAAGACGCTGTGGTTTTATGTATTATTAAAATCAAAATGTTTTGAAGAACGTTGTATGCGTTCCGGTCAGTTAATTTAATAAAGATCAAAGATTCAGTGCTCTTATTTCATCGATTATTTCTACATTTGAGAAGTGATTTGCTTACAACTTTGCTAAATAACGAGGACCTATTTCTTCATTTTCTTGTAAAGATAATTAAATTATCCATTTTGCATTGCTTTGATGGAATGTTTTGTCAGCAACACAGCACTGGAATGTGCCCATGTTGAACTGTTCATTCAACATGATCCCATAACACCTCCAGTTATAATTTCCAAAAACTAACAATCTCTGTATACATTGCTAACATTAGAATGTGTTCAGGAAAACTGAATGTCGCTTCTAACAAATGTATTTTATTGCAGCACAAATTATTTGAATGTGTTGATTGTGTTTATCAAAGGCATATTGATGGACAGAAGTTGCTGGTAGGTTATTTTTTTCTGATACAAGTCTACTACAGAATTATTTGCAAGGTTTAATATTGATGCTTCACAAATTTTTCATTATATAAATGTCACTCATTTGTCTGCTTGTCTGGACTTGTTTATCTGTCTAAATTATATTAATGCAAAATATTACACAAAGTTTTTCTAATTCTTTTAGAATCTAAAGGAGGGCGATGTTTTGTTTTTCTTGGAAATTCATGACCCAAAGAATAGAGAGTATTTTCATTTCTTTTAAGCTTGTTGTGGTTTTCATTTTTAATTAAAAAGGCAGTTCTGTTAGGAGAAAGTAACTTAAAATGCATTTTCTGCAGGAAATTCTGGAATATTGTGAAGAGGATTACAGAAAAAAGTGCTGGCGGTGTTCACAGTTTAATGAAGTAAGCCAGGAATCAATAATGATCGAGCTGTTGGAATTGCTTTATATACCATCATTTGTCATTAATTTTGGGGTGATATGAATCACTTGTGAAATATCTCATAACCATCTGTAAAAACATATTTAGCAAATTTCAAGATGGGTCTGGATGGAATAACAATGCAGGTATATAATATGCTTCAAAGATTGTGAATATACTGATGTGTATTGAGGATGAAATAAGATGGATATTAGGAAAACCAGAGAGGTATTAGGATATGTAAGAGAAAAGTATCTTGTTCTTAAAAATTAATATGTAATGCAATTAATCCTTTTGACTATTGCAGATGATGATGGCAGAGACGATAGAAATGAATTTTCTGAATCTGTAAGTTAGAATATATTTTGTTTTATTGATAAAATCTATACCATTTTTTTCTGCTGGAAACTAATGGCTGGTACAAAATCAAGTAAATTGGATCTTTCAGGAGGATTCATTTAGTGATTCTGATCATTCTGATAATTATGATGAACCAGAAGAAAATAATGGGGTATGTTACCAAACAGAGCTGATGTAGCTATAAACATGATTTTTTTATTTATTATAATTTAAAATGTCAAATTTTACTATTTCTTTAAGGTTTCTGTAGAAAGAAGACTAACAATTAGAGATAGACTACAGAGCCTTATCAAACAGCCTGCTGAAACACAACATCATGTAACTGATGTAAGTACATTGATTCATGCTCACAGTTTGTTCTTTGCTCATTGAGGCACCCTGTATATCCTTGTAGCACCCTGTATATCCTTGTAGCACCCTGTATATCCTTGTAGCACTCTGTCCCTGCAACACTCTGTTTGTCCCTGCAACACTCTGGTTGTCCCTGCAACACTCTGTTTGTCCCTGCAACACTCTGGTTGTCCCTGCAACACTCTGGTTGTCCCTGCAACACTCTGGTTGTCCCTGCAACACTCTGGTTGTCCCTGCAACACTCTGGTTGTCCTTGCAACACTATGTTTGTCCCTGCAATACTCTGTTTGTCCCTGCAACACTCTGGTTGTCCCTGCAACACTCTGGTTGTCCTTGCAACACTATGTTTGTCCCTGCAATACTCTGTTTGTCCCTGCAACACTCTGGTTGTCCCTGCAACACTCTGTTTGTCCCTGCAACACTCTGTTTGTCCCTGCAACACCCTTAGCTTTTGTCCTTGCAGAACCCTGTTTTTCGTGCAGTATCCTGCAAATGTGTCAGTAAGACCACAGTTTAATTATTGACTGAAAATTATTGAAATGTATGTTCCAGGATACTGAAGATCCTGATGATCCTGAAGATTATCCATGTGATGACATTTATGACATGCCTGAGGAAGGATGTGGTAAGAATCATCCACAGGTTCAATGTCATGTTTTTTGTTGGAATCTTTTTAAAACTAATTAACGACTTCGTATCCAGGAGAGCCTGTAGAAGAAGATATGTATGATGTACCAAGCGATGAATCTGGAGGAGGTCTGCGTAATAAAAATTTTTTTATTTGTTAGTTAAAAATTACATAATTCTCTCGCTAATTTCTGGTAAAAAGAGCAGAATACTAACAATGGAATTGTGATTGATTTATCACGGGCAGGATCTGATCACTTTCTGATCGGATTATGTTGTTGTCTTAAGTAGCTATGTCATTAATTACATCTAATGATAAGGAATGAGGCAGCGTGAGATTTATGTCCGTGTAATATGAAACCAATACAAGTTAGGAACGCGGAACTGATGCTATATATGCTATATATGCATACCTACAATAAATTCGACCTTCGAAAGATTTAATAAAAGACGTTATAATCTATTAACTAAGCGCTTCGTGTGTGCTAGTTTCGTATGTTCGCATTGAGGAGAGTAATATTGCCGGGAACAAGTAGGATAAAAATGAACTGACAAATGTGGACTGTCAGAGCTCAGTCTCACCACAGAGGTAAAATATATTCCAAAAAAGTTGGATATGTCCAAATTCATATTTCTTACGAATCTATTGCCCTAAGTTCTGCTTTTTGTGCATTGAGGCAGATAATGGGATTAAACTATGCTTTTGATTGAAATATTAGCTTAAAAAAAGTACTGAATACCTAGGCAAAAGGTTAATCTTTTGTATATACAAACAATATAAGTGTTATTTAAGTACATGCCTGACTGTGTTGTTGAACATAGTGCTCGATGGGTGAATGAAAGAGATGTCACGGATATATCAGGCGCATGAAACATCCATCTTAACACAACATTCGTCTTAAAATATGGAAATATTCTTTTTTGTCTTCTGCAGGAGTTGTTGGTCGTCGACCTCCATTAGAAAGGAAAGAAAGCGAGCAATATCTCATACCAGATGATACAAAGCTTAAACAGGTGAAGCTGCTCGAGAAAATGAGTCTTTTGTTATTATTCATTTATTTTACCCTCGTCCAAGAAGCAGTCCGTTTCAAGCTCTCATCATGGATCATGAATGAATCAATTCTCAAGTCATATAAGTTTAACTGCCGTCAAGCAATTAAAGAAAAGCGGACGTTTCATCATCAGGAATAATTCAAAGTAAAATTTCCGTAATTTTCTTTTCTAAGCTCTCCGATGTCGAAGACGAGGAGAACTATGAGGACATGGATGGTGGGAAACATCCAATGGGTAAGATGTCGAAAGAGTTGCAAAGAAAACTGGGAATATGCTGTTATTGTAGGAGGAAAATTTCGCTGCATGCGAGAAAGAGTTTTATAGCTCATTGCCTGTAATTCAATGAGTTTTCAAAAAATATCAAGAGCAGTGGTATGAGATTGAGGATGATTCTGCGGCTTGCAATCCTTCCAGAGTAATAATAAAGCGTTTGAACGATTTTTTTTAAGTAGAGAATAAGACACGAAATCAACTGTTTCGAGAGAATAAGACACGAACTTTTAACTGTTAATGTAAACAGGAGAATTTTGAAAAGGCAGTTTTCAGGACACGCTCCTTGACTTCCGTTTTCTTTAGGTGATGATGATGACGAACCGCAAGATGATTATGTCGTTCCGGACACAAAACCAACGTCAATAGGTTCCTACACTCTTAAATTCTATGAATTGTTTACAGCTATGATGAAAAACGCCTCTAATACCTTCAAGTCTGCAAGATACCTAATTTATTATATTCTAGTTCCGCCTCGTCCACCCAAGGCTACTAATGTTAAACCTGCTCATTCCTCGTCTTTGGCAAATGGACACAAGAAACCCGCCGTGCCGAAGAATAACGCAATCAAACAATTACAAGCAAAATTCCTTCAGGAACCTAAGAAGGTATTAAAACAGAATTAATGAACTCCTTTCATACCCAGTCATCCTGTATGATCCTAGTAATATTATCCCAGGTAGTCCTATATTATCCCAAGTAATCCCATATTATCCCAAGTAATCCTATATTATCGTAACTAATTCTATTTTATCCTAAATAAATGCAATATTTCTATCTTTAGGAAACTCCTCAGCCACCGAAAGGTGTGTTATACTAACAGTATACCTTGCTATAACTCATTGTACCATATTGTACCTCAATGTACGGTCTGTACCTTGTATTAGTTGATATCACGTCATACCAAACTGTGGCATACAATACCGCACAACGAACATTGAAACCCTACCAAACTCTACTTTAATTCATCTATCAATCAAGTTGTTGAATGTTCTTTCAGCTTCCAAAAAAATGCCACCGAAGCCACCAAATATCTCCATACCGAGAAAGTCCAACACTACCAAGGTTAGTTTCATATCTGAATAGTGCATGGCCATCTAAAATACGAAGAAATGAAATTTGAACTAGACTTGATCTTTTTAGATGAAGGATCAGCCGAAAATTCCCGCTCAACCACCTCGAGGTATCACCACATTTTAATTGAAACGATATTAACTAAATCTTTATAATTCGGAGCATCTCATGTCTACTCTAAGAAAATATTCACAAAATATATTTTTTCAACTTTATTTTAGTTCCTACGAAAGAAGTGAAAACTCCAGATACTCCGGATGAACCAGATCAGGTGATGTTTCATCTTTATCTACATACCTCGGTCCTTCGCATCCAATGTGGATTAACAACTGACTAAAATACACAAGAAAGAACTTCTCGGGGAAGTGTTTTTGTCTATTTTAGGCATTTGTTTAAATTTTAAAGACACCATGAAACACGTTTTTTTCATTTACTAATTTTTATTTAGGAGGAATACGAGCTTCCGGATATAAAACGTAAGTAATTTCATGATAAAGAATTCATGTTTTAAATACAAATTATTTTGCTTAGTGTTAGTTTTACGTCTTTTTTCAGGATTTAATTGCTTTGTTTTTTCTTTTAGCATTTAAAGCACCGCCATCTGTTCAGGTAAAACCAATTTTGTTGGATTAAGTTTTTGCGTATGAATACGTGTTTGGATGAACATAGTTATTCTATTAGATCTCAATAACTGTGAAAATTAATGGTGAAAATTTAAAACTCGAAACCCTTCTATTACGATGGTAACTTCTTCTGTTTTCATTATTTAGCAACCCCGTGTTCCATCCCCCTCGGGCAAGTATCTTAAATTTCCTGTTGTCATACCATACGATTATCATACCGTACCGTAGTACCATACCATACCATAACATACCATACCATACCATACCATACTATACCATACTATACCATACCATACCATACCATACCATACCATACCATACCATACCATACCATACCATACCATACCATACCATACCATAACATACCATACCATACCATACCATACCATACCATACCATACTGTACCGTACCATACCATACCATACCATACCATACCATACCATACCATACCATACCATACCATACCATACCATAACATACCATACCATACCATACCATACATTCTCGTGATGCTCATTTCAATTCTATGTCTGTTAAGTAACCAAGAAACAGAGCAATCTCAGGAAAGTCCCTGAACCAGAGCAGGTAAGTAACTGAAATCTTACCACCAGAAACCCTGTAACGGCATATTTTTCTAAGAATTATTTGTAAAATTATTCTCGTTCTATTCTAGGAAACGTACGAGCCTCCAGATCAACCACCACGACGTAAGTTCTCAATCTTAAATGTTCATTTTCTCAGGTTTAGCTGCAACCGACAGAAATACATTAACGATATCTTATTGAACTCCGCTCGATTTTTTAGCTACAAAGAAACCACCAAATACTCAAAGAAAGGCTCCAGAGCCTGAACCGGTATTGGAAACTGATTTTCAAAATTTTTTCTTTATTCACGAGTTGTAATGTAGATATCTCTTTTTTTTCTGCAGGAGACTTACGAGCCACCTGATCAACCAGCACGCCGTAAGCTCTCTATTTATTTTCCACCCAAGTACTAGTGATACCTGAGAATATCGTACTATTGTACAGTACCATACTATACTGCTGTACCTGAACTATACCACATGATATACCACCACATCGTTACAGACCGCTGCTGGTGTCATCAAATAACATACATAACCACATTATTTATTCTGATGATATATTGTCCTACCTTATACCTTACTGTAACCATTCATTGGTGATACCATTTCATTGGTGATTCCATTTCATTTCAGCTCCTCCAAAGCCACTATCAAAACCACCACCGCCCATGGAAATGGATCAGGTAAATCTGCGCTAATCAATCAGTCACTGAACCAAAGTTTCTTACAATCATAAAAAATATCTTTCGCTTTAGGAGGAATATTTGGCCCCAGAGAGACCAGAGACGCCACTACGTGGTAAGTTGAAGGATTTAACTGATAAATATTGAGCTTCATTTTAAACCTGAGAACCAAGATTTAAAAGCTATTTTTTTATTAGCTGGTAAGAAACCGCCGAAGCCTGCCTTTTCTCAAGAGCAGGTAACTCGATTCATTTTTATATTCCTATATATTAATCCTAATTATCGTGCAAGATATGAATATTGAGTCAAATTCAGACCGGTAAAATCCAGCGATTCATGGAAAGAGTGGTTTGGAAATGAGAAGAATGTTCGGTGTTTTTTAGGAGAATTACGAGCCTCCAACACCGCCTAGCAAAAGTGTCCAAGGACGCAATCTTCCCAATCTCCCCAATCCTATGACTGGAAATGATCCTGTAAGTAAACATCTATGTTCACGTTTATCTAGCTTTAATATACTTTTTCTTAAAACCTAAAATTGCTTCTATCGCAAGTCGACATGCAATAAATGATCATTTTGCATCTCACTTGATTCATATATTCACTATATTCATTTGATTTTTAGGAAGAAAATTATGAAGATCCAAATATGATAACAGGTTCTTACTTGATTTTTTTGTACAAGTTCCCCAGCTATCGTACAGTGTAGATACACTGTAGATACATCTATATATATTAATCATATCCAATAAATCCCCTTTTTTGAAATATTTGTATATAAAACCCATTCTAAGTCTTTATTCGACAGTACTATATATTTTTCAGGCGAAGAAGAGTTCGATGATGCTCCGGTAAGACGAGAAACAGTTGAAGCGATTTCATCGTCGAGCTAAAGAGATTTGATAATGGTTTCTGCTTTGCAATGACTACATTGTTTTTTTTTAGCAAGAAGATTACGAGATTCCAGATACATCTGACGTACCGCCTAAACAAGGTAATCTATATCTGTTTACCTTAGAGTTTGAAGAAAGAGGAAAGGCGTTATTTAAAACAATAATTTGCTATTTCAAGTTGCTCCTGAATCGACCAAGAAATCACCTTTGAAGAGCATTTTTCATCGCAGTCCTTCAAAAAAAGTCGGTTCTGACCTTGCACCTAAGATTGAAAAAAAGAAAACATTTAAAAAGGAACCTCCAGCAAAACCTTCACCATCCGTGCCTGAAACTAAGCCTCCGTCCAGACAGGGTCCTAATTCTCTTGGAAAGAGTGTCATGGACAAATTTAGGCGAGATAAGAATAATGATAAACGAAGCTCAATGGCTTTGCCTAGTTTACCAACACCAAAAGATGATGTGGACTCCAAGCTTGGAAGGTACTTGTCGTAATGTTTGAAGTTTGTTTGTGTTCAGGATTTTCTTCAGTGGAAAGTAACTTCTCAACTTAATATATTTCAACTTTTTTAAATAGTTCAAGTCCCTCGCTACCTCCAAAACCTCCTCCAAAAGAGGTCAGTTTATCCTCAAGAGTTGTAGTTGTATCTCTTAAAGTAGGCGACTGTATCCCGACATTTATCCCGCTGTATCCTTGAGTGTAGGTGGCTGTATCCCAATATGTAGGCAGGGAAATGGTCCAGGTGTATCCTTTAGTACAACCAGCTTTCCTTCTGACGGTAGCCGGCTGTATCCCGCCCACTCTATCCCTAACTGTGTAGGCAACTGTATCCCAACGTTTATCCAGCTGTATCTCTGAGTGTAGGCAGCTCTATTCCTGACCTTCGGCAAAGATTAATACACAGTATTAATCTGTGGCTTAGGTGGCTGTATCACGACATTCATCCCGCTGTATCCTCGACATTTATCCCTCTGTATCACGACATTTAATACGCTGTATCCTGGACGTTTATCCCACTATATCCTGACATTTATCCGGCTGTATCTCCGATTGTGACTAACTGCATGTACCGTACTTTTCTTTATTTAGAAACCTGCCCCAGTTCAGCGAAATAAACCAGGTATGACATTATTTACCCCTTGTTTGACCTCAGGCTACGAGCCCTCGTAGAAAACGCAGGAAACATTTCAACAATCTTTCTCTCACTTTCCTAGAACCACCTGTTGCCAAACCACCTAAAAAAGTGAGTATATCGAGTTACCTAACTCTGGTTCATGGTATTAGTCTCAAAATATGAAAAAGACCAATATCATGGAATGAATAATTTGCATATATAGCGCAAACCTAAATATATCGAAGCAGCGATGATGGCGCACATGAAAAACGAGTTTTGTCTGTATTTAGACGAAAGAGCAGCTTCTCCAAGAACAACCATGGTTTCATGGTTCAATATCAAAACTACAGGTCTCCAACATACTGAAAAGTGCGAAAAAGGTTAAAAACATTCACCTTTTTTTTGTACTGTAACATTGTCAAAACGTATTGTAACAATTAAAACAAGGGTTTTTTTTCCACACCTGGAGAGAAGGTCTACCCTAATTTCTAATATACTGTGCTTAAAATTGAAAATACAAACACCAACTATTTTTTCAATCTAGGATGGTTCATATCTTGTGAGAAATAGCTCCAGGAATCCTGGAGAATATACCATGTCCATTCTGTATAAGAATGACATCAGACACCTTAAGTAAGTACCATAAACATAAGCCATAATTCACAGCTGTTGAGTGAAATTTTAATCACATTTACTGATAAGAACATTTTCTGGTAAAAAAGTCTATTAATGGTTCACATATATATACATTTGCTTCGTACTTTTTTTGCAGTATCCCTTGCGATAGCAATGGTCACTATCGTTTGGGGACTAGTGGAGTGGAGGTCAGTTTCCCTGTTCTTATTGCATTAAAATTTACTTAGATGTACAGACTGACTATTTAGGTTTTTTTATGTAGAGATTCAAAGATATCCAGGAATTGGTGACTTACTTTCTCAAACATGATGTTGAGTTTAGTGCAGGAGGCAAGACTCCTTTGACACATGCTTGTCATAATTAATGAGGTTTGAACACAACTCATCAATTCTGGCTACAACATATCAAAGATATATCAAAGTTGCATTGCAAGTTGCAGTAAGCCTTGTAGAGTTTGCATTGCAAGTTGCTGTAAACCTTGTATTGTGTTGCATGGTGTCAATAGAATGGTAAACTTCAATGAAACAAAGGCAAGGCTAGAGCAAATTTGAAAGACGAAGAGATGAAGGAGAGATCGAGAGCATGAATATACTCATGAAAGGGATAAACCTAGTTCTAGAATTGGTTAGTCAAGTTGTCCTGATGAAAACCAGTTTCCACAGTGTTGAAGGTATATGTAGTATATAGTTATCATATGATTTTTTTTACAACAATCTATTTTTCTTGCTAAATCTTATAATCAATGTATTTTCTCACAACATATTTTTGTAAATAAAATATAACTATATATGAAATATCAAATGAGAATGTAATATTCAGTGAATAAAATGTAATTTTTCAAATGTCATTCCCTTTCTTTTAAACACATTGTAACAAACTCTTGAAGTAATTTGAGATATTCCTCTGGGTACTTTATGTAATGTTGAACATGTAGTGAGTCGTCCCAGCATTTGCTGAACACCCTGACACCTTGTGCTTTACGATCTTCTATATGTTCCTCTATATCATCACAGTAAGCTAAATAATCACCCTTTGAGTAGAGAAACAATTGTGGGGACTTTAATGGTAGTTTACCAAGGTCATCAAAAATGCGATGCAAAAGAGGGGTTGTTTTGACCAGAAAAGGTAAGAATAATCTCACTGCATACCAAACTATTGAGCGAAGAACTGAATTCTTCATTTGCTCTGTGATGGATATTTGAACTCGTTCGATACTCTCAATGGTTGGTTTGTTTGGGCAGCTGTCAAAAACAGAACCAACAACATTGAATGAATTATAAAACTGACCACCAGGTGTCGTCAATGCTTCTGTGAGATGGAAATAAACAGCAATGCCACCATTACTAAATGAGTACAAAAACACAGGTTGGTCTTTCTCTGTCTGATCTTTTATAACCTCTGCTATATATAATCCAAGTTTCTTGACTTTAGTTCCTGTTCTGAAGAAGGTGTTGAATGATTTAGCAGGCAGGCATATGGTTGACCATCCTTTATCTTCAAAAATATCACTGTATTTCTTTAAATGCTTTGGTTTACAGTCATTCCAGCCAAGAATAACAACAAGGGGTTTTAAGGAGTTGTCTTCCAGAGGTTGAGTCATTACTGCACCGTATTTAAGCTGCATGGAAGCATATTTGTTAGAGATACTTGATGTGCATAGTGGCTTCAATCCTGAAAGAAATATGTACTTCTGCCACACATTAGTAGCTTGAAAATTTGTAGGTAAACATCTTCTTAAAAGTATTGCCATTGTTATTTGGTAATATATGTATTGAGTATTTTTTTTCATAGAAATATTTTCATAGAAAAATACGTAACAGTTATCATTGCTGCACGAATCTCGGTATTTTTAGCACGCAAAGTGAGAATTCCAGCACGTAACGGAGTAAACGTGAGAACGCAGGAGGCAAGTTCGGGCAAGCCTGCGAAATATTCTAAAATCAAAATGGCGCGAATGCTGAGATTGTTTACATCAAAAAACCGTTCATAACATGGACATGTCTGAGGAAATTCCAGATGTATCGCCATGTTTTATCGTACCTAACTCGCAAGCAAGTGAAATGGAAGTTGAAGAAAACCCAGACGCTGTTTTAAGAGGTTTAACCGCGCTCCAACCCGACCAAACAGGTGATATAATTTATAAATTTGAGTTGTATATTAAACTTGTATTCATATAGTTTTTAACTAGGATGTGACTGTGTGTTAAAATGTTATCAATTTTTAATCAGTTGCTGGTGAAAGTTCTGAATCTACCTTGCCAAGTTCATCATCTAGTGATACTCACTCGCATGAAACATCATCATCATTGACCTCAAGTAAAGAGGACTCAAGTGGAGAAAAACATGCTTCAAAAGAGCATGCACTCTAGTAAGTATTAACTTGAACTGAATTGCCAAGTAAAACTGATTCAACAATCATTTAAAATCCCCTACTCTCCATAGCAACCTTTCTTTCTACTAATTTCCATAGTCCTTCAATATAGCCTCCCCCCCTTTCACAATAAGCCCTCTTCCTTAAAAACCACCCAAAACTTGTTTTCTTCCTCCTTCTCCATATTTCTACTGCATCCATATTTGTTTTTCATTTTACTCTAGCATCACAAGATTTGAACGAGGAACCAGCGTTACTCGTAAAAACATGTTTCATACTTCCACCCCAATGGTATCAAGTGTCCTTTCTCCTTGCCATACTGTTGAAAGGCTCACTCCAGTTGAACATAATTCCACTAATACAACACCCCAACAAGAAAAAATTATTTTAGAAAAAGAAACATCTAGCTCTGACGATTTTATCTCACCTAGCGGAAACATGGTGGTAGAGGAGAGTTCTGTTGAAGAACCCAACAAAGATGTGGTAACAGACTCGGCCGGTGATCAGAACTCTGCTGGAAAAGAAAAAGATCGCAAGATCAATTTGAGATCTGTAGATGAGAGCTCAGCAGAAGAACTAATACATGAAGGTGGTGTGATAGACATGGCCAATGACCAGAACTCTGCTGGGAAACAAGAAGATGTTGTGATTGATTTAGCCAAAGATGGGAGCTCAGCAGAATGTGGTGTTGTAGACTTGGACAAGGACAAAAGTTCTGTGAAAGGACTAGAAAGAGATGATGTGATAGACTTGACCATTGAGAGCTCTGCAGAAGAACAAAACAAAGACCAAGATTTAGACATGGCCGAGGATGCAAGCTCTGCTGAAAAACAAAGCAATGATGAACTGCTTCAAGAGGAAGTTGATGCAGAGCACAAGAGCTGTAATGATCAACTTCCGAAGTCAAGTATTGATGAAAACAAAGATCAGACATGGAATTCTTTACCACGATGGGTTCAAGACATAACTGGAGGAGAAAAAACATCACCATCGATTGAAACTTTGACAAGGTCTTCATCAGATGCTTCAACAACCAGTAGCAAAGAGGTTTTATCACGAGACTCGTCCATACATCAATGGCAGTCAGAGAATGATGTCATGATTGAAACAAACCAGGATTGTCTACCAAGTGCTAATAACCAACAGGCATCTTCAGTCTTTCAACAACCTGACATGAGAAGTTTTCCACCACTTGTGTTATCTCAAGATATTTTTCAACCAAAGCCAAAAGGTATTAAAGTTATCTTTCTACATTCTAATTTTTAACATTTTGTTCACACGAGGACCAGAGGTAAACGTATTGTATGTTTTTTGCAGCAGTTATTGTTGAACGGGCAACGACGGGAGAGAAAAGCCGTCCTAGTAATGAGAAATCAACGATGGGGGAATCTTCTGAACCTTTACAAGCGCAGCGAGACCCTAGTCGTACAGATGACGTAATCTTGACTTCACAAGAGGATCTATTTTGTTTGTATCTAACTGAGTCACAGTCCAGTTCCAGTTCATCTCAGAGACGAGCCCGAAACGAGAAACAAACCTCCCCGTTAATTATGGACAGACTGGGACAAAGAGAAACGGAAATTTGCGATGTAACCCCGCCTCTTATTAAATTGAGTAATACTGTCCTTGTACCAACACCCATAGGACACCCAAGTACTACAGGCCACCATCAAGACATCGCTGAGAGTCAAACTGTCGCAGGTGAAGATTACTACTTTGATTTTTCTGATAGTCGTTTTCACCCATGTGGTCAAAATTGCTCGATCATCTGAGCTCTGTATATTTTTAAATTCAGACGCAAATCTGCCGGTTTCCTTTTAGATAAAATAATCTGTGTTTCAAGCGAAAATTCTGATTTAACAAGAGAAAACATTTCTGATCCCAGTGATGCCACATCAGGACCTGACAGCAAAATGAATGAAAGTACGGAATCAATAGAATCTGGTGTTGTTGGTTTTCATTTCGCCCCGCCTGCTATGCTGTTGAAACCTGTACCCAGGTCCTCCGCACCCTCTTTAGTGACGAACGTAGAAGCAATTCAAGGTAAGTTATCCACAATTGATATACACGGGTCACAGATCGATATATATGGACACAAATACCTCAGCGCTACCAACTGTTTTTTTTTTTAATTTATTGTATTTAGAGGAAATTGCAAGTACTGCCGAGTTTCGTCCGATTTCACCCGATGTGATTACGACTTCGCCAGATCGTTTCACGGCCGTATCCGAAAAGGCCATTCTTGGTACCAGACTCTCTCTATCGGCGCCAGTTCCCGATGAAGAAAGCAGTCAAAGCACGGACGAACAAGAATTTCACATCAAGAAAGACGCGTTAGATAATGATAACATTCCAATTCAACCAACACCTTTCGCGAGATCGGTTTTTACCAACGTTCGAGAGAGGTTTCAACCTACAATGGCGAGCTCACCTGATGATGAAATTGATCCTTTTGAGTTTGCAGACGAGATTCGTACGCCACCATTGCGTAAGAGGAAACAAAAAATGAGAAGGGAAAAGAGTAGCAAGAGAAGAAAAACTAATGGTAATGACAGGATAATGGCTGGTAATGAGGATCAAGTGGGGGGAAATGCTGGTAAGTTGAGTTATAGTTGTGAATACGGTGTTTGCTTTTTCTAAACTTGCAACTAAAGTTCGTAATTTTCTGTTTAAACTTAGGAACCAGCTGTCTGGATTCAAATATTCAAAAGGTGTCAGAACAGTCAAATAAAGAATGTTTCTGGAAAATTGTTCAGACAAAGATCATTACAAAGATAACTAAATCGATCGAGACTGAGACTAAGATTCTCTACACTGCGCAAGATGGCACGGTTATCAAGGAAGCAATTCTACGCGAGAATAGTCCGCCTACTTTTGAAACAACGACAGAAGAGAATGAGACGAAAGAGGAAGTAGATACAATACAAACGTATATTCCCTTCCGTAATGATTCAAATGATGAACTTCACAAGACAGCGAGGATTGGAACATTATCAAATACCACAAGTCCACCTTTATTTCCACCATCAAACTCTTTCTCCACGAGTACGAGTGAGCTCACAGCAGGAAATATCTCCAATCCTCGTGATATGATATCTTCGCCCGCAAAGAAGTACAAACGATCATTGGTTATTGATAATCCGAGAACGTCGCGTAGATCATCCAATTCGCCGCTTGTGTTGCATGAAAAGCCACGCATGTTACAAGAAGGGACTCGCGTGTTAGCTCTCTGGTGTGATAAGCATTATTACCCTGGACGTGTGATTTTTAAATGCAAAGATGATGCAAAATTTCGTATTAACTTTGATGATGGTGATTGGGCTGACATCCAGGAACAATGTATTATCGTTGTTGATTATTTACCATGTGACCAACCAGTGATGTTTTGCGAGAAAGCTGGGGGCGAGTATGTTGATGGCGTCATCAAAGGTTTTTACAATAACGTTGATGAGAGAGGATATAAAGTGTTAAGAGGAGATAAAAAAGTAATATTATGTCCAAGAAAGAATGTGATGCTTAGTAGAGAGCAAGCAGCGATATTTCTCTCGCTCAGAGAATCCGCTTTGATTCAAAAGTCCTCAGAATCTTTCGACAATAGTCCTACATCAGGTCGTCAAAATGTAGTCACGAAAGTTGGACGAAAGTCTCACGAGAAAACGACGACGACGACACGATCTCGTCAGAAAGATCCTCCCCGGAAACCACTTACTGATAAAAATAGGAAAAGAAAAGTGCAAAAAAGGAAGCCTCACAAAAGAAATATTGGTAAAGTTTTGCCTGGGAAAGGAAAGCTAGAAGAGAAACACAAGAAAGAAAATGTTGTAAAATTCGTGGAAGAGAAACCATCGACATCAGAAACGCCAAAATCAAGTCGTAAACATTCCGGGGCGAAATTTTCCACTCAATCAATTGATAATGTTGGTATCGAGGACAAAGAAGTACATGCAAGTCATGTGCGACGTCGTTTATCCACAGTTATGAACAGTTCTCCAGATAAGACCCATCCTATCCCTCTCCGTTCCTCTCCGAGAAAACTCAACTCAAAAGTGGTTAAAAAGGAAGATCTAATTCTACCCACGAGTAGAGATTTATTTCGTGGTTATGGGTTTATTCTTACTGGAAGTGACGTTATGAATGTCGAAAATGAGAACAGTCCTCAGGAAGAAGATCATTTGTACGTCAGAGAACATGTTCGAAATCAAATTAGAACAGGCGGTGGAGAAGTATTGGAACAGTTTCTTGAAGATTACCCCAGCCAATCCTGCTTCTTGTTATCAAATGCTTGTCAAACAACAGCCAAGTATTTCAACGCTCTTGTCTTGGGTGTTCCGTGTTTATCTCATGCCTGGATTCGAGATTGCTGCCTCGAGAATAGATTGATTAGTTATAAGAGTTACCTGCTTCCCGCAGGAAAAGATCTCATCACTCAGTGTTTGGTGGAAAAACAAAACTACAGGAACGCTCTCACAGGAATCAAGGTATGAACAATTGGCTGTCTTCAATAGATCAGATCACATTGTCCTCAGTTTTGTTAGCCAGAGTAAATCCCCCAGGTATCCTCTTGGCTCTCATAAGCTTCTAGCGACGGCCTTGGGCGAGTATCACCCCCTCTCCTCACCCTCCCTGCGGCTTTTATAACATCCTTCATTCAACACATATATTATTAGTTACATCAACATTGCTTAAGGGGAAGGCGGGGTGATATATAGGCGATAATGGACGGAAATACGTTGATTTTTCGAATTTATGTTCTTGTAAAGACATCGTTCTAAATTGTTGTTTCAATTATTGCAGGTTCATCTGGCTGGCGAGGAAGAATTTCGACAGAATTGGACTGAGGTTTTGAAGGATGCAGGCTGTGAAATAATAAAAAAGTTACCAGCCAATGTCCTACAAACCATTCAACGTGGCGAAGACGAGCGTGTCTGCGATGTTATCCTTGTTGGAGATGGTCATGTGGTACACAGTACCATACAAAAGGCGCGATTACTGGGAATTCCAACCGTCACGATTCACTGGGTGAAGCAGTGTATTTTAACTGGAGCAAGAGTTGATTTTAACGCACATGAAAGTTTTATTTACAGAGTACAAGACAAATAAGAGAATACTCCTGGGTTTTAGTTTAGAATGATAAATATGCTTTTACAAACGAAATACTTTAGAGAGAGACAACGTGAATGCATGAAAAATATACAATTTTATTAATCTCATATTTATATTACATTTAGCTATAGCAACAATAGTTGTAACATTTACAGTATTATGGAACAAGACATTGCTGGCGACTTAGTCCCATTTTGATCTTTTTCTTGATTCACTTTTGACCGGCTTTGTTTGAACATGGACTGGTTTCTGATCAGAATTCATGTATGCCAGGCATATAACGCAACCGGTCAGCATTATTAAACCAACACCCATCACGACTTTATTCTATAGGATTAGAGAAGCAGAAATTGTCAAACGTCATCTTGTCGACGTATTTCATGAAAACACACTAGCTGTGGTGGTTCGTTTCTCGTTGTATTTACTTACTGGACGGATAAAGAGCTCAGGATTTATCATTCTTGACGCAAGAGTTCCTCTTGTAAGTATATTTTGAGCCACTTTATCCTCGGCATTTGGAATTTTCTTTTTGTCCGCCATATTGTCCTTAGTCACCAGACTGTTGCATCTCAACGCACGACCAATATGTTCAGGTGAGATTTGCTGGATTGTTTAAATTGGTTAATTAATTAAACAGATTTAATTGGTTAACACTAAAAGGTTAACAGTATAAGAATTATGTTGAGGGTAATATTGAGATGCCATTGGACAAGGCCCTTGGTCCACACAAACCGTTTGAGGATATTCTGGCCAGTTGAAACAGTCTGGAATGTGAGAGGTATATCCACCCTGATTGACACAAAATATGGTGCGCTTGTCTCAAAGGCTGCTGTGGAAACACCAAACACACCGGTGGTGGCCATACTTGGCTGGAATGATGCTAAGATGAAAAATCTACAAAAATATAGCAAAATTTTTGAAGAAAAAGAGTGGACAACAGTATGCCTGCCTGCAACATCATTTAATACTTTTGCTCGGCCAGGCAGTAAAGTGAGGACCATCAGTATGCATATGGTTGATGTTTTAAAACAGCTAACATCTAAAGGAAACCCAGTTTTTCTATATTCACTGAGCAGTGGGGGGTGTACTGTGTATTATCACATAGCTAAAGCTTTAACAATGGAGGGAAGTCCAAATTTTGATGCATTTAAGGTTATTGGTGCTATTTTTGATAGTTGCCCTGTCAAAAATACAAAGGAAGGTGTTTCTCGTTTGCAGATTAGCGTCACAGAAAGAGTAAGCAATCCTGTGGTCAAAAATTTAATCTGGTATGGCGTTTATTTAGTTATGCCATTTGCGATGGCACTTGATCCTTTGATTGGGACAATATTTGATGAATTAAAAACATTGACCTTGAATTGTCCTGAATTATATGTTTATTCAAAAGCAGACAAGTTGGCACTCTATCAGGACATTGAGGACTTTGTACTAGAAAGAAAATCTCAAGGAGCCACTGTTTTAAGCAAACAATGGGATAATTCACCACATTGTTCCCATTACATGAAGTATCCTGAAGAATATCTTCGAATTGCTTGAACAATTTCTTGATGTCTGTTTGCCGCATGAGAATTAATTTTAATCAATTGAATTTGATGTAAATATTATAACTTTGCATTGCTTTATTTTTGTACCATAATTTTTGTATGCAAGCTTTTGATGTATTGAATATAAAAGTGTGTGATGGGGTCATTGATATGGTGTTTTTTCGTTATGTGTTTTGTGGGGATGGGGGCGACTTTACCCTACGACACCATTTGATATTAGGGTACATTTAGGGTTATTTAGGGTAAAGCAGGTTGACTGTCCTCGTGAATCCAAGATGGCGTTTTGGCGTTGTGCAAGAAAAGGTAAAAATCTAAAGTAAATAAAATAGAATAAAGAGGCTAGTTTTAAAAGATTATATGGCGTAAAACAATAGTTCTTCTGCTAACGTTTGTGAGTGCAAATTTTTAGTCGGTTTTCACGAAACGTCACCTCGCTACAATTTAATATTACAAAGTGATTTATATGGTACAAATGCATATTAAATGTACTGTACCTGAGTAAATGCACATATGTTTAGCCGTATTTCGTTCACTTTTTAAGTGCGTGTATATACCTCTAGGAAAACGTGGGTATATTCAAGGATATCCTTCCATGTACTAAATTATCAGTATTTGCTGTAATGCATACAGCAGTATTAAACAGCATACTTTCAGCAATGGATTGAGTGAAATATTTGCAATATAATGAATTTGACTTTACTTTTAGCTGGCAGTTTCCTGCAGAAGCATGGTGTTCGATATTGCTATAATGAAACCAGACCAAACCTGGGTATCAATAAAAATACAAAGATTATTTGTCAAGGTTTCACTGGAAAACAAGTGAGTTGAATCTGGTTGAAAAAAGGCAAGATATCTGTTAAACAAAACTTTCTTTAATTCTAATGATTTGATGGTTTTTAGGGCACTTTTCATAGTGAACACTCAATTAGATATGGTAGTCGTATGGTTGGTGGTGTGTCACCTGGTAAAGGAGGACAAACTCACCTTGGGTTACCTGTGTTTGATAGCGTTGCTGAGGTATTACAAGTGTCTTGACCCACATATACTGAAGTTCATCAACATTAGTACTTTACTCTGTCTAATGTTGCTGTGGAATAGTACTAGTGCAGATGAAAAGACTAGTAATGATTTTAGTTGCAGTAAGTTTAGCTGTAGACCTGTTGCCTCAGGTTTTAGCTATTCTACAACCATTTGGTCATTTTTCATGTTAGGCAAAGAAAGAGACTGGTTGTGATGCTACAGTTATATTTGTTCCACCAAAATTTGCCAAAGATGCCATTATGGAGGCAATGGATGCCGAGATTGGTCTGATTGTTGCAATTACTGAGGGAATACCGCAGCAGGATATGGTTAAGGTTCGGTACAAAATCAAGCATGTCATCTACAAAATGTTTCCTGTCGCATGGCTTGAAAATCTTTAGAATTTTCTTCAATAATTTTAGGTAAAACACCGGCTGGTTAGACAGAATAAAAGTCGTCTTGTTGGCCCTAATTGTCCTGGTATTATTAAAGTAAGCAGACCATGTTTAATGGCTTTTTAATACAATATTTTATCGTTTTTTTAAATGGTTTATCTCCTTTTTCTTAGCCTGGTGAATGTAAAATAGGAATAATGCCAGGTCATATACACCAAAAAGGTTCAATAGGTTTGTAAATCTTCCAAATGGTAAAACACCTGGTATATTAGAGGCTTCAGTATTAGTTTGTATCAGCTGTAAATCAATGTTACCTGTTGGATATTTCTAACAGGAATTGTATCAAGATCTGGAACGCTAACATATGAGGCTGTCCATCAGACGACTAAGGCAGAGTTGGGGCAATCGCTTTGCGTAGGTAATGACAATCGCTTTGTGTTTCAAATGCAAGTTTCTCAATTTTTATCATGTCTTAAAAATGAGGCATTTTCTTCAGGTATTGGTGGGGATCCTTTTAATGGCACAAACTTTATGGATTGCTTAGATATATTTCTTAAAGACCCTGAAACTGAAGGTAATCTAATGTTAAATTTATTCTGAAGAAGAGGAATATGTTGTAATCTTTTGTGTGTGTGCTTGTATTTAAAATTGTGCGTATGGTCTATGTACTCGCGAATATGGAAGTGTTGGTCTTTCAGAAGGCGTTATTCAGGAGGAATTTGCACCCAACTTTAATAGCAACTGTGAAACTTTGATTTGAGCAATGAACGATTATTTTCATACGATAATATCTGGTTTCCCATGTACTTAATATTATCCTTAGGTATTATTTTAATTGGTGAAATTGGCGGAGGAGCTGAAGAACGAGCTGCTGAATTTCTGTTGGAACATAACCAAGGAGAGAATGCTAAACCAGTCGTATCGTTCATCGCTGGACTCACAGCTCCCCCGGGACGACGCATGGGTAAGGTTTGCTGACAAATACATTGAGATAAAGGCAGACAAGAAGAGAGTTATTTAAAATATGAATAACATAATTTCCAGGTCATGCTGGGGCTATCATATCAGGAGGGAAAGGCGGAGCTGAGAATAAGGTAAGATTCTTGTTTCGTTTCTGGAATTAAAGAGTGTTTGTCAGCCAAGCAAAGTGCTCCTGTAGTTGGTACCGTTAATGAAACCAATTGGGTTCTTGTTGCTGTAGATTGCTTGTTTAAAAGAAGCTGGTGTGATCGTCACAAATTCTCCTGCGCAAATGGGAAACACTATGAAAGAGGTATCTTTTAAAAACTGATTTCTGTTGAACTTCTTCAAAACTATTTTACCTTTCTTTGCGTATTTTATACAATCGTGATTTCTTCTTTTTCAAGGCTTTAGCTGGAAAGATCGAGGCATAGAATGACACCTGAAGTGTTGAGAAAGAAAACATATCCTTCGAAATATTTGCTTTGCGGCGCCAAAAAAAGGAATGAAAACATCAACGTTGCGAATTTTATAGAAACATTGTGGTTCTAATTTCGTGATTTTTCCTGTAAAATATTCTGATATATAAGAAATTATTCTTGAAATTGTTATTGAAATTTATTAATCAGTGATTTCAGACGTTCTGGTATATTCTGTTGGATTTATTTCGTTTTTGATACGGGTGGGTTGGTGTCAGGAGTCACCCCATAGTGAAGGAAACGCATCTTCAGTTTGTGATTAGTTGGACCAAAATAAAATGCGTACATGAAGTATGGATTCTCCAGGCTTAAACTTAAAGTATTGCAAAATATATTTTGTTAACAGTTTTAAAGTGATCTTTTTAAGTTTGTAAAGCAAAATGAGTTGGATATTTCATAAAATAGCTTTAGTGAGAAGTTTTGCGTCTTTTGGTACGAGTGTTCTACCAAATATATCACAAAGTTTTGTGAAACAACCGTGTGCGCGAACGCCATTTTGGTCTATCACACGTTGGGTTCAATACGGCAATGAATACAAGGCAAATAATTTACAAAGGAAGAGAAAACATGGTTTCCTTGCTAGGAAACGTAGTAAAGCTGGTCGGAGGATATTGAAACGTCGCGAGGACAAACAGAGGAAATTTTTATCACATTGATCATCATCCTGCAAGTATAATGGTAAGTCTAATTGCTCTCTTAGTGTGGGTGTTTTAATACGTAATTTGTGATAATGGTGTATAAGCCAGAGGAAAAAATATTGAACGATGATAATGTTGTCCTTATTTGGTTGAGCATGACTGTGTAAATATAAACAACCTGGCTGAGAGAAACAAGCACTTGATGAATTGTCTTTTATCATAGTCACCTTGTATGACCATACAACATGCTGGGTGATGCAAATTAATTAGGCACTTGGTCTGTGAAAAAAGAGGTCAATATATAATATGCTATTGATTGAGAGATAGCCTCACAAGATAAGCCTGACTAGATATGCTGAACTGATATCAGTGTTATTCTGATTCATATGTTATATGATATATTGCTGTTTGATATTTTGTTAGTTAATTAACGTTGTAGGAAACTTCGAAACTTCAAAGGCAGGATTGGCAGCAAATGGACACCGTTTGATAATTAATTCATTTTAGTAGACAAAATATCCAGACATTGCTATGTGTGCTAGTAATCAAAACTCTTAGAACCACAGAGCAAATTATCTCTTGAAGATGACAAATATGACAATTTAACAGATCTTCACAGAAAAAAACATCTGATTGAAATCTCAACAAATTTTGCATTTACTGAGACTAAACTTAGAGCAATTAAGTAAGATAAAAACTGTCTATTCTGGGGTCTTTATTCTGAAACTTCTGGCAATATTCCACTGCAATACAGCACAACCTTTAGTATCGTGATTGATTGAAATGATATCTAGACTGAGGTGCAAGTTTTTGAACCAATAAATAGAGCAGTCTTCTACCATGCTGCTACGTTGGCCAGCCATTGAAACAGAAGACGGTTTTGAGCCTAAGTATTTAAAAACAATTTACTGCAATTATTTGATGAAATTTTCGTAACTTCGCTTGATTTTTGCGTGTTTTAAAACAAAAAAATTCAAGAGTTTCTTTGTTGCGCTAAGATAGACTTCGTTAGCAAAGTCAATCTTTATGTACGTAACGGTTTTCCGGGGTTCACAGTTTATGCACGCAACACCAAGCATCTTTAGTTATCAAATCATATTTTTATACCATTTTTACCCCCTGGTTGCCCGACTTTTCCTTAAATAGTGCCACTGGACAATGCTCATGGTGATGCATTCTTCTAATGCTAAAAATATTGTAACCTATCGGAATTTAACACTTCATTCCTTCCAAAATAGGTCTGAAAAACCCACTCGCTTTAAATATCTCTTCAAAGAAGTGAATGATATACTAATGATTTAATAGGTTTCCTTGGAGAAATGTTCATTGAATGTAAGTTTATTTTGAAGTATATATGAAGGATTTCTATTTTTTCTTTTACCTTTTAAAATAGAGTAAGGATTTAAAAACGGTTTCGGTCATTTGGTTTGCGTTTGAAGAGTTTTACATACGAACAGCGAGAGCTCGTGCAACAAAGCTTTACAGCTCTTTCATAACAAGAAGACGTTGTTCATGATATTGCAAGATTAACTCAAGTGCCTAATTCACTTATCTTTGTTCATCAGGAAACAATCGAAAGTAAACCACTGGTTTTCATGCAAACCCATATTTGAGGGTCAATAGCCGGATAATTTCATTAACTGTGATCGAAATAAAATAACGAGTTTGAGCTGACCAGGAATTGTAGAAATCGTGTTGAAATGGAGCAAGGATACTATACTTGATTCATAGCCACAATTATCATATAATTGTCAGAACGATCACAAGTTTTTAATAATTCAATTATTAAAGAACAAATTCCTGTATATTTTCAAGACTAAAACAAGGTATTCGTAATTTGGTAGTTATATTACAGTTCAACTATGTCTGTATATAATGATATCGAATAAAGCCTTGCTACATTGGAATGTTAATTGCGACATTTACATAGTCGTCGACTCGCTATTGGATCTAGTGGTTTCCAGCGATTAAAAAAATCTATTTGCGTCTATAATTAAACGTTGATAACTGCTTAGAATGCATTATAAAGATATAAATTCTGACGAGTTTGAATGATTTATGAGAAAAACATGCACAGATTCTAGGTAATTCTCATTATTAACCTAATGTAAATCCTTTTTCGAATTCACCTCATCCTTGCAGCACAAATGCGCTTTACTCCTGACTTCGAAACTCATTGTTCAGAGAGCGCGGGGACGAAGAACCATATTTCTCAGTGTAGCATCATAAGAACTTCACATCTTTTATGAATTAGTGTGGTGGACTTCTTCTAAAAATTCCGTTATGGCTTTACCGATCTCGTATGGCGAGTCCTCTTGTAAATAATGCAAACCCTTTACCTTAACTGTTCTGGTGTTTGGCCATGACATAGCTGTCTCCGCAATAGCTTTACTGAATACGCCAGGGTCTGCTTCGATGAATAGTTTTGGGATTCCTTCACTTTGCTTCATGAACCGACCATAATCTTGCACTATTTTCAGGACATCATACGGTCCTTCGCTTTCGAAAGGAATCTCTTTTGGCCAAGTGACCATGGGTCTCCTGCTTTCGCCTTTTTCGAGAAAAGGCTGTCGATATGCGTCCATTTCAACTCTGTGTAACTTCCTCAAAGTGTTCGCAGGAATGAGTCTTTCAATGAAGAAATTTTTCTTCAAAACCAATTTCTCGCCGGGTTTTTCTCGCAGGTTTTGGAAAATGAGTTTCGGCATCATTGGCCATTGCTTCCAGGAAGTTGCTGGCATCACAACGCTTTCTCCATGAACAAGTGATTTCACTCTTTCTGGGTGCATGTGGCACCAATGAAATGCTATTCCTGAACCCCAGTCATGGCAAACGATGGTGATCTTCGTTGGTAATTTCATCGCGTCAATCCAAACTTCAATGTACTTGTAATGATCTTGGAATTTATACGAACTTTCAGGCAGTTTACCAGACGCTCCCATACCAATCAAATCTGGGGCAAGACAACGATATTTTTCTTCAATATGAGGAGTAATATTCCTCCAGATGTAGGAATAAGTTGGATTCCCGTGCAGGAATACAACAACTTCTTTACCAGCTGTATCTGGAGCAGAGTCATAGTAGCTTATTGTTGAATCCAACACTGGAATTTGTTTACATTTGCTAAGCCATTCATCTGCTGACATTGGATTGCTATCGTCCCGACGCTCATGATTCACAAAATGTCTTAGAGAAGTATGACATTGGACAGTCAGTGATAATAGAGAGCCCATGTTCTTTCCCCCGCAAGGTCGTAAGAAAATACATAGGGCAGAGCTCCGTTGAGCTCCTTATAAATGCGCGCGGGTCAGGCGGGAATTCTGATTGGCGGAGATACGGACACCTCCATATTAAAAAATGTTCGGGGCAAGTAAGGTCGCTCGAGGAGACTGGCTATTGTTTGCTAATCAAGTCATTTTTTGAAGTTCACTTTCGTATGTATCGCTTCAGCGATTATCTATAGACTTTGTACTTAGGAAATGTAAACATCTTCGCACGCGTCAGGTCCGTGATTTGAGAAAAATTCACTGTATTGCCTTCCTCAACCATTTGCTACACGCCGCAGTCTTGCACGTTGAAACATCTGCGTTTATTGATTGTCCGACATGAAAATACACCATGCTTGCATTTGAGTTAACAGATTCCATTTTAATAGAATAATCGTTTGACGTATTGTTATTCATTCTTAGTAAAATAAAAATAACTTCATGTTTGCTCATGTCTATATAGCGACCAGAAGCTAAATAGTTTTCTTAGGCTGTATGAAGTCTCTCTAACTAAGTCAGTATTTGGAACTATATCTATAGTATGAATTGTCTATATATCATCTCTAGCAATGAACCTTATTAAAAACACTATCAGTTCATATTTCTTTGTTGAGAGTTCTGTTAGATTCAGAGTTATTCGGGCAGGATAATTTGCGCAGTGTCACGACTCTGCCACATTGTGGTTGACTTGTATCGGTTGATGCCTAACACTGGTCTTTGACCCGTAGGGAATGTAATTTACCCTAAAGATGAATCTTTGCGACATGTTCTTATCCGAACTTAGACAAAGACATGTCTCTTCCTGAAAGCAGTATAAAATAAAACTGACTGTTGGCCTTTGATGAACGTGTTGTTACGCAACTGATGAATGTCATCATACTGATCGATTTTGTCATTTTTTAGCTGGTATTTCTGCACATTAATTGCCCGATCCACTTCCTTATTGCTCATTATAGATCAAGGATTGTACTTGCCTTATCCGGAATTAACAAGTACTTGGTTTGTAGAATCCAACCGCAAGTCTATGGGAACGTAATATAATTGGACGGTCTATATAGCTGCCTGTATTAGCTATCAGTTTTTAAAACCAGAGCGAGCGTTTACCATGCCTGGATCTGGAAATCTTAGAGTTAGATTTCAATGATGTACATGGAGAACAATATTGAAGTGTATTCGATCTCTTGAATTCACTTATACAATATTCTATAATACTGATCACCCGTATATATGTCAGTCAAGGAAATCCACTGTTTGTACATGAGTCTTACATTCAAGTTTATTTCTTATGCTGTTTGTTTCTAGTACTATATGAGACAAACCCTTTTGAAATGAAATATATATGTATGCATGTAGCTTAAGTTGGAATCACTCTAAACTCTTTGTATATTGCCTGGTAAACATTTTTTTTAATATGCCGCTTTGAAGCCAGATCTTGTTACTTGTATAAAATTCTCGGGTATAATTCATGGTGAAGTGCATGGTCAATTAAGGTATCTAATTATATAATGTGGGTGTAAACCTTCCATAAGACATTTGCTAGAAAAGTGTTCCACTCCAAGTCTTGGCCTAATTTAAACGTCATAAATATGTATAACGACGTCAATGATACAGAAGACTTTGCTAAATATCTTTGTTTCTAGCACTTAACATCTCTTTTACATTTTCCAAAATATAATTATATCTTTTTTATATTTATAGTTGCAAGATGTTTGTGCTAAAATTCGTTGGACAACCCCACCACACACACACACGCGTGCTGACGTATTGGAGTCTTCTATTTACGTGAGTTTAGGTCCGAGCTCGTGCATCTCCTCACGAACAAGAAGACAATTAAGATTTTGATCTAAGTAGAAAGTTGGTCTAATGTTGCATGAAATCTTGTTTTAGCCTTGAGGCTATAGTCTCTATTGTTAAATCTATATCCATACAACATTTGAAACTTATCCGTGTACCTAAGAAACCAATTTCAAATGCGCAATTTCCAAGAATGATGGAATCTTAACAACAGTAATACACTAAATGTCAAGGAGTCGTTAATGTTTTCTTTTAAAAATATTTGTTCACGTGTACAGAGCGTGATATGAAAATATAATGACTGTTTTTACTTACTGGCAATCTACAACAAACAGAACACAAAGGCAGTAAATTTACTTTTTTACATGTATAGCAATTAGGTTAGACAATATGAAACTCTATTATGGCCCCATGTAGGGGGAACACATGCTATGAAACACACATGGACAATAGCCTGTAAGAAAATCTGGGCAAATAGCTGAAAATAGTATCATGTCAAACGTTTACAACTGATGCATGGATGCAGACTGCAGCGATTTAATGTTTCCAACAAGTTGCATGCTGACAGCATATAGCTCGCGTGATCTAAGAAACTGAAAGAAATACCTACTGTCACAGCAGTCCCTATAAAGCCTAGAAATGGATACACGTTAATTTTGTGTATGTGTTTATAGGAATTTAAATTGCCACATGAAATAGCGGTCTGTTTTTTTCAAGAATGTTTCGCTATACCAGCAGGACTAACAAAATAATTAGATTTCCTATCATGTCTAGACGAGCGTATATGTAGCAAGGAAAATATCCCAAACTGTCATCGAGGGGATGAAAAAAACTTGATTGTTTTTTATCACCTGGTGTGAACATTTTCACATACTTGCTGAGTTAATTATCTTCGTTTAACCTTAAATAAAACGTGCCCTTCAATATCCTTATGTTCAAAGCTGCACATGCCCGGGCGTCCGTTTCATTGCTATTGTTTAGCTTTACCCAATATGCACTTATTTGTTTTCCATACCATTCATTGTGCTTATATAGTCTTTTTTAAGACCAGAAGAGCAACATTGTGCATATAAAAATATTGCGGAGTCAGATAAACCACAGTCCATCAGTGCAGGTTTTATTTACATGTCATTTCTCAAATCTTTGTAAATATTTTCAACTGATATTTTGATTATCATCCTGTTTGATCACGAATAATGCAGAAATATGAAACTTGCCCCCCACTTCAATGTTTTACAAGGGCACAAATGCTTCCCTAAAGTGATTCATGCCCCAATGTTACTCAAGGTCAAAGTTTTACAAGGGTGTCATGCTATGTGTTGACACTAAAAATCATGTTTATTATTATGTTAAAGAGATTTTTGAAATAATATTATTCATGCAAAAAATTTTCATCATTCTGCGTGTTTTGCGGTTTTTTATTGAAGGAAAAAACACATTCCGGACAAGTCTTTGAAATTTGTTACTAAGCATATTATGGCCGAGTTAATGGCAGGAAGCCAGAAGCCTACACGAGACTAAAGTGTGTCTAAAACGTAATGTGATTGTAGAGAATGGCAATGAATGTTGGTAACATGTTGCTAAGATTGGCTAATAGCTTCGTAATAGATTACACCCTAATTAACCCCTTGATTAACCCAAAATGCGTCATATCCACCCACATATTCCTCCTTATTTGCGTCGTGCCTTGTTTTTCGTGCCTGTGTGCAGGCTAAAGTTGGTTGTTAAGGAAACTGTTTTTGGGACAGGCATTTTATGAAAATAATTCTGCATTAAGTTTACTTATAAACTGTCAAGATTTGAAAGATGAAGTTATGTATTTTTGCTGTCCTTTTCTTTGCTTTTGAAGTAGTGTTCCACTCGCAATACGTAAGTTAGTTGAATAAGTTTTTGTGAAAGTGTTAATGATCATGTTGGCTTTTTATACTTGGCTATACCGGCCTTGACTGTTGTGAATAACTACAGGGAAGATGTATTGCGTCTGAATCTGAAGGGAATGGTCATCATCGAGCAAAGCGTTCAACCAGCCCATTCAGTATGTGTTTTGAGATCTTTTCAATGTTTACAAGAGTGGATATCAACTGTAATGTACACTATTATGGTAATTAGAAGTCCCTAATTGAAATTTGAACCTGATATTCAATCTTCCAGGAATTCCACAACCGACCAAAGAATTTCCATTGGTCTTATTTGCTGGAGATAACTACAACAATGAAACTGAAGGAATCATTCATAGATCAAGACCTGGTGAATATCGTGTTTGGGCACAGACTCTGCCAAATGCTATTCAAGAATTTGTGTTTCGCTCGCTTCTTGTCTTACCAGGCTGGAAACTAACATTTCAAGCATGTTGCCCTTCAGGAAACAGGTGGACAGCATCTGTATCAAATGTTAGTAATATCTCTAGTCTGCATTATTACATGTTTGACCATGTGAGGATTGGAGAAGGAATTTTTTATACTCAATGGCTGCATTGGGATCAAGAATTCTCAGTCAAGGTTAGGAACTGTTAATTTTTCTCTAAAATATGTGTGTGATAGTCATGCTATGGTTCAGTTATAGTTCAGATTAGCTCTATAATGTAAGATTGATTCATGAATTTTTCTCAATGTAAGGTTGATCATTGTGAGTTTCCTGAATTGTGCACAAATTTAACATGTGCAAAAACATGTTATTTTGGTTCTTGTGGATTGGATGGGACATGTCAGTGCAAGGAGGGATATTCTGGAGAAAGCTGTGAGAAACGTAAGTCACTAACTGCATGATTAAATTCTATGGTCCAAACAATGATGATATGATTTTCATTAATTAATAATCTTTGTTGTGTAGGTCCACTTGTTTCAGAAGTCTACCCCAATCTTACGTATCCATTACTTCTGTTTCCACAAGCATATTTTCAAGGTACTCCAGTCAAAGTTGCAGCTGGTGTCTATCAGGAATTTGCCAAGAATGCAGAGAATAAAAGGACATTTATATATTTATCAGCAAGAGTTTTGTATACAAGAACTATCTCATTTTCTCGTAACAAAGAGACCGACCAAGTTAATCAAATTTCTCCTGGATCTGATATTGCAAACTTAGAGTTCTTCTTTGCATCAAATATGGATTTTGGAACTCCTCTTTGGTATAATTATGCCAAGACCATTGACTCTATTTTTTATATGAAAGTGGCTGGTGAGAATCAATGTGCCAGCTGTAGTGAAGAGGGTGGTTGTTGCTATACAGGTCAGTGTGTGTGTTTGCCAGGATATAATGGGACATTTTGTGACCAAAAAATGTGATGAAGTCATGAACTGAAAAAACTTTCATACATTGTACATAAATTATTTAACTGTTGTTCCTACTTGTAAATTTTAATTTATCTGTGAGTTGAAAGTAAATAAAGAAAAGGTAATTAAAACAAGCTTGGCTAATAATCTTTAGCATGGCAAACAATAATTTTTAGTCATACATTTGTAAGTATAGCATATATATTACAAAGGTTGTTATTGCTGTCTTGTATGCTAGGTAAATACGCTTTACTTGTGTGCAGGAGGAGTGAATTTCTGATTAGACTTTCTTAGCTTAGTCCTCCTTACACCAAAAGGACAACTAAAGGGCAACAAGAGGAAAACTAAAGGGTAACAAAAAGAAAAACTAAAGTTCGCTACTAGCAGTTTACTGCACCCTGGTTCTGAGTTTGTGATCTGAATCATCTGGTTCTGAGTTGATTGAATTTGATGTAACTTAATAAGCCTTGATGAAACTTGATCCAGAACGAACAGAACTTACTTATGTTAATCATTGATTTCCAGTCGATCGGATGAAAGTAGAAACTTTGCGTAGTTGACAAAAAAATCTTGGAAAACAGGTTTTCTGCAATGTTTGGGTTCTTTTTTTATTTCTTAATTTGATTGGTCAATCAGATAAATTTCTGCGCATTGATTGGCTATCAGCTTTGTTCTGTGGACGTCTGTGTTTACTGTGACTTCTCAGCCATTTTGACCGACATTTGGAAAAACTTTAGACCAGATATTTCAATTTATGGTGCCAATTCCAGGCAACTGTTGTCTTAAATTCGGTAGAGAAGACAAAATATCAATGAATAGGAATGAAGAGGACGGTGAATTTATATCTGGCGTTGTTGAAGGTAAAATCCAGCTAGTATTTTGGAATATTTTACGAATAAAATCGAGTTCAATGTGCTGTTTGTATGACTTGTTTTCAATGGTGTTTTTTAACAGGGTTTTACGGTAGGCCATGGACATTTGATCAACGTAAGGAATTATTTAGTAGGTAAGAAAGTACTATTGATTTATATAGAAATAAGATACAATGGATATGTTTTTAATAATATATAAATAAACGACATAGTGTCAGATCGTTCCTGATTCTTACCTGTTGTCGAGTGTTGGATGTTGAATATCTATGATAAAACAAAGGTAATCATCATTTTGCGGTAAGAAATTCTACATTTGATTAATTCTTGGCAATGGTAGGCCACTGGGTTGGCTAATTAATGCCTGATTCTTCCTTCTGCAAAGTAAACTTGTCTGGCAATCCTGGCATAGACCATTAACGGGCCAGATTAAAAGTTAAAACTTCCTTGGTAAAGAAGTAGAAGATCCAGAGAAGCTAGATTACATGGCTACAATTGGTTTACATCAACCTATAAACTCAGATTTGAAGTGTTTTTCATTGCATCCACTATTGTTAAGAACACTTAAAATACCTAGACATTCTATAAGTTCCTCATTGCTAAGCAGGAAATAAAATGCATTATGTTTTGTCATTTTAGGTTGAAGAAATTAGGGTTAAATTTTTACCTGTACGCACCTAAAGATGATATTAAACATCGAGCATTATGGAGGGAACTATATACCTCAGAGGAGTTAGGTATGGTTCATATTACTAATGAACAATTTTGTTACCAAATGGTAGTTAATCCAGCAAGTGCTGTATTACTTCACTTCGCAATGGACTAACTGCCTTTTTGAGGTCAGCCAAATGGCAACACTTATTTGGAGTGCAAAAATATTTGCTTATGAACCTAGTAGTAGAACCTATTTCTTAGTAAAATATGATAGTCTAATCTTAAACCTGTTTACTGATAGATGTTTTCATTTATTTTTATCTTAAAGATAACCTGAAGTCATTAATAAGTTGTGCAAGAGACCATAATATAGTCTTTATATATGCATTATCACCTGGCTTGGATATGGTGTTCTCAAGTTCCAAGGAAGTTGACACTTTGAAAAAAAAGATAAAACAGGTACATTGTTGCATCAGCAGTTATGACAAAGGATTTCAATTTGTATTTCACATTCAATTCATATTCTCATCTACCTTTGTTTCATTTAGATAGCAGATCTTGGTTGTATAGCATTTGCTTTGCTTTATGATGATATAGATCCAGAGATACGTCCTGCCGACAAACACGCCTTTCAGTCATTTGCTCATGCACAAGTTACAGTAACAAATGATGTGTTTAAATTCTTGGACAAACCCAAATATTTTTTAGTCTGCCCTACAGGTATGTGAAAACTATAAAGTATTTGTCCTATGAATGATAGCATTGAAGAACTGTTTCGCAGAGGATTTGATGTGTTATTTTCCTGGTATCATTTAGAGTATGCAGCCTCACGAGCCGTCCCAACTGTTGATAAATCATCATATCTTTCCACTTTGGGAAATAAACTTCATCCTGACATTGATATCATGTGGACAGGTCAGTATGACACTTGCAGATATGACCCTTCTGTCTAATATAACACATAATATGACCCTCCTCTCTAAGATAACACCCTCTCTAAGATAACACCCTCACTGTAATATCACACTCTTCTCTAATATGACACCCCTTACCCTCTCTCTAATATGACAACCCCTCTCCAATATGCTCCTCTATTGAATAGCACCTCTCTTAAATTTCCTATCTATTTCCTATATTTCTATATAATATTGATGTTGAATGAACTCAAAATGCTGTCAAACAGGTCCAAAAGTTGTTTCAAAAGTTATCACAACACATTCAATCAGAGTTGTTACAAATGTTCTAAAACGTAAACCAATCATTTGGGACAATATACATGCAAATGATTACGACCAGCGACGATTATTTCTTGGACCTTATGACGGTCGTCCAATTCATTTATATACACATCTTCGTGGTATTCTTACAAACCCTAATTGTGAATTTGAAAGTAACTTTATTGCAATACACACTTTGGCAACTTGGATCAGAAGTGCTCATGTGACTTTTTATGGTGAAGACGATGAGGAGAATTCTTCTAATACAAAGGAAAATAAGGATGTTATTGAACCAATGGAAGATGAGTCTGTTGTTGATTCAAATTTAAATGACAACCAAACAGAAAGCAAAGACTTAGATGTTGATTCAAAAGACGAGAAATTAGACTCTAGTATGGAGACTGACACAGAAGTAGAAACAAACACTACAAATACTGAAGTTGTTGAACCAGTTTTACCAAAGTCTATTACAATTCTCAAAGCTTATGATCCTGAAGAAGCCTTAAAGCTTGCAGTTACAGAATGGCTGCAGGAATTTAGTAATCCTAAAAGCGTCATATTTAGTACCTACGCCAAAAGCGGGGCATTTTCTGTCGTGAACAACTCTACACCTGTTCAAAGTACATCAAGCATACCGGCTAAGACGGACGTAACAAGCACGATTCTTACAGACTCAGTTAAAGTCGTGGCAACGCCATCGCCAATCAAAGCAGCAAAGGAGAAAAGTAGAAATAAAATTAAAAAAGACATGGAAGCTGAACGTAAGGTTGCATCTTTTTATGATTTTTTTTCCAAGTAATCCATTTCCCATGCGAGGTTCATAGAAAACCGTATTCTTCTTCTTGTAATTTCTGTAGCTCCTTTATTTTAGATGGTCCAACAGCAGAAGCAAGTGTTGGTGAAGAGATGGAAGTTGTTGAAGCCAAAACTGAAGTTAAAGATGAAACTGAACAACAGAAACATGAACTACCATTTCGATTAACTGTCGACGATCTTCTCTTATTGGTTGATTTCTTTTATCTTCCTCATCAGCATGGCAAGAGAGCACTCCAGATTCTTAATGAGTTCCGATGGTTGAAGGCAAATTCTATCAAGTCAGATGAGTTGTCAGACACAGAGAGCGCTAAGAAGGTTTGTTCCCTGGCATTGTGAGAATGACAATCGGAGTGAATTAAAATATATTTACGTTATGATGACTGATTGCAAATTCTTTTAAAAATAGGTCGTAGAATGGAAGCAACGAGCGAAGCTGTTTCATGGTTATGTCGAAAATGTTTCACAGATGTTCATTCGTCTCTCTGACACACCGAATCGTGCAATTCTTTATGATTTATTTCCATACGTTTGGGATGTGAAGGAAGTTGTGCTTTTGCTTGACTCTTTTGTGAACTGGCTTGGTAAGCTTTTATTAATTTATAGAGGGATATTCTAGCTATGACCGTTACTGCTGAGTCACAGGGTTCTTCGGAGGTAGAGAAAGGTTCACGATTGCTAAGAGCGAGGATTTCAGGCCAAATAAGGTAACAAAGTGTTTATCAGGAAGCGTGTGTGTTTTGCAGACTCCAAGACAAAGAAACGAAAAGAGAAATCGTTTATTCCAGATGACCCGGAACCTTGGGTAATTCGAGGTGGAATTTGTGGTGAAATGCAGGTAATGCTGTATATCCTGAGATTTCCAATACATCTTTGTGCTTTTTACCAATTTCTCGTTACATTTCAGCGTCTGCTTCCAATGTTGGAAGGTGGAAGTGATTTGTTTACCCAAGGTGCTCCACAGGTTCCAACATCGAGTGTTTATACCATACGACCGTTTACTGTTGCTGATAAGGTACGATCCTATAATATCCCAAACTCTTCTGTACGACTCTCCTTTGCTTCCTAACTTATCCCTATTTGTTGCTTATTATCCTCTCACCAGGATGAGCTGTACGACATTTGCCTCTCGACTTGTGATGATGGTCAGGACGGACATGATTTGTTTCCCAACGAACCAAACATGGCCGGCGATAGGTAACAATCCTCATCAATTTATATTATCTTATAACTTTATATCAAATATGCTTGGGTAATTGAAATATATTACGCGCAAGTAATCTGCTAGTAGACTATAATTTGATCCATAATTTATTGCATTCTCCAGGTTTATAGGTCCGTACATGAGTATTTGTCCGGAGACAGTTTTTGTAGTTGAAGATAAGTTTGGTTTATGTGGTTATGGTGTGGCAGCCGCCGATGGACGGAATTTTTATGATCAGTATAAAGACGAATGGTTGCCAAAAGTAAGGACAGCGATGTTTAGTGATAAATAGTTCCTTGAGGGGCTTTAAAAGACCAATTCGGTTTAATTTTAAATCAAGTAGTTTAGTAGAAATAATGAAGATGGGGTTTAAGTTTATTATCTTTTGTTTAGATGTGTGAAAAGTACAGTAAACCCAGCGGTGATCCAAGTGAATTTCTTTATTCGGAACAAATAGCTGACAGTTTTCACAACCCTTCTACATTTCTACCTGATGAATTATATAACAAATATCCTGCCCTTGTGAGAATTGATCTCTTGTCACGAGCACATGTAAGTACATGGTGTATATGACCATTGAGAGGAAAGATTTCTGAAAAAGAGAGAGATTTCTCATATAAAACTATCTTATTTATTTTCTAGAGTCTTGGTATTGGTAAACGTCTCTTGGCCTGCATCTTGTCCGTTTTGAAATCTGAAGGTTGTCGTGGAGTTTATGTTGAAATTGCAAGTACGAACAGGGATGCTTTAGACTTTTATTCTGGATTGGGTTTTGCTGACGTTCCCTCGTTGAAAAATATTCCTGAAGATATTGTGGTGTTAGGAAGAACAATCTAATCTAGTTGCACGAGACTGATTTAGTTAGCAATTTTTTGACATAGAACTAATGTGAATATAGTTTGACAAACAGGAAGTTTGAAGTTCGAAATTGTATTGCAATATAGTGACCTTGAATAATCATTATTTGCTGTCATACAGCAGAGTTATTGATCAACAGAATTTTAAACTGGTCGGTTCCATTCATGAGGCTCGGCATATACAGTAAGTTATATGTGGATTTGAAAAACATTGCTATTTTATTTAATTCGACTATTGTATTTTATTCGACTAGTTCTCTAAGCAGTTTTCGCACGTGTAGAACGCGATTTACATCAGACTGTAGTAAAGAATTTTCAGTCTAGTTCAATACTAGTTTGTTTTTCTAATTTGCGCATGCGTTCCCTCGAGATGCGCGCGCTTCTGGTATACATTAGTCCACTCGCGAGGCTGACACCCGAGGTGCAGGCGAGAGATGCCAGATATGAAATATCAGGATACTAAACTACACAGCTGTAACACAAACAGCTGCAACATCATTTGCATTCAATTCATGAAAATGAGCGCGACTTGTTTGTTGATATGTTCTAAAACTTGATCTCATGTCGGTTGAATCGTAGTTTCTGTTCCATCGACGTCTTGGGCCGTGCGAAACATTTCTTGGCTTCCAACAACAAATATTCTCCCAGAATCCTTTTCGAAATTGTCTGTTAACTAAACCGTATATGATAGGGCTGCATGTCGTATTCAAAATCGTTGTCAAAGTTAAAAAGGCGTCCACGCCTTGTGGTATAGCACTTTGTATAGATTCAAAGATTAGGTTTACGCCAAAATATGGGAACCAGGAGGCCACAAATATAATAAACAATGTCCATATAAGTTTTGTGACCTGATAATCTTTAAACAAAGATTTAGAGTAGTTTTTCCGTCTTGGAGTATACACTTGGCTGATACACACAATTCTGTACAGTTTTAACATTCTTTCATGCGATCTTATGTGTTTGTAGATCTTGTAGTAGATCCCGATGATTGCAAAACTTGGGATTATGAAAACAGTTAGGGTGATGAATATCGTGTAGGAAAGAGAGTTACGCCACATGGATACACACATCATTTTACCTTTACTTTCAAGAAACTGTGACCAGCCCATCAACGGCGCTGAAGAAAGAGCAATCGCGAGCAGCCATGTGATGCACAACAGAAACAAAGTATGTCTTTTACTGAAGATTGCTTGGAAGGTGGTCGGTCGTAGTATGCACCAGTAACGGCTACAACTGAGAACGAGTAACGAGAACATTGACTCAAACAAACAAATTGAGTTCATAAAGCCATTTGCTTTACACGCTCCTGCAGGTAATTCATCATCCAGGGCGAGGTAGATTAATGACAAAGGAATATTAAAAAGACAGTGAAATATTGCTGTTATTGCCGTGTTAATAATGATTAGGTTAGTTACAGTTTGCACCAAAGAATTTTTACGATACGTGTGACACACTGTAGCGTTACCAATTAATCCTACGATGAACACCAACAAGAGCAGCGTGAAAAACACTGCCCGGAATTCCACGTCGTCTTCTTCAAAGAACGACATTTGAAAACTCCCCAAGCTCCTTACGTGTAGTTTGCATATACACAAGAGCCAAGCAGCTGTTTCCAGTCGCTTTACACTTCAAAGTGTCAGATAACATCTAGACACACAAAATGACGATGATGAACAGTAAATTAAGACCAGCATATATCTTTAATGCAAATTGTGTTCGCTTTTTTTTTTTCAAAATATAACTTTTTTTTAACTAGGAGAATAGGACTTGGAATATCGCTTCGCTTAAGGAGATAACTTTTAATGCGCGTCTCTAATGCGTTGTTAATGCATTTGTTAAATACTTTATTGAACTGACAAGATGGAATTATCTTGAGTACAAATATTGCTTCCCTATTTTTTGGAATGAAGGAGAAAACCATGAAACATTGATTTCAAAAAGTAGACATATTTTCATCTGTCAACGCAAAGATCTCAGAACATTTACACGCAACCTTTATCTCGCAGCCATGTCTACAATTATAGAGTAATATAAAAAACAAAAGTAAACATGAAACGAGAAAACATATGAGAGTATCCCACATAAAATTTCAGACACGATTTGATCATTTTTACATGTTTTAAACAAAGTGAAAAACAATTGTAGTATTTTTAAAAAATATATGAATAATATAAACTGTCTAGAGTGCTATCTTGAATTATTACTTGACGAAATGAATTATTTATGTTGACCGTCGGTTTCTTTGGTTTTTATCAAGACGCAGCCGAGTTTTAGCATATTTTCCAACACCGGTGTTCCTATGAGAAATATAAAGCTTTTAAGATATTGCTTTAATTAATATACTTTACTATTTTTAAGGAACAGTTTTGAAGAGACTCGATCTTCATAAGAATGCTTGTAGAGGCGTTATTTAAGGCGTTGTTGGGCTGGCCTTGTATAAATTATATGTTTTTGTTTTACTAAATTAAATGTTTGTCAAAGAAGATAAATCTATATAGAGCGTTTCCGTCTTTTTTGTAGGCGTGGTTTGATATGACAGTCCAGTTTATTCATTTTATGACAGTACAGTTTATCCTCAATGGCGGGATATTCAAAATGGCGGATGACCAGGAGCGGGTTTCTCAAAGTCCTTCGCATATCGTCGTTAACAGACAACTACAAGATTTAGTGAGAACACAAAACACTGCAATTGTAAAGCTACAATGTATGGTGAGCAATATTTCACTGTTTGATATCCATTAAACGCTACAAATATGCTCATTTTATATTATATTATTTCACATAATATTTAAACTTTCTTATTTATTCACGAATTTTATTCTTCCAAGTTGAAGCAAAAAGATGCCACAATTCCCAGAGAAGACTACCAAGCCATTGTAGCCCAGTTGGATGTAAGTTTTTTTATTTTGCATTTCGAAAAAAAGAGCTTATGGTAGTGTTTTATAAAATGTGAAGTGCCTCAACTAGATACATAAATTATAGGAAGAACGATTAGAACACATGAGGACAAAGACAAAGCTTGCTGAGGAAACTGAGAAATTACAATTTGCAGAAGGGCAAATAAACATGTTAAAGAGCCAGTTAGAGCGTGAAAAAAAAACATTTGAAAATGCGTAATACTTTTAGTTTTGATTTTTATATTATTACTTACCCTTCAGCCATTATTTAAAAACTCTCATGAGCATTGTGAATGATACTATTTCAGATTTCAGAAGTTGAAGTCAAAGGCTATTGGTGAAGCTCAAAAAAATGATGAGCTGTACAACAAGTGTTTAGGTGATTTTTTAAGTTGCTGGAATTCTTGTCAGTTTGAATTTTAATTAGGATAAAATGCTAACTTTTTTAATAATCCTTGCAGAAATGGAAGGACTTTGCAGTGAAAAAGATGATGGTCTAAGTTTTCAAGATGCAAAAATCAAGGACTTGAGGTCAAGAATTGCAAAACAGAAACAGATGCATAAACAATTAGTTGCTAATCTTGATATTGAGTTAAAACAAGAACAATATGTTGCACAACATTTACAAGGAAAAAAATCTGCCCCAAAAAAGAGAACAACAAGAAGATAAATGATTATTGAATAGGCTATCAATGTTGCTGTAATGTTTTTAAATATAAAATGTAGTATTTTTGTCAAAGTCCTCCAGAAATATTATATAGTTCAGTGGCTCAGTGTTCTTGTTGTCAATGGCAACAGGAGCAATATGGCCTCCAAAAATGTAGTAAAAAATATATATTTACTTGAGAATACTTTTACAGCTCTTTGAACTATTTTATTTATCACACACGGTATCTTTGAGCAATGGACAGTAGTATTAGGTCACTTTTATACAATTGTCGAGGCGATGATGAGCCTAAAAGTTTAATTAAACCGTATGAGAAGTTGAAACAGCTATGCACTGGAGACGCAAAAGTAAACGTTGGGACTGATTTATTCGTTCTTTGTGCGGAGATTGCTTGTCTGGTAAGTTAGAGTTTTTGCTAGAGATACGCAGAATTAAAAGAAGGAAGAAGACAGGTCAAACTGTACGTCTTATACCCAAAATTACACCCATACCTAACTTTGCCAACTTTGACAGTATGACAGTTTGTGACAAGAGTTATAGACTTGTAGTTATTTGTGGTTTAATAGACCATGCTGTGTCTAGGTCTGATTTTTTCTCTATGTTTTCAAAGCACAAGAAATTTGAGATGGCAGAAGATTGTATCAAGATGTATTTTGCCAACTCTCCTCCAGGAAATCAATTTCTTTGTCGAGCGTACATGTGCCAAGCCTTGATCCAAGCTCCATCTACAACAATGAACCCAGTAAGTTCTTATACAAATGAACAAACTTGCTTGAATCAACCAGCAAACTACTGTTTTGTCCAATCCCAAATACTATTGTAAGTGAATTGACCCGGTAATGGCTGGATAATTGTTGAAATAAATATCCTTTTTAGGAGCAGATTGATAAAGCATTCCTTTACATACTAAAAGCAATCAATTTTGCTAAACAAAATTCAAGGTAATGAATTGATGTTTCAAAGGATTGTAAGGTAGTTTCGCAAAGCTTAGAACCAGCTTGGAACCACTCCCTGAATTTGGTACCACTCCCTGAATTTGGTACCATATAATTTTGACATACATCTGTGGTAAATAATTTGTGTTTTTAGATATTATTTTTTGATATACAATGCTTCAGTTTTATACTGGCAGTTTTGTCGTATCTTCCTCAAACCAAACTATAAACGTTTTGTGGCAAAGTCACTACATCAAGTTGTTAAAGCTTTAGATGACATTGATGATGCAGATTATGAATGGCGTGCTCAATTAATGATGTAAGCGCTTGATTTAATCCAACTAAATCATATTTAAAATATTGCTCTATTCCTCTCTAATTGTGCCCGCTTCTCCATTTGTGCCTTCAATTGTGCCGTCATCTCTAATTGTGCTGTCCTCTCTAATTGTGCTGTCCTCTCTAATTGTGCTGTCCTCTCTAATTGTGCTGTCCTCTCTAAATGTGCCCTCCTCTCCATTTGTGCCTTCCTCTCTAATTGTGCTGTTGTCTCTAATTGTGCCATCCTCTCTAATTCTGCCGTCCTCCCCATTTGTACCCCCCTCTCTAATTGTGCTTTCGTTTCTAATTGCGCCCTCCTTTCTAATTGACATTGCCTTCCTCTCTGATAAATTGTGCCTTATTTCTGTCTACTTGTGCCCCCCTATTATGACATAAGTGAAAGGTTTGGGTTTATTCGCAGATCATTAATTGAATGTCACATTGATGCTGGACGAAAAGATGATGCAAGCCAAGTGGCCTTCACTGCTGCACAATTTACAAAAACGAATGTCCCAAATCTTTACAAAAATGTTCTAGGACTTCAGGTAAGTCCTGAACATTATCTAACAATGACTTGAATATATGAAACAGTCTTATATTGTCTTTCTTACCACTTGCTATCTACGCCAATAATTCTTTGATATTAAGATTTTTGTTGAATGCTACGTACTGTAGATCCAATACAGACTTGCTGAATATGGAAAATTGTCAAAAGAAACAAAAAGCTCACCAGATGTACATTTGTTTTTCAAAATCCATCGTTTGAAAGTGTAAGTGGTCAAACATGAGCAAGTAACCTAATATCAGACAAAAGTTCTCACATTTTTTGTCTGCTTTTTCCAGTCAGCTTGCTGAGGATGATAAAGCAGATGTTGCAATTGATTTCTCCAAGTTTTACAAACAACTCACAGGACAATCTGGCAGTGATGTTTCTAGAAATAGCACAGAGTTTTCTGAGAAATCCAGCCCAAGTGCAAGCAAGACTTCTACTCCAGTTGCAATGGAAAGTAGTGACAGGTGAGAACCGTAAATGCATTGTTTCACAATTATCAAGATAGAAAACATATCTGACATGATTAATGCTCATCTCATCATTAAGATAATCAAGCTGCTTCTTTACTCAGCTCTTGTTTTTTAGGCTTTCACTAATTCTAGAACTGGCAAAACTCTGCATGTCATATGGTGCAAGTCATTTAGCAGCTGACTGTTTGGATTATCTTCAAAGAGAATCAAAGGTTTGTAACAATCAGAGAGTAATTGTAACAATTAGAGAATAATTGTAGTCAATATTACAGCAATTAGAACTAATGCACCATGCATGCATGATCGCTGTGAATTTTTTTCCGCTTTAGGAGCCATCAGTTAAACTTATTGTTGAGTTTTTAAGATGTGAATTAATGGTTAAGTCGTTAGGGGATAAACAAGAAAATTATTCCCAATCAATTGTGCAGGTATGTAACTTTATTAATCTGTTACAAAAGATCTACAGGAACCTGTACAAATCACTCGTTTTTCTAGATACGTTTGCAAGCGATTGAAAAACTAGAACAGTATTTAATGACAGCGCTACGGCTTGGTGACCAGCATGTTATTGAGGTGAGTACCATATTGAAATGATTTCTTCCAATGAACGTAATTCCAGTAGACATATTATTCTGATTATTCCAGGTTGGTTGTACGACAATGTGGAATCTTTGTCTTCCTTTACTGCAGTTTAATCTACGACATCACGTGCGCAAGCCTTTGAAAATAATTGCGGATACTTTGGAAAGTGTAGACAGGTGAATGATCCGTCTGTTCACTTCTCTTATTTGTGTCGTGGTAACCATTAAATTCGGTTTATGGTGGGAAGAATGTTGTGTCTATTTGGGAAAATCTTTATTCAAAATGAGGGGTAATTTTATATTATTCTATGTTTAGTCTCAACTCGTTGCTTCGGTGTCAGATTCACACAGAGTTGGCAAAATGCGAGGAGGGTCAGGAACAGGTGGAACAAGCGATGATTCATTTGAAGAAGGTCACAGAATTATAGATATTTCTTTCTGGAGTTAAAGAAGGGTTTCAAGACAATCGAGCTAACGTCGAGACTTGTTTCTTACAGGCAATGATGTTGGATGATAACGGATTGTACACAGAAAGATTAGGAACATCGTTAACAAGACTTCAACTGCGTGCGTCGTTGTATAAAACTCCTGAACGACCAGAAGATGTCGCGGCTATGATTATTGAGCAAGTAAGATTATTTCATGTTTATGTGGTAATTATAATAATGTCTTCTGTGAAAATCAAGATGGGGGTTGTTTGGTGAAAACTATAGTGGTAAATGATTGTGTGATAACTCGTGATAATTAAATGTCTTCTTAGGCACGAAGCAGCAGTGATTCAGGGACGTCAAGGATGAAGCGTGCATCACTAGTGAAAGCTGGTGATGCTCTAGCTCCAGATGCCTTTATAGTGGTGTTAGAAGGTGAAAGTAAAGATCTATCATCACATGGTAAACAACCACCCAGTCTTCTTTCAAAACTAGCTGCTAAAGCCGAGCACGTTTTGAGGTGGCTGTCGGAAAAGCAGCAGGACATCTGAAAAGACTAGGAACACACAACGACCAGGAGAGGTAAGATGCATTTGAAGAAACAATTTGTTTTACCGTGTTTATCTCTGAGCAAGCCTTGATAGAAGGCCTCGCAATATGAAGGATCAGAAAAGACCAGTTCTTAAGCTTGTATCAAACGTTTATTCTTAGGGTGCGTATTTGGGCTGATCTTACAAAAACCGCGAGAAAACAACAAATTTGGGATGTAGCCCGTGTTGCTGCAAGGTTTTGTTTACTCTACGACGACGAGAGATGGTCTTTGAAACGAGAGACTAAACAAACAGGAGAGGATGAAGGTGGATATATGGAGGAAGATAGGGGCACAGAGAGACGTTCTTCATCAGGTGGGGGATCATTAAAGAAAGGTGAGGGACAATTGAAGAGATCTTCGTACGTCAACGATGAAGCGAAGTATAATGTGGAGAAAGATTTGTTACGAATTCTTGCTGAAGTTCATTTTATCAATGCGGAGGTTAGAAATGTTTACATCTCATATGCTTGATTGGATTTCTCTCCTGTGTCGCCACGATTATCAATTGATTGATGTCTTTATATTTATAATAGGCTCTTATACAATACCTCAAGAGTCAAAGCGTTGCGTTTTGTGACAAACCTACATTCCCAACATCTGAAGTTATTTCACCTCAAGAGTCTGCCATGGCGACTGAAGATTCTCCTCAGTGGATGATATATTGGTATGTTTAGTTTTTGTTAGCTCAAGAGAAAGAGTTATTAGAGAGGACATTATCGGAGACAGGTCATTATTAGAGAGATGTCTGTATTAGAGAGAGAGGTAATTATTAGACAGAAGTCATGAATATCAGATGTTTTTCAATGAATCATTCTCTCTTCACTATTTAGTGACTGGATTTCTTCTCTCTCTCAAACTGCCATCTCTGAATTCCAACGTGCATCAGCATTAGGCAGTGATCTACAAGAGAAATGGCTCGTGTGCAACTCCGCCGTTTATCTTCTCAACTACACAACACACCTAGTGGCGCAAAAACGTCATAGAGAACTGGTACCCATCTTGACATCTGTCTTCAAAAATATGAGAAATGTTGGACATGTGGGGTGAGTTCATCGGTTCAACTGTTCTTTGCTTCTTCCTCCAGCAAATTATTTGTAATTTTTATTTGTGATGTGTTTGTAGCGAAGGAAGTTTGATGTGTCACATCAGCAACATCCTTGCAACAGGTTTGATGCAACCATGGTATCCAGTCTCCGGCAGTAAAACATCAATCTCAGGATCTCCCAGCAAGAAAGCGGATGGAAAGAAGGACAAAGCTGCCGTAAAGGTCGCTCCAAAAGTCACCACAGGAGGCTTTGATTCTGATGCAATTGCTGAGCTGAAACAAGCATTAGAGGTTTGTTTCTCTTCACCTAAGACGTGACGTCCCAAAACAACGTATTGTGTGAAAAATTACTAAAAATTGAACGAGACATTTGAGGGACCTGCAGAGTATTCATTTCTTCCCTTTTGTTTCTAGTATCTCGATTACGCTCTGCAAGTCACAAATGGAAATGATACAAGAAATTTGGTTCCGATATCTGTTCGTCATTCAGTAATCAAGACCTGGGTTCATTGTAAACAACTTCTTTCTCAACAAATACCAAAGAACTATGGATTCGACTCAGATGTAAGTATAGTATTAGACTTTGAAGATTTCTCTGTAAAAATGATGACACTGTGTATAATACTTGCAATCTCATCTGCAGGATGTCAACAGTCAAGGCCCAATGAGCCGTTGTCTTTGCGCTGTGGAGATGTTATCAGTGAATCTTTATGGACTGAGCGATTTCTCATCATCGCCGACAATACAAGAGGTAAAGTTTAGTTTGGCCTGGCCTTTGGATATGCCATTTAGAAATAAGACAGTTTGACGTTTTTCTAAAGATTTAGCACTCGTGGTTATCCATTGCTTCAAAATGTTGTTTAAATTGTTTTTTCCAGGTTGTTAGAATGGCTGGTAACTGTATCTGGAGTGATGATGCAGTTGCGTTGGAAATATGGAGTCGTTTAGCTGTACTTTCGTTTAATGCTGACAACCATCAATTGGTGATGGAGTGCGGGCAAAAAGCTCTGGCTTTTGAACTTCAACACAACAAAAAAGAAAAAGGAAAATTAAAATTAAGGTAACCTCTCTTCATGGTTCAAGTAATTTTGTGTTTTCAATCCTATTTATGTGCATCTGTGATTGAAATTATTTCGCTATAGTTCTGAAAATAACGAGAAAAGCAAACAATATTTGCTGTATTACTCTTGCGTCATCATGGGGCAATCTATCGTCAGGGTGATGAAGGGACAAGTAAAGATGAGACGGGATGCCTTGGGATATTTTGTGAAGGCTTGCAGGTTGGTTTATTAGGTAGTTGGATACATAAACTGTTTTTTTGGTAGTGGTCCAGTGAGGATCATCTCTTGGTTTAGTTTTCTCTGATTGTTAGTTCCACCAGCGTTAATTTGTTTTTTATCCCAGATTCGGTGAGTTGGCCAAAAGTTATGAGTTTGTAATAACGGCTGCACGTCATTATTGGAACACTGTGATGCCGTTGGTAAATCAACCATTGGAAAGGCAATTGTTGAAAGAACCTCTTCAAATTGTGTTGCGATGTTTAGCTGCAGTGAGTGAGAAGAATATCGAGAAGGGCGATGAAGTAAGATTTCGTTAAATCAATCACCATTTCGTGATTTACCTTGTTGATAACTACATGTCAACTAGAATCAATGCAACTAACTCATTTCTTCAGGAGGATGACGAAGATGAAGAAAGCGAGGAGAAAGCTGAAACTAGTGTGAAAGAAAAGAAGAAGAAAGACAAAAAGGAAACTGTAAAGAAATCAGGAATGAAAACTGATCAGAAAACGAAGCCTGCAAAAAAGTGAGTGCAATTCACCTTAATTACAGACTAAAAATACTCCAGAAAATCTTCAACTTTTGGGCGAAGTATTGTCCACTACCACCAGCTAACAAAATACATTCCGTTTGGAGAGTCTCTGATGTTTTTTATTGTAAAACGTGGACACTTCTTATCACCTGTAGTGATATTTCATTTCAGGTCCAAAGCAAGTGAAGAGACAATAAAGAAGAAAACATCAAGTCTGGTGGCGGTAGTCGAGCCTGTCAATGTGTATGAAGATGATCTAAAAATGCGAGCAGCGATGTATGGGGTGCTTTTTGAAGCTTTTGCTGACCAGAGTCAATGGGAGGAAGGTTTACGAACAATGGATGAAGCTGTGCGAGATATGCCACGAACATCTCATAGATTGTATGTTCATATTGAATACAGATATTTTAATTAAATGAATGCAAATAACGTGATGGAGTATTAGAACTGTTTGTTTGTTTGTTGTTTAGACTTATCTTCAAACATCGAGTGATCACAAAAGCTAAACTTGGCAGAGATGTTCAATTTGACATGGGCAAATTTAAGGTAAGGTTTCATATAACACACTCACATTAGATTAATAAATTGTTATATTGTCATATGGACAAGTACAGTATTAAACATTGCACGTTCATTTTAAGAACGAAAGTGAGCTCGTGATTTCTACATTGTGGCATCTTGTTGCATTAAACTCTTGTGATCCTCGAGAACAACTGAAAGCTTATCAGAAAGCAATTGACGCTTTGAAGGTATTTCAGTTTCATTGTCTACATCTTCTTGTTAATGAATTGTTTATTCATGATAAATTATAATTCTGTCCAGGAGGATAAAAGTGTTTGGCAAAAGGTTGATTTTCTTCTTGAATTTGGCGAATGGTTGTTTGTGAACGAGTTTCCTGTTCAGGACGCTTTAGATCAGGTTGGTTGAGTTCTTCTGTGTTGAAACATTTTCTTACAACAGATTGAAAATTGTACGAAACACATGTGTTCTTTGTAGTTTATAGAAGCTGTTGATATTCTGCTGAACAGATCAGACAATACTGAACCCTCTGACCACGGTATGAGGATTGATTTCAACAGAAACATGTCAACTTCTCAAGTATAATCTAAATTTTCAATGTTTTCTTCTCCGTTGTCAGACGACGTGGAAAGTGAACATCCGAGTCGGTCATCGTCCGGACTTTCTTCAAAAAATGGCACTCATTTTTGTCAAATCTCGGACGTGAAGACACTGGAATATTTGATGCGAATTTATATCATGTTATCTCAACTTGTTGGAAGAAAATCTTCACAATTTACTGACTACTCTTTGTGCGCTGTTGCTTGTGTTCAGCGCATATGGAAGGTAAGATTTGTTATTTTGTGCAAGTTTGATAATGCAGGAAGCTGTTGGAAGATATAGGAAATCTTCAACATTCCGTGAACTGTAAGAATGTATGTTCACTGTATATAGTTATCGCTGGATTTCTCAGAAACATCACGTGACGTAGCAAAGGCTGGAGACAGCACACCAACGAAGAAAGGAAATAAAACGAAAGAACAGAAAGAAGTATAAAAATGAAATATTCTCTGGTTTAAGTTTTCTTTTTAAGTAATCCGGGTTTAGATTTTCCTGAGTAAGACATTTAATTTTAAAAGTTCTGTTCCAGGTGAAGGGTGAGAAATCATCAGGCAAAACTTCTCTTCCAACAACTTTACACAACTGGGCGACATTTGAACTTCCAGAAAAGGTAACTCTTGTTTGTAGTTGCGCTTGGTTTGTTTTGCTGGTTTCCACATTGTATTGTGAAATATGTTTTTCTACACCTTAAATATTTTGTGATGCTAAAACAAATCATTGGCAAACATGTTGTTTGAATTCAGCGATAGTAAGCTGGATATTAAATCTTCAATTTCAGTGCGTTGAAATTTTCAAAAATGACGAACATGGAAACGTTATAAGCAATATATCTTTTGCTCGTCCAGTAAGTGTTTTGAGGTATCTTCAGTTGTGAAATAGCATGCAATTTGATGACGTTTTTCTTTCATATCCAGGCAATATCTGTGCATTATTTGAATATTTTGTTGGATAATCTTTCTTCTATTGGCTATCATCATACGTGTCTATCAATCACAAGCTTGTTACGATGTCTGGCTAAACATGTCATTGAAAATGAATCGTTGCTGAAATACATTCATTGGAGGTTGGTGATGATCTGAGCTGAATTTTGCAAGGATGTTTTATGTTTCATCCGAAGTTCATGCGAGCATTTGTTTTTCTAGGACGATGGAAGTCTGCCAGGAGTTACATTTGATGGAGAGTGCCATGCACCATGAAAGAATTGCCAAAGATTTTGAGAACCAGAAAGATGAGATTGCTAAGTATGCTTAGGAGAATAATATCGGATGTTTCTGGGGGATGGAGAGGGCGAGGCTTGATAGATACGAGAGGGGAGGGAAGGGACTTGATAGAGAGGTGGGGCTTGGTGGGATGGAAGATAGAGCTCGGTACGTTTACGGAGGCTGTGAGTTAAACTGATATTTGGCGTTTAGATCCAAAGAGGAAATCGAACTATGGAAAGAGAAACAACGTCAAGTTAAAACAGAAGAAATGAATTCTAATTTGAAGACGTTGGGATCAACTGACGAGAGACGGAAGATATCTGAACAACTGACCGCTCAAGAGAATAACAACTGGATGACTGGAAGACAGAAATTACTTCGGATTGAGCGAAGAGAAATATGGATACAACAAGCGGCCATTTTAATTAGACAGGTTTGTGTAAAGTCATTGTTTTAAGGAAACTGAAATAATTAATGTCGTGATTGTTTGCATCATTTAATGAAGACATGCACAAGATATTATCATGTTTAGGGTTATTACCAAAGTGCGAGAGAACTACTGAACGAAGCGAATAGTTCTGCTTTGGTAAGTGAATTATTTCAGAATGTTTCTGGGAAGATTTTCTGCTGACATGATCTTATTTCATCTCATATTCAGGCATTTAATGATAATAAAATCCGCGCTGAAGTGTTGTACCATCTTGCTTTGCTTGCATACCAAGAATCTAACTGGGAACAGTCAATCACTTTACTGCACGAACTACAGGTATAGACATTTTAATTAAACTGCGAACTATTGTGAACTGATTCAATGGTAAAGTCTTTCAATTGACAGCCGAGAGAAATTTATTGAATGAATTTGTCTTTTCAAGAATTTCAGGGTGGATCAAAAATTTTGGCTCAAGTCAGTTCTCCTTTTGGCGGATGCTATATGTGAGAAGAAGGATAAACACGATCCATTGGGGATTTGTGTGGATAAACAATCTAAAAAGAAGGTATTCTAGATGACGCAAAATCGATCCAAAATGAAAATTACTATAGAATGGAGGAGTTTTTACATGAAGTATTTGTTTTATTCAGGCAATGAGAGTTCTCAAGCAAGCCACAGCAACGTTCAAGTGTCTCTATGAAGACAGTCCCAACAAAGCATGTATGGCTGAATATGTTCTGGCGAAACTACAGGCAAAGTAAGTCTATAGAGATCTTCCTTTCCATTACCAAATCTTGCTTGACTTGATCGATTTTCTTTATTTCAGGCTGGGCTCTGTTTGTGCCAAAAAAGTTGTGGATGAAACGAATGAGACGTCATATTTGGTCGAAGCTTGTGAGGTGAACTTTTCAATCACTGCTCCATTTGAATCTCGCTATTATGATATTCTTTACTAAGATATGTTTGTTTTATCTGTAGCATCTCCGGAGCAGTGAGAAATCTTTGCAATCCTGTGGTTACAGACAAGAAGCGATCGATGTAAGATGTGAAAGAGCAGCAATGTTACGACAAATGGCCGCAAACAGTAAAACAAAAGCTGATAAAAGAAACCTTTACCTGGAAGCCTTAACACTTTTGAGATCAACTATACGTTCGTGTGATGTTTTATCCACTGAGGTTTCCTCTCATTGCTCACCTGAAGAGGTTTGTTTTCACGAGGATTTTTATAAATATCCATGATATCTGAAATTGAGAGCGCCTGGATGAAATCTTTATCAATTTGAATGTTATTTTTTTTATCCAGCTTTCCAGTGTGAGCTTGGCAGTAGAAAGAACAAGTGTTGAAAGCAAGCTGTGTTTTGGTCAACTTGCGGTTGAAATCATGAACGAACATGCTGTTGATGAAAGATCCAGACGAAATAAAGACGCAAGAAAAAGCAGCGTTGAAAAGGTATACCTCGATCTAACCACAACGTCAAATCTTTCTTGCATATTCATCTTATATCAAGTTATTGAAAACAGACTATTTTTATATTTGCGTTTAAAGTTGATCGACGCGTTCGTTCAAGACGAGCCAACGATGACAGAACAAGAGAAACAATGGAGTGCCGTGACGAAGTTTGTGAAACACGATGATTACTAAATCAATGATTACTAAACTTTTGTTCATAAATAATTTGTTTTTCATTTTAGGACCATCGTTGATGAAACTTTAGTTCATATGACAACAGCCTTCCATCATTGTTCATCTGTTCCTTATCTCAAAGCAAAAGTAAGCATACCCGAGCACACCTCTACCTGAACATTTCTTCCTCTCGTTCTTACATATAGCGCATGCAGACACAAACCACAGCAGTTCATTTCAATTAAAGGTTCACTTTTATCGTTTCTAGTGTTATCTTGTGCTTGGTCAATGTTTGAGGATCATTTCATGCCTTCTCAATCCTGATGATGAGCCACAATGGAATATTCACCAGGCAAGTTAAATGTAGATTTTACTCTTTATCTTCTGTTTTATGATCATCCCTGTTCTACACAGCATAAAATGTTGCCTGATCCAACAATTGTTATTATTTAAATATATTACAGATTCCTCCAGTGCAGATGACTGGGCAAACAGTACATCCTACGTCAGTCGATGACGATGACGACGAGAATGATCCTGATGACGAGTTAGAACAAAATTCAAATCACTTCAAGACTTCATCGAAAAGAGCCAACGTCGCTGATCTTTTGAAGGTATTTCATGTTTATGTCTGTTATAATCTTCCCTTGCTTGTTACCGTTTTCCCTGACGAAGAATTCCTCACGCTAATGCTGGCTTTTGTTTAGATAGTTGATTCACATTTCGTTTTTGTTTCAGCTCGAATACAAAGATTTTCAGCGAGCTACAACTCAAGCGGTCGAATGTTTAACTCATTGTGTTCAGCTGTCGTTGAAATATGGATTTAATGTAAGAGACGAATGTGGATGACTTTGTGTTTTTTATGTCATCTTAATGTCTTTCATGTGTTCAGGAAATTGCGTCAGAAAGTAGTTATTTACTGATGGATATTATTGGGCGACATGATTCATCAACGTCCAGTTTGTATCTAGCCTTATACCAGGTAGAGTGAGTAAATTTGTATGTCTGGTGTATTAGTAAATGATCGGTATCTCAGAAGAAAACACGTGCTAACAGAGTTCAAAAAGACTAAAAAAATAACGCTTCTCTTATTTTCTCATATTCCAGAGTTGTTCGATGGCGCAGACATTACACTCGCTTGTGAAGAGAATTCAAACGGACAGTTCTTTATCTCGCCTCGCTGCTCTCATGAAACAGAGAGATATTTTAGCAAGAAAATTTCTTCATCAAGAAGCGATATCGTCCGTTCTTGCTTCAACAGCTCAAACGTTGGGAGAATTCGAGGTAATTTTAAATGAAACTACCTCACGCAATGGAAGCAATATAATTCAGCCTTTCTGCAAAGTAGTTTTTCGGCAGAAAATTTTTCACACGAGGGTATTTCTCGTGATATTTCTTCATCCATTTCTCTTCAGGCGTGGCGTCGTTTGAGCGTCTCAAAGAGTCATCTTGATTTTGTTAAAGAATTATCAAGTCCAAATACATTGTACCTAGTTCTCCAACATTCGAAAGACAGGTGAATAAGTATTTTACTGCCAACTCTCTCTTCTTTTATCAAGTGATCGTCTCTAACTCCTGACCAAAGCCTCTGGTTATGAGATGAGCTCTACTCTAATAAACAACCTTCTCTAATTACTACTGCTGTTAATGATTTTCTCCATTCCTCGCTGCTTCTCTCTTCTAGTAAATATTCTTCTTCAATGCTGCAACCGTTTCACTCTTCTCTTTTGTTTCAGATCGTGTCTTTACGCAGCCACTCTTGATAAACCACGCTCGGGTCTCCCGAGTGCTAAGCCAGGAAAACAAGCAGCTCTCAATCCAGGTAATATTCAGTCTTTCTCAAATGAGCAAGAATGAAGGTGAACGTATTGAAGATTTGATTCATCTTTTAGTTTCGGCTCCTAAACCGTTGATATGTCGGAGTAAAGTTGATGCAGACGACTTGAAGCAACTTCTGAACATGATGGAGACATTCCGAAGTGATCAAGCAGCAGAATTGATACGACAAACTTATTTACGACGTCATGTTGTGGAGACGCAAAGCATCCTGGACAATGTTGATGAGGGAAGTTTGAATAAAAGCGAGGTAAAGAATTGTTACAACAGTAAATTCTGTTGAAATGAATTGAGAATAACGAGGAATGACTTGTATTTTACTTTAGGACGTCCTTCAGAACGATTCAAGCGTGTTGAATAATGAAGAAAGACTCCAGGTAAATGAAACTGAAATTGATGCTTTTTAAGATCATCACGATTGTAATATCTCACTGTGGTATTTTCTCACAAATTTTTAGAAACAATATTTATCCCTTGTCAGCGCACTGGAGTCGTATCTTTCTCCTGTAATGGAGCAACTCTTGCCAGCTCTTGAGTAAGTATTTCTGTCTTAAAAATTCGTCTTCAAGAGCTTTGTTTCAATTTTATTTCAGATACTCATTCAACTAACCTTTCCTATTTTGTTCCCTGAACTAGTGAAAAACTCCTTCCAGAAACTGTGGTCATTCTTGCTGACGAGAATCTTCTTCGCCTTCCATTGGAATCTCTGTCAGTATTCAAAAGTTCTCAAGTGCAATGTCTGGCCAGAGATCTTTCTCTTCAAATGCATTTTCATCGCTTTCACAGCACTGATAATTCAGGTATTAAATATTGGTCAGTTAAGACACGTTTCCTTTTCGTCTTCTCTTTGCCATTTAGTTCATATCAAGTTTAATACAGTGACTACAGTCATTGAAACTACGTGAAATATCTGTGTTTAAGGTTCAGAGAGTAAAAATGAAGTTAAGAAACCCGCAGGAGGCAAGAAGGCAGGTAAAGGAGATGCTCCGACTACCGCGAAATCTCAAGATAAGAAAGGAGAGAAGAAGGTTTGTTTTTATGCTCGAGAAAGATTAAAAAGCTCTTGTATTCATGCATGATTCATAAATGTTTCTTCCCTCTAGGCCTCTAAAGAGCAAGGCATACCAAAAGAAGGAATTGCTGTCGATATTTCTGCATTAAGATGTATCCTTTAATCTGTAAGGGTTTGCTCAATTATCGACCATATTTACAGTGCGTGAAAACTAATTTTGATGGCCGTTCAAGCGATCTTGTAGGCCAGTTTTGCCTTCAGTTTGTTTTATTTTCCTTGACGTTTTCATGAAGATATTGTTGATCCATACAACGAATGTTCAAGTTACGGAAATTACAATCCAGAGAAAGTTATAAATGATCTTATTTCGAAATACCGTACCTTGTCTTCAAAATGGACTGGCGTCGCTGGAACAAGTCACATCCCCAGGTAAAATCTTTGCTATAATGGCTCGTGTGAAATCAAGCAATATTTTATCTTCAATGACCCTAGCTTTTCTCAGACCAAAAAATCTAGAATTTGCACGATATTTTCTATAGTATTGGAGAGTGGCAGAAATTCCTGAAGGAGAGTTCCGTCTTCCTATTTTATGGCACTGAGAAATGCCTTAACTATCTTCCACCCAAGCTTCTCCTTGCTTCGTCATTACAAGGTAATTTGAGTTGCCAGTTTATGCACGAATCACAACTTTCCCCTAAATATTCTTATTCTCTCTAAGAATGCAACATCATGTTACTTTTGGATCACGTTGAAACCAACGATAGTTTTCTACGACAGGCATCTTTAGATGCACAGAAAACGTGAGTTTTATTTCAATGATACATCATCAATGGGACTCAATGATATATCGAGAATAATTGGTTTTGGTGTTTTTAGTTGTAGTGAAATAAACTTGGAGTTATCGTTTGAGTCTGTTGCTATCTTATCGTTAACTGGAGTTAATTCGGCCATCGCCAACCAGTGGAGTTGTAAACTCAAAGAAAACAAGGAGAAATTGGTTCAAATCCTTGAAGGTATTGTGGTGGCAAATTGATTCTTCCTTGGAACTGATTAAAGCTTGTACTTCCGAACTGTTTTTATTGATCTAAACTAGTGGTTTACCTTACTTTTCAGTGTCAATCGACGAAAACAAGAATATTGGAAATGCTTTACGTATGTTTGGTGATGCTAAACCTGACATAAGCGTTGATCCAGATACTTCGACTGCACCGCCCTCCACCGAACAACCAACTGTTATTGTTGCAGATAATACAGTTTTGTATGGTCTACCATATTTTATGCTTAATCCTTTAAAATGATACAGTAAGTGTTTATCTTACTTTGGAACTTGTTATTTATTGATAAATTGTAAAAATTTTTTTGTCTAAAATTATATTCACTGTCCACCGGCAGTAAAAGCCATTCTTCCGCGCCTCGTTATCCGCTGTTTTACTCATTTGTAAATAACGTTCCATGTTTTCAATTTTAAATATTAATGAGGTGATTAATTATTAATTAGAGCACGTGAGGATCCGAAATTATACGAAATTTCTCCGACAAAAACGCCGCCAAATTACATGTGCAAATTTGAAAAGAACCAATGAGATTGCGTTGTTCTGCTTGCATTTGCAAATACTTCGAAGGGTGATCGAAGATGTCCTGATCTGTAGTTTTAGAAGATTTTTAAATGTCGACTCCAGAGGTTTTAGCAGCCGATCAAGACGGCGATAATTTTCTTACAAAGGTAGAGAATGCTGTTGAATTTTCTGCAGATAGTTTACAGGTAATTACGCCTCCCGAAAGCGTGAAATTACGTTGGAAAATAGGAGATATTGTATGGTCTAAAATACCTGGCCATCCGTGGTGGCCATCCCTGATAGCATATGAACCAAATACTGAAGTGTATTTCAAGATGAAGGGAAGAACTAGATACTATCATGTACAGTTCTTTGGTACAGAACCGTTGCGAGGCTGGGTTACTGAAAGAAATATCTTGAAATATGAAGGTAGGTCACTCTTCAATCCCTTTTCTCTTCCCTCCAAATTTTATAATATATCCATCAACCGCATGGTTTAAAAAGTATGAAATTACCCTTACAGTACCTTTAGATATTCCCATATACAAAATATGCATGGTAGGTGTTAACTTAAAGTGGAGATTTAGTTTTTTATTCAAAATAAATTGCACATGGGAAGTGTTGCTCTCAAAATATTTGTGTTCAGCCTTGTCCAATATGGCGGCCGTAATTCAAATAGATTTCATAATTTTTTCCACATTTTGTGCCAATTTATTTCGGTATTATAGGTAGGTATGAATTTAGGAGTCACTCACCAAAGATTCAAAAATATATAAATATAAAATGGTGTGGTTGTATGCCTTGCAATTTATGAGTGCATTTCCAGCTGAAATGGGGGTTATATTAAATAATGGAGATTTTCAATTTTATCTATCCACACCACGCTTATGGCAAACTATGAATCTTTATTTGAGGTAGGTCCGTCCATGTTTTCACCAGGTAAGCATAGATCATTCAGTGTTAACTAATTCATACCTGCCAGAATGTTTTGAATACAAATACAAAAAATGAGGTCATCATTCTAAATATATTAAATGCCTGTAGATAGCAGTTAGCATCCTTGTTACTAATGCTTTGGTTGTCTTCTTTTTATATATTTTCAGGAAAAACGCATTTTCTTTCCTTGCGTCTCTCTATTCATGGTAAACCACACAAGATTGGAACCAAACAGCTTCCAACTTGGGAAAAAGCAATAAAAATGGCGGATGAGACTATACCACTAGACCATCAAGAACGGCAAGTGTGCTTTAACTTTTTCAATGTAATTGAAACTCCAAGCCCAGCCATTGAAGGAAAAGGTGATGAGAGTCTAAATTCATCCAAAGAATGGTCAAGTTCTCCTCAAACCCACTCTAAGGAGGTGTCGAGTCCTGAGGGACCTCCAACAAAGAAAACTAAAGTTGAAAATGGAAAACAGCAAAGTAAAACACAGGGCAAGAACAAAAGAAATAGTGTTAAGCAGAGAACTCCTAAACGAACATCAAAAACACCACCTGGTAAACATGTCAATAACAAACTGCCAGAACAAATGAATAACAATTTGGAGAAACAAGTCAGAAAAGAAGGTGGTTTCTATGTTGTAGAGCCCTCCCCAACGTCTTGTGCATTTGATATGAATACCAAGCCAATAACACCTGAGAATGGCAAACGAAAACGAGGACGTCCTAGGAAAGATTCAGTGCTAGTTGTTGGCAGCAAGGAAGATCAGCAAACTGTCAGTCCGGCAAAGAAAACTACAAACGGAAAGAGTCTGACCAAGATAAGTGCTTTGCCAAACAATCTTAGCAGTACTTCTGCTGAAAGTGAGAAGTCTGATGGTGCAAGTGATACTAACAGTACCTCTAGCATTGACACTGAAATTCGTAGGATTGTCTTAAAAAATAAAGATATCTGCACAGTTTGTGAAAAACCTGATAACTTGTTAACTTGTGAAGGAGTCTGTAACAGTTCTTATCATAAAGACTGCTTAAAGAGTGAGGTTCCTTCTGAAAAATTTATCTGTGAGAAATGTTCAACAGGAAATCATACATGTTTTATCTGTAACAAGACAGACAATGTCATAAAATGCTCATTTCAAAACTGTGGCAAGTTTTATCATTTAGATTGTATCAAAACCCTTGATTCTAAGATTAATGGTGATAGTTTTGTGTGTCCTCTTCACCACTGTAACGTTTGTGGAGTAAGCAAGTCATCTAATTCTAAAAAACGCCTGACATGTTGTGTCAGATGTCCTGTGGCATATCACACTGGGACCTGTATTGTAGCCGGGTCAATGCCAATAACGCTGCAGTATTTGGTTTGCAATCGACATTTCTCGGCTGATCCAAAGAAGGCCCATCATTCACATGTCAATGTCAACTGGTGTTTTGTCTGTTCCATTGGAGGAACTTTAATCTGTTGTGAGAGTTGTCCAGCAGCCTTCCATCCAGAATGCATTGAGGTCACTGGTATACCTGAAGGACACTTCTTCTGTAGAGATTGCAAAGATGGAAAGGAATTGTTGTACGGTGAAATTGTTTGGGTCAAGCTTGGAATGTACCGGTATAGTTTTATAATTTTTATTTCTTTTCCTCTGTCATTCCTGTGGTATTGGTGGTGATTTTTTTTAAAAAACATCGAGAGTGAATATACTGTATTTTTCTTTGACCTTATCAGATGGTGGCCAGCGCAGATTTGTAATCCTAACAATATTCCAAACAATATCCAGCGAATGAAACATCAAGCTGGGGAATTTCCTGTCCAATTTCTTGGTTCTCATGACTACTATTGGATTCACCGTGGTCGGGTTTTCTCTTACCAGGAGGGAGACAAAGGCTCAATTGGAGGTGGAGGGAAATATCTCGGAGAGATTTTCAAGAAAGGTTTGTCATAATCTGTTTGATAAGTGTCATTCAATTGACTTTTGAATAAAATTTAGATTGATACTTTCTCCAGCTCTTGTTGAGGCCCAAGACAAATATGCAGAATGGCTAAAAATTCAGGAGGAAAAAGCTGAGAAAGATTTAGAGAAATTGTCGAAGAAACCAGCTGCTTATAAACATATCAAGGCGAGTAATCAGTAGAAAACAATGTATGAGATGAACCATAAAGTGTTCTTGATTCAAATGTATTGTGTTCAACTGTTTTCTTCAGGTCAACCGCTACACCACAGCAACAAAATATGAAATTGATGAATCAGAACTATCCACATGTGATTGCTCTATCAATGATGAAAATCCCTGTGGTCCTGATTCACATTGTCTTAATCGTATTCTGTATGTTGAATGTTCACCATTGAAATGCCCTGCGAAGGAGAAATGTCAAAATCAATGTTTTGTCAAAAGACAGCACTTGAGTGCTGAACCATTTCGTGCTCTTGGGCGTGGCTGGGGTCTGAGGGCTAAAGCTGGTACGTTGAACAATCTGGTGTTTCACGGATGATGATGGGAGCTATGTAACTAACTGCAAGTTGGATCTGCATTTGTCAGCCTCAATGCAAATCTTATTGTGTGTTTCTCCTTTCTTTTAGACGCAAAGAAAGGACAGTTTGTGAATGAATATGTTGGTGAACTTATCAACGAGGAGACTTGCCGTGAACGAGTTAGAAAAGGCATCAACGAAGGAGTTGTTAATTATTATATGTTGACGATTGATAAAGATTGCATCATTGATGCTGGTCCGATGGGGAATCTCTCGCGTTTCATGAATCATTCTTGTGATCCAAACTGTGAGACGCAGAAGTGGACAGTAAATGGCGAGGTTCGAGTTGGTTTGTTTGCCAAACGAGATATCAAAGCTGGTGAAGAGCTTGTGTTTGATTATCAACTGGACTGTTTGGGTGAGTCCTCTCAAGAGCTTTTTAATCGTGAAGCTTCCCTAATATGAAGATTCGTTGATATATAACTCTTTTCTATTTTACTATGACCAGGTAACGAGAAGAAAAAGTGCAGTTGTGGGTCAAAGAACTGTAGCGGCTTCCTTGGAGTTCGTCCAAAGACGCAACATGCTTTAAAACTTCAAGAAGAGAAGAAGAAAAGCCACGAGTCAAAGAAACGAAAGAAGAAAACAGGAACTAAAAAGAATATTGATGGTAAGTTTAAGATCTCAAATAAGAAATTAAAAAATCCACTCTTTTAAAGTAAAATAATTTTATTAAAAATATCTAAAACTTTTGAATAAAACGAAACTATGGAGGATACCAAAATGAGGCGATTCGGCTGTCAGACATTTGGTGGTTTAACGCTTGTCCATAAAAACATTTCTTTATGTCTGACGATAAGAAAATGAAATGACTAAATACGCCTGCAACCTGTTCTTTCAGGTGCCAGAGTGAAACCACAAGCACACGGTCTGGTACCTGAAGATCTGGGGAGCAGTGAGTTTGAAGATCTAAAACATTTTGATAAAACCCCAGAAGCATTTCAAGCCTCAAAACTAGAGTCTGACGAACACAAGACTGCGATTGAAAGAGTTTTAGTTTGTAATAATGACAAGCAGTTCACTAATATTCACCTTAAGACACCCAAACAAACTATTTTCAAACGAGATGTAGAGTCTTTGAGTGAATATTGCGATTGCGAACCAAATACGACTTCAAGTGATTCGGTATTTCTGAACGAAATGATTCCTCAAACATCGTCCATTTCTGCAAATGATCAAATCGACTCTGAAGAAGGGAGGTCAGTCAACGAAACTGCAGGAGTCACAAGCAATCCAACAAGATCGCATTCTTCACCAAATCTTGCGACTTCTATTCCCGATTCTTGTGACGTCATTCCTTCTGTGGAATCGCTCTTTAATTCACAATGCAACCAGAAAGCCTTGCTCCAAACGAATGCCGTATCAGGTTTTTGGAATTCCTTAGATCCTGTTCCATCACCAGAGCCCTCCATTTCTCCACTCTCTTGTACGACGACAAACTCCATACAGGGCAATCTTGCATCCAACTTCACGAGTCATGGCAATCCTTCCGTTACAAAGTTACCCAGTTTATCCTACGACGTTCCAACTTCGCAAGTTCAGAGATCCTTCCAGAATACAACTCTATCCCAGTTTACCCCTAAAGATACTTCTGTTGTGACTCATGCCTTCCACAACCTTGGACCTAATTTCTCAAATACACGAAATGGGACACCTTCAACCCCCAAAACACGCGACATGTCTTCGCCACGTGTTTTGACCCCCAAAGTTCTGGGTGAAGAGAGTGACGCAAGTCTCTAAAAACGCTGGACACAAACACACAATTATTTACAGTCCAAACAAAAGATTATTTAAAACTTTTAAAGTCGGCAAAGCCTGTAAAATTTTAGTTCCTTCTAAGTTGTTAAGCATGTCTGTGTGTTGAAGAACATTGTACATAAATCGTACATGTTTAGGTTGCTATTAAATTGTAAGAATTTGTCAGTTTTTAGTTAAAAATTATATTAGCGTGTGTCATTGCATGCAGAGACTGTGGTTGCCAACTCAGTCATATGGGTCTGGTTCAACTCCTTCAACGGTCAAATAAAACATTTATCACTCAAAAATTAGTTATGAAAACCTTATGTTTTCTATTTCAGAACATGAAGACGAGTGTTATGATTGTGGTGATGGTGGTGAGTTGATAATGTGTTCGAAAACAGGATGTTCCAAATGTTACCATCTTTCGTGTCTCACTATTGATAAAATACCACATGGAGATTGGTTATGTCCCTGGCATTTCTGCGATGATTGTGGAAAGGCAGCCATGATACGTTGTCAGGAGTGTTCAAATTCTTTTTGTTTGGCACATGCCCCAGGGCAGATCAACAAAACCGAGGGCGGGAAATATGTTTGTGATCAGCATCAAGAGAGAGGGCTGGTAACCAACGATAGAATATCTGATATCACTTCCACCAGTATCCCTAGTGATGACAATCTACATCAAGATACATCTGAGGATTCCATCGTTGCACCAACTAATCCAATAAATATACCTGCAACACCCTTCGTTGTTTCCGCTGAGCCTACCAATGATGTCCCTACAGATCCAACGAGTGTCCGTACAGATCCTGACAATACACCTCTCAGTCCTACTATTGATCCTACAAATCCTGGTTGTGACCCTGATACGGGATCTGCTGCTACACCTATAGATCCCCCCACTTTTGACCATACAAGCCTTCCCAATACACCACTTGATCTTACCAATGTCCCTAAAGATCCTACTCTCACACCAGTAAATCCTTCTAATGACCTCAATGGTCACGCAAACTTACATAACGGTCCAGCTGGTATTTATGAAGATCTTAGCAAAGAGGAGGAACCCTGAGCTGGCTCTATGACTGAACTATGTACATATTTTTATAACAAGATTTCCAACAATTTTAGTGTGAAAGTTACTTATGAACAACGGGTGTATTTTTATGGGTATTTCTCCACGCTTATCGTGTAGGAATTTTTTAATTCATACTTCTCTCCCAGAGCTGAACTGGGATTGCTGTGGCTGTAAATGACAGTATTTTTACTCAACTGTTTGGTGTGATAGAATTGTTGAACAAACAAAGAGAACGAGAATAATCCTGTTATTGAATCCTTTAGACAATGTAAAAACAAAGATGTTGTGAAATCGTCTGACACAAGCTTACTTTTTTAACAATAAACGAAAACATTACTTCCGTTTCTCGTAAGCTTTTATTCTTGCGGGTTGAAAATACTTGTATGTCTGTCTGTCTGAAGCAAACTTACGCAAATATTCATGAGCGATGCTGTAACCAACAAGTTGTTCTCGTGAGTGACAGGCTTGTCGAAGCAATTGCTACATCCGCCGGTCCGCATCTGATAACCCGTATGCTATTATAATCTACGCCTGATCGATGCAAGCCTCCAGCAAGTAGTGCCAATATTTTCGTGATATTTGGTTAACAGGAACTGGGCGTTGTCCACATCTAAAGTAGACTAGATGTCGTGGTAATCCCAGGTGTCTGATATTTTACCTCTACCAGAAAAAAACTATATTGCTCTAATTTTTTTATCAATTCGTCCTGTTCACTATTGTTTGGTTTAAACATTCATCTTATGCTTTCAACATTAACTTCCATTTCGTCTCTTATCACATAAGTGATGTTGCACGTTTTAAAATTTATTTATTTTGTAATAAGTACGATAGGAAATGGTTCAGTAGATTGTCTGTCAACGAGCTAGCCTTGATAAGCCTGCATTTTGACACTAAGTTCATAAGGCTTGGTTCAAATCATAACTTAGGTACAAGATTCTCTAAATTTTTCTAGACGCCTTTATACTGGGGAACTCTATCAACCTCAAGAGAAATCTGATTGAAGGGTGAGTTTAAAGTTGTGTTTTATTTCATGTTAGCAGGTTTTATCAACATCCAAGATAACCTTAAATATTAGTTATAGACGTGTTGCGGATTATAAAATAAAACCATTATGAAATAGCCGTAATTATTCATATTTCGTCTCCTTCTTTAAGCCGCTTGCATGCTGTAATTCTCAATTTCTGATAACCGTGGTTTAAATAGGTTTACTGTGTTGATGGTAGATATAAATACGATCAAATTGGTTCATTTTAGAAAAGCCCAAAGGGTCCATTTTAACCTCTGTAATATGAACTGTTAACGCAAGTATTTGATGCGAAATTTTAGTGATTATTAAACGTTCACGTTGACCTCTATTTTTGTTCCTATATATAGGTCTAAAACTGCGCAGCTTATTTGATATTCTGTTTATATAAACTGTTTAATTAAACAGATTGTTCGCATTTGTGGTGGGTTGGTGCTAATGACAAGATATCTGGCTAAAATTACCACATAAACAGTTCGATCAGTTAGGGGCATTTATATATGAGCCTATATAGAGCGCGTGCTGTAGCGTGGTCAGTGAAAACAGTAAACCTACTGGTTGTGAGGAGTGATTCTGTAGTCTAATTGAGTTTTTCGCCGTTTTCCATCGACTGAAATTGTACCATGCGCAAGATTTATAGAAAATCATGAGGTCATACCCTAGTCTCTTTTTTATATGAAGGTCAAGCTCTTTATTGATCTCAGAGGTTTGATGTACCACCAGGTGACAGTAGATTAAAGACTGTTATAGCTTTTCAATTCTCCGCATTTGATTACAAATTTGACACACACACGTTATATAAATCCTAGTATAGTCAGTAAACCGGTCATTCATTGCCTAATATCTGTGCCTAATATCTGTGCCTAATTGCAAAACTGTAATCCTCTTGGAATTTTTTGGTTCACCGATCTGGTCCCACCAACCTTTTTGGTTGACGAGTGTCAACTCGTAACCCACTAAACCTGTTTATGATCTTGTGGTCTTAAATGAGGTAAAAATAAGCAAGGTACGAAAAGTAGAAATTCGCGTGAAGTTTGGATGATTGTCAGTAAACATCAACACTAAGCTTATTATTTGTGCTATTTGCTCTTGAGTTCAAGTGTGTATGTCCTTCCTTGGCCAATCTCTAATCCCTTTAATCCTCTTTGTCACAGCCAGACGAGCATCTTTGGCGCGCAAACTAGAAAACAATGAATATTTATTTTCAACATCTTTAATGCTATAGAATGACACTTTCGTAGCCATTTCTGCATCCCACAGCTGTTGGGGTTGCCTCAGCTGTCAGTGCCTAATGTGATTTTAAATGATGGAGTAGAAATACGTCACCAAGTCGCAGCCAAACTTTTTCATTAGCGTCATATCTTATATGTCGTCTGCCCAATTTGTGCGCACGAACTGGATAGCACATATTTATACATGAAAATGGCTTTAGTTGTTTACTGTGAAGCAAGAAAGATAATGTTCAATTGCCAATCTCTGTGGCACTTTTTGTGTTTTGATGATACGCGCAGATTTAGGCACATTGTGTGGTAAAAACTCCCTGGAGGTATATAACTGTTATCAAGAGCCGGGTTCGTCCAGAGCCAAGGTTCATGACCCGCTTCAACACATACAGCGGGATCATTGAAAATGTTTATTTTCCGCGTTCTCATTGAAAAATGTTTTTCAAACATCATATTTACGACGATCACTAAATGTTCTCTTGAAGTGTTTACCGGATGTCAAGTTTCTCCATCTAAACCAACATCGATACGATGCATTTTGCGTTACGCGATATAGCCTAAATGCACCTCAAAAAAAATGCGCAAATCGCACAGATTAGATCAAAGCCTCAGGTTTAAATAAATACTGAAACTCTGTCATTAGTAAGAGCTGCAAACTAGGCCAAATCTGCCATAAAGATCAAGCTAAAGATACTCTATATATATCAAACGACAGATCTCATGGCAGGATGATGTTTCTTAGGGACGCCAGAGCGATGTTTGCAAAACATTTCCAGTTTAACTTTATAGTTTTATCGCTCACCTGTTTGACTGTGTTGTATATAAGAAAAAACATACTCCGAAAAATAACATCTTGTAAACTCAAGATATGAGCTATAAACAACAAGACAAGAATTTCAAGGTGATATTTCGACTTTATTTCAAAGTCCTTGTCGAACGAAATATCATCTTGAAATTCTTGTCTTGTTGTCTTTAGACTATAATAGCTCACATCTTGAGTTCTACAAGCAAGATGTCATTTTTCGGAGTATGTTTTTCTTGTATTTTATCAAATTGTTTGCTGGTAATGGTATTTTGTTATATATTGTCCCCAAGTTTTTGTGCTATATTCTTGAAGCTCAGTGATTGTATTTGCGTTTTCTGAAGCAGATTTTTGAATTAATTCCAATTCTTTCAACGGATAAAAAGTGAGAGACATATCCCCACGTTCCTGGACGATTACTTGCACGTCTAATCAAATTAAAAAACAGTTTGCGGCAGACGGCTATAGAAGTCAAAATAGCGGTGTGTTAGAGGTCTTCTTCTGTACTTTGTCGGGCTGATATAGTGTTAGTAGGATGATGGTATGAAATGACATAATCATTCATACTGTTTTACCGCGGTGTATATTTTTTACCGCACATCCGTTTATGGACCCAAAGCGTAAGATTTCATCCAAAAGTGGTGCATGCGCTGCCGACCTACACTGTAATATAAACAAGGAGAACTGCCTCTTCTTAGGTCTAGAATATTTATGTTTTTTATGATAAGTTACTGGAAGACTTTGCCAGCATGCTGCTCTCTAGTTATTTCGGAAGGCAACTAAACAGTCAATTTTTCTGCAAGGTTTTTCTGAGACATAAATTGTTTGTCTGAAAAACAAAACATACAGTAATGTTTTTTAAAATCATCCAACCTAATGTAACTGTATGAGTCATCATTTGTATTTCGCAAACATGACGTTATCATTATCCGTAATGATCATATTTTGCACAACAAACAAACAATACCAATGCCGACAAAGCTATTATGCAAAGTGTGACAAGCGGTAACCTGTCATTTCATTACTAATAATAACTGTTGCATACGCAAATGGCCGTATTACTAAAATGATTCTTTCAATAAAACCTAAATAGTTTTATTCTCCTTTTTATTAATTAAACCAATGGATATAAATTACAGGTTTTATTGATTTAAAGTAGTTTTAATTGAGGAAAGGTATCTCAAAGTAGGTACCACTATTTTACGCGGATTTACGAAATCTGTTTGTTTTTTTAATCTGAACATTTCATCAAAAAAACGAACCTAAACTATAATCATATATCCATGATAACACGGCAGTGATTTGATCGTTTTTCAAGATACATGTCCACAGTCACTTACACTATTGATAAAATAGCATATTGTGCGTGCAAAATAGAAATGGGTATCTGCGCAAATTGAATTACGCAGCTTGGACCACGAACGAGAAAATAAATTGTCACGTGTGTATCAACACGTCATTTGGAATCCCTTTAAAAGCACGAGTTCGATACTGGGCGTGTGCTGTGCAATTGTGTCCTTACAGTTTTTATAAAACACTGCTGAATTTGGGTGAGTTGTGATGCTAGTTTTTAGTTTATTTGCAGATAAACGTATTGATACTAAACAATGGCATGTGATGGGTAATTGCACATGATGTGATGTGTAACATTAGATAGAATATTTTTATTCTCTAAAGAGAGCCGCGAATGTCCTTTTTCTAAAGCTATTGTTCTGGCAAATTTGATAATTTGTATATGCATAACAACAGACATATTTGAAGAGTTATTTGTTGCAGATATCGAGTGGTGAAGAGTCTCTTAAGCACTTTATTTCCGAGTAACCAAAACGTGTATAATTTACATTTTGGTGGAGCAATTGTAACATCGCACAGAAATATTGTCGTAAACAAATTATTTGTTTCCAATTTTGTAGAGAGATTCGTATAAGAAAAACTACGTGAAAATGGTAAGTATATTCATATTTATTTAGTATGTTTCTCTTATCGCATCTTTGTCTCTCGTAAAAGCATTAGGTTGAATGCATTTCGTTGCTTTTAGTGCGAATTTATAACGGTATTTTGTTAGCATGGAATAGACTTATTATGATTTTTTGCTAGTTATAAATGTATACATTTGCTTGTCGCATTCAGCTTAAAGTTTAGAAAAATAGCGGCCGGGTTGGGGAAGTAATTGCCAGAGTGTATAAAAGCATTTCCGTCTATTCCTGTTACCGATTTTGGGGGTCTTTACAGTACACGTGGGCTGTTTTCGAGTTAAACCATTTCTATTTTAGGCCGAAATTCAAACTTACTTGTACGGAAAAAAGTTCCCGAACAGAATCTTTGTTGGAGGTTTACCAATAAATGTGAGTATGGTTTATTTTGCCTCATGGTTGTACGATTTACCGTTTTAAAATCGATGTCCCGTCCAACGATCCTTATTAAAAAGAGTGTTTGATGTCATAACTAAAAAAAGGCATTATCTCTTCGAAATTTTTCAAACATAGTTGAAAACCGGGGAAGTCTCTTTGAGTATTTTTGAATTATACAGCGTTAAATTTGGTGATTACAAAGACCGCACAAGTATTAGCATAGACCTAAGGGTTTCCGTCAAAAAGAGGACAGTTCCTTTTAACTGTGATATTGTATCCCAATTTTAAGTCGAGGTTTTTTATAAAACACTTATGTTGTCTGTCCTGCTTCTTTTCATCAAATCATTTGCATTTTGTTTTTTAGACAAGCGCGTATGAATTGGCCGATTTTTTTAATGTTTTTGGCCATGTGATTGAGAGCAAAATAATCCTTGATGATTCGGGATTATCCAAAGGGTACGGCAAATAAACCATTTTCTTGTGTATTTTACTTACAAGTATGGGCGTATTCGTGAAAAGTAGGAATATCGCTTGACAATACAACCATCTGGTTAACTAATTAGCCGTGTAAGATCTAACTATTTATACTGCTTATACAAATCTTAAAATCTTCACAATGTAAAATTAAAAAATATGATCATTATATTTTAGATATGGTTTCATAACTTTTGAACATAAAAGTACAGTGAAAAAAGTGGAGTCAATGGGGATAATATATTTCAAAAATAAAAAAATCAACATTGGTCCAGCAGTCAGAAAAGAGGCTTCTACTGTTCAGCCTGAAATGGTTATGTGGGCACAGTCATCATTACCATCTGGTCAACAGGTAAACATGCTTTTGACTTGATAACCTCATTCCTTTAATATACCATCTAAAATAATTTGTATCATTTGTGTATTCATGTTTTCTAATTGTTTTTTTATAGACTCAGCAATCAACACCATACTTCAACCCAACTTACATACAGCAACCCTTAGGTGCGTAAAAAGTCACATTTTCCTGAGTTTATTTGTCCACTTATATGTGCTAATATGTTATTTTTTTATTTCACAGATCCGTACAATCAAGTATATACCAATGATGGTGTTTACTATATGATGTATCCTAACTACAACCCAGCTGTTCTAAACCAAAATTATGTAAGTTATGGTCTTCAGTTTGACAGAGATATCAGAGTTTTATATAGTATCTTATATTTTCCACTCTGAATGCATAGATGCAGCCATACACTGTGTCAAGCTATCATGGGAACTGTAGTGTGTACAGTGATGAAACAAGAAGTAAAAAATACACATACAATGCCAAGAGGAAAAACATTCCTCCAAGATTCATGAAGAAATAATTCACATACCTGCGTCAGCTCTAAATGTGCCTGCTTATATGATCAAATCTGACAGGAAATCATTTCTAGTTGGCAATTTAGTATGCTTGTACAGATAAAGATAAGCAAGAGTGCTCGTATAATTTTTGTCCTGTCATATGTAATTATGTACCTACCAATGGACTGCTATATATTGTCAATCAAGGAAATTATATTATAGTTTAATGACCCTTGAATCATAACAAGATATAGAACCTTTCTCTATATATTTATACATATTATAAGTTATACACTATTATACACTGTCTATGTGCAATTTTTTTGCATTTCTAATGTTTGTCATAGTGTGACAATATACTAGTAAACACATCATGTTAAGATAAATATTGTTTCATTGGAGACAAATCAGGGTACATTAATATATATATTTGGGTGTTTTATATTGAGGTTATGTGATGCACCACATGCGGGATTGCATCAAACAAAATAGCAAGATTTATTTCTTTATAATGTAAATAATTAGTACAGTTGTGCACAGTATAGGAAATTATAACAGCTCGTCCACTCAGTTTACAAGTCTGTATTTGCATGCATACAGCATTGGACATGTTATGGACAACTTATTTCTTAAGCTGTGGGCAATCAATAAATCTATATCATATGTAGTGTTTTATAATGTGTTTTAGTATAATAGATCATATAGGTCATTAATGTATGTCATGTTAGGGTTCTATGCATATTTGCTTAATAAATGCTATTTATTAACTTACAGTAATTGGTTTTAGTTCGGGCGAACATTGTTGGCCAGTCAACAGGTGGAAAGGGTGGGTTGGGTAAGTAACAGATAAAAAGTCAAATAACAATATTACTTATTGAATTGAAGTTTATGAGTTCACGGCAACCAGGTATATAATCCATCGTAATTATCGCTACTCTGGTTTTAGTAAATGAAAGTAATCACCACACAAAGATTAACTTTCACGACCCAACCGGAGTGTCGAAACGTTGGGTCGTGAAAGTTAATCTTTGTGTGGTGATTACTTTCATTTACTAAAACCAGAGTAGCGATAATTACGATGGAATATTACTTATACACTATCATCACTGATAACCATCCAGGTCAGTGGTCTGTTCTAAGTATAGAAAATACAGAATGATTCCCTATAATCCGTGAACTAAACGTGGAAGGCTCTAGTGGAACCCAGTGGTCAGGGCTCTCACATCCTATTGTTTAGAAATCCTTAGATTAAGGACAAAAATTCCTCAGATTGAGTAAAATTTCCTTAAATCTCCGGGTTCCCAGATATGAAGCCTGAGACCTAGTGTAGTTTACTAAAAAGGCGGGAAAATTGTTTTGGCTTTATATTAGTTAAAACTCAAACAATTCCTTAAAAACCCTCAAACAATTCCTTAAAAAGGTGAAATAAGATCAAAATTTCCTTAGTTTAAGGAAATTTCCTTAAAAGTGAGAACGCTGCCAGTGGTGGAACCTAACCAGAGACCAGTAACCAATAACCAGTGTTCGGTTAACCGTCGTCCGTCGTCGTTGACCGTCGGATCACGAAGCGATTTCAATATGGCTGCCACTGTGATGCTTTGAAAACGTTTGGAAGATTCTTTATTTTACGTCCTAACTTTGCTGGTAGAAAGGAATTTACGTTATAATACACGATGGCTGATGCCACGGCAAGGTCGCTGCAATATGAGTACAAGGCTGTAAGTGAATATTTGAAATACGTCGTACTCGTTCACTTTTGTATCGTTTTTTTCAATAAGAAATAAGAATGTTCCCCCCACCACGTGTGTTGATTTTCATATAAACTATAGAAATATTTACTACAGAGTTTATATGGTTACAGGTTTTTAGATAATTTTTAGGAAAGGTTTTATACGTTATAGTCCTAAGTGGGGCAAAATGAGTGTTTTTAAGTGTTTGGGGGGTGCAAGACAGTGAAGACACTGGCAAGACATATGATTGATAAAGACAAGTCATGTGGTTAAGCTATGGATGTCTTTATTTTTGTAGAATTCCAATCTTGTTTTGCAAGCAGATCGCTCTTTAATTGAGCGTCGTGGTCGAGATGAAGCAACAGGAGAGGTTATGAGTTTGGTTGGGAAATTATCAGGAACAAAAATGGGAGATCGCTTCCAAAGAAGTAAACCTGAAGTTTCTGAGGAAAGAAAATCAAAGTATGACTACAAATTTACAATCCACTTCTCAATCCATAGCCTATAACTTCATGATCATAGATTCCATGTCGTGTTTTTTAGGAGGAGAAAAGTACAAGAGAAAGAAGAATTTACGAAAAGCAAATCAACATTATTATCTGATGATGCTGAAGATCTTGCTGGGATAATTTATCATCCAAAAACCCGAGAAACAAAGTCAACTTACGAAGTTTTATTGAGTTTTATCCAGGCGGCTATCGGAGATCAACCTCGGGATATTCTAGCTGGAGCTGCTGATGAAGTTTTGCATACGTTGAAGAATGATAAAATCCGGGTTAGGTTTCATCTGACAGTTAGAAAGTTATCGTTACTATGTTCATGTTTTCATTAATTGATGTGTTGTGTTTTAATTTTAGGACAAGGAAAAACATAAAGAAATTATTGGTTTGTTGGGCAATATGCCTGAGGAACGTTTTGCGTTACTTGTTAATCTTGGCAAGAAAATCACAGATTATCATGTTGAACATGACAAGATGGATGAAGGTAAATTATGACATACTTAATTGAGATTTTATGTTTTGATAGTTGACTGATTGTTTTGTTCATTTTCCAGATGAAATCATTGATGACACATATGGTGTTGCTGTGCAATTTGATGAGGATGAAGAGGTATTTACATTAGTCTTTCCATTTATACGGCCGCCTTTATTTAGATTCCTTTTTGTGAAGAGTAGAGTTTGAGATACATATAACAAGTGAATGCATTTTATTCTCATTTATATTGCTGCCAGGAAGAGAAAGATTTTGATATTATCCAAGATGAGGAAGAATCTGGAGATGAAGGAGGAGTTGAGGCTGACACAAATATGACATTACATGGTTGGGTAAGTTCACATCAACTGGATAAATTGCTGGATTTATCATATGCTATTCTTGCAATCTGCTTTGAACTGCTTGAAAACAATCAGGCACAGCCTTTGCAACTAATTGTATAATTTATTTCCACTCTAATAGCAAGGTTCTGGCAATGATCAAGCCTTGCAAGATATCCTTCAGCCTCGAAGTATTGATGCTTTCTGGCTTCAAAGAGAACTTGGTAAATATTACACTGAAGCTGAAGCATCCAGAATGAAATCAGAAGAGGTTTTGGAAATTTTGAAAAATGCCAGTGATGAAATTGAACTTGAGAACAAACTTATGTTGCTCCTTGGTCATGACAAATTTGCATTGATAAAGTTATTAAGAAAGAATCGTATGACTGTTTTATATTGTACGTTGTTGGCAAGTGCTCAAAGTGCTAAAGAAAAAAAAGATATTGAGGAAAAGATGGAAATAGATCCAGACCTGGCACCAATATTACATGCTTTGACAGAAAGTGTTGAAGAAGATTTGATTCAGGTAAATATTGTGAATTTAGTTGAGAGTTGTACAGTTCATTACCATTCACCAAATGAATGATATGTTTTTGCTCTTTGATTTTTAGGAAGAAAGAAGTCGTAAAAAAGCTGCTAGAAATGCTCGAGTAGCTGCTAATCTTGCTGAAGTGGAATCAGTAAGTATTTCAGAGAATTTTTGTGGTTTCTTTCTCTACTCATCATCCTGGCAGTGTAATAATATACTTTGCATTTCCTATAGTCTCGTATTGGAGTTCGTAATGTGCTAGATCTGGAGGAATTAACGTTCAAAGATGGCAGTCATGTTATGGCTAATAAAAAATGTCAGTTACCTGATGGTTCCTTTAGAAAACAGAGAAAAGGCTACGAAGAAGTCCATGTTCCAGCTTTGAAACCAAAATCTTTTGATGAAGGAGAGGTGAGCTTCAGCAAATATTGTTCATTAGAAATGAATGACAGTTCTTCAGTCTATGTTTTCTTTTGCAATTATTTAACAACTGTAAGCTTATGTTCTCAAGTTTTTATAATCTTTCAGGCGTTAGTTCCAATTTCAACTCTTCCTCACTACGCCCAGCCAGCATTTGAAGGTTATAAAACACTGAACAGAATACAGAGTCGGTTACACAACACAGCTCTTCATCAGGATGAAAATCTTTTACTCTGTGCTCCAACTGGTGCTGGAAAAACCAATGTTGCTTTGCTTTGTATTCTTCGAGAGATCAGTAAACATATCAACCTGGATGGAACTATTAATGCTGATGAATTCAAAGTGATCTATGTTGCTCCAATGAAATCTCTTGTGCAAGAAATGGTTGCTAACTTCAGCAAAGTAAGCAATAATAAACCTGTATATGAAGTTATTTTGTCATTCTTGAAAAAACTTATGAGTAATTTCTTCTTTTTTATAGAGGTTAAGTACTTATGGTATCAAAGTGGCAGAACTGACTGGTGATCATCAGTTGAACAGAGGACAGATCAATGCCACACAAATCATAGTTTGTACACCAGAGAAATGGGACATTATAACAAGAAAAGCTGGCGACAGAACATACACACAGCTTGTGAGATTACTAATCATTGATGAGATACATCTATTGCATGATGAACGAGGACCTGTGCTTGAGTCACTGGTTAGTATCGGCTATTGCTGAGTGTATTATCATCTTACAAAATATATTGCAATCTTAACAAGGCTGGAAATGTTTGACACAAACATCTGCAAATACTTTCAGGTGGCAAGAACGATTCGACAGATTGAGACTACCCAAGAAATGGTTCGATTGGTTGGCCTAAGTGCTACTTTACCAAACTATGAAGATGTTGCAACTTTCATGAGAGTAAACCCCAGCAAAGGATTGTATTTCTTTGATAACAGTTTCCGTCCTGTTCCACTTGAGCAGCAGTATATTGGAGTAACAGAGAAGAAACCTGTCAAGAGATTGCAGGTAGGCATTTTGAAAGAACACCAGAGCTCTTGATTAAGTTGAAAACAGCTAGAGTTTCCTTCTGTAAAAATCTTAAAACTTGCAAAAATATTTCAACAGATAATGAATGATATTGTGTATGATAAAGTAATGGAAAATGCTGGTAGAAATCAGGTCCTCATCTTTGTCCACTCAAGAAAGGAAACTGGTAAAACTGCACGTGCAGTGAGAGACCTCTGCTTGGATAAAGACACTCTTGGTATGTTCTTGAGAGAAGATTCTGCAAGTACTGAAGTTCTGAGGTACGTACAAGTTTTCTATTACATATATTATGTTATATTGAGGGTCCTTATGGTAAATATCTCTAACCCTTTTAGAACTGAGGCTGACCAAGTAAAAAACACTGAATTAAAGGATCTTCTTCCATATGGCTTTGCCATACATCATGCTGGTATGACAAGAGTTGACAGAACATTGGTTGAAGATCTTTTTGCCGATAAACATATTCAGGTTCTGGTTTCCACGGCAACTCTGGCATGGGGTGTTAACTTGCCTGCTCATACTGTGATTATCAAAGGAACACAGGTTGGTTTAGCACAAAAGACTGTCATGCTGTTTAATACTAGTGTTCATGTCTTGTTTAGCTATTTTGTGCAAAAATTGACAGTTTGCTGTATTTTCTCAGATCTACAATCCTGAGAAAGGTCGTTGGGTGGAGCTAGGAGCTCTTGATGTTCTGCAGATGTTAGGTCGTGCAGGAAGACCTCAATATGATTCAAAAGGAGAAGGCATTTTAATTACTAGTCATTCTGAACTGCAATATTATTTATCTTTAATGAATCAACAGGTATTTACTAAACTGTGATCTGATACTGATCATAATCATTTAAAGTTTCAACTATGAACTGCTGTTATAAAGCAACTAAAATTGGGTTTAGTGGTACAATATATTATCTTATTTCCTAGCTACCAGTTGAGAGTCACTTCATAGAAAAGATTGCAGACAGTCTGAATGCTGAGATTGTTCTTGGCACTGTTCAAAATGCCAAGGAGGCTGTGAACTGGTTAGGTTAGTATATTTCAAACTACTAACGTCCTCAGCCTGTCTCATAGTTACTTAAGTTAAGTGTATAGTGGCCATCATACATACAGTCGCACGTTATTGCATTAATTTCATCTGCATTTTACTAATCATTGAGTGTACTAGATGCTTACTGTATCTGTATTTCTCATCACAGGTTACACATATTTATACATTCGAATGCTACGTAATCCAACATTGTATGGTATATCACATGATGATTTGGAGAAAGACAGTCTTCTGGAACAGGTTCGTTTATTCCGAAATGCAATGTCCTTTCTTCATTTTTTTACAATACCAACTGAGAAATGTTTTTTTTAAACAAAATTGATTTAATTCTTAGCGTCGTGCTGATTTGATTCACTCAGCTGCTAGTTTGCTGGACAAGAACAACCTCGTGAGATACGATCGAAAAACAGGAAATTTCCAGGTGGGAGAGTTATAAGATGTTGTTCATGCTCAGTGCCTTACTTTAACGCAAGCAGTCAGCCATTATTTCGTACTCAGTAGTGAAAAAAACGCCTAATTTATTTTATCTGGTGTGGTTTAGGTGACAGAACTGGGAAGAATAGCGAGTCACTATTATTGTACTCAGAATACGATTGCTGTTTACAACAGTTTACTCAAACCAACTCTGAGTGAAATTGAGCTGTTCCGAGTCTTTTCTCTTTCGTCTGAGTTTAAATACATCACTGTTAGAGAGGTGAGTCTTCAGTTTCTGATGGTGGTATTCAGTAATTTCAGTTGCAGATCCTAAACCTTTTCTGTGTATTTCAGGAAGAGAAACTTGAGTTAAACAAGTTGTTGGAAAGAGTTCCCATCCCTGTGAAAGAAAGTATTGAAGAACCGAGTGCAAAAGTAAGAATAATTTTAGGATTATTACGTCTTGTTTTTCTTCCATCTTGAAATGAAGAGCAGCGTACGTTGTCTTGTATTTTACCCTCTTAACCGCTTACCGCAGTCACAAAGCATATTCCTTGTGTCTGTATAATATAAGAGGAAAAGTAAATAAATATCTTTGAACAACCAGATTTTCCTCCACGTAGGTTGATCTGATTGTATCCAAAGAAACAATAATTGTGATTAAAATCCCGTATTGTGACAGTGTGTATCATGAAAACGTCTTATTCATTAAATCATTTTCTTCGTCAGGTGAATGTTCTGTTACAAGCATATATATCTCAACTGAAGCTGGAAGGATTTGCTCTGATGTCTGATATGGTTTATGTAACTCAGGTAAGACTAGATGAGGTTTAACCAATACTTTAATTATTAAAACGTTAAAAGTGAAGAACGCGTTGTTTCATCTTCTAGTCCGCTGGTCGACTCATTTCTGCCATCTTTGAGATCGTCGTGAACCGAGGCTGGGCCCAACTTGCTGATAAAACTTTGAATTTATGCAAAATGATCAACAAAAGAATGTAAGTTTTGTTCATTAAGCAACTACCTTGTCAAACAGTTTCCTTTCTCTTCTGTTGATGTATTTACAAACCAGTTATGTTATGACCTTTGTTAACTTATGCAAGCATGATGTGAACTTCATGTCTGTGGTGAAAACGGAGGAAAAGCTAAACATCTCTCATGTCACAGTCATATCTTACCATGTAGATATTTCTGATCGCAAGAGAGAGACATACACCTCACCATCGTGATTTGTAGAAATTATTATATCTCTCTGAGAAAGAATGTTGCTAATACTTTGTGTCCTCAATCCTCAGGTGGCTCTCCATGACTCCACTTCGTCAGTTTACCAAGATCCCAATGGAAGTGATCAAGAAAATTGAGAAGAAAGATTTTCCTTGGGAAAGATTTTATGATCTTGGCACAAAGGAGATTGGAGAGTTGATTCATATGCCAAAAATGGGCAAAACTTTACACAAGTTTATTCATCAACTTCCAAAACTGGAGCTTGCTACACACATCCAGCCGATTACGAGGTGAGATCACCGCTGGGAAGATGAACTGAGAAATTCTTCGTGTTTTATTTAATGGATTATTATTTATTTAGATCAACGTTGAGTGTTGAATTGACAATCACACCTGACTTCCAGTGGGATGAGAAGGTTCATGGTTCATCTGAAGCGTTCTGGATCTTGGTTGAAGATGTTGACAGTGAAATAATTTTGCATCATGAATATTTTCTTCTGAAAAGTAAATACGCAAATGATGAACACGTTATTAAGTTATTTGTTCCTGTCTTTGAACCACTTCCTCCTCAATATTTCATCAGAGTCGTGTCCAACCGTTGGTTAGGTGAGTTTTTGGTCACTTCTTCCTGGTTTCTTCATTAGTTGTTGCATTAAATTATCGTCCTTTTCTCATCTGTTCTCCAGGCTCCGAGACCCAGCTTCCTGTGTCATTCCGTCACCTCATTTTACCAGAGAAAAACCCTCCATTAACAGAACTATTAGATCTTCAACCATTACCAGTCTCTGCTCTAAGAAACGCTGATTTCGAAGTTCTGTACAAAGACAAATTTCCATATTTCAACCCAATCCAAACACAAGGTACATTGCACAAGACAAGGCACTAATCTCTCCAATATGACTGAAGTAAGTTCATTTATCATTTGTATTTGTTTCAGTGTTCAACACCCTCTACAACTCAGAAGAAAATGTCTTCATTGGAGCCCCCACTGGAAGTGGGAAAACAATATGTGCTGAGTTTGCAGTTCTTCACATGTTTGCAATCAATCCCAATAGCCGCTGTGTCTACGTCACTCCTCTCCAGTCTCTCGCAGACCAGGTTAGCAACACCACTTTTTAGAGTATGAAGTCGATTTCAGAGCCTGATTGATCTTTGTCTGACTTCTCATCAGGTATTCGCTGACTGGCACAGTAAGTTTAGCCTTCAGTTACAAAAGAATGTCGTTCTGTTGACTGGAGAAACAAGCGCAGATCTTAAACTATTGGCTAAAGTACGTAAAACATCTCTCTTGTTACGTTTTAGAAGTTTTTTCGCTCTCTTGAGCTAAGAGGTTCTTCTTTACGCAGGGTAATGTCATCATCAGCACACCTGAGAAGTGGGATGTTTTGTCTCGTCGATGGAAACAACGAAAAAATGTTCAGAATGTCAATGTATTCATAATGGACGAATCCCATCTTATTTCTGGAGACAATGGGGTATGAAGAGTTAATATTTATTAATCATTTTCTTCAAGTCTGGAACTATCGTTCACGATTTGTGACTCTTTATTTCAGCCTGTCATGGAAGTCATTTGCTCGCGTATGCGTTACATTTCCTCACAAATTGAAAAGAACATTCGTATTGTTGCCCTGAGTTCCTCTCTTGGCAACTCCAAGGTATTTTAACATTCAAACTAATGTTCTTTTACGTAGCATCACAATTGTTTTACGTAGTAAATATTCATCTTTAGGATGTGGCCCAGTGGTTAGGAGCTCAAGCGACTGGTTTATTTAACTTTCATCCAAACGTTAGACCTGTTCCATTAGAATTACATATCCAGGTGGGTTATACTGTGTATCGTGCCCGGGGTACGACAGACATGCCGCTTTCGATGGAATTCGTTTGAGATTAAACTGCATCACTTTCTTTAGGGTTTCACAATCACACACACTGGCTCAAGATTAATTGCAATGGCTAAGCCGATATACCAAGCAATTATGAGACATTCTCCTAAGAAACCTGTCATTGTGTTTGTTCCTTCAAGACGTAATACTAAACTTACTGCTCTTGATTTACTCACTTTCTCAGGAGCTGATAACGACGCACAAAGGTACGAGTAGTTTTAATTTAATGGTTGACCATCTTCAGAAATATCGTTGATACTAATCGTCTCTTTCAGGTTTCTGCACTGCACAGAAGAAGATCTGAGACCATTCACAAGTCGTCTTAACGATAAGGTTTGTTGCTTTACTGCTGTTGAGAAATAACTCTCTTCCATTTTAAGAAATAGTCACTGATATCAGACTTAATCACTTTTCATAGACCCTGAAAGAAACGCTGACATATGGAGTGGCTTTTCTTCACGAAGGATTGTCTGATACAGAGGTCAAGATTGTTGAACAACTGTTTGTCTCAGGCGCTGTCCAGGTTAGTGAATAATAAACTAAAAATTTTCCTGCTATGATGCATTTGGTTATTGCGTGTATCATTAACTTGATTTTCGTTCCCAGGTGGTAGTGGTGTCACGCAATTTATGCTGGGCGATCAGTGTGAACGCGCATCTTGTGGTAATCATGGACACGCAGTATTACGAAGGCAAAATACACGCGTGAGTATGACTATTTGCACAATTGTTTGAAATCAAGTCCTTGGTTTCTATTGATTCTTACGGTCTTATAAACTGCATATTGTTTTAAAACTGGTATTGTTTTAAAGTTATGTGGACTATCCAATCACGGACATTCTGCAAATGGTTGGAAAAGCCAATCGTCCTTTGCAAGACGATGTTGGTAAAGCAGTCATTCTTTGTCAGGGATCTAAGAAGGAATTTTTCAAGAAATTCCTTTATGAACCTTTACCAATCGAGGTGAGGAATTCGAAACAACAAATGTGTTTGATTTATCCATCATGATGATGATAAAGAAACATTTTCTTTTCTTCATTTAGTCCCATCTCGACCACTGTCTTCACGATCATTTTAATGCTGAAGTCGTTACAAAAACAGTTGAGAACAAACAAGACGCTGTCGATTATCTTACCTGGACATTCTTGTATCGCAGAATGACGCAAAATCCAAACTACTACAATTTACAAGGTACAGAAGTAACACACTTTAACGAGACTTTAATAGATAAAACGCTGTTCTCAAATTCATTTCTTTTTCAGGAGTAACTCATCGTCATCTTTCTGATCATATGTCTGAGTTAGTCGAGAACACGTTGAGTGATTTAGATCAATCAAAGGTAGGCAATGCTTAAATTTTTAATGATACCAAATGAAGCTTTGCGTTATCAATCACAACTTTGATCTCTTCATTCAAATGCAGTTCGTTTTCACCTTCTTCAAATTTCATATTCATTTTCTTTTCTAGTGTATTTCTATCGAAGATGATGTCGACGTTTCGCCGCTCAATTTGGGGATGATCTCAGCATATTACTACATCAATTATACAACGATCGGTAAGTTTACACAAAAACTCTGCTTAAGAGTTTATTTTAATCTCAGTTTTGTAAGAGTCTACTGAGTTCAAAAAGATGTTGTTTCAGTCATGTTCCATCAAGATACTTAACGTTTATTCTGTGTCGTTTCTAGAACTGTTCAGTGTATCTCTGAATAATAAAACAAAGCTCAAAGGTCTGATTGAGATCATTGCGTCAGCTTACGAATACGAAAACCTTCCCATCAGACATCATGAAGACACTACACTAAAACAGGTGGATGAATATTTCTGATTTCTAGCGCGTATAACGATCATAATTTCTAACGCATATTACTATCAACAGCTATCCACACGTGTTCCTCACAAACTCGCAAGTCAGAAGTTCAATGATCCGCATGTCAAAGCGAATTTGTTACTGCAGGCTCACTTATCACGACTGCAGTTGTCAGCAGAGCTACAGTCAGACACCGAGAATATTCTTGGAAAGGTAAAGAGTTGAAGAGTTATATTACTGAAGATATTTTCCTGAGGTAATTTCATTATCAAATATTCCTGGTTATTTAGGCAATGCGCTTGATTCAAGCTTGTGTTGATGTGGTCAGCAGCAATGGCTGGTTGTCCCCAGCCTTGGCAGCTATGGAACTTGCACAAATGGTAAGTCTCTTTAAAATGATCGAGTCTCATGGTTAAGTTTCTGACCATTCACTGTTTGCTTTTCTGCAGGTCACACAGGCGATGTGGAGCAAGGATTCGTACTTGAAACAGATTCCTCACTTCAGCAATGAGTTAATTAAACGTTTTACGGAGAAGGTGCGTTCAAAACTAGACGTTACATGTTATAAGAGTCTTCTTTATTCATGCAGGGTTTTGACTTAACGGTTTGTCACATTTCGTGTTTTCAGGAAGTAGAAAGTGTCTTTGATGTGATGGAATTAGAAGATGAAGAAAGAAAAGATATGTTGAAGATGGAAGATAGTCAAATGGCGGTATGTTTGTTAATTGATTTTCTTACTACATTTACTGTATATTTCTGACTATAACCTTTTTCTATGTTTCTTCAGGATGTGGCAAGATTTTGTAATCGTTATCCTAACATTGAATTGTCTTATGAAATTGAAGACAAAGATAACATCAAAGCGTGAGTCTAATATTTGATAGTTTGTGACCGTGCAAAGGTTTTTCTCTTGCAATAATTTAAAATTGCTTAAATGTTGGTAGTGGTTGGCCCGTGGTTGTTCTTGTTGATTTGGAGAGAGAAGACGAACAAAGCGGCGCTGTCATCGCACCATTTTTCCCTGGAAAACGAGAGGAAGGCTGGTGGCTTGTTATTGGTGACTCCAAGGCAAACAGGTTGGAAACCTGTCATTTTCATTTCAATTCTAGAACCAGCTACACAACTACTTTCATATCATGACCCTGGCTCAACAGATCGTTCACTGGTTGTTTGACAATGATTTACACGTATTTTTTAGTCTGATTTCGATCAAACGATTGACACTACAACAGAAAGCCAGAGTGAAGCTTGATTTTGTGGCACCATCACAGACTGGCAATCATTCATACGTCTTGTACTTCATGTGTGATGCATATCTTGGATGTGATCAGGAATATACGTTTAAGATTGATGTAAAACAACCTGCTAGTGATGAGGAGAGCGAAGAGAGTGCTTAAAATTGTCCTATACAACTGAAGATCTAACCAATCCTCCGGAGTAATCCGTGGAGTTTGGTGTTGATAGACGATGCTATTGCCGATTGCTATGACACACACCAAAGGTCGTCCAATATGTAGTGCCTTTGATCTATGCTTGTTCAGACAATCCTGTGTATTTTTTTGTACTTATATAATACTAGCAGATCACTGTACTAGATTTACGTTCTTAAGAGTTTTACATCATAGGAACTCCCAGTGTAGGTACTTCTGTTTGTGATTTTCAAAATACCTGAACAATATAAAGCTTTTTTAAAATGTACACTGTTTCAACTGTGAGCTGTGTTTTAACCAAAGGTGAAGGGCACTAAGACGAAGGCCAAAAAGAGATGGGGACCTAAGTTTATTCGTGCTGTTATTTGCTAAGATATTCTATCCAGTTTTTTTAGATCAGCTGTTGTGAAGCTCTTATCTGCAAGTGGAAGCACGTAAGAAGAAGAAATAATATTGAAAGAATATTAGAAAGCAGCTATATAATGGCGTGTAGTAGAAGTGTTTTAGATTCACCTTTTGGAGAGAAAGTTAGCGATGAAATACGAGAGATATTCGAAATATGCAAGAATGGGGATGTATCTAAAGTACGAAGATATATAATGAATGGTTTGGACCTCAATATAAGAGATACAGCCGGCCGAAAATCATCACCGCTCCACTTCGCTGCTGGTGAGTATTTGCCATCCAAAATTTCTGTCGCTTTTATTGCAATTCTTGGTATGTTTTGAACAATAATATGTACTCATAGTGAATGTAAAGGTCTGAGAAGTTTGTACTACGAAAAATTATCAGGTTATAGCTTTATCCTGTTTTGAAAATCAATATATTTTATACCAAATATTTATGGCGTCGGGTATTCGATAGCACAAAGTAATTTAGGTGTAGTTTTAATTCATGCATCTTTCACCTCGTAAAATTGTCAGTCTTCAAGCTATTGTTCTCAATAGAAGCACTGAAGCAGGAACAGTTCAATGATTTTCAAATATTTTGTTTTGATTGAAAACAGTAAATGTTTACAGTAAGATAATATGATAGCTTGTGTGTGTACTGATACATATTATGAATAATGTTGTCACTTTGTTTGGTTACTACCCTGGAATTTCCTGAATTGAACTGAGTCCTTACCTCCAGCAAATATATGCCTTAGTATTACTAAGTGTTGTAGTTTATAGTTTTGCTTAGGAAGGAAAGGAAATATATTATAACATACATAAGGAAATCAATCATCAATGTAATACCTTGGACTTTGCTATTTTACTAGCTCCCTCCAATGCCATTTTTTCTTCTTTTTTTTTTCACTTATTTAACCATACGTGAGACAAGAGTCTTCCATAAAATATCTTTGTGTTTTCAGGTTTTGGGAGGAAAGAAATTGTAGAGGTTTTACTTCATAGTGGAGCTGATGTTCTTGCGAGGGACGATGGTATGTCTTATTTAATTTATACAGTCATATATGAATATGTTTCTTAGGGCTTTGTGTGGCAATGATGACTTAGGGTTAGGGGGAATTATTTTCCATGATTAAAATACACCTTACTGAGCCAATGCTTCATATTTCATGGAATGTATTTATTGTTTAATCTATTGTTAGTCAGTAAACCATTCTCAATGATGCTTCCATATTTTTCAGGTGGTCTTATTCCCTTGCATAATGCATGTTCATTTGGCCATGCTGAAGTTGTAAAACTGTTGTTAAAACATGGTGCAGATGGTAATGCAAGAGACAACTGGAATTTTACTCCTTTACATGAAGCAGCAGTCAAAGGAAAAGTGGATGTTTGCATTGGTACAATTATCTTGCAAAGTTTGAAAAGATGCATTTATTTGTTGAAATTAAAACATCACATTCAAATTTCATTCTTTAGTTTTGCTGCAGCATGGTGCTGATCCTGGGATAAGAAACACAGATGGTAAAACTCCACTGGATGTTGCAGAGTCATCGTGCAAATCTGTTTTAAATGGTTTGTTATTCACTTCTACATTTTTGCCTTGCATGCTTCACCTGCTCAATAACTCTTTTTATTTCACAGGTGATTACAAAAAGGATGAATTATTGGAAGCATCAAGGTTGGTTTGTTGTCAGAAAGCATGTGTGTAGTTGGTTTATAAGCCATATTCAAAGTGCAGGTTTTGGAATTCAACTCATGTTATATCATTTCAGGAGTGGCAATGAAGAAAAGTTGATGTCGTTACTTACACCTCTCAATGTCAACTGTCATGCAAGTGATGGACGCAAGGTACATCACAATTGCTCGATATTTTTAGCATTCACCCAAACAGTTTTCATGTTTGATTGCTTGTGTTTTACAGTCAACTCCATTACATCTGGCAGCTGGATATAACAGAGTGAGAATTGTTCAACTTCTTCTGCAACATGGCTCAGATGTTCATGCTAAAGACAAAGGGTACATCATCTTAGTGTAATGATTACCACATCATTAATAGTATTTTAGCAATGCATTTACTTTTTTTTTATTTAATAGTGGTCTTGTGCCTCTCCACAATGCTTGTTCATATGGACATTTTGAAGTGACTGAACTGCTTATTAAGGTTGGTATTGAAAAAAAATAAATTTCATATACATAATGTGTGTATTGATTCTAATAGTCGTATGCTTGTTTTAGCATGGAGCTAATGTTAATGCAATGGATTTATGGCAGTTTACTCCAATACATGAAGCAGCTTCTAAATCAAGGTATTACAAACATTTATACTCCTGACACTATCCTGTAAAGAATGCATTTGTATATGATATATTTTTGTGTTTTATAGAGTGGATGTATGTTCTCTACTTCTGAGTCATGGTGCTGATCCTAGTTTGTTGAATTGTCATTCTAAAAGTGCTGTGGAAGTTTGTCCATCAGATGATCTCCAGGAGAAATTACAATGTATGGAGATAATTATTTCTTTAATGAAAGTGTTGAAAAGTATTGAATTAACCGTATTAAAACCTTATTTCTTTAGATGAATTCCGTGGCCATAGTTTGTTATCAGCTTGTGTTCATTGTGATGTTCTAAAAATAAAGAAAATTTTGGCTGCGGACATTGCAAGTTTTCAACACCCATTCTCTTTAGATTCACCATTGGTAAGCTCTCATCCTTTCTTGCGTAGACAATGAAGTAGTAAAAGTGATTCACTGTAATTTTCTTGGCTTTGTGGCAGCGATGATGATAGCTGATGAAATATTTCTTCGTGATTACTCAATAATACGCTATACTGAGCTGAAAAATATCTATAGAACAGCAGGTTCCTATTTCCTAGGACTATTGACAATCATTCAATGATTTTTTAATCAGTATTTCTCTTCTTTAAAGCACTATGCTGTAGCAGCTCCAACAGCAAAACGAAAGACAATGGTTGAGATGTTGATAAAGAAAGGAGGTGATGTGAATCTTGGAAACAGAGATGGTATAACAGCCTTGCATATTGCTGCAGAAAAATCTCATTTGGATGTTCTTGAAATACTGTTGAAGAATGGTGCACAGGTACGGATGTTTTGATATCCAATACGCTTGTGTACGATGGACTATGATGCAATAGTGTTTTCTGTATGTTCCAGGTCGACACAACAGATAATCTTGGTCAAACACCACTACACTGTGGTGCACATGCTGGTCACATACAGAGTTGTAAGATGTTGCTATGTGCTGGTGCTGACATAAATGCGCGATCACTGCAGGCTCTTACACCAGCACAAATTGCTCCTGAACCTCTGCAAAAATTACTCCAAGGCACAAGAGAAGGTTCGTTCTTTGATGTTTTATATTTTCAGTAATCCATTGCGGGAATCCAAGATAAACCTAACACGTAATATTTTGAGCCAAAACTTGTGCAATAATCTCGGTGACATATCCAATAATGGGGGGGGGGGTTTAGCTGGGCTTATTTCAGGCACTAAATTTGAATATTTGCAGAAGAAGTACAAGAGACCAGCGGTGATAGAGATGACACAAGGAAACTACTAGAAGCAGCCAAGACTGGTGATCTAGAAACTGTAAAACAATGTTGTAACACCAAGACTGTCAATTGTCGTGATCTTGATGGTAGACACTCTACTCCCTTACATTTTGCAGCTGGTTATAACCGAGTGTCTGTCGTACATTTTCTTCTGGAAAATGGTGCTGATGTTCATGCAAAAGATAAAGGGTAAACCTCAAATTTATTAGTTCTACACTGACGTGAATCTCTCTGGTGTTTTATCTGAAATGCTTTGTACAATCGTGTGTGTTCATTTCAATCCTAGTGGTTTGGTACCTTTACATAATGCATGCTCTTATGGACATTACGAAGTCGCTAATTTACTTGTCAAGGTATGTATGAATCATGAATACAAAAGCTGCGATTGAAATTAGAAATTTGAAGTTAAGAAACGTGTTCAGGGCGTTTATAACAGAATGGAATATTTGATTTTAGCATGGTGCTAACGTGAACGTGGCTGATCTGTGGAAATACACGCCACTTCACGAGGCTGCCACGAAAGGAAAACTTGAGATCTGTAAACTTCTATTACGGGTAAGAGATATCATATTATTGCTTGGCGCCATCATCTTCAGCATCAACGCTAACATTAAATGATTATTTAGCACGGAGCTGATCCCTCGAAACGTAATCGCGACGGCCAGACTCCTTTGGACTTGGTTAAAGATGAGGATAGCGATGTCTCAGATTTATTGAGAGGTGAGATTTCAGGACAATTTTACTCTGTCAACTATTCTTAGAATGCTAACGTGTTTTATGCTTCTTTCCCAGGCGATGCTGCACTCCTGGATGCTGCTAAGAAGGGAATTTTAGCTAAAGTATGTTTTCTTTATCAAATACAAAATCATTCAAATATATCGTAATTTTAAGTTACATAATTATTCTATCCCCAGGTTGTAAAGTTAGCCATTTCTAGTAACATCAACTGCCGTGATAGTCAAGGACGAAATTCACACCTTTGCATCTTGCTGGTACGATTGAAATAAAGAGTATGTATTGATCAGCAGACCTTTGGTCATGGATGATGTAATGTTTCTTTCATTATGTAGCTGGTTATAATCATCTTGAGGTGGCCGAGTATTTGCTGGAGACTGGAGCTGATGTGAATGCTCAAGATAAAGGTGGTCTGATACCACTACATAATGCCTCATCTTACGGGGTAAGTTGTGTCATGTGATTGTCTGAACTGATGATAAAGAGGTGTAAAATATGAATAAATTTTTCTTCGTTCATAGCACTTGGATATCGCGGCGTTACTGATCAAGTTCAAGGCAGATATTAACGCAACTGATCGCTGGCATTTCACACCACTACATGAAGCTGCGCAGAAAGGAAGGACGCAGCTTTGTGCTTTATTGGTAAGATCATGTACACGAGAGACCACTTTATCTCGCCATCTTGTTTTGTAAACTCTTCTATAACCCCACCCCACCCCCCTACACTTCAGACTGTTCCAGTTTTTTGTTTGTTTGACAGCTGGCGCATGGTGGTGATCCGTCTATGAGAAATTTGGAGGGAGAGACACCGTTGGACCTCGCTACAGTGAGTAATCTGACTGGACAGAAAATGAAATTGTTGTTCGTCAGGAGTGGCTGCAAGTGTAGTTGCTGATATATGAGATTTCAACCTTTTTTGCAAATGAAAGTAATTCAATTTCTTTCCTTCAGGCTGAAGACGTGAAGGCGTTGTTAAGCGATGCAATGGTGCATTGTACAAATAAACCTGCCGCCGTAAATAAATCAGCTCAAGCGAGTGTGAAAGCAGAGAGCGGAGCATCGCCATTATCTACAGCTAACTCAATACTTCTCGCAAGCAACTTACCCGGCTCAGGTGACGGAGCGTCGACCGAAAGACCAGTTATGGAGTTACCAGCAGGTGAGCGTGGAAATTGAGGATGAAAAGTCATGTTGCTGAATGAAACTAGAACCGTATTAATAATATGGTCATTTCAATTTCTTCTATCTAGTTCATCCTGGTCTTGACGTGGATATTGGACAGTTTTTGAATAGTTTACAACTTTCACATCTCAATGAAATATTCGAACAAGAACAGGTTCGTAGTTGACGATGATCATCACATGTCTAGTGCTGCACCACAATATCAGGTGCCCTACCCGAGTCTTTGTTTTGCCTGCAATGGATTGTTTTTTTTTCTTTAGATAACCTGGGATGTTCTTCTTGACATGGGACACGAGGAACTGAAAGAAATTGGAATAAACGCTTATGGACATCGACATAAAATACTTAAATCCGTAAAAGAAAGGATAACAAACATGGGATTAGGTTAGAATACGATTTAATTTTGTATTTACAACATATGACACCTGTTGTCAGTTATAGGCTACTTCACCTGAATCCATCAGTGATCCTTAACCTCCCTAGGTGCACTCTTGATGAATAGTAATTGTAAACGCAATATTTTTGTTAGGTAATGGTCCATTTACAGCGTTATCAGCCACAAATCATGGCACAATACTGCAAGAATTATGCGGAACAGATAAAGATTTTATATCCGTATCTGAAGAGGTATCAAAGATTTGATATTCTCGGTGGTAAATGAAACAGTAAATTAATTTTTTGGTTTATTTCATAGATGCAAAGTACAATACGAGAACATCGAGATCATGGTCAAGCAGGAGGGATATTTAACTCGTACAATATTATCAAGGTTGGTTTCTTTCTCCTGAAGTTGTCAAATGGAAGATGAGGTTTTACAAGAGCTAGTTCTCGATATTTGAATGAAATAATTTGTGTTTCCAGATTGAACGAGTGATCAATAAGAAAATGTGGGAAAGATATTGTTATCGCAGACAAGAGGTCAGTCTCGTGTGTTTCAATTCCCCTTTTTAATTCATCTTTGATTCGTATAAGTCATTAAGTTGTTGTTGAAAAACATTTATTATTAATTGTCTTCAGGTTGCCGAGTCCAATCATAATCACGCAAATGAAAGAATGCTTTTCCATGGTAAGATTTCAGGATGTTGTTGTCACTTAGTAGACTTACTGTTTGACGACATCTCATTGATGGCAACTTATTGATATTTTAGGTTCGCCGTTTGTCAATTCAATCGTTCAAAAAGGATTTGATGAACGTCATGCTTACATCGGTGGCATGTTTGGAGCAGGTAATGAACTAATGCAAGATTAGTGTCGTTGTAGCTTCACTTCACTTTTAGTTCACTGTTTTTAGGTATCTATTTTGCCGAGAATTCATCGAAAAGTAATCAATATGTTTATGGAATCAACGGAGGAAGTGGTTGTCCAGCTCATAAAGATCGTTCATGTTACGATTGCTCCAGGTAAACACCTTGATGTTACCTTTGCCTGTTATGAATGCTTAGATAAGTGTGCGAGACTATCAGAAAATAATGTTTGATCTGGCCAGCTCTGACATTCGTTAGTTACAGGAGTTATCATTCATGTATTTCTTTCTTTTAGACAAATGTTACTTTGTCGTACAGCACTTGGCAAACCATTTTATCAGTTCTCTGCGATTAAAGTCGCTCATTCTCCCCCAGGACATCACTCGGTCATTGGCAGACCAAGTGCAGGGGGGTTGTCTTTTGCAGAGTATGTTGTTTATAGAGGCGAACAGGTAATGATTTTAATAATCATGCTTCATTTTTATCTCGTTCTGTTGATCTAAATGTTAATTATCCTTTGCAGGCGTACCCTGAATATCTTATTGAATATAAGATAATAAAACCAGAGACACGAGACAGTGATTCTTGGCTGTCGTCTTCATCATCATCGTAGCAGGTACTAAGTTTTTTACTGGGAGATATTGTACTTGGCTGGAGCTGGTATAGTTGAAGCAATGTAGTCCCCGACCATTTTCAATAAACCAATGATGTGAGTGGAATTAATGAACATTTTATGACCTGGTTGTACATGAATAATTGAAGACTTGCTGAAAGATTTTAAGACGATATTTCCGTCTTGAGACATTCTGAATACAGCAGAATTAAACTAGGGTGTGCGCGATGGCTACCATGCTCAATCTGAATAGTAATTGTATTCGCTAGCGTCATTCAAATAGTATGCGAGTTCTTTGAGCACTATGGAACACTAGACGTTCAACCATAGCGATCTTTTATGACTGTCTCAATAAATGAAGGCTAATCAACTGTATATACAATTGAACACTAGAGATATTGGAGTGTATTTAGAAAGAATATCAGGCAATATTTGGTAGTGATGTAAATATTAAGATGAGGGTGAAAAGACGAAATTATAAAAACAATATAAATATATGGAAACAAATATAATTTGAAATTATAAGATTTGCAACCAAATTGATTTTTATTATTTCGATAATTCTATACACATTCATTTGCAATTTATTACAAATAATATAATTATTTAATACAAAACTATTATAGCATTTAACATAAACCTATTAATTTCAATTGTCCCTCTATTTAGTACCTATTTGTAGCCAACAATCCAGTCTTATATATAGCTGTACACCCATGTCCCACAATGTTAATTCTTGTATAAATTTTGTTTGAATTCGGGCTGTCATCTTTCTTTTATCGTGTTCGTGGTTTTCACGAAAGCAATGGCTGCTAATTCCTAAAAGAAAACATATTTAGATATTTTGGATTATATTTTGGATTTTAAAGTTTTGGTAAAAGTGATGGTGTAGAGGAGCAGATTACCTTACAAAATTCCTCCAGTACAACAACGCCTTGTAGTAAGTTCAGTTGTGGTTCACTAGAAATTATTACAATACACGATTGCTGAATTTAAATACGGTTTTTATTATGTAATTTAACTATGCAATCAGGTGAGGTTCTCTTGTGATGGTTGTTTTAAATACCTTTTATTTTCTATCGATTGTAAGCTCATTAATCTTTTCCTCGTGTGCAGTAATCTCTGTTTGAAATTTGGCAATCTTTGTACACGATCTTTTAGATCTTGTGTCACCTGGATCAGAAAGAAATTATTTTTAGCGAATCAACTACTTTTGTTCGTGTGTTTTTTTCATAGAATTTATCCAACATCTATTGATTGAACATACTTCTCGTAATATTGTGCTTAGTGACGTTGCATCAGGTATGAGGGATAATGTAGGATTCAGCATGTACTCATGAAGATATGGATGAGGAAATTGGGATATGAGAGCCAGTATTGAGGTTACTTGTAGATTGACGTCGTAAGGCTGAAATATTTGAAGCATTGTCAGTTTAGGTACGTTCCTATGCATTTGATAAAACTTAACATTTGAGAAACTTGCCTGGTCTAATATATTTCTCAATTTTTTAAATACGATATTTAGAAAATCTCCTTCATAAAACGGACTTTCAGATGATACTGAAACAAAGAGAAAGATGTTAGCGGAATAAATGAACAACAGAATGAAAAGGTTGAATATGATCACCTTCAATTTTCGTTACAGATTTTGGCCAGTGGAAGGCTTTGCATTGATTCCGTCGTTCAGAACACTGTGTTATCAATAAAAGATGACTTTAGGATCCTCCATCAAGAGACCAACAAGGAAGAAGTTCTCTACATACTTACTTGTCTATGAGCGTCTCTGAGATACGAGTCATAGCCATTATCACCCAACTCTGCAGAGGATTTAACATCGCCAGGCAGGAGAAACAGAAAGCTGACAATTATATAAATATTTTCGTGGTAAATCTCGTGCATCTTTCAAGCACAACCTTCATCCCCCGGCAACTAACCTGTTGACGATTTTTTCAAGTTCAATACGATCCAAGTCATTAACGTCGCTGCCTTCTTCATTACGCGTTGCAGTGACATCATCACTGACGTCACCATTCTGTACCGTATTTTGCTTAAAATATCTGCGATCTACGAGATTTTTCAAGACAAGAGAATCCAAGATTGCTGGTACAGGTTTCTCCAACAAACACTCAACTAGTCGAAGAGTTTCAATTGTTACCTGTAAGTAATAACAGTATATAAGATCGTGTATTGACATGGTAATATTTTACAATATGTCCCCATGCTTTCTTCTCTGACTTCTGAGAAATTCCGGAGTGAGATTATGATACCATTAAGATGTCGTGGTTTGTGTCTAAATTACCTGAAAGGGATCATCTCAAACGTGGTGATCCAGTGTAGTTAACATTCTCTACAACGAGCTGTGAGGATATATATATATATAGACTTACACTGTCTGAAATGTGATTACATCTCTTTATAAGTGTCTCTATTAACGGACTGTTACCACAAGGATTTTGTTCAGGATTCTGTTCAGGTTTTTCATCGTCTTTGCTCGAAGTGTCCATGAAGAATGAAACGTACTCTAAAATATTTTTAGCTAAAATTACCATCTTTCAAGGTCATTATGAAAGCGTTTTTAAAACATACCTTCCACTGTTTTTGGTGCGTTCACCATTCTAAGACATTTTGTCAGCAGAGCTGTGATGGTTATCACGCGTGATTCTGATCTAAATTACGTATTCATCATTAATTAAAACATTTCTTCTCTAGCGTTTACCTACTACGATGACATGCGAGAATACCTCTGCCTCCGTAATGACTTACATCTCTAGTAAACTTGGTTTAAAAACAGCTTCAAGACATCTTTCTCTCAGCGCGGACGACAATGCTTTACCAATGAGCTAGGTGAGTAATTTGTAATATTTAGACATTTGAGAACGGTTTCCAGGGAAAATGATATATGAGAATAGGCTAGCTCAGGAAGATGTTGCACTTGTGGGTTGTGGCTTCCTTGAGCAGGTTTAGTCTGGATTATTACCTCGTGCGCCTCTCGTATTAATTGATCAATATAATCCAACCAAGACAGAAAAGATAGGAGAGCTCGTTTTCCAGGAAATTTATGAGTACCACCTTCATTTCTGTCTAAACTATACCAACAGGAGATGTATTATTTTAATATTGTTTATTGATTAAGGAGAATTAAGATATAAAACAAAACTAACCCCCATTTAGCGACAATATTTGCAATATAAGCTGGATCCATTTCCTTTGGTAGGCTTTGAAATAAACCAGTTAGACAATCCACCTGGGAAAAGAATTGTAGTTTGCCAAATCTTGTATATCTATCTCTGTTCTACTGTAAAGAAAGTAGTACTAGTATATTTACTGTACCATGACTTCACAGAATGGTGTATATAGTATTATAACACTTGCTGCATGGTCATCTGGGATGGAGGAGCATAACATCAGACCTTCACATGCTTTTACTGCAATCCGTCTGTCCTGTGGAAATTGTCTCAGTAAGTCTAACCAAAATCTTTGTTTTCTTTTATAAATTGCAGTGATTTTACCTCACTTTTGCTGAGTTTTAAAAGAGATTTGACAAGACTGTACTGTGGCTTCTCAGGCTGTCTGGGTTTCGAAACATCTTCAGTGTTTGAACTGGCTTGGTAAGGCATCTAAATGTGATATAATTCAAATGGTAGAAACAAGAGTCTATGAGACCTTGAATGCTGGTCCTTGCCTAGTCAACTAATGCAAATTACCTCCAGGAAGAAGTTAACTAAATTTGGATACATTCTTAGTTTGGCTGCGACAGTACATAAGAACTGTACTTCTTCATTCTCTGAAGGTGCTGCCTGAATTTGCCCACAGACATGAATCAATCTCTAAAAAACATTTTGCAGTGTGAGCTGTATATATAACTAAAGCAACTTCAAAACTTCTCGATGACTTACGTGTACTGGCTTATGGACGTTGACATGAGGTAGCAAAGGTGTTTTGATCTTTCCTAAGAGATTTGTGAAGAACTGTAGAACTTGTTGTTTCATACCAGGTGGACACTATATTGGAAAAATATCCACAGTTAAAATGTACAGCTAACCAAAGGTTAGGTGGTGTGATGGACAAAATAAACTCATTGGGTCAGTAAGAAAACAATGTTAATGAAAAGATGCAAAGGTGAGATTTGATTACATCTGCTTTTCCAAGAGTATGTAGTGTCTCCAATATTTTATGTTGAAGCAAATATTCCAAACAAGGACCCTTAAAAATACATAAATTTATTAAAGACATGTTGATGGACCAATCACATTATCAAGGTGGTGTGACACTCCCAGTTACACAAAGCTTCAATTTTTGTACGTACAGCAGTACTTCCACCATTATCCTGATCTTCAAGTCTCAAAATTTCTAGCATATGTTCTAAACTGTATGGAATATTGGTTGACTGGACAGGAACTTTGTCATCTAGAAAGTAAAGATATGACCAGACAGTATGAAATCCTCAGACAGAGATTAAAGCTGAGTACAAATATATTTACCTGTGGATTCAATGAAGTAATTAGTCACAGATTTCCAATGAAAGACAAAGTTCTCGTGAGATGGAAGCTCAGGAGCTAACTTTTCAAATGAAAATATCACAAAAAACCCATTTACTACGTCTTCTAAACCAAGTGCGAACATGAAAAGGTTGCATTCATTACAAAATCCAGTTTGATTTGTGTTAATACATGCATAGTAGCAATTACCTCAGGTAAAATAGCAAATTGATAAAATTGCAATATTGATAAGACAGTTGACAAGCCGGGGTTTATGTTGTGTGTACAGAATACAAATATATAAACAATGTAATCTGCTGTTAGATACAGATTTGGTATCATAATATAAATAAAGTTAAGTAAACAGAGGGGATAGTGTTAAGTGTTTGTTATCATTCCAAAGGTTTTGTTAAAAAACTACTTTTATTATGCCAGTCCTATCCCAGATATTGATAACTAGTGCCATATTTACACATACAAAAGGTCATTATTTGCATTAGAGGTGATTATAAAACAAAATATTCCCCTGGAGCCAATAATTTATAGCAATGTACACGTAAATATATGGTAATTAATATATGAACGTGGGTTAAATTACTACATACAGCATCCACAGCATTTTTAATAACTGCTTGTAGTTTATGAAACATTTCGTCTGTGACCTAAACCATCCGATCATCGAGATTTTTTATAACAATTTCATTCTTTTCTTATTTTTTTTTCGCCATTTTCACTCATGCCCAGTCCTCGCGATTTGAAAACACGTATGATTAGAAGATAAGAGATGGGCCCAGTAAGGGGGGGGGAATCAACCTTGTACGAGGTTGGGGAGTGTGAAGGAGGGTAAGAGAATGGGGGACTTCAACAACACAGCAAAACATGAAACATTTGTTGTATAATATTAGTCAGGTGAATCTTTTTGAATGTCAATATTGCTACACTGTGATGTTGCAATTGGTTCTGTTTCATCCTCTATCAACAATCCTTCAATTTCGTCTTGTGTAAGACCAAATTTCTCATGTAAAATGTCTTTAAAACGTATAACTATATTTCTCAAATGATTATTTTCACGGTTCGAGTCTTCCAATGCTTGCGTTAGAGTTAACACTTGCATCTGTAAATCCTCAATACTAGATTGGCGAACAGTTTTCTCTGATTCAGTGCTGTCTGTTTGTATTTGTAATCCTTGGTTTGACTGATGAGGTAGATCATAACTTGAATCAATGCTTTCTTGGTGTAGAACATCAGAGTCATGCTGTTTGTCATTTTTCTCAATTGTCGCCTTTGATTCTTCACAATTCTCTGACTTCATTTTTGCACGTGCTATTCTTTCTATCTTAACCTGAAGCAACTTTTTCTTTCGTAAGTGGTCTTCATACTGCAACTGCATTGAAATTAAAGCCTTAAAGAGAAATGGTAGAAATAAATGGTAGCCATGGTAGCATCCAGTGCCTAATTACATGTCATCTTAATAGTAACAATATTGCAACATTGAGATAAAAACATTCTTACCTGTGAAGCCGTGGTTGCCTCCATTGCTTCCATGATGTAAGCTGTAAAAAATCAAAATAATTGATTACCTTTCAGCCAAGATACTATGACCATTATCAATGGGCAGAAAAATACAAACCTGAAGCAATTTCATAACAAGCTATAGCCTCCATGTATTTCTTGTTAGAAATAAGTTTTTCTGCTTTCCTTTCTTGTTGATGGGCCTGGTTTGAGGTAAAAAAAAGTGTTTGTAATGAAATAAACATTAAACCGTCTATCTGAGTTAAAATAGCTATAAAACCTACCCGATTTAAAGGTGAATCCATGCTTATATTGTAAATGCTATAATAAATACTATACTAGACTGGATGTCAGTCCGGACATTTAATGAGATCAGTGGTACTCTCTTCTGATTGGTTATAATTGAGAAATATTGCACATGGTCAACATGGTGGAGAAATACAAAAATGACATTTTTGCAAGTTGAAATGAAATAATATACGATGAAATCTTACTATAAATTTTTTATTTCATTCAAATAATTGTTCATATCTATCATCTTGGCATAAAGAACAGCCAGACAGGTAGGATACAAATGGTTGTAGTGTGTTTATTGTGCATTAGGCCATTAGCAGCATAATTTTACTGATTTACTGTACAGTAAAAGTACAACGAAAGGATGGTTAACTTTTAAAATATGTTACCATCTTTTAATTCCATGTTAAATATCTTTGGTTTAACTTGCATGGAATGCACCATGTAAATTTGTTCAAGTTGGGCTGAGTTAAAGGTGTGGTTTCAAACCATGACGAAATGAACACCACCTTGCCATGCCAAGGTTGCCAATGAGTGAGACATATAACCCACATATATTTCCCCCAAACAAACTCCACATTAAAAAACGCCTTCAAACTTAAATATTTTAAAGGCTTTAATAAATATTTTACTTATCTCTTCATCTAAGATGCTTTGTAGTATATTGCTTTTATATTCTGAAAACACCGTAGAAATGAGTTTTGTACAAAATTATATACAGCTTAATTTTGTCCAAAGTCCTGGGTAAACCACATAATGTTACAGTAAGGACTGATTATGTCTGCTATAGTTAATTGTAAAACCAATTTTGCCATCAGTATTTTTATATTATATATTAATATAGAATCTTTTTAATTATGAACATATAGTTTAAGTTATGATAAATCTGAGATTGTGTTCACTATCCAATTTATGTGTTTAGTCACATCAGTGAAAACACTATATTTTATACTTTTTGGATGTCGCCAGCTAGCAATTCCACCAAGTACCCAACGATTCTTTCGTTTTCCTTCTTCAAGAAAAACAAAGCCTCCTCCACTATCTTTTTCTTGAAATCCACGTCCTCTTTTCTGAAAGCCAGCACAAAGCATTTTATTTGTTACAGCATATCTATTTTCTTGATATGCTTTTTTACATTCCTTTAGTCCGACAACAGGTAGTGTTATTTGTCGCAGATTGGAGTCTTGGTTTCCTCCCCACCCAACAAATACGCCGGTTTGACGAGGGCGCGTTAGACGTTTTCTCCTCCGTGTTTTTGGCAAACAAACTGGATGCACATACTTGGTTATGGAAACCTTTTTTTCTAGCTTTAATATGGCAATATCAGATGAATGATTAATCCAATTATAATGATGGTTATGCACTGTTTTATTCACATAAATTTCTTGTACTCCTCTTGAATTTTCGTCATGTTCTGAATTGTACGTGCCCAATTTTACCTTCATACGTTGAAAATGTTCTTTGGTATCTGGATCAAGAACACAATGGGCTGCTGTCAAAACCCATTGATCACCAATCAATGAGCCCCCACACTTCACTGTTACTTCCATTGGTTTAAATATAGCCACCTGCCATGGCCATGAGTCAGACAGGCTTCTGATGATTTTCTCTTTCTCAACCATCCGTCTTTTTGTTTTATTTTCTTTGACCTCTCCACAATCAGGCACACAATCAGCAGGCTCTCCAGACCAGGTACCATCATCTCCACAGAATCGTATCGTACTGTGTGCGCGATTTCGATAGTAATCATTACATTTGTACAGAAGAAATTTGTGTGCATCTCTTTGTTTCTTGATTGTGTATTTACCATTCTTTGGCATTTCTGGGTTGGAACAGTTTGCAAATTCCCCCAATATAATAGGACCCTTGGGTCTCTTAACTTCTTCAGGTGGTTTACCTTTATCATTTTGGATATCATCAATGCATCTATGTTTATTACATATTTCTATATTAGTGGTATCTCCCACACATGATTGTCCATTGTATTGAGGTTTTGGTTCAGTACATGAGCGGTTTCTTTGCCTCATCCCTCCATCACATGGCTGGTCACACTCACTCCAGTTGCTCCAAGAGCTCCAACCACCATTTATGGGACATGGTTCTGTATTACAAACTGCTTTACTTTCAAGATTACCAGGACATGGTTTTCCAAGAATTTTTGTAAGACAATACCGCCAACGTCTTTTCACACCTCCAGAACAACTAAGAGAACAGGAAGACCAACCACTCCACCCAGACCATATTGGTTGAGCATTACAAGATAATGGTCTGCAAGTTCTATTTTGGATATCAAATGTTTTATTGTTGCATTTATAACCAGATCGACCAATTTCATCTCCACAAAATCTCCAACGAAACATATTTCCCTGGTAACATTTTCCCATGCATCGAGTCCATGGTGTCCACTCTCCCCAACCACCCTCACACTCCTCCCCTTCACAGTACCTGTACTCTTTATTATTTCCCAAACACATGTCTACACCAGTCTTGGGATCTTGCCTTTTACATGACCTACGACGAGATTGAAATCCTCCTCCACATTGTGAAGAACATTGACTCCATTCTGACCATTGTGTAAACTCGTTTGTATCTTTACAAATTTTACTGATGCAAATATCCACCTCACTCTTGAGCCCTAGACATTCGGCCCCACCATGTTGAGGTGTAGGGTTGGAACATTTTCTTTGTCTTGTGTTGTACCCAAACCCACATGTTTTGCTACAGCTACCCCAGGGTTGCCATGGTGACCAGCCTCCATTCACTGGACATGGCTTCGTATTGCAATCTCTCAACTCTGTATTATTCCCAGGACATTCTTGTTGGGAACCATGTACCTTAACACAATCTCTTGTACGAGTTTGTTCCCCTCCTGAGCAGTTCCTGCTACATACTGACCATGTACCCCATTCTGTCCATTCAGCGCATTCTGTAATCTTACAATCTTGAGTTTCAATGTTAGCTCCAGGACAGACCAGCCCAGAATGTGGAGCTGTACATTCTCTTGTACGTACTCTTGTTCCATGGCCACACAAAGCGTCACACTTGGACCAAGATGTCCATTCAGTATATAAAAGACAAGGTCTCCTTGCACACGTTCGTACTTCGGATTCTATCTGTCGTTGGCACGGCGTTTGAATACCGCAATGTGTGCTACGACTGCGTGTTTGAAACCCAAACGTGAAACACGAAGCACTGCATGGTGTCCACACACTCCATGGGCTCCACTCTGGCCCACACCTGTTCAGGCTGCATCGCCTACTCTCAAAGCGCCTGCCCTCGCACAATCCTGTTTTACATTCTCTAATTCTGCTTTGTCTTCCATGATTGCAAGCTCCTGAACAATTATTCCAGTCACTCCACTCCGTCCACTCGTTTTCACAGCCAAACTCGCTGTCTCGAACTTTTAGTAAACCTCTTCCATGCAATCTTGCTGGACCGTCACATTGTATCAACTGTCGATTAAATATAAACACATTTTTGGTATTGCGAATAATCCAATGCTTTAACCACTTCAGAGAACACGTGCATTGAAATGGATTTTTATAAATTGATAAGAGACGCAATGACTTCAAATCCCGAAATATCCCCTCTGGTAGCGTTGTAATATTATTGTTATTCAATTTTAATCGTTCTAAATCAGACATTTTGCTAAATGAATCGTGCTTCACTTGAGCGATGCCGTTGTGATCTAGCAAAAGTTCAACTAATGATGTGTAGTTATTGCTAGGTGAGGAAGAAGTGTTGAACTGTTCATCACGAAGACCAAACAACCTGTGTGACAAAGTGTATAATTTATTGCTATCCAAATATAATCTTCGCAGGGATGTCAAACCTTTGAAAAAATCTTTCGGTAGATTTTCTAAGACATTTCCATCAAGATATAATTCTCGTAAAGAATTTAGTCCATTCAAAAGGCCTGAAGGTAATCGTCGTAATTTGTTTCTAGAAAGGTTTAAAGATTCCAAGCTTGTTAAACCTACAAAGATATTTTGTGGTAAACTTTGCAGTTCATTTGACGCTATATTGAGATATCGGAGATCTCGTAGATTTTCAAACGCTTCAGCAGATATGATTGCAATTCGATTTCCTTTCAATGTAATGCGCTGTGCGTCAGCTGGAAAATTGCTTGGAACAGCTCTAAGCTGTTGTGTGTTTTCTATGTCACAGTATACTGTTCTGAGGATGCCTTCCAAAAGGCATGTACATTCCTGCGGGCAGTTCTCAGCTTCCCATCTCTCTGGTAGACTCCACGCAAAGGTTAAAAAAATCACAACGAAGTATAAGGGGTACATATCCGGTGTTTTCATGACAAGTCAGTCCGTCTCCAAGTGATATACCAGGTTTATACCGGGTGTAATGGTCACCGGCTGTTTTCTCTAAGCCAATCACATCTTTCCAAGGTCATTTATTTAAAACAATTACTTTCTCTTTGAAGTTCACCGTAATCTCTCAATCAATGCCGACTTTACGACATTTCCCTAAAATAAAAACACAACTTCAATAATTGCTCAATTACCCTCGTTAAGAAAGATCCACACACGTGGGGGGCATTGTTTCTCTTTCGATGACAGCAAAACATGAATTGTTTTATCATTTCTCTGTACAAAAAATGTTAATTTAGTCCTATTTCATACAAACCTATCTTTAGAAAGGTATTTGATCACCTCAGAATATGTCGGGGCAATTTACAAATACCTTATCCACGTTTAAAACTCGTTTATGCTTACTTTTATATACATATTGACGTACAGTCTTACCAACTTACTTTTTTGTTAACTGAACGTTGAGAACTGACTAGTTTTGTCAAGATAACTTTTTATTTTCATTCAGATTATGATGTATATTCCTCTTCTTTTGTTGTGTTAGTGACCGTATTCAAGTATCATTTATGTTCTTCATGTTCATTTTATTCGCCTTTTAAAAGCTTTTAAATTTTATAATTACGTCACTTATATCGTTTCCTAAAGGCGTGAGTTTATAAACTCGTGGGCTGAGTAAGAAAGGGCTTGTCAGATATCACTTTCAAGAACATTGAGGAATATTTTGTTATATTGAGTTGCAAGTCTGCCCAGCTTTGATTGTTCAAGTATACTTCAAATCTACTTTGATATTTTAAAGTAGATTACACAGTCAATGAAACCCAATATTCTCTTTAGAATGTTTCCCTACGTTGCCCTTTTACAGATCTAAAAACGAGGTGTATTTTAGTGCATTTCCCCATGCAACATACAATACATGCATACAATACATACATACACACATACATACATATATTATGAGGTAAAGGTTTTCCTAAGTAATGCAGATAATCTTTTCAATGGAGGAATCAAGTAACATACTCAAACAAAACATGGATTGTGATATTATTGTTCGCTTTTCTCGTCATTTATTAAATGAATAATATAAATGTTTTATCTCGCTGTTTTAACATAGTCCACGTCACCTCACTACGTCAGATGATGTCCACAGCTAGCGAATGTAAACTATTTCCCTTTTAACTAATATTTCGTCGATAGAATATTACCGTTAAGACTTTGGAAAGAAAACTGTTGTAAGATAAAAATCGAAACGTGCTTTATGGAATTCACCAGGAGCAAAAGAAACTTTGCCAGAGTTATAAATAGTAAAAATGTTTCATTGTAAGCGAAGCTCTCTGACTATTATAATTACATCTTTCCTGTTAATGAAAGAAATGACTGACCTTACTTACATCATGATGTGAGTCATGTATGAGACATGCATGCTAAACAACACGAATTATGCATCCTGTTTTGCAAAAAAAGTGACTGTGCAAAAAATATGTGTATTGCTCCGGCCAATCCAATTCTGTGTACTTAAGCTTAACTTAAGAATGTTAAAGAATTTAACATCATTCCAATCTTACTGCCACTATCAACATCTTCACTGCATGGGTCAAAATTCTTAAGAAGTTATCAATCGTTCTTAAAAACGGTATAGAGCTATTTGAACAAGCTGCCAACTATATTACGTCATAGCTACGTTTTCGATCATGACTGTAGAACTTGGGTGTCGTTGAAGTCAGTATAAGTCACGTTACCATTATTGTAATCTATCGCTTTCATCATTTCTTAATATCGTTCTTATCATCATCAACTAACCAAACTAAGCGAATAAATATTTACACTTCCTTTGCTAACAAAAGGGCTTGTTTCATTTTGATAGAAGTTTTCCGGTAGATCCTATATCGTTAATCAGCAATGAGCAAGAAATATTTAACTTAGTCTAAGTTGTCCTTGTGATTTCAAAGGACAGGAATTTTTTACCTATAAAATTTGAGTTTATCTGCAAAGAAATCGTGTAATTTGATAAAATCATTTCATAGTATAGATTGGCTTGGTTGCTTCAATACGTTTTGGCGGTTGAAGTTGCGGTGTTTCAACTACAATTTTCACTGTGGTTTTTTAGTTTTTGCGCGAATTACAGATATAAAACTAGCGAATTTCATCATAGACTGTTTGCAGTCCCTCTATTATCTATTATTATTCGCTTAAATAATTAGGGAATGATAAAATGATAAGCGAAGGATAGACTAGAATAGAGAAACTGCGAGCAGCAATTTCATCACAAATCTCCTAGACTTATTTAAAATCATCTTTAGCTGGTTCCAATTGTGCATGCTGTAACAATTAAATGCTGAATATGGACCTTCATATAAGTATGTTCTGTCTTCGGAAAGTCCAAAAGAATATCAAATATATGCCTTTAGGCATATATCAATTCTATAATAGGTTAGTAAAAATACATGTTTTCTTTCTTATTATTTAGAACCAACTCAAATTACAACTTCATCAAATGCACAAGAAAAACAAACGGAGTGGTAAGTACCTTTATATTCTTACCGAGAATAAATGCGTGGTCCGTTATCAGATTGTCTACCAGATGTTTATACATCAACACTCGCAAAAAACCTGCATTTTTAGTTGTTTGTGGTTGTCCGACTTTTAAAACGCCCACATTCGCTAAAACAGCACTGTGTTAAACCGAGGAATAACTGCTTCATTGCAATCGTAATTGTAGTGACTATAATCCATTATACGAATGTCGATACGAAAACGAACTTCGCGCGTTCTTGTTGTTCCATCCGCCGTGTTTGATAATGCGTTAAAATAATTACAAATTGAAAAGCAAAAAACAACGTTATAATATCAATAGGTTTTTTAAATTTCCGGTTTTTTATCCTATGATTCTTCAATTTCCTCCCAATTTAACCTGTTCAAGTAAAGAAACTCTTTCTTATATATACATCGGCCTCGAGAGGTTAATGAAGTTCAGCTCATTTTTTCCCATTTACTTAAATTTTAGTGGCTATGAATAGAATATATTAGTGATATAATCGCAGATAATACACATTATAATTTGTAATTTCTTCTATATAACATATATGTCTATTTTCATTAGAGCCTTCGGGTGTTTGCGTAAATATATATTGTAATTAAATCATTTTCTCAAGTGAAATTGGTTAAAAATGTGTCAGCGAAAGTTAATTTATAAACATGTCAAACAAAATTGAGGTTAATCCTGAGATCAGTTGTTCATTGAAAGGTCTTATATATTTCACATGATTGATCAGTTTCAATTCATAGGGTAGGCTATATGTATAATTATTATATATATATGCTCTGGCAATGAACAACATTATTAGCTGTCAATATAATAAACTGTGAACAGTGAAAAACTATTGCAGTTGTCTTTATGACTATAAGAAATTTTCGATCAAAATCTGCATGTCAATTGCGTGCGTGAGCTGATACATCCACCGCTTTCTAAGAAAACATTCAGGTAAATGTATCAAGTGATTCTCTCAGAACGACGACTCATTGCTTACTTAACAATGTATAGAACAATATACACAGCTGGTGAAGTGGTTTTATACGAATGATCTAAAGATAACGATTACGACGAAGTAAATTATAATATCATTCCCTAGCTCTATATGGATGGTTTTCGTTGCAAATTATCACCAGATTATATTTTATAAGATAGATTTTCGAGCCCAAAACCAACCAAAAGGCGTGTTTGTTGGTTGAGAGAACCCAAGATATTACAACGGGAAATACATAACGATTATATTAATGAAATAAACAAGAGCATTCTTGACCTTTATAGTTTATACTGCATGGCAAAACGTTGTTAGGATAAGGTGATGCATATTATACAAAAATTACTCCGCAAATTTTGCCAAGAAGCTTCTGCATACCTAACATATAATATATGGTTAAAATATTTCTCACTATAAGGTTGAATAGTAATTATTGATATTTTATATAGTTAATTACCTTGTTAGAACAAGTATTGGAACAATCACACACTTTGACGAAATGTTCTTCAGAAGAAATATCTAGAGAAAAATATCATAAATCTTAGAGGAAGGCATGCGCCTGAGTTAACTGTTATTTTCATTTTTGCGGTGTGGATGTTTTAGCATTCCTTTGGGTAATTGGCGTGAGTTATTACGATGCATCCAATAAGCGTGTGTCTTCAGATGAACGAGCTATAATTAGCCTGTACTTGTAGCTTGACAACATCTTAAATTCAAGGTTTTCATACGTGCCCAAATGATATAATTATATACTTAGAATATTCTACGCTTAACCTGCCCGTCTCTCCTTACCATCTCTAGAAAAGAACTTGCAAATTAAAAGAAAGAGGTTCAGTCTTTATGTGGTTAAATATTGTCACACAACTTTCCCACCATTGCTTACTATTATTAGGATTTCTCTAAACTTTACTCCAACTCCTCAACTCAAGCGTACGATAAACACAAAACTATTCCATGAAAATAACTTTAGTTAGCCTGACGATTTATTGGTGAAATACTCGATAATATAAATAAACTGATTTGCACATATCTATAAATAACATTTAAGTGCAGCAAAACAATCTATTTTCATTGTGATTGTTATGAAAACATTCAAAAGTATCCCTGGAATGTATTTCTTGTAAGATCAGGGAATCAACAATTGTCGCTTAAGCTATTATTTTAAGACGGACAACGAGACTGAAACATGTTTAGGACTTGTTTCAACCTAACATGAACATCAAATAATACCAAGGTAGCAATAATTATTTATAATAAGTAGGCTTCATCCCAAACATTTATGGTACGTAGGTGCTGAAGGATTCATTGTATGCTATTACTCCTATGTATCATTTACGTTCCCTGTCTTATACGTAATGTCACATCTTTTAGAATCTGGAGGTTCTTCAATGATTGTATATATGCAGGCTAAGCTTCAGGCTAGTTTACATTAATTACTATAATATTTTTTTGTCGACTTTGTTTGTGTATGGAGGTAAATAATATCTCTGGAGCAAAGCCGCTAATTAGCAAAGGAAATTTGTTCCATCGATGGCCAGTGATAAGAAAGAGAGCCTCTCATTTTTCAACACATATTTCCTTGTAGTATTCTGCTTTGGCGAAGTAATCTTATTAATATTCTCCTCCTGGTGCAAAATTGCATGCTTTCTATTAGTTGTTAAGAGATGAGCCGATGCAATGCAGAAATCGTAGCTTGCTGTAGATTGGAATATTTCACTTTCTATTTAAACTCTATAACCGGAGTTTTGGTGTACATTAATCTCCTTAATGTACTGTATGTACGGGAAATTGGTTTGCAAACCACCTTCATGTGTTCTTTTTGTAAAGGCTATGTGTATGCAGCTAGGGTTTCAAAGGAAGGACGTGACCTCAGCAAGGTTTAGTAACGTTGGCGGTTGGCATCACTTTACACTCACTTTACCATTTTAATCATAAAAAAGAACTAATTATTTAATTATTGACTACCATGTAGCAATTATATCGAAATTTTGCGCTGTTGCGTATAAACATAGCGTCCTCATGCATCAAGTTAGTTCAGAGAATAATTTACAAACAGATAAATATTGCATTTGATATCTAATACTTTAAATATATAGTTAACACTTTCACAATATACACAAAAAATATGCCAATTATAAGCGTATAACGTCGTAAGATGATACCGCTTTTTCGTTGAAATTAAATTGATAAAACATGATGCAGTGTTCGTCGTAAAGGGTTTGAATCGTGGAAGTCTGTTTGTTTATCTTTATTTTCATGAAAATATGATCTCAGTGTGTAAACGATAAGGAACGTTCCTCTGTCTAGCCTATGGGAGTATGGCTTCCGTTTGTGTCATTCAAGCATGCTATGAACGCGATTCTTAATACATCAGATTAGTTGAAGATATGAGATCCTGTTTTTACGCCACATTCTTCTATTTTGTATTAAAATTCATCAAATATTCTAAGGTCATATTTCTCCGCATGATTTTTTTAGATAATCTATTGTATAGATTTTCACAAGAACCGCCACTTCGTTGTGGTTTCAATATAATGCTGCTGCTAACTCTGCTCTCGTGTTTGTCCGCGCGTTTTCACCATAATTAATACTCGCCGCACGGCTGTTCATACTTCGTATACAGCGCATTAATCTTGGATGAACTGGAAAACAGTTTTCGGGAATATATCTTTTGGGGTCTGCGTGTTTCCTGCTCTAGCTAATCGCATGCGACTAATCTAAGATGTTTACTCAGCGCGTTCCTCTGATAAAAGCTTGCCAAGGATATTTATTTAGTACGCCATCTTCTCAAGGTGGCCTGATACTTGTCATCAGGAGCTAGCTAGAGCTTGCCTAACGATTTTGTCATCGCGTTGTTTAAATACACTTAGCAGAATTATTTACGCCGTTTACTACCAATAAAACTTGCGCATCAATAAAGTAATCTTTTACAAGGAATGTGTAATTTCATATCCCAACATTATATGGTGTGCGATCCACAACCAAAATCCCTAAAATATTCTTCTACTTTTGATACGACATTTTGCTACCAATTGAATCAACAAAGGAGAATATAGTTCACGCTATTCCAAATACGACACGCCGCACGTACATTACACCAGATTTCATATTGTGATTGAGCTTTGCTGTACTGTGAAACAGTCAGCCAGCAATGAGCAGTGTTCGTTTGAAACTCGGAATATACCTCGGGATATACATCCCAATGTTCACATTAGCAACTTGCTTCAAGGTTGCTCTATCTTAGATGAAGTTTTAGTCTATTTGTGTTTTTACAAGAGTACAAATGAAAGCGCGGGTGTAGATTTTATATATGGAACGGAACGGAACGGAACGTCATTTTCCATCTTATATTGTGTTTGTACTGTACGTTCTTTGTAATGTATTTTATGAACACTGTTTATTCAAGTTCATATTAATGGTTTTTAATGCAAAATATTAGTGATGAACAAAATTTCTGTGTCTGCATCCGTCACATATGTTGCTGTAATAATCTATGTTAGCAAAGCCTTCAGTTTATTTGATTTAAAATCATTGCTAGTCATAAAAAATATCGAATGTGTAAATAGGATTTTTGAATACTCACATTTACTCTTGATAGCTGTCCTTATCTTTAAGATACGCACTAAATGTTAACACCAGCGTCATTAAAATATCTTGTGAAGTATACAGTATAAGCTACAGCGGCAAGCAGAAGGAGTTTAGTTTGTTTGTCCTTACCAGCGGTTGCGTCATACCCCCTACCTTGTATCCCACCGCGTCAAGTAAGAACCTCATGTCCGCTGGAAACAATCGCAATAAACTTATCTGCCCTAAATTATTAATAAGCTGCTATTGACACTTTGTCTTAAATTCCATGCATAATTTCATCTGCTGTTGAGTGGCGATAAGAAGAAGTTAATATGAGATGGCGCGACAAATTAACCCTCAAGAACTGCAGTCAAGTTTGCATTTTTTTATCACATTCATAATTTGACAGCACGCGACTTGCATGTCCACCGTGCACACATTCATGCAATATCTGGTGGGTGGGCGCTTGTCTTCTGTAACTATCAGTATAGCTTTATTATTGTAACCTAAAACAACATTTGACGTTTATCAATATTGTAAAAAAATCAGATCATTACGCAAGAGAGAGAACATGCTACTGGACACTAGTTTCTATTTGAACAGCGATATTAAGGTATCTTTAGAACTATTTTATTTCCAACGTTGAAGACAACCTTTGATAGTTCAGTGCATGACAAAGCCCTACCCAAGCGTTGTTGGAAGAAGATCAAATTTCCCTCAGTTTTATCCTTGAAATTGTTTACCTTCTGCAAGTTATATGAAACCAGTATGGTTATATCCCTTACACAATTTGCTTTAGAGATATACTGTATATACCAGGGTATAGTATCATGAAAACATGTTATTTCAATTTTTCAGTTTTGTCGGTGAGTTAAACCGTGTCTATATAGTGCATCAAATATGCACGTCACTTCAATATCAAATGGCTCCGGAACATCTGATCACGTCCGCCAATGTAACAATATAGTATTAAAATTGTTACATTCTTTAATTACTATACCGGTAAATCAGGACACAATATCATATTCCGTCTTTTACACCCCCTTCAGATGCTTTTATATAATGTGACTCTTGCAGTCAAAACCCAGAGCCGCGAGATCGCCGGCAAGGATTAATCACAGCAGATTTATGAAGTGTGTACCGATTGCGACAGTGGTAACTGCCGGTCTTGCATGTTGTGTTTCTCCAGTTGCGGCCGGGTGATTTTTCGTATTTTAAGGGAAATAATTCTGATATCAAATAAATCATTGTAATATTTACAGCATATATTGTGTGGCGTGTATACATTTTATGCCTTTAGTCTACATAGGATGCGCGAATGTTCAAATATTTCAATGAAACGTGCTGCTGGCGAGTCCTGTTACAAAATGAGAATTTTTTTATGTCCTAACTCGCTCCTATACATAGATACTATACTGCGTGTGCATGGATAGCAATTAGATATTGTTGCTTGTTTCTGCGTATACCAAGTTCAATCATTAATAAATAAATGGCTAATTCGGACAGAGCAGCATCATACAAAAGTATAATAATTGTATGATACAAAATGTTGAAAAACTCTTCTTTGATGTAAATAAAATGTCCTTGGCGTGAAACAAATTTATCGCGCACAAAGCCTTTGTTTGAAGGCAAGGCCAGTTTACGAGCAACGACCTATTATTTCAAAATAATGTGCCTCTTTTTAAAGCAATGTGCAGTATTCGTTGTAAGTAACTTACCTGATCTATGCTCAGTCTATTACAACGCTGTTCCTTAGCGTAAGATAGTCCCAGATATTACTGGTATCTTTTTAAAGCTAGATTTCTTTCTTGATATGCTTTCAATATTAAAAGCTACCCTTCACGTTTGATGTATTTGTCAAAGTTAATCCATGTCTTTGTCTTGTCATTTTGTAACAGCATTTAAATACAATAAGAAAGTTCACTTTCCATGTTCAATTATGACGTCATTACAATGGGAGCTTGCACAAAGATGAACTAATCTGATCGCTGCCGCGTACTGAGAGGGACGACCTCATGCAATTATTGTTGTCGCATATCTGGTGTATTTGTCAATCTAAGCTGTTGTTAGATGATTTGTTAGTAACAAGTTACATATTTTTGTTGGTCAGAAATACAGCAGCTGCTGTCGAGTTTTGGACCTCATTCAAGCCAGTACTATACAGTCGATATGTCTGGTTGAAAACAAATAATAATCGTTGTCACTGATCATGCTAGGAGTCACCGTAGGCTCTTTACATAACAACCAAACATGAAAATAATATAAGGTTTATTAAGATGGAGCACAGTTCATAGAATTAAGGGAGACATATGTGTAGAGACGATAATGAACACGTTTCAGAAGGCTGTTCACACCGTCTGATTTGTTGGGCCAGATTCTTCTACTTATTCTCCGTTTATTTCAGTCGATTTACTGATAAATTATTACCTCGTTTATGGACAGATTTTTGCTGCTATTTTGTGGAAAGTTCACCTGACCACATTTCATTCATCAATTTCGTATCGTGTGAACGTTTTAGAGTAAAACTCTCGAAAAGTTATTTGCAGGCATTGGTTTGATTTCATAATTGGATTATTGCTTTTATCTGTAATCTGATCAAAGATTATCACCCATTCGTAAAACTGTCCACTAATCCTAACGATTGATACTTAAAGTTGCTGTATAAGAGTGCCTCAAAATATTCTGCTGATATTGAATTATGAGTTAGGTCAATATTTTGCACATATTACTGATACGCATCACGGCTGCGTTTTGTCCTGGGACTGATAAGCTGAACTGTCGACTTTGTCATCTCTGGTGCAAACAACCAGCTAGCGAAATCGATATTCTCATTCACTGTTACAGACATTAAGATTAGAAGACGATAGTATTTTTAACAAAAGTATCTTGAACTATCTTCAGCAATGGTTGAAGGTTTTGTCGACAGTTTCGCTGCATATCTCATTGTTAGAACTAAAATACGTTTCTGTACACAAAGATAATAAAGCTACTCAAATGAACTTGCCTGTAACGTTCAGACTGACATTACTCGTTGTGAGTCTAGTAGCCACTCTTAGGTACTCTTGCTCTTTGTTGAGAGATGTTTGTTTCTGATACAGACCGACTTGGTGTATTCTTTCTCATATCTGATAGTGAACTTCTGAATGTTCCCTATATAACTGACAACGTCTGCCCCACCTAACCTCGCCATGACGTCACCGTAGTGAGATGACAAATAGAAAACAGGAGTAATTGATAGAAAGGTGGCGATAATATCTGAGAAATTCTTACATTCTGATAATTGATATGTAGTCAGTGCTTTAAATATCTTTGCACGTCTCGCTTTGCATGTAAGTATATAGAATAGTATTATAAAAACGTCTTCGTGAAATAGGGATATAACGCTGCTGTACATACGTTTGGGATACGAGCAGTGAGGGAAAAAATAACGAACTTTTTCTCTGTTCCTAAAAAGAACAAGAGTTTTCTAGATGTTACTGAATGACACAACAGCATTCATTCAAGTTATTAAAGAGCTGTGGCAACTGACCAGTCCATTGATTAAACATGCCTCGAGGTAAATAAAATGACGTACGTTGAAAAGACTAATTTTCATGTTCACCTCCAATGAATCGGTGTATAGATTTTACAAACTGCCAGCCTTTTCTAATTTCTAACCAAAATGAATTCAAAGCTTGCAGAACTTATTAAAGTGATGTAGTATCGTATTGTACAGAACTTTTTTACGATCCATTTTGAAGGGGATTACCTCAAGACGCTAAAAATGTTCAGAATCTCCTAAAAAGGAGGTCTTCGGCATTTTGTTACATTTCATACAAGTGATTACTCACTGTGGTGTTGTTGCAAAGATACCTTATTAGAATGCCAAGCCATCTGTTTTTATTTCACTTTCATTCAAGCTATTTCACCAGTGTGCAATAATTATCAATGAACTCTAATCTTCCTGTTGAGTTTGTGTTATAAAATAAATCTAGCTGCATGTGTTACTCATTTTCCTAACTAATTGTGATGTCTCTATCAGGATCGTGTGGTCTATTTTTAAACGATATCCCAACGAATGCTGATGAATTCTCTAGATTGAGTTTCATAAAAAAGCACAAAAGTGACCATACCAGATAGTGAACAACAAGCTGGATATCTTTGAAAAGTATCTAAATATATTGATAATGCCTTTCGTGACAAAACTTGTCCTTTTCTTTTTTTTGTTATTTTATAAACCACTACGGCCTGCGTAAAATGCTGTCAGTCTTCGACTTTGAAGATATTGGTAGCTAAAGAAAAATAAAAGTTGTTTTGGGAAGATCGTCAGGCTAATATTCGGTGGATCTCCAGGCTACACTAATGCTACCACAGATTTTTTAACTTTGAAGATTATCATTTAGTGTAGTTCGTTATTAGTTTCTGTCTGTGATAGTAATGAATCACCTCTTTGCATTGTCGTTGTCACATTCATCATGATCTGCTCGTTCTTTATCTACAGCCCGTGCCCAGTCCTCAGGATTCTCGTCGGTGTAACCAGGACCCTCGCACCAAGGACGACGTCCGTGTCCTGTGACAAAAATGCAATTTCAGCAAATTTTTTTTCTAATTTAGTACTCAACAATGCAAATGTTAATCTCAATGGCACGTTGATAGAAACTTGTTGAATGAACTGCATTGGTGAGTGACAATTTCCTTGTTTATGTTGATAGCGTTTTTTGAACTGTTTCGATATTAATGAGTATGTTAAGGGGGGGGGGAGGTGGGAGGTGGGGGGATCTCTGCAGACACGGATATATCTGAAGGTATTGGAATAGATCTGTAGGTATACGGATAGTGTTCCCCTGTATATTTGTATAAGCGTATTAGTGAATACCTGGAAATTTTCTTTTCGAGTATGATGATAACTCGCTACATTTATGTGGGGTATTAGGGGATACTGTACTGAAAATATAGACTTATTGTAATAGCTCAGTACATTCGTACGGGATAGTGATGTACAACTTACTACATTTATGTGTAAGAGGACAGCAATGATGTGAACATAGATAACTGTTGATGTTACAACATTTACACTCTAGTCCTTCGCTATACACTTGCAACTCGCATCGTCTGGATATCTGCAAGGACAATCAAATATTCATTTATAGACCTTCGATGACACGAATTTACATAGTTCAGTGGAATTAGAATGTAAGAGATTTCATGCCTTTGTATAACCGTAAAAATCCACTCAAGTGTCAATGATACTCACTTACCTGAGAATAAGAAAAGTTGATAAAGAAACAAAGAACAATAAGTGCACTTAGACTCTTCATGATAAAACAGCTTTTGATAATTCTGTGTTCTAGCTAAGTTTAGAAAGCAACTTTCGTTTTACACAGTGTAAGAGCCAATGTTGAGTTGTAAATGCCAGTAAATATTGTGGTAGAACCACATTTGTAATATTCGTGTCTTTTGTCTTTATTGTGAGGAAACATGCAATATATGTAAGCAATATCTTTTAACAAAGGAAAAGACATAATATCATGGTTTTATTACAAAAATCTCTATAACATACTTCAACATGTTTTGTTGCTAAGCAAAATAAATTCTACTGATGATTCATTCTGTTTGGATCTGACATCAATCCTACATTATAATTTCACGTTATTTTGTGATGGAATTACTAATAAATACCAATTTATCTAATATATGAACTAAATATATTCAAGTATTAAATAACTTAGGAATACAAGCAGTCAGTGAAGTCATTACGGGCGTTAATAGTTCAATACTGCAATATCACCAAAATTCAAGCGTGCGGCTAATAAGAAGAATAACACGTTTTTGACAGTTCTTCATTTAAAAGATTTCTTATTGAATATGTGTTTTAACCGAGCTCCACAGTGTATTTCTGGTGAAGTATCTGGCAATACCAAATATAAAGAAAAGAAAGATGATGAACGATAACATGATAACGAAATGACTTATGCTCGTCCCAATCTCTAACCAGCTACCATAATCTTGAACGAAGAAGAAAAACTGTAACGCCATAAAGTCAGTCATGATCAAGACTAACAGGAATAACCGGTTTACAGGAACTCGGCAAACCACGTGAACAGCATCAAACATACACGTGACTAGGATAAATGGAATTAAGATTTTGAGAATCAAGAGCGATCCCATTATGAATGGAGAGAAGACAGTCAAGAAACAGTATACTGCGGTTGGATCAAATGTATTAATACTCGCGATATTTCCAGTTCCGAAGAATGCGGTAATGATGAAATACACAAAGAAGAAGGCACAACGCAGATCATCAAATGATACTTGTCTTGTGTCGCTCTCCCGCGGGTCGTGAACTGGTATTTGCGTTAGTGAATATTCCTGGTTAAATGTGGATAACTGGTGTTCTATAGTCAACCATAGCGCCATAGTGGAAGATAATACAAGAAAAAAGAGCGACTCGTAGGAAGTGCTCAGTAAGAAATACACTGACCATAATGACATGGTCGTACTCAATAGACGCAGAACAAGCTTATCTGTGACCAACGTTGGTAGAATAACGCAGAATATCACTGTTAACCAACTGAATATCTGGTTCACTCGTGGCAAGCCTCGTTTTAAAGATAAACTGTATGCAGTATGGTTGAGTACAACAATGGCCAAAACCAGAATCAAGAACTGAACCCCATGCACCAGTTTTGTTGTGTTTATGAAAGTTCCATCATTCTTCTTGTACAAGTACAGAACCACAAAGGCTCCAACAAATGAAAAAATCCCAGCTAGGGTTACCAATAGATAAAAGGAATCACGACCAACCACTGGCAGTAGTGGAAACACAGCAAGTGTTAAACAGTGTATGATCCATAATGCAACTGTGACCACGTGTGTTTTTATCAGCGGAGTTGCAAGAGGCCATGCGCCTAAGAGGATTAACCCAACAGACAGAGTATATCGATAAAAGAAACTCAATATGAGAACTTCTAAGCCTATTGTCACTACAAGAAGACTGAAAAGAACATAGAGGATATTGTTGAATGATGTTATACAAAGTATCTTTATAGTATTCCAATGCTGTGCAACATAGTTCCAGCACATGAGTGGTAAGACACAGTACAAGTAGTGTGTGATAGGAGCCTTCTCAATCTGCAACAATATCACAGCAGTGCAAGCAAAACCAAAGAATAGTTTATTGATGAACCTATTCCACTTTTCATTTTTCTTTGACTTTTGAAATGTTTCTGGGAAAATGTGAAGGGCGATGCAGGTAATCCATCCTACAAATCCTAGTGTGACCATGCAGCTAAGAAGGACACGATCATATCTCTGGTAATAATTTAGTCCTTTCAGAGAAAGATTGATCAACTGAAGACTTAATTTGGTAGCTTTTGGGTAATCACCAGATTTCATTGAAACTGTGATATCACGAATCAATGCAATTCGCTTGGAACCTAAAGATAGAAACGTTTTATGGATAGGATCAATTTTTATTGATTGGATGGATTAATAAAAATTTTTTAGCCAACAATATTTTACCTGTAAGTTCAGGAAATTGTTGGAATATCAATGATGTTTCCTTTTTCATCCTCTCCTTAATTTGATATTGGGCCAATATTTGTTTTGCATTTGTGAATATGTTCTCAGTTTTATACATTTGGGTATTGTCAAGATAGTCCAAAGGTAGAATTCCAACTGAGTTCAAAGGGAATGGGACACCTGAAATTTTAAAAAAACTCATTAGAAAGTGAGAACTTTCCGATTCCTAGTTTTTGCTCAATTTTTATAACAGTTTTGAAAGCATGCGTACCTATCAAAGAGGACATCAAAGGAGCAATATCAGCTTGAGAAACATCACATCGTTTCAACCCAGATAGCCCCCACTGTTCCGATAATCCATCATTGTACCCATGTTTCTTTACTTGCTCTGGTCCTTGGAGTCCAGCTCCCCAAGCAACAAGTGGTGTAAGTGTCTCATGTGTATGTCCAGCGCCATGTGCACCCCAGTCAGTCATACCATGATCAGATGTCATTATGTATGCTGTAGAGTTGTCATGATTGAAGTAGTCTTCAAATAATTCATACATTTTCTTTATACCTCTGTCAACACTCTCGATGTTCTGTAGATATTCCTCAGACATCGGCCTGTGTGCATGACCATTTGTGTCAATACCTGGTTGGTTTTAAAGAGATTAGTTAGAATACCATCTTGATCAAATTAACTTGCTTTAATGCGGTAAAAATATCTTGTAAGACAATGTGTGATGCATAGTAATACTTTCTGTATAAGTACTTTACCAAGTAGATGCAAAAAGAATATATTCTTATTAGTTCTTAATTTCTCCTTAATAGTATCATTTGCATTTTCCAAAAAATTTTGAACTTTCTCAAACACCCATTTGTCCAATTGTGAGTGATCTTTGGCAGCAAAGTCTTCTTGTTCAGCATCATACATTTCTGTTGAAACATGGCTACCACTTGCTCCCTTGGCAAACATTGGTAAAATATCTGGACTACCCCAGGACCATGTCTGATGGCTTTCATTGAACACAGAGTCAAACTCCACTGGATTCTCTTTCCAACCTGAGAAACAGAATATCGCCATAATTATTTTGCACTTATTCGGTGGAAATTTTAAACCTGGACTGAGCAAAGATAATTAACAAATACTACATGAGAATATTTGTCTTCTACAAGATGATAAAATCTGAACTTGTCAAACAATATTTTATATCTCAGGGTATCAATGAAATATCCAACCTTTTGCCACGGCACTGACATCTTCATAGAAGCCTGCAATAATGGCGACATGGCCAGGTCTTGACTCAGTTGGTACTCGTGTATGAGACACACCCCAGCGACCTGTGTTCAAAATTATGTCACGTATGAATGGTGCTCGAGAAGAACTATTTTCAAACAATTTATCAGCACGTAGTCCATCAGCTACGAACAGTACAATTCGTTTAGCAGGAGGTTTATGCGAGGAACGATATGGTGTCATGCCATGAACTAGTGGTGTAGTGAAATATATATCGAATACTGAATAAAGATAAATAATATGAACTAAAATACCAAGTAAGAGAACTGACAGGGACGCCATATTAGATTCAAACTGGATAACAATGCTAAACGTCATGTAATACAATATTATGCAGCACTATACAATACTATACATTACTATTCGCAACTATACAATAATATTCACTTTGAATTAATCTGGGGTAGTCTAGAGTACTGCATTGTGTTGTATAATAATGTATTACATTATTTTGAGATATATCCGTGATTCCGTGTCAGAAATATTATACAATAACCGGAATATATGCGTAGTTCCCTGGATTTTCCCTGTCACGCCCCCCCCTGAATAGTCTCTTCAATTAATGTCCATTTTTCTGGAATAAAATTTATTTCCATTTTAAAAAGGAAATTTATTAATCAATATTACAATATTCCGTATATATAAATTCATTCATAATATCAAAATTAACCCAGCTAATCTGGTGAAAACCTACTATTTTCCTAGTTATTATCTATTTACGATTTATGTTGTGAAGATTTATTTTTATAGCTAAAGTATTTTATCAATGAAAAATTATCAGGTGTCAAATTTCAATCCATTTTTATGTCGCAAAATACGTTCAATATTTACAATTTTCTATACAGATATTATATAATTATTAAGTTTTATTAATCGCAGATATTTTTTAGATGTCATTTTGAAAAGATATTACGACGCAGATATCTATTCTATATCGGGAAAGAGAGCTAGAAATCGGAGCTCGAATGTTTGGTACAATTCTGTAAACAAAATTCCTCAAAGAGGTGTGTTTAAGGTGATATTTCATTGGATAGGTTATAAAACCACTTCCGTTACAATCTCATTCACGGCATGAAAAATAAAAACGCACAAGAAAATTAGTAAACGCGCAGTCTAAAAGGGACGCATGAAATAATACGTAAGTAAAATAAATTTGTTAGGAGGATAGTTTGTTAAAACATCAAGCAACATAAGCACTTTGCGCCCACACTATGTCATCAAAAGCTGTAATGATATATTGAGTGATGGGCGGAAATTAATAACAAATAACTGCCGAAAATTTTGCATTAGATCTCGACCTTACGCTTTTTTATGCAATATATCTGGGGATACTTTTCTTTTCTATATTATTGGCAGATTGTTTTCATGCTTGTGCCTGATTGGTGTATTTCGAACGCTGAATAATGACACACACGTGCTTGCTTTTGTGTTTTGAATTCCAATACTTGGTATGACGTCACAATAGGTCACGTGACTTTAAACAACTGTGGTCATCTTTTATCATGTTGAGATTTATAGATGTTGATTATAACACACAGAATGTCGGAACCTGTTGTCGAGGTATTTTTAATTGTTTTCTTTGATTTTCGCCAAAAATATCACAAATTATAGAGAAAATTTAGAAAATGTTGTAGCATTTTATGCGATAGTTTTTGAGGAGTTGTATGTTGCCGAGAATGTAATCCGTGCAAGTATTGTTTTAATATATGTCATCCACGAGGAATCTAGCAATGTCAATTTGTTTAAATTTTTAATTTTTAGTGGGTTGGCTCAAGTTGTGGGAAACACGGAGCTTACACGTTTTACAAAGGCTTCAAAATAACAACAAATGGTGAATCAAGGGAATATTTATTGGGAGATTTCTATTTTATACGCAATTCGAAGGACAGACCAATTTGCATTGCTGAATTTCAACTGCTGTGGCATGATGCTAATACTGATAATAAACTCGCATCAGCAAGATTATATTTTAGACCTGAAAGTACTCCTGGTGGACGGCAAGGCTGCCATGGGAAGGTAAGAATTAAATAAAAATCTAGTATAATTTGTATTTCTTGCATGAGATAAAATTTGAGTTAATAATACCATCAAGTTTTCAGTAATCTGTTTACTACGCTTCATCGCATTTTGTTACAAGTGCTTATTTTTACTCGAATTCTTCAATTAGAACAATTTGAACTTTTTATTTCGTTCTAAATTAAATAACGAACTTCTAATGTAGTAGCAACTCCAATAGTGTTAAATATGAGTATGTCTGTATTTGCCGTTATTTTAAATTGCGGTCTCCTTATCTACAGTTTATTTGTAATCAAATTATTTTTGAATTTTGCATAAAAGCAATTTGAGTTCTTTGTATGCCGAGATTAACAAAAATACCGTTTTTGCTGGCCAACACCGATTACATAGTTTAAGAATTTATCGCGTTTTGGAGGAACAAAAATGCGACAAAAGTATTTAGAAATTTGAGCCAATTTTGTGTTGTAATGGAATCTTCCGATCAATCTGGCAATATGTTACGACACCTTGTGACTTGTTTGTGCCTTCAAATATTAATGTATACAAAAATCTGTCGTTGTTTTCGCAAGTAAAAAACAAATTACCCGCCAAAATTGCAACGTAAGTCAATTAATCGCAAGAAGGAATTTTTTCGCTGGCGTTCGAAATTTTTAAGAACGAATAGTGTATTTTTAAAATTGCGATTTTAAATTTGGCTACGCGCCATCGATTTCGCCTTGTAAATTAATTTCTTTTCAAAAAATATTTCACCAATTTTGGTTTTAAATATATGGATGTTAAAATTTCTATCCGTGTGTAATTTTTAAATGCGTGAGTAAGTTTGAAAGTGTGAGAAAAGCGGTGTACATGGTTTTATGGAGTGCAGATTTAGGTTTCGCTCTGTAAACAATGTATATTGTGGCGTATCAATTTGCATTTTGACTATTTATCAATAATCCAAGTCTTGAATCGTCAAAACACTTTGTATTGGGAGATTATCGTCCAAATGTTTGTTTCGTCTTTCTCAGGTGTTCGATCAATAAGAAACTCATTTTAGCCGAATAAAAGGAAAAAATATTAAAAAATATCTCAATTTTTTTGAGGCTCACAATACGTTAATTACGCAAATCTCTTTGATCCTTATTTGGCATAATGACTTGACTTCAATGATTATATATAAAAAGTCAAACATTCCTAAAACCATCTTCATGATAGTGAGAAATAAATGCCATGCGTTGTATCGAAAGTAATTTTAAGTCGCGTATGGATATCTAGTTACTTCACACGAGAACAGTACAACACTCTCAGTTTTTGCCGGATATACTGCATAATGGTCTCCAACAATTTCCTTTCTAAAATTAGCGATGTCAAAAGGGCTTAATCACAGCAAAAGAGAAAGATTTATCAATGTTTGTGTTTTCCGTTTGGAACATAGAAAAACTTGAAATCGTTTTACGGAATAACACAAATTATAAAGTGCGAGTTCAAAAGCTCAAATTTTGAAATAGTTTCAAGAGAAATTGCCACAAACCGTACGAAAACGACGGCAGGATCAAGTTACATTTAGGCCACATGTTGACAATAAAAAATGAAATATTTATAGTGAAATAAACCTTAAATCCTTACTTATTTGAAAAGAATATATGCAGAAATATAGATATATAACAGTAATAATTCTATCTGTCAGGTCCAATATTACAAGAACAGCCTGCTAGAATTCCCTTTCGAGTGAAATATGGTTTTTATGTAACTTGTCATGGAAAATCGTCTTTCAAATCTCCTAAGATTATTTCCATATGTGCATGGAACAAATTTTATTTCTTTTTTACACTGTTAAGGCATAGAGAAATGGTGATATTTTTTCTTTCCCTTTGAGTCTCAAAAGATCGCACTTAACTAACGTAACATGAAAACTCGTCGTAGATCAAATTGTGACATCTTCATACAATATTTTAAAATCTCTGCTAGCGTCATAAATGTTGCAAAATACCAAATGAAATGTATCTTTTATAATGCTTATTTTAGTGGTACATGTGCATCATATCTTGCGGTCAAAACAAATTTAAAACTACATAGCGGTCGTATATTGTCTCTCATTTTACATAAATTTTGAATGGAAGTAATCAGAAACATCTGATTCTCTGAATGGGAAAATCGAGTTAACCAATGTACGAAAAAAATCAAAATTTCTTTCTTGATATGACGACTGTTTTGTATCGGTTGATCGTTGCCAGAAAAATAATTAATTTGAATGTGATATTTGCTGTTTTAAGTAAGCTTCTTATCTTCAAGGAAGTCGGCTCTTCTTTACGTACATAACCGTGTCCAGTGTCAATGATTATGAAAGCTAGTTAAAGTGAAGGGAAAACAATATTTGCAACATATTTTTTTCTATGCCAATAATTAGAATGAAGAATGTCTAATTCTATGTTTCAATTTTTGTATTTGTTACTTTGGTATGTTTTAAAGAATTTTCAGTATGTTTCGATGCGAATTTCAGCATGTTTTTATTTCAACATCTGGTTTATGTTAGCGGTATCATTGCATTGACAGAAAAACGTGGATAAATTTCTTGTCATTATGAACAATTTAGATAGAATTTGAAAATAAAGAAAATCTTTACAATTCCACTCATTATTTCATTATTTTCGGCAACTATTATCTCTCAGTAATATTTACGTGCATTAAAAATAATACGAGCATTGTCTTATCTCAAGACCGCCTGCTGCTAATGAAAATGTCCTGTTGTTATATCATGTTTTAGGCATTTGTAATTTTCTCTTAGATTCGTCTCAAATTTCTCTGTTTAGTGATTTGTATATTGATTTACGTTTCTTTAATAGAGAAATATTTTAGCTATCATGCTAGTGTTGTATTGTTCAATTTTTTCTTGGTTTTGATAAATATTGTTGTCATTTTCTAAAACAATGAATATTGTGAACGCCGATTTTTTTATTTTCGAAGCTATTTCTCACCACTGTGAGATTTCGACGCGCTGGTTTAAGGATTTTTCCCCAAACATTATCTTGTGTTTTTCTCTGTCTCTCTGTTATGATCGCTGATGTGACAGATTGTCAAAAGATACAATATGCTATGGTCAAATTATTTTCAAAATGCAAAGATAATTATTTCCTGTGGTTTATTATGGATGAACCCGATACGGCTGTTGGTCTGCATGCAACCGTAAAATATAGGAAACAAATGATTTTGAAATTGAAAATGAAAAAGTTTAGTCTGATTTCCAAAGAATATAATTCCGTGTACTTTTATTTTCATATAAATTAATTTTATTGAATCTATTATACTTTTCCGGGGGTTGACCTACAAAGCACAGTCTACCCGCAAGGCGAAACACCCGTGAGCTATGGTCGAATAATTACAGTGCAAGGAAATAAACACTGGTTATTACTGCTATTTAAGACCATCTAGTCTTAGTAAATGGTTGTCCTCACTTCACTGAACAATCAATCAATCAAAGTCTGGTATCTCTTTTAGGATGAATTACTCTACACAGATGAAAAAGTCGTGATAAAATGCAGAGACATGGTAAATTTAGAGTACGATGGGACTGGATGGTCATACGGGGTCAAAGCTATATCGGAAATTTACCTCCAGGAAGTCGCACCCTCGGACAATATTGATTCGGAGGATACAAAAAAGTTTCGCTTGCTTAAAAGAAAACCAAAAACGAAAAAGATGGTTCCAAAAGAGCGAACAAAAATAGTGATTTTAAGTTTTCCGGCTTATTGTCGATTTAAGTCGTTGCTTAAAAAGTTATTTGGTGGTCTTGTGATGACAAAGATGGCGATGAAAGCATTTGGCGGAGTTCTTCAAGCCAATGATTCCACGTGGGTCTCTTTTTCCAGAGATTGTTTTCACCATCCTGGATTAACAAAGTTTGATATGTTTTGTCAAAATAAAGGTAGGCACTCACAGAACTCTCCTGAAATAGTCTCTAGAAAGTCAAAGACTTTCGCTACTTTCTTCGCTGCCTTTTTTCAACTGAACAATTAGATTATCTTGGAATTCAAACTGCCGTAACCTGACTGTGCTTGTTAGTGTCGTTCTTGTAATATCTTGCGATAGAACACATAGATTAATTGACACTCTAAAATATTTTAGCACCTGTTCTAAAAGGCCGACCTCGGAAAAAGAAGATGTCTAAAAGAACTGTTTCCAAAGATGGGACGAAACAAAATACTGCAAATGTTGATCAACAAACTGCAAACGCGGTTGAGAGCTCTGACGATAATCAAACTGACACTTCAGAGACAAGTTCAGTTCAAGAACTTCCATGTCCTCCAAAGCTTGTGGCCAACATTAAAGAAGAAAAACCTTTTGAAATCGGAGTTATTCGATCTGTTAAACAGGAAAACGATTGTAAACTTTTAGCAATTCCACCAGTTCCAAGGTTGGTGAAGATTGAACGAGAAGAACCAAGCCCTAACGGTCAGTTCCGACCGTTTACCGAGCCTGCTATGATGTACAGCGGTCAAATATCCAGTCACCACATGGAGAAAACTGACCCGTTAAAGATGCTGCCTTCCAGTTCAGTTATATCAAGCGGTCAGTGTGAGTTTAACGGGCAGACGACAAGAGAGAAATGTATTGAGGTGACGGTAGACGAGAATTGTTCCTTGGGTTCATCTGCGACTATTCACCCGTCTCTCGTGTCTCACGCGGCAACGATTACAACGAATCATCACATTCAGCCCAGAATGTCAACAATTATTCGCACTCCTATTGCAACTCAAGAAGAAGCTACGAAGAATGAGGCCAGAGTTGAGCAACCTTTGAAGAGAAAACGAGGTCGACCACCTGGAAAGTCAAACAAATGTTTGAAATTATCTGAAATGAAAATAGCTCCAAAAACATCTTTAATAGACGATGATGAAGTACAGATAAAAATTGAAATAATAGATGATAATAATACATTTATGACGGAAAATGAGGAATATAGTCCTGAGGTAAGTGTCTTGAAGAATCTAAACTTCTGAACTGTACACTTCAATGTCTATTGCGTTTTGTGAAAAAAAATTGTTTCTGTTTCAGCCACAGAGTGAGGAAGAGCGGGAATTTATGAAGAATTTAAAAATATTCATGAGAAAACGAGGATCACCAATTGAGAAGATTCCAGCTTTGGGTTTCAGGAAAAGTATGTGAATTTATTTATAAATTATAGTTCATCTACCTCCTTATTTTTTGAGATATTAAAATGCTTTTTTTTTTGGAAACAGTTAATTTATTCAAGATGTATGAAGTTACTCGGTCGTTGGGCGGATATGATCAGGTTAGTGTTGATATTTAATGTGAAAGTCAGAAAATTGCAATGTCATTGTAAAGATAAAATTTTCATTGCTGAATAAATTGTCCTTTTTGATTTGTAGGTGACGAATAAGCGTTTGTGGCGACGAGTTTATAGCGAAGTTGGAGGAGCTCCGAGCATTACAAGCGCCGCCACAAATTCAAGAAGACATTATGAAAAGTACGTTAATTTCATAGATTGTCAACTTTATTACAAAATTTATTTTGGGTTTCTTATATTTGAATAAACCGTAGACATACTGAGGCTATGCCTGTAATAAGTAATGAAATGGAGGACAAGGTGGGGGGAAATTTAATATAACTCTTTGTTTCTAGACTGTTGCTACCATACGAACGATATACAAGGGGCGAAGAGTATCTACTCGATGGAAAAAGCTCTGATTCTCAATCTCCATCACCAGACCGCCTCATCTCACCTCATAAAGACAAAAATGGAAACGTTGTTTCTCAAAATGAGTCATTTCTCCTCTCGACAAACAAACAAGAGAAACAGTCTCATCCCGGGGTCACAATATTGGATACACACAGCAATTCAATAGTCCGTCAACCTATGGTCAAGCAATCGAACATGCACAGCAAGTCAATAAATATTGGCTCGGAACAAAACGAACAACTAACTGGCTGTAAACCATCTATAACTGCAGTAATAAGTCAACATGACTCTCGGTTAAAACCAGTGGTGTCTCGTGTGAAAAGCCAGAAAGACGTTCGGTTAAAACCGGCAGTAACTCTTGGGATGCAAGATACCCGGTTCAAACCAGTTGGTACTGCAGAGGGGAGTCATCAGAAAGATGGTGTCCCATCGAGTCAACAACATAATGTGTCAGGTCGTTTGATGCAAGACAGACAGAATATTTCTCATTTGACTACCACGAAACCACAAAACAAAGGAAATACAATCCATCAAGATAGGACATCGCATTCTGTTGTTAAGACTGAACCAACAGTCAGCTATCAGAGACTGCAAGAAAGACGGTCAGTGGTGTCGTATTCAAGTACACAACACCACTACAACAAACCAGCGGACTCACCACTTGAGATTATTACCAGAGGAAGTCGAAGTAGTCCAATTACGATGTATTCAACAAATACAGACAATTTGTCCCCAACATATACAGCAAACTTTTCATATGATTCACAGCAAAGTGCTCGCCAGAATACCTACACCAGTGAACGTGTAAGTGCAGATCCAATACGTCGTAATACGAAGGATTGCATTACTGAAGGTTATCCAGTCACGTTTGTACCCCATAAGAAAATTGATGGGAAAACGTCGGCGGAGTTTGAACGTAAACCAAAGTATCTACCGCATTATGATCCTGTGAACGAGTTTAGTGTTCCTAACGAATACCACGTGGAAGAGTCGCGAGAAATGCGTAAACACGCACGAGGAGATGAGATACTTGTGACAAATGTTATACCAGGAAAACGCGCACATAGTCCACGTGACGTTATGTTCTCAGTACCAGTGTTTCAACCGTCACATTATCCACACGGAGGTTTTGAACTTTATGATTTACCAAATACCTTCCCTGTTCGTGCTTCGTCACGGATATTCATGCCTCATCAAGTATTCCCTGCCCCTAGTCATCCGGGATTTCCACCTTACACACCCCATATCATTGCAACTATAGGAACAGATCCCAACACACTGTACCAGTTACCAATACCAGGTTATTATCAACAGGAGATTGCCTACCCCATGGATATACTCCACAGTTAATGGTGAGTGGCCTTTACTCGGCAGACATTACCACAAGATTCGTTTTTGTAAATAGTATAGATTTTCTATGATGAAAGAAAATATTTTGCGTCTAGAATTATTTATTTTGTAATGTTCTGTAACAGTTGTTTCGTTATTAATTATATTAAACGTATTTTATTGTATTGCTGTTTCGACTTTTTTAAATTTCGGTGGTGTCTTGGTAATATTAGCAAATATTAGCATGATACGCGGGGAATGTGGATAATTGGGTACATATTGTTCCACATGGGGTTTCGTTGAATAAGACCAATATTATCCCTAATGTAAACAAACAATCGGTGGAAGAAGCAGGTTCGAAAGTAAATGATGGCTTTATTTTCAAATTGGTTTGGCGAGGATCTTTATTTACAATATAGAGAGAGAATATTTTACGAAGAAAGTCCTTATCTTTACTATGCCTATCGTCTGGTTTCAGGGATCACCGTAGCAACTCTGGCAATATTGATAAATATTATTTTGCATTTTGTGTTTAAAGTTTGTCGAAGAATTTTAAATCCGTGGTCACATATTGAACAAGTTCAGTTTGGAATGGATGTCGTCTTTGGGGCATATCATATACTGGCTACTGCAATTACGGCTTATGTTTCTGAAAGGAAGATAAGTTTGCTGTGCGAGTCGATACGGGCTGAGAAATAGCATACACTAAGTGCATTCACGTATGTCATGGATTGGATGTATAAAAATGGAAATTTGCTCATTTTGGAGGGTGGCCGAGAACCTCAAATAAAGTATGAATTCCTGCAAATTCAATCCTGAAAACATTTAGCTTTTCACTTCAGGTGAAACTAACTGGGGGAAAACTTGTGTTGTTGATGTTGTGACCAATGTCCATCTTCAGCACTAAAGCAATTGACAATTGTATAGTGTAGAAATGAATTATGTAATGTAAATTATTAACAATTGTACGACAATCTGTTCCATTGTTAGCTTGGCTAATAGAACTTCACAAGCTGTGAGCTACTGTAACCATTTGTATGGGTAATATACCATGAAGCATCATTTGAAATGGTAAGGCTCTCTCTCAATATATGCTATGTAAACAGAAATATTATGAAAATATAAATTTCCTTATTTTACTATTGAGATGTTTGCAAGTTTTCATGTTGTTTGTATATGACAGACTGAAAATAAATATATTCATAGCATATATTTTAGCTGCAGGTTGCTGCTATTGCAAAAACCCCAGAAATTTAAGGGGGGTGTTTCATCAAATGCAAAAAATCTCATATTGGTTTAGGGTTGAAGAAACAATTCTGTCATCACCCCTTCTAATAGACTTCAGTAGGTTTCTGCAAACATTTCCACGGGGTGCAACACAGCATTGTTAGTTGTTACATGCACTGGGAAACATGAACATTTTAGCCATGTATTGACGAACAGGTTTCCTGAGGGATGTAATGAGCAATATAATCCATTCTGGAATACTAGTTCAAAACAGGTTTTTTCATTTTCTGATGTTTTTGGGAGAAAAATAATACACAAGAAAGGACATTAACATAATAATAAACTGGAATGCTGTGGAATAGTGTGCTGCCTGAAAGCTTCTTTGAATGACAATTGACAATACTTCATGTAAAATTGTTTCCAAGATGGAAGTTCAAATTTCGGGTTGTGTTTTTTCTTCTCTATTTCTGGAACTCGCAAACAGCCAGGGAGATGTAGTAAGTTATCACTGATTGTGAAGTTCAATATAAATATTTTGTCTATTTTAACCAGGCAGTTCATCTCTTAAAGGAAGGGTTTTTACTGGGAGACATCGAAGATGTTACGGAGACTACTGTCAGTGATACTCAGGATGTAAACATACAACATAATCGTATTTTTGGTGGGTTTATCTTGTTTTATTTTTTAAGTGTCTTTGTGGGCATTTAAAAAGTTAATTTTAGATTGAAATTGTATGTTTAAAATTACATAAAAAACTATAAATTTCAATTAATATTTTTCAATATTTTATAAGGAATAAATGACGTCATAGGTTGAAAATAGAAGCAGTCAAATTCCAAATTAACCCTAATATATATCTTATCCATGTTGGTATATTGGAAATTTTGTCTTTACAAGGATTTTGTCTTCGATGTGTTTGTTTTTTTAGCCGTCCAAGAGATTGCAGTTTGTCAAGGATTGTTCAGGTTATGAGTTGTCCAATGATTACAATTCTTTATTTCCTGCATCATTTTACCATGATAAAAAATATTCAAATATAATACTTAAACTGTTCCCAGTTTTTATGATGGAGTTGGACATGTGCATTCAGAGAAACTTGACAGAATTCTAGGAAATAAAAGACAGGTATTGGTTTTAGAAATTTTTAAAGTTTGACTTCAGAAAATATTTCTGATATAAACCCTTTCCTTCACATCTCTTTAGGCTGCATTAGGATGGTTTAAATTTAGAAGAAACACAAGGCTTGGTGTGTCAATGAGAGAGAAAGCTGTTCATAAAAGTCTGTTGGAGCAATTTGGAATTGAGGATTCAGAAAGTAATGACACTTTCTTTCATTCGCAAAATATTTGTCACTTGTGTAATATATTTTACTTTCTTTAGATTTCATTTTCTCTGTTTTCTCATCACAACACACCGACAATCTAGCCACCCATGCGTATAATTATTTAGCATTTTACTGCAAAACCCACCATAGCAGGTAAGCTGTTATTGTTGAAACAACACATTTCTGCTATAAAAACCTAAATGGGAATACTCTTAAGATCTCTTTTGTTGTTTTTCTATTGGATAGTTATCACCTAATGTAAAATGTCCGATATTTTTATTTATATATTATCATCAGAGGTTATGAAGCAATACCAATAAAAATCATAAATCTTGGAAATACTGCCCAAACAGAGTATAAGCATAAAGATGAGCCAACAACCTCCACGTCAAAACTGTATCAGAATGTCATTGGTTCATTTCGGTGAGTACCTAATGGTCACTGTTCACCACACAATATCAAAGGCAACTAAATGAAGTTTAATTGTTTCAGTGATGAGTTCCTGGACAATGTAGGGCAGTTACAACAAGTGAGACATGCACGTTCAATGTACAAAAACATGTTGATAAAAATGAAGGTATAATCATTCTTGATACCATAGCAATTTTCACTGACTCAAGAAACTCAGATCAATTTATATTTCAGGGTTTAAAGAAAACTGTCCATAAAAGTGAAACACAGCTGAAAAACTTGTCAGATGATATTGAGATTCTTAAAGAACAACTGGAAAGAGCAAAACAAGAAAAAAGATCAAGAAAAGAAGCAAGAAGTAAATATTTTTGACAAAATACATTTGAAAAAAATATGTTCGGCTATTGAATACAAAATAACAATATACTTATTTTTTTTTTGTTAGTTGATCTTATTGTATTAGATGATGAAAGTGATCAAGATTTGATGTCTTTTGAGGATGTGGATACACAAGATAAAGGTTCAAAAAATCCAACAAAACATTTAGTTGTTGCAGGACATATTGATTCGCATAGCGTGCAAGAAAAAGACTTTGTGGAAATATCTGCTAATCATGTTAATACAATGGAATCAAATGGGGACAACAAGCTTAAGACGTATAACCTTCGAAAAAAATCTCCACAATATTAAGATTAGTTCAACTATGTGTGACCATATTTTGGTATCTAAACATATGGAAACATTCCCAGTTGTAAGTATCATACATGTGTAGGTAGCTTCTAAATTTAATATTATGTTTTACAAGAACAAGGAAAGTGATGAATCAAAATAATTTTGGATCTTGATGAAAGGCCAAGTACTTCATTGTGTATGGCATATAACCTGAAAACACGTTTTGGAAATTTCATTAATTAATACCCATCTTTATTAAGAAAATCAATTAACAGGCCTACCTAATGATCTAGCACGATGGATAGCTTTCTTTATTTCGTTTTGTTTAAATTGACAAAGACCTAGAAAAGATTGCAACTGGTTATACTGTGTCTAAATTATTATTATAAATTGCTGTTTAAACACCACCTGTGGCTTCTTTGCTGTATATACGACCAGTGTGCGAGGATACAAATTGGGACAATAATCTCACATTCTAAAAGTAGAAAACAATTTACACTATTCAACACAATTTCACTTTTTTCTTGGAACAATGAAAACATTTACTTTGTAGTCAATAGTGATATCTCCATGTTTTGGGCAAAGTAAACAGCCAGTTGGTCTGTCTTCAGGATCCATTTTCTGTTAACACAACATCACATTACTTATGAAATGTGAACAGCTATTTTTTTGCAATTAAATATTATGCATGCCTACCTCTAAACGGGCTTCAAGTCTAGTTCGTCTCTCTTCTTTCAATTTTCTCTTCTTCTTGACATAATGATATTTTCCACATACTTTATGAATAATAGTGTATAATAGTAAACCAAATAGTTCCATCAAAGCCATCCAAAACAATATTAGATTCATAAAATACTTGCCTGAGGAATTTAATGTCAAGTTACGAGAATTTGGAACTCCAAATCCATTGTAAGAAAATAAGTGAGTTTGTGAACGCCGGAAAAATACAGGGAAAAACAAATGAAGTGCAACCATTTCGAGTATACCCAAGTCCCAAGGTTATCCTCTGAAGTCTGAATTAAAAAAAAACATCGATGGAAAGTATAATTGGATCATTTTTTTGTTCTAGTACCAGTTTGAAATACATTGAATCCTTTCTATTCAAACAATGAAAAACCATGCAGATATGCTTCAATTTAACTCTAAATATATTTTGAGAACATTTCCACATTCTATAATAAAGATTATTTTGGAGGATGTTATTTTGTGATCACTTAGTGGCTCCAGCGAAGCCTTGCAAATATTTTTTGAAGCTTTTATTTAACTAAGTCATGGCTTCGTCAAGAAGGTTTTTTGTTGGAGGAAATTGGAAAATGAATGGAGATACTGCAAGCATTGGAAAAATTGTGGATTTTTTAAACGAAGGAGTGAATGACTCAACAACCACAGGTCAGTTTTGCCCATGCATTGGTTGATATAAATTGATGAAAATAATTTTTTTGTATATTCTGACATTTACATAGTCGTTTTTGTTTTACTTTATTTAGAGGTTGTAGTTGCACCACCTGCATTATATCTAACACAAGTTATCAAAGATCTTACAAAAGATGTAGCTGTGTCAGCACAGAATTGTTATAAAGTTGCTAAAGGAGCTTTCACTGGTGAGATAAGGTTAGTTCTGGGAGTCCGATATTGCCCTGTTCAAATCTCACACCATGGCATGTAGATAAATTTCCCCCCTAAAAATGTAATAAGTTAATATCTTGTAATTTGTCATTAGTGAACAAGTGTAGTGGTTTTTTAGTTCAGAAATGATAAAGAATGTTGGTGGTAAATGGGTAATTCTTGGGCATTCAGAAAGGAGGCATATATTTGGTGAAAAAGATGAGGTACCAAAACTTGTTTAAAAATATTGATTGTATAAATACTGACATTCTCGTTTGAATTGCAGTTAATTGGCGAGAAAGTTGGCCATGCCTTGTCAGCAGATATTGGTGTGATTGCATGTGTTGGGGAACTGTTGAGCGAAAGAGAAAACGGCACAACAGCTGAAGTTGTATACAGACAAATCAAGGCTATTGCAGGTAGAATTGAAAAAGTGATGTTATTCCACCACAAGTATGCTAAAATGTTGAATATTACTTGCAGCGAATATCAGTGACTGGTGCAGAGTGGTAATAGCTTATGAACCAGTTTGGGCCATTGGTACTGGAAAAACAGCGTCACCTGATCAGGCGCAAGAAGTTCATGCCCTTATTAGGAAATGGTTAAATGACAATGTTTCAAATGATGTAGCTAATTCTGTCAGGATCATTTATGGTGGTAATATATCACGTTGTTGGCTTTGCAAATGTAGTTGTTGAACTATCGTGGTGCTATAAATTAGATTAGATTCGTTAAACATGTTTCATCTTTTCTAGGCTCTGTAAATGCAAAGAATTGTCGGGAACTTGCAACAAAACCAGATGTTGATGGATTTTTGGTTGGTGGAGCTTCTCTGAAACCTGAGTTCATTGAAATCATTAATTCCAAGTCTTAATGTGTGTTGAATGGAGTTATTTTAGGAATATCAGCAAACTTTAATATGTAATTTCCTTCAAAAGTGTATAAATTCTTATTTGGTTTCCATATATATTTATTGTGTTTTGTTTGGTTATATCTACTTTTGGCTTAGATTCACCTCTGGATGCCAAGAGGCAGGTGCTGTGCTAAAATGGGGAGCGCAAAAGGGGCAGGTTTTCTTCAAAGGGTGATCGATTTTGTTATTTGCACTTCAGTGTTCTGTGTCTGGTACTTTTTCACTGGATGATTGTTACAATACTTTGAGGCTGGTCAGTTGCATCTAAAGCAGATTTGTTAATGAACTTCAATGTAATCCCTTAAACAGAAAGGGCTTTCTACACTTTCAGCTGCTGTAAAACTGTAGGGGGGGGGCAGGGCCCTGCTGTCCCTGGTGTCCGGATTCCCCAGAGGATTTATTTTTGCGTACTATTCGATACAAGAGAATAAAACTAGTAATTAGCTGCCTGTTCGCGGGTAATTTTATTCTGACTCCTCAGATGACGGCCAGCCGGGCCAGGAAAGGATAGAATTATGCCTTGGTTTATATATGCTCTTTGTAGGAAATTAAATATCTTTATTATTTCTTTTAAAATGGACAAGGAAAGGATTTAGAAAATATAGATACTTATCAAGGAAGAAACTGACTTCCAAGGACAAGTGGTTTTGTAAAAACTACAACAAAAACGGGCGTAGAAATTCGCTACAACACGAACAGTCAGGCGCCGGGAATTTGCAACGATGTCTTTTTGGAAAAATATTTTCCCGTTTAGTCTGAGTAAGACGAAGAAGAAAAAGGAATATCCAAACATTATATTGAATATAGATCCAACTAGTTTATGGGAAACGACAGGCGAGTTAGGCGACGGAAGTTTTGGGAAAGTTTATAAGGTGTGTGTACAAATGAATTTTGATATATTTATATAATATATCTTAAGATTTAAACACGTCAACATGGTTTATCTGTCTAATTTTGAGCCTTGAAGAATTTCATTCGTATTTAATGAGAAATGGTGAACTTAGCTTAGTGATATTTGCGTGACAGCTTTTATAAGGTGGCTTTGTCTAGAGTATTTTTAACAAAAATTAAATCAACATTTAGTCACAATTTAGTTAATTGTTTTAAAGTATCAATTTTGTAGTATTGCTTCGGTATTCAGTTTTCATATTTTGCTGACCAAAAGTAAGCATATTACTGTAAGGTATCACCAGTATTTCTTGTGTTGTTGATTATATGTTTTTGTTAGAAACTAATGATGCAAGGCAGTAATTGCAGTGAGACTTCCTCTTGGGGAAGAATAAGCACATAGTTTGCATGAAAAAGTGTTCATGAACACTTTTGGGGTTGAATAAAACAAACTTAAAATAATCTTGTTACATTCAATTTACATTATACAGGTTAGCATTACGTAGCTGTATTTTTAGCTATGTTTATTTGTATTGTTAATCCATATTAAGTCAAGGTTAGATTGACCCCTAGTGTTACACAATCTAACATGTTTCAAACTGACCTAGGTCAAAACCTAATCAAGGTTAGTGTTAAAGTCATAAGGTTGAAACCACCTCTAAAAATTAATTCACAAATGCCAACTTGTATTACTTCCTTCAGTTGTTTTACTTCACAATTTTTATTGGTCACATCAAACAGGAAGTTGTGAAATGAATTTTTGAAATAATTATCACATTTTTAGGTCTATTTTTTTCATCTCTTTAACATGGGATGTTCTGTTTGGATTGTAAATTGTTTCCTAAAACCCTAGAATAAAAAATGTAGGAATACTAATGACAAAAGTATTGTAATATACGACATACATACACAAGTTATGATTTTTGGCACTTCACACACTTTATAATAAATACACAAGTTATGTATTTATTATAATGTGGTTTTGTTGGAGTATGTTTATTAAATAAATAATGAAGGATCAAAGTATGCCTTTTGCAGAAATCAGACATAATGATGGGATAACTGATAGGCTTATCTTTTCTGTGGCCAGTAATGTCTGCAATAAGTCTGCTTTTTAATTGGAATTTTGTGTCCAAATATCTGTTTATCAATGATGACATAAATGGTAATAATTTCTAAAAATTAGGTTATTTGGAATGATATTTTTGGTTTCAATAAGTTTCTTTTTTAGATGAATGTTTAACCATTGTACATGTTGAACCTTAGATTTCTGTTCTCTATAGGCAAAACATCGTGAAACTGGTGCAGAAGCTGCAGCTAAAATTGTGGAAATTCATGATGAAACTGAGTTAGATGATTTTATGGTTGAAATAGATATTCTAGCAGAATGTAAACATAAAAATGTGATCAATCTTTATGAAGCTTACTATTTTGATAATAAATTGTGGGTATGTTTAAAACTTACTAAACATTTATCAATTCAAAATTATACATGAAAGAATGCCTTACTCATTTAGTGTTATGTTTTTGAAAACACTGTTTTTAGATGTTAATAGAATTTTGTGCAGGAGGAGCTTTGGATGATATTATCCTTGGTGAGTTTCAAGCCTGTTGCCTTTCATAAGTGTATTATTACCATATAGACCATATAAACCATATACCAAACCAACTGACTGTTGTATTATAGCTCTACCAGGATCTTATAAGAAAGTTCTATTCCCATCTCTGTGATTATCATGGAAAAATTAAACATTTAATTTATATTTTTAGATCTGGAAAGAGGTCTGGATGAGGCCATGATTAAAGTTGTTTGTAAACAAATGTTTGAGGTAAAGAAAATGTTTAACCTGTACCCCTTGGTTGAAAAGCAAATAAATTCAATTTACACTCAAGACCTATTTTGTTTTTATATTTATTTTCAAGGCACTGGCATATCTGCATGCAACTGACAAGGTTATTCACAGAGATCTCAAAGCTGGAAATTTATTGCTGTCAAACGATGGAGAAATTAAGTTGGGTAAGTTATCATTGGAGTATAACAATCAACATCTGATCTTGTTCTAACTGTACCTCATTTTTTGTGCAGCTGATTTTGGTGTTTCTGCAAAGAACAAAAAAACTTTACAAAGAAGAGAAAGTTTTATTGGTACACCATATTGGTTAGTTTAATAATATTCACTCTACAGTATATTCAAACATTTGCAAGCTCTATTTTTGTTTTATCTAAAAGCTCCAATATTTTGTGTTTCTTTTTGTAGGATGGCTCCTGAAGTTGCTATAACAGAAACCTGCAAAGATGATCCATATGATTACAAAGTAATTTAATGAATCATTACTTACATAATTAGTAACAAAACATTTTCAACAGTTTTCTTCTTTTAGTGTGATGTGTGGTCTGCTGGAATTACTCTTATTGAACTAGCAGAAATGCAACCACCGTATCATGAAATGAGTCCAATGAGAGTTCTTTTTAAAATCCCAAAAGCAGAACCACCATCTCTGAAGCAACCCAAGCGATGGTAGGCATTAATAGATACAGTGTTTTAGGCTGTTTTCCTTAAAATTTGCCCATTTAAATAGGCAGGTGAGATTTCTAATAATATAATCTCTTTTTCTAGGTCTGTTGACTTCATTTCATTTCTGGCAAAATGTTTAACTAAGACACCCAATGATAGACCAACTGCAGCTGAATTGTTAGAGGTAAAAAACTATTTTCACAGGAGAAATTCTCATCACCAGAAGCACTTAAGCTTATTACCCTAGACACACCTACCACTAGATTGGATGTAATTTTTCATAAAAAAGAACTTTCTATTTTTATATTTTTAGCATCCATTCATCTCAGGGGTGTCGTCAACAAAACCTTTGAAAGATTTATATAACTTAGTGAAGGCTGAAGTTGTTGAGACGTTAGAAGACCTTCCCGAGGATCTACCAGTATGTCATAATTCATCGTTTATTTTTCCTAAATTTCAAGTCTAGTTCTCAGAGTTTTTTATGAAACCATCTTACATAAAAAGCCAACATGCTGAGTTGACTAAGGTTTTTGGCGGTGTGTTGTGGACCAGGCCTTAAACAATAAATCATCTTTTATTTTGCCCCATGAGTCAGCGACTGAAAAAGTCGTTTTGAAGAAGAATAAGAAAGATATTCTAAAGCCAAAAAATTCGTTTTTAGAGTGAAAAAATGAGGCAGAGCTCGGCTGGGTCACTCGATTCCATACCTGGCAGTGAATCAAGCAGTCTCTCAGATCATTCTCGAGATTTAAGTAGATCTGAAGAAGCGAGTATTGATAAATCTAACGAACAATCACCAGAGAAAGACATTACGTCCCCTGAGGAAGCTGGCGATGATGTCATCCTACATAGCGACGAGCCTGGGAAGGATGACGTCATTACTTTCAATGAAGAGGAAAAGAAAGATGTCGAGACGGAAGAGGAGCAATCGAGTATTAACAATGAGAGAAATATGAGGACAGTAGAAGGTGAAGAGGGGATAGTAGATTTAAAAGAAGGTGAGAAGGGAACGATTGATGAAGATAAGGAATTAGTAATAGATAAAGATGACGCGCTTCAAGATGAAGAACTAAAAGAAGATGAAAAGAGTGCAGAAGAAGGTGAAGAAACTGTGTCTGATATAAAAGATGTTGAGAATGATAACGAACCTGTCGTCGAGGGTTTAGTTACGTCACCTGAGGAACATTCTCGTGATGTCAGTGTTGACGATCAGATTACCACTCATGATGATGTTGCTGACCATGATGACGTCACTGGAGAAGATGACGTAGGAAGAGATGACGAAAGAAGAGATGACGAGTTTAGCAGCGAGATGGATGTTACTGGAGATGTTGATAATGAAGTTTCCGTACCTCAGGAAGAGGACACAGATAAATATTCATCAAAGTTTGATGATATTCTTGACAAATTAGAACAAAGTGAAGACAATTCGGGTGAAACGAAAGAAGATAATGAAGGAGAAGTGAATAAAACACAGGATGACGAAAAACACGATGAGAATATCGCCAAAGATGAGGAAATGAACGAAAGATTATCAAGAATTCAAGAATCTAGAAGAAATGAAAAATTAGAAGATATAAAGGAAGAAGGAAATGATATCCCCACTAAACAACCACTTTCCCCAAGTAAGAATTTTACTAATGTTAAACTCGTTGGTAGAAATGACCATTTGATTGATTAATAATCATATTTTATTTTTCTGTGTTAATAAAGGAAAACAACCGTTATCCAATGGGATTGCTGAGAAACCGTCTCCTGCTAAACAAGTAACTGTTTATATACTCTTTTATACACTATATTTCGATGGAGGTTTATGGTATATGCAGATCGTAATTAATACCAGACCCTCATTAACTGGCAGTAAGAAAAATAGCGCATGATATAGAGTTTAAAGGAAGTGTTGTGTCATTTTTTGCTTGTTTTGTTGTAGTCAAATGAAGATGAAACGCAGCAATATAAAACCTTAACTCGGACCAGAAAGTTTATGAAAGATGGACAGGTTGTGACAGAAGTGACGTCGCGAGTTGTAGACATTAGTCAACAAGACCACAGAGACGCCAAGCGAAGAGAACAGCAATTACGGTAATATTAGATTTCGTTGATCAAAATAGCAACTAAAAATGCTTTGTGCGAGTGTACTAAATTCCCTCTCAAAAATCTCTGAAACTTTGTTATTAAAAAGTACCCAACTGAGAGTGTTGTAAGGCAGAAAGTTTAGATATTTCACGAGGCATTCGCGTTTTTTTTTAAGAAAACAACATTTTCGTGAAGTGAAGCTTCTTCAGCGCGAGGAACAGAAACAAGGAATGGAGTTGATTTCAAAAATCAGACGACAATGGGATGCACAAGAACAGAAAATTGATTTTGAAAATGCTGTAAGTTTAGTTGATGAGAAATACAATAAAAAATATATCATACTTTAGTCGTTTATTCTTCATTTTTGGAATTTATAGGAATTAGAACGCAAATTTGATACGGACTTAGAAAACATGGCGAGACATCAGAAACGTGAAATTGAGAAACTGGAAATGGTTCAACAGAAAGATTTAGTTCATGCGACTAAGAAACTAAAGAGTGATCAGGTTCGTTGACAGAACAGTACAGGCAGGGCCACCGATTTTCCGGCAGACTCGACCATGGTCGAATACGCCATTTTCCGGTACACTTCGACAATGGTCGTATTTGCCATTTTCCGGCGAACTCGACCATGGTCGTATACGCCATTTTTGCCTCGAGCCCCAAAATTTCTCTCGGCGGCCCTGAGTACGGGAACATGTTTTTGTTAATATTGTCTTTGGTATGTGTATCAATTTGACCCTGAAGTCCTTAATAGTAAAGTACAAACTATTTATTGTCTAAATACAAATATTTTCAAGGAAAAAGAATTCAAGAGATTCAAAGAAAGCCTGAAAGACGAAGCAAAAACAGAAATGAAGAAGGTGCGTTGCTCTTCATTTCCGACATAAACATGTCGCTCCTGTTAATCGCTGGGAAATAAGACGAACCTGGTTCTTTAATAAAAAGAAACTAACTTTGTTTCTTGTAGAGTGATAAATTACCACGATCTGAGCGAAAAGAATTTCAGAGAAAGAAAAAAGAGGAGCTGGAAGTGACACGGCAGTCCAAGGTAACCTGGTTTCGTCTTAATCATTTTTAACAGAATATATCTTTCAATGTGTATCTTGAACTGTCTTCTGTCCAGGAGCACGACTTCCTCGCCCAGCAACATATTGACTATGAACAATATCATAAACAACTTGTTGAACAACATCGAGAAGATATGGCAAAGAAAGAAGTGAATTTCTTGTCTGTTAAACATGATTATATAAGAAGTAAGTTATAAGTGTGTTTAGTCTATTTCCCAAATCTTATCTATGCCAGTTCAATTGTCTTCCATGGTTTCAGGAATCGTACTGCTACAATACATATCTAGTATTGTCGTAAGAATTCCGATGTTTTCATCTCTTCCCTGGCCCTTTTTGATGTAGAAGAGGCTACGTCTTGGTTAATTTCATGTCCTAAACTTACTGTTTGTTTTAGAGCACGAGTCTTTAAAATGGGAAGTAGAGGAGAGACAACTACGTGAACGACATCTTATGTCTAAAAGTCAGTTAAAAGAGACGTTTTTCTTACAAAGATCACAGATGGTAAATCGACATGACAAGGTAATATGATTAGGCATCATCATCATGATATATTTTTGTATTTTTCGCACTTTGGTGACAATCTTTTTATTATAGGAGATAGCGCAGCATTTGAACTTGGTGAGGATGCAGGAAGAAGAACTCAAACGTCGAATAGAATTGGAAAGAAAACGTTTGCCAAAAATGCAGAAAAACGATCTGAAGACTAAGTCACAACAGTTCAGAAAGACGTTATCAAAAGATAAGAGAGTGACGATGGATGTTGAACGAGAGAAAATGAAGGAGGTAAATCATGTGTTACTGTATCATGGAACAATGGCATCCTCTAGCAATACAGCTTTATCTGTGTTTTCTTTGCAGTTCCATGACATGGAGGCAAAGAGAGCAAGATCTGAATATGACAAAATGATCTTACGACAAGAATTGGAGGAAGAGGAGCTTCGAGTATCCCAGGATGCTGCAATTAAGGAATTACAAGTATTGCAGGTACAAAACCTTATTTGAGAGTATTATTGGTAATGCTGATTGATTAATATCTCAACAAGCGAAGTGTTATTGCAGGTACAGTTTGCTGAGATTACAGGACTGTGATTTAACCTTCTCAGGGAATTGTTACAGCTTATACAGACCACTCACCACAGATTTTGTTATCAATGATTTAGAATGAGAAGAGATATATGCTAATGGATAGCGAGACTGCAAAATTAAAAGAACGTGATGAGAAGTATAACGAACAAGTTATGGAATGGAGAAAATCACTAGGGCCTCGCAAGAAGGTATGTAGATATGATTTTCCACCTGGGATACAAGGTTGACCATTTTCTTCTTGCAATTAGTGAGACTCATGTGTCGATGATTTTACAGATTTTAGAGGAAAAATTTGCCCGTGAGAAGAGAGATCAGCAGTTATTTTATGCACGAAATCAACACCCTGAGGAATCTTCTTTACTGCATCAAAAATCTGAATCTAATGGTCCTGATATGCATCAAGGAACACCACCTTCAAACAATGATGCACTTGCATATTAATGATTTTATTTTTCACATAAATGATTTGTAATCATCGGGGACAATTACAGGCATACAATGATGAAATCGCCAGAATTTGATCATTGCTATTCACATTTTATTGCATACAGTTAGAAATTATAGCATCGGTCTTTAAGCCTTTTACTGCAGCAATGTTGCATTAAGGTTGCCCTAGTTATCAGCTTGTAGGAGCAAAAACTAATCACTGAATATTTTCAGGTATTTTTCAATAAGATAGAATATAGATTCTTAATATAATGACATTTGATTCACAAGAATTATATCTTTGTTGGATGACACTGATCTTAACAATGTATTTGAAATTTTATCTCATATTTGCTGTGAATAGAAATTATTTTACTGCAGTTTACACTATGAATTCTCACATTGCAAAATAAATCATTCACAGATGTTTGTATCTAGTTGTGAGTTGTTTAGTTTTTTAAACTTTAGTTTTTAGAACTGTGATGGGGCTTAAAGATTGCAGCTTGATGGTTACTGCTTTTGTGAATGTTAAAGGTAATCAAGTTTTCTTTTTATCACACATGTTTTGGTATTCATTGATAATTTTTACCTCTCAATACTGTACATATTTATCAACATTTGGGATAGTATTTTTTTTAGAACATTTCACAAGGTTTTAAAGGTTGCATTAAATCAAATCAGCATTCAGGTAGTATTGTTTTAATAAAAAGCTGTTATTGGTGAGATAACTCTTTACTGTTACTCTTGCTTTCATTAACATAAGCATATACCAAAATGCGTTTGAAATACTTTCGAAGATGCTATTTTTGAAGAAAATTGTTTGTCATAATCTTCTAGATCAATGAAGAAACATGGTAAAACTTTTTAGCATTGATGAGATGTGCTTCAGGTTGGCTTACAACAATACTATTTCAATCTATTAGTCAAATATTAGCAATTAGCTTTTGTTCTCTTCAGAAACAATGATTTGCACTACATAACCCTTCTTAATATCTGCATCCTGAACAGTCATTTGATCTGTTAGTAGTCGCCCACTATAAAACCATCTCTGTCTGGACATTGCAACTCCTTCACGCTTGTTTATCATTTTCTTAAGTTTATGAATTGTATCAGAAGGATAAATTTGAAGTTTCATTTCCTTGCCAGTTGACAGTCTAAATTTCACAGGATATGCTTCACCAGTTGGTACATCTTTCTCTTCTTCGTTATCATTTGTTGCCATTTCACAAATATCATCATTTTTTAGCAAGTTTGATGGTTTGTTTATACAGTATAATGGTACTTTGTAGTTGTTACCTAATTCATCATATGCTTCTGTTAATGAACCTAGGAAGAACAAAAGTATTTTTCAATGCTGATATATAATTTTTCCCAAATATTGTACTTAACTTCCGTATTACAAATGGACAGGAAATACATTTAAGAAATTCTTAAAATTTTCTTCAGATTTCTGGTTTCAGATTGAATAAAAATTTACATATTTTTCTTTCTAGTATTCCCCGTGTTACATATGACAGCACACTATAATAAACAAACTTGTTAAAATTATGAAAATTAAATTGACAAGTCAGACAGATGATATTAAACATACAGCCCATGACAAATTATCGTGGTTAACAGAAAATCTACCTGTTGGAAGAGTTATATTAGCACTATCAACAATTGCTTGCGCCATGCTAACATCGTCCTGTTCAGTTGCAGCTTTTAAAGCGTCCCATATTTCTTTTCTCCCCTCAAACGCCGGAGCTGTCTCCCAAAATTCATCTCTCTTGCTACGGAGTTGTCCCTCTGTCATAGGTACCTCTGTACTCCATTCTTGTTTCTCGCGGTTTAATGGTTGATTTCGCCCAATGGCAACTATAAACGAAATTCTTACACATCAACAGTTATATGTGTAACTTCATAGAGGAATAAAGAAAAATTCTTAGGAAAAAATTCGCTCTGATGTTGGATCTTCGCCCACACACAAGTTACAGATGCTTGCAAAGAAGTTATCATTTCTCTACCTCCTGTTGACGTACTCAAAGGATCTCCAGAGCCTACATTAACGCTGGGCTCCCTGGCTGTACCCATACAGCCTCCCATGATGATTTTTTATTGATTTACTTCATGTTTTCGACGTTGTTTTCATTTGAAACTCTTTTCGAGATATCAAAACACCTTTCTTCGGCAGCGGAGGAAAACAATGACGTCACTTACGACGCCCCTGCCGCTGCGCAATCACTAAGTAAACCAGTACTTCATTTTATATAGACCAAATGCGTATATCATTTTGGAGGATTGAAAAGAACGGAACGCAGAAAAAAGATGGCGGCCAACATGGCGCGAAGTAAGTATTAATATTGTTGTTTATAAAAAAAATGCTGGGCAGCTGGGCTCTCATACATCTTGTTCTGTAGAAGTAAAGTCGTCTTCAGTTGGTGGTCAGGACGAGTGGAGTGTAAGAGAAAGACTGATTTTAGCGTCTTCTGTACTACGTAGCGGAGATCAAAATTGGTAGGTGTATAATTTTCAGTATTTGACTATTTGAACTTCAAAACCTTTTGCGTACAAATCCTAAAGTGTATAGTAAAATAAACCACAAACGCTATACTTAAAGGTGGAACTTAGACACTCGCACCTTAACTTTAAATCTTCCCTGCACTTAAAATTTCATTGAAAACTGACCATTTCAGGCAGATGTCTTTGAATATCACAAATTGTGAGTTACATTCCATGTTTAGGAAATTTTCAAACACAAAATAATAGTAATATCCAATCATAGGCATTGAGTACATAGAACTGACTACATAATCTATTCTAAAATTGTCAATGAGATCTTTAATTTGTTCGAAAATTCTTTGCAGGGTATCAGTAAGCCGAACCGTAAAACCCATTGCGGATTCAACATTTGGTGTAAAACCACGTCCTCCTGACTTCTTTTCCCAAAAGGTACAAGTTAATAGCCTGTTTATGCCCTGAGTAACTTTGTTGACAAAACTGTTAACCAACTATATATCCTCTGTTATTTCAATAGCTGTGACTAGATGCCTTGTCTTTTAGTGGAGCTATTTCATAGATTTTAACCTTTGATTTCACCAAAAGCAAATTTATTTCTGTTATATATATAGAGTTGTGCTGCTCAATATTCAGAAATGTTGGAGAAAGTATCTACACCTAAGTAAGTTAATTTTAATTACATCATTTGAAAAAATAGATAACAATCCTTCTCTTTCAGCGGAACACAAAATTTTTCATTTATTTTAGACGAAAAAGAACTAATGAAGCTGGAGGCACAGGTAAACTTTTGCCTGGATTTTTGGGTAAAAGATTGGTTTTCCAGCAGTGTGTGATGGAAACAGTGTTGATGAGTATTTTCTCATGATTATAGAAACCCCAGGAGAACAAATTGTTAGAACACTTACGTTTGAAAGGATTGATGAGTTGAAAAAACTTATCAAAGATGATCAGATGAAGTATAGGTATGTTGAAAACACCATCTGGTTTTATAGCTCTGGTGAATTAATATTAGTTGTGACAGTGATACTTTGAATTACTAATAAGGCAAGATGAAAAAGATAAATCTCATGAATAGTCCAGTTGGGAAAGCATTTATCTTAGCAAATCAAAGGTCACAGGTTTGATTCCCCCTGTACATGTTTAAATTGATTGTACTCTTCTTTTTGCAGAAAGCTAAAGTCTGAAATTGAGATGATTCTAAGTGGGAAATGTGATGATAGATTGCCAATAATTTATGAAAGTTTGCAGAAGTATGTTTTTTAGTAATTATGCAGTATACTTGCTACTTACTTTGTGCTTGCCTGTACCAAATACTGTTATACCAGATTAGGAAGTCATAGTTACCTTTTTCCCATCTTTTCCTTGGATATTATAGCTCATTTTTTCTCAATTTTCAGTAGATCCAAACCACAGATGGAACCACCATCAGGATATAGCTCTGCCCAGCAACGTGAACCAATGAAACTTCCACAGTATCCTCAACATGTTCCACAATCATCATCACTTTCAGGTACAATGTTTTATATGTATCTGCTTTAGTCTTGAAAAGGGCAATGCTGTAAAGCATTATAGTTGCTTAAATTGAGAGAATATAATAAACTTTAACAAAAAATATTCTTTTTTCAATTTTAGCCACACCAGCTCAACAACCATTAAAAAGTCCTATATCCCCATCACCTCAAAAGATGAAGAATCTTCGAGTACCAAAACCTACAGAAAGGTTTGGAACAAACATATTGGATAATCAAATAGGAGATTGGTTGTTTACCAAGTTGATTAAAGTCTCTAATTTAATGGTTTTAGATTTCAGAAGTATCAGCAACAGCAACAAGCCCGTCATGGACATACTTCATCTCAAAGCCAACAGCAATATAAACAGCAACTTAATGCATTAGAGCAACTTCAAAAACAACAACAACTTCAACAATTCCAGCAGCAGTTACAACAACAGCAAATGCACCAACAACAATTTCAACCACAACTCCCACAACAACCCCATAATAACATGATATCCACAGACGGACCATCTCCTGTAATACAGGAACACGCTCCAACATCACAACAGTTTTTTCGTTCCAATGGTCAACAGGAAATGGCACTGCATCAACAACAGGTAAAATTCTTCACTATAATAAATAAAAATAAGTTAGAGAAGATTAAAAAAAAGTTAATACCTTTTTTTAGCCACAACTCATAACACCAGCAGTTCCAGCAAGTTTCCCAAGTAGTGTTCCTGATAAAAGTCATCTAACACATCTTGTACAGCCAGGACATAATACAGTCAAAAAAGAACTTAATGATATCATAATGGAGATAGATGTTCCTTTTGATAAACAAGTAAATGATATTCAAATTTATTTATCTTTCAACTACAACAGTATATTTCCATCATATATTTCCATTACAAAATGACAATATTCTTGTCACACATGTGACATTGCTGTTTCTTCAGGCTTCATATTTTGCATGTAACAAAACATTGAATAGCATTGTCATGTGTGTGACTAAAGAATCACCCTAGCTCATACATTATATTTTTCTAGACAAAACATAAAGTCAGTCCAAACATGAAGGAAACACCCTCTGCCCAGGAACCTATAATTGACAATGGTGTTCAAAGTCCAGCTCCATTAAGTGGTGCAACATCATCAGGGCTGTTATCCACCTTGTTAACTACACCTGTTAAAGAAATCAAACATGTTGCTGAGACAATTAACCAGGTATTACTCATATAAACTCAAGTGAAACTCAGTTTCAAAGAATGATTTTCACAGCACTATAGCAGGAATGAATAAATTAATATCAGGATATATGTAATTTATAATATAATTCATGTGTATTGAAAGTTACTATAGTGAGACTCTTTTTTGTAGAGTTCTGAGCAAGAGAGAAATGAAACAATGTCACAGCAAAGATCAGAAATTTCAATTCCTTTTTTAGGTACAGTAGTAAGAATTCACATCAATAATTTTAAAATAAAAATTTTGTGGACAATCTTACTAAAAGAGAAGGAAGTAATGCCTAAGCTGCTTGCCTATATTTTAACTACTTCATACTAACTAAATATTGTTCCTTTACAGATGAAAGTATTCCTGCAAGCAATGCTCAGAATTCAAAATCAAGGATAACTACACCATCAGCAACTGAAGTTGCACCAACCTTGTCCAAACTCCTCACTACAACAGCTTCAGTTAATGGTAAACTGCAGTCTTCAACTGAAACACCCCAGGTAACAGATAGTATAATGTAGTTCTTAATTATCTCAATTGAGTCATGTTTCATTTAGCCAATTTCTGTGTTCTGTAATATGTATTAAAATAAGATTCTAAAGCATTATTCTTGCTTTAAAACATTCTTCTGGTACAATTTCTAATATGTTTTGTTATTAATGCATAATTTTAGACTAAGAAACCTTCAACATCAAAGTCTGATGAAACATTGCTTGTGCAAAAAAATTCTCTTGGTAAAGAAAAATTCAAAACAATTTTAAAGAATTCATGCACTCATTGAAATCAATTTCATTTATTTTCCTGAACTTGAATTTAACCAATTTTTTACAGAGTCTGCACCTAGGAACCAGAAGCCATCAGAGGTTAGTTACATTTTAATTACAATACATATTACTTTTCAAATAAGCAAGATAATGTGTTGTATTTCAGGATGATCCACTATCAGAATTATTGACAGACAGCATTAAGGTGGGACCAGTTCAAAAACTAAAGTTTGTTGCACATAAAGTAACCTTCACATAAATGAATTTTATTTGTTTTAGGAAGAAGCTGCTAAAGAACAGTTTGATAAAGAAATTTTAGATCGACCTACACCCAAAGTATTGGTCAGTATTGATGAGGTGAAGCCAAAACCTGAAAAGAGACGGCCAGGTAAGTCTTGTTTACCAAAAAAGGCCATACCAATCAGCAGAATGTTCCAGTGTAACCATTTAATTGTATTTTTCTAGGTCGTCCAAGAACTAGAAAACCACCAAAGGTTAAATCTGTTTGTCAACCATGCAAACATATTCAGTTAAATGATGATGTAAAATTTGTTCCTTTAGGAAACTGAAGAAGATGATGCAGAAGAAAGTTTCAAAGAGGTTTGACAATGAAATGAAAACAAAATGAGATTACTAAATAGAGTACTACATTACTAATTTACTATACCAAACTATTATTTTTAATACCCAGTTGTGTGTGAAAGAAGGTTTCCCACTGCTCTTTCTTATTAGAGTGTGAAGCCATCGGATACAAAAGTTGAAACAGATGAAAGTGAAGAAAGATATAAGAAATGTGAAGATGATTTAAAAAAAGAAGATAAATCTGAGCTTAGTGTTCAAAGTAGTTTTGGTTCAGAATCCATACCAGATAGTCCAGCTTCGCAAGTATCACAAAGGTAAGTGAGATTGTACAGGAAATAATGTATTGGCTTGCAAACAATATCAATTTTGTTCAATTTTGTTTTTATTTCAGTGGCAGTGATGACTTGGAGTCATTACAGGCACAGAAGAACTGGAAAAAGTCCATTATGCTTGTATGGCGAGCTGCTGCAAATCATAAGTATGTGCACATTAGACATTGGAAATATGGTATATTGTCAGACATGGAGAGAAATGTCTGTTTCATTATTATGGGCAGTTAAGACAATGATTCAAGCATGTTAATAAATAATAAACCTAATTGTGATATTTTTAGATATGCAAATGTGTTTCTTCATCCTGTCACAGACGATGAAGCTCCTGGTTACCACAATGTCATCTACCGGTATTCTATATATCACCCTGGGGCTGGTTGTATGAAAGCCGGATAGCGCTATCCACCCGATAGTGATTTTTTTCATTGCTTTAAAATCACCCATTGTTTGATATAACTTTGATTTAATCTTAGTATTCCTAAATTGAGGATCCTCTTTAATAATTGTTGGTTCGCGCTATCCGGCTTTCATATAACCATCCCCTGTTCTTTTAGATCTTCCTGCATGTTTTAGAAATTAATATAGAATATTTTTTATGATTTTTGCTAATAGACCAATGGACCTATCAACTATCAAGAAAAACATTGAAAGTGGTGTATGTATCAATGTTTTTGATCAGGTTATAAATAATCTGCGAACTTTACTTCAATTGAATGTGTCAAATTCTTAAGGTGATTCGTACAACAAGCAGTTTCCAACGAGATATGATGTTAATGTTCCAGAATGCTTTAATGTATAACAGTGCCGATCATGATGTGTATGTATATTTGAATAACAATGTATAAAAATCTAAAAAATGAAACAGGGAAACCTCAAAAGGTTAAGATTAATCCCTGCAGGAAAAATATGAGGGTTGAAATTCTATTAATTCTCTTATAACCCAGATATCGCATGGCTGAAGAGATGAGAGAAGATGTCATGGAACAGATCCAGGTAAATTATAATTTCATTTTTGAACATTTCAATATGCAAAGAAGAACATAGCCAAATTCTTAAAAAAATCATGTATAAACATGACTTTGTTATTTTATTAGTCGTACATTGCCACTCAACTGATGGTCCAGTCAGACAGAGAATCTAAAATGTTGAGAGGCCACAAAACAGATGGTAAGTGTAAATGTTAACATTTTTTCATTATCAAACTCCAAGGCATTGGAGGGAAGGATTTGTGAAGCAAAAATGAGTTTTTGTCATTGTAGTGTTTCATTTCTCTCTGTAACTTGCCATCAGAAAGGCATATCAAGATGGACCATGAATGGACTCAAACACAACACATGTGACAACTTTAAAAAACTATAATCTTTACAATTCCCACAAATTTGGGTAACCTCAAAATATTTACAAAATTAATCTCAGCAAACTTTCATAGTTTTTACCAAGGATCAACATTGTGACAATAATAAACACACTTTCTCCCTAAAAATGTCATTGCTTAATTCTTCAAAGAAATCTTAACCTTATCAATATGTGTGAAACATTCATTAGTTGCAGGTGTATTCATTCTTTTAACATTGCCATAATCCTGTGTTGTAGCTTTTTCAGTTTTTAACAGTAAATTAGCTCAGTGTAGCTGTAGGCTGTAGCGCATACTGGCACTTATTAATCAACATACAATTTTGATACAAGTGAAAAGATATCATCTTTTTGTTCACTTGGAGGGTCCCATTCATGAAGTTTCCTTCTCCAACATCGAACCTGACCAGTCCATGATCTTGTGCTGCAACTTTGAAATTTATCCGGAGTTTTTGGGTCTTCCACACTTCGACAGTGACTGAAAATAAAAACAATATATCTTTATAAGGTTTCTATCTAGAGTAAATTGCTGCTCACTATTTCATATCCATAAGACCATCACCACTCACCGTGGTTTTTCTGTGATATATCTACCATAAGCTGATGTGTTTTTACCATAGTCGATTTGTTTCTGCCTTTGAGCTAGACGATGCTCATCAGTCAAAATGGGTTTGTGTTCTTTTGTCTTTGTATTTTCAGAATCACTTTTATCGGAAAGGAGAAGCTTTCTTTTAAAGCTGTGTAAAAAACAATATTGCTTATCCACATTTCAATCAAACTTTAGGATTCAACTAGCCAGAAAATCACAGCATGTAATGGAAAGTCTTTCATACCGTTGCTTCCTATCAAAATTATTTCTTTTATTTTCTTGCAATTCTTCCTCATCCATGTAATCTGCCCAATTTTTTATTGGTTCAGGAGTATACCTGTAAACATCAAATTCTGAGTGAGCAACAACACACAAGTAGAGATATTTTTATTCACAACTTTAATATAGTAGTGCAACTTTACTGACCATGGATCAAATATATCATTATTAGTCAAAGGAGGAAAGTCTTTGCCATTTTCTTTATTGGTCTGAGGACTTGATTCATTTGACACTGTTTTCCATCCTTTCCACGGTTTTGTAGAATCTGTGCTTGCATCTGATGCAGATGGCAGTAAAGAGGTATACTGCAAATTTGGAATGTCTTGTAACCTGATAAAAAATATTAATGTCTTAGTATTTACCAAATTATGTGGCTAAATTCTGTACCATTAATCTGTGTGGTTACCACCAAGCGACAAGAATGATGTAGTCAGACACCTGCTGTATCAGAAATCTACAATTTCTGCCAAATGCGAATAAAAGATTGCAGCATAGTCGAGGTATGAGAAAAACCTCACAAATTAATACCTGCTTTGTTTGAACCTTTTACGCTGTTGTGAGTCATTATAAAATTCCCTTTCACTCGCTGTTCTATGTCTTCTATCAACAGGCATGTTTACTATGCTTAAAGGCCGCGACTTTCCTTCAAATAAACGTCGTGAAAAGAAAAAAACGTGTGCAGGTCTCAGTTGTTAACAAATTCTGGCGGTAACAACACTATTATTTCTTTCCAATCTGGCGCGTCTTTCTAAATGACGTAATTGTTTCTGAACCAATCAGTGGGCAAGAATTTAGAGAGATCTTAAATAACAAACTGGAATGATAATGTATCCCCAGAGCCTCTTCGCGCAGAACAACACGCGGTCACAAGTCACAACGCGGTCGTCCATTTTGTTTTTCCTCTGTCGAAAGAAGCGTTTCTTATTTTAAGTATGTCAGGTCGCTATACTCGTCCTCCTAACAGTTCTCTTTTCATCAGAAATGTCCATAACGATACCAAGTAAGTTTTTTTATTGCTTACAAGGCTTTTCAGTGTTATTTGTGTTAATTACCAATCTACTTTTGAATATACTAGGCCGGAAGATTTGAGACGAATATTTGGGAAATATGGTCGAATTCAAGACGTCTACATTCCTCGAGATTATTACACAAAAAAAGTCAGAGGATTTGCCTACGTACAGTATCCTTTCTATTGTTCAAATCTAGGCTATAATCGGTGAAATCATTAAAACAAGAGTAAAAATTTTATCAAGGTGTAAAAGTAGCCATTTTTAGGACCAAACTAATGGATGTTTTGTGGATGATTAAGGATACATAGGGGTAAAATTAAGTTTATTTCGCATATAACGGTTTATATTACAATGCTGTGAATACGGCTGAGAGAAATCTGTTTACAACTGTATTAATATTGTGACCTATTTCTCTTGTCCTTCTTATCCATAAATTATCCTGATATTCTCATAGAAAACCAGATTATTATTACATTTAGGTATTTAGGTGAATTAAATAATTGATTTATTGTATTAGCCCTAAATCAACATTAGTGCAACATACTTGTGGAGTGTTTAAAAACATAGCAAATTTTCTATACCTATTGAACCAAACAGTTAGAGAACTGAGCATTTTAATGGAAGGTTTTCTTGTAGGATTGGAGAAAAAGATTGTAAGTTAAAGCAAAAGCTGATAAAGATAGTATGTTGGCAAACTTATTTTACTGCCAAGCAAGTCTTTCAAAAGTGAATGTAAAGACAAAAAGATAGAGTAATGTTAGATTTGAAAAAGGCAAAGCTTAAAGAACCAAGTACATGTAAGTTTAATGGCAATGTAAAATGTGTTAAAATCAAGTTTAAATAGTAACTTTCTTTATAAATAGGTCGATAGGCTTTTCCTTATTTTAAGCTGTTAAAATCACAATTAACAATATTTGCAGGGTATTCGCAAGCAAGTAAGGCCATATGTTAACAACTAGTCAAGCTTGGTTTATGGTTTGAAAAAGTTTAGCTCCCAAAAGTAGCCAAGCTACGGAACAAATTTATCAAAGTTATTATCAACAAGAAAAAATGGGTCATTGTGAAAGAGTTAAACAAGTGAAAGTTTTAAGGAAAAAGTGTTTGGGTGAGTTCTAGTGTAGATCGTTCTTAACAATGTAAAGATTTGAAGATATCCGTGATGCAGAAGATGCCTTATACTACCTGGACAGAATAATTGTGCTTGGCCGGGAACTAGAGGTTCAGTTTGCTGAAGGAGATCGAAAAAGTAAGTATGTGGATAGTGGCGTGTGAATTATTTTTGTCATGTTCAAGAATTAAATTTGATGCAGCCACAATGCAAAAGAAATGCTGGTTGTAAGAACTGGATAATTATGGATATTTTCAAAAATAATCTATAGATGATCTCATATATAGTTTCCATCTGTTTAGCTCCAAATCAAATGCGATCAAGAGATCTTAAATCTTCTTTTGGGTATGAGAGGTATAAGATATACAAGTAGTTTCTTATAACAAGCAGCTTATAGTGCAACTATTCATTGGTTGAGAGCTAAACTATCTTTTAATCTCCTCAAATCAGCAGTCATGTGCTTAAGAGGTTCAAGATATTCTAAGCATGAACTGTTAATTAAAATTCAAATGGCGCTGAAATTTTTAATGCCATTAGTCAAATGGTGCTGAAATTTTTAATGCCATTAGTCAAATGAAGTAGACTTTTTTTTTAATTTTTTTTTAATCTCAAACCAAAGGTTCTATATACATATTTTATAATTTTTTATCAACATATTGTAAATAACTTTTATTTAGAATTGTAAATATTATCTATCACTTTTTTTATTAACAATTGCCACAAGTATGTAGGAGCAAAAAATAGGAAATAATAAGTTTTTTTGCTTAAAAAATTGATCAATATTCTGATACTCACTCATTTGTCATTGCAGAAGATCAAGAAGCCGAAGTCCCAGGTAGATTTAACATCATTGAATGAAGTTGCTGTTAAGGATTTCAAACTGGTATATATAACATAAATTTTTGTTTAATTAAGGTCAAGAAGATCAAGAAGTCGTAGTCCCAGGTTAGTGAACTAATGTTTTTGAAAGTGGCTTTGATATTTGAACTTTAGGCATTAAGCTGATTACCATTTACAGACGATCAAGGCATCCTAGACGTTCATACTCTCGCTCAAGATCTCGTACTCCAGAGAGGAGACGTGGAAGAAGGTCATCAGAACGTCGTAGTCTAGATAACCGTCACTCAAAAAGTCAGAGCAGAAGTCCGTCTAGATCCCCTGCAAGATCAGATGGACAACGTGATGAAGAAGGAAGTCCTAGAAAATCTCCGGAGTGACGTTATGGACAAGGTTTTATTGTGTGTCATTGAACAGTTAAATTGTCTTGAGATAGTCATTGTACTCCATTGTATATAAAAAATAGACATCCCTTCTATACATGTTTAGCTATAAAAATAAATGTAGTGTTAGAATATTGTGACATGTACTTTCTCTCACCTTAGGGGCTTCCCTGCTGTATTATGGTACCTTTTTACATACATTGTATTCTTATTTGTGCTAAAATAAATTTTTTGCCTCCCAATGGAGAAAGTAAATAGTTTTGTAGTCAATGACTGAAGTTTGTTTTGTGTAATTTAAAGGCTTTTTGAACAGCCTTGAGGTTGGTAGGGTAGTTTCTTTCTCTTTTCACAAAACTGTCATCATTATCATGAACTGGCCTACATAACATAATCAATTATAGTAGCTCTGTACAGTACAGTTGACCATGCAGGAAAAACAAATATATAATGCAGCATATCTTCTTAAAAAGTTTGGTGCAGATCTATCATGCCTGAATGGAAGGTAGGTCTATAGCTAGCAAGACTTGGCACAAATAAAAGTTGTGGTTTTTGTAATGTTGGTTGCCGATGTAAAGATATATTGTGGTTGATTTTTGAAAACCAAAGTGTTTTATACCTATTTAAGGTGTGATCTGTAGAGGGTGGGGGCTTGATTACTGTAAGACTGGGGGTGTCTTGCCACACTCCACTAGTTATACATATTCAAAGATTAATCTTTGATACTGTGTATCTGTGGATGGCCTTTTTTGTTTACCATTTTAAAATTTAATGCTAGACACATTTGTGTTGAGTAGCTTCTTCAATAGCGAAAAAGCAAGAATCTCTATTACAGTTCTGAATTGAAAACTACTATAGTTACAGAACCATTTTGTTATGAACTGGTTAAAACCCTTGAAACAAACAGGAAATGACATCATATTACGTCAAAAGTTATTGTTGGGGTCCGGTCTCGATATCGCATGCAGTCAAATGACTCAAATCGTTAAAGTTGTCTTGATGCGAGGATTCTTTATTGCGCTGATTTTCAAAGCTGGGTTAGGGATCTTATGAAGAGAAAACATTCGCTTTGGTTGTGTTGTTATCGTATAAAGGCTATTCGAGGTTTGTTCGAGCTATTACTATATAAATCAAAGTAGGCGTAGATAACTGATACACAGGGTTCGATATGTTTCTAAAATCGTCCGAACTTGGACGAGAGTGTATATAAAAGCTGTATTAAAAGCTGAATATAGCCTGGTTCTCCTGGCCAATTTACGTAAAAACACGGGTGTTTTTATTTCCTCTCTTCTTAACATTTCAGCAAAGTTGATTTATAAAATAGTGTGTAGACATTTCTCTGTTACATTTTTCCTTTTTGTGAATGAGGCTGTATTTTTGTTTATACTGGTTTTAATCCAAAAGTATTCACAGAGGTTCTGAAAGACATTAAGTCCACACGGTTAATTGTATATTCTCATTAGAGAAATTTTAGGGTTGTATTTGGCTGGTAAACTTATCTTTGGCTGATTAACATTAAACAAAACTATTAAAACGTGGTTGCACTATATGCATATATTCTATTCAAGCCATGAGATCATTCCTAGTGTGTCTTGTTTTGTCAGATGCTAAGAATATGAAAATAGATTGATAGCTTCCCAATTGTTATATTTTGGTATAATTGACGCTATATTTTGTCTTTTACTACCCTTATGGTAGTAATTTCACATCATGCTGTTTTCTTTCAGAAAGAATATAGATTTCCCTCACTTATATATTGTACCTATAAAACAGTGTGGTTTTGTCATCTGTATAGACGTTTACCCCCTTTTTACCTTATATTATAGAGACAATTAGCTTGACAAGTTTTTTGAATCTTCAAGAAATATCTGTGAATTTATAAATTGAATTAAATGGAGAAACTAAATTAGGATATATGTGCACTAGATTACTGTAGAATTTTTAACCTAGATGTCAAGACATATTTGTCATTTTAGCTCTCTATCAGAAGTAGTAATAGAACCTACTGGTTGTCTTTTATAGACAGTTATATATTATGGCTAGTTCATCGTCACAAGAGTTTTTTGGCAACTGTCCTCAATGTTCCAAGGTAACGGTTAACTTTGCAGCATAAAGAAACCTTTTGTGAAATATTGGAGTCAGATGTTCCAGAGAAAATTACAAAAATTGGCAATAATTATTATTTGTTTTTTAGATGGATGTTAAAATCTTTCATTGTCCAACACTAGCTGGAAGAGGCCAACATTATTTAAACCTTCCTGGGATGCCATTGCACAGCCATTTTACTTCAAGATCACCAAACCAATGCTGCCCAGCAGCACTTCCAACATATCCATCCTTTCCAATTAGATTTAACAGGTAAGAATGCTCAAGCGACCACAAGGGAAGTGAGCTTTGCATTACAGCAAAGTAGCACCTACTAGCTTTTAAGAGTGCTCAACAGCACCGAAGTGAAGTGAGAATAGTAATGGTACAAACTGCAGATATGCTTCTTTCAGCTTCGTTAGTGCAGCTTGGTACATCCATACACAAGATGACAAGCATATGTTGCTCTCAAGAACCATACATGGTTCAATGCAGAGCTATCTATATATGCAGTTTTTCTTTACCAAAAATGGTCCACTACAGTCTGTTTTATCCTATATGGATTTTTGGTACATGTATTTATGTATTGTATCTGTTAAATGGATGTTAGATGATGAATGTAAACTGTATTTCATTTTATAGCTTTTCTCACTGCTCAAGATCTAGAACAACAAATGTTGAACATAGTCTGGTAATGAGTCCACACATGAGAGTGAATTCATGCTGGCTTAGTCCAATGGAAATTCATCATACCAATCTAACTACAAATATCTCAGCAAATCCTTTACACCAACGTGGTATACCTCGTAGGCATGTTGGGATGGCAACTATTGCACAGGTATGTTAACAAGTGGGAGTTTATTATATACAGAGCCAGCAAAAAGTAAAAATAATTTTTTTGTTTCAGTTGGATGGATTGACACCAAATTGCATGTCATTATATCATCACCGACACTTCCATCATTACCATCACCATACACAGTCAAGAATTAATGTCCATCCATATGCATCAGCTCTTCAACCTAGGGTAAGGTGAATTTTTTTATGTTAAAACTATTTATCAATGTTAAAGCACTTCCATGAATGGGGTTAGATCACCTTTATTGATATATTAAGTGATTTTTTGTAACAAGACTTTGATAATGAAAAAAGTAGATTTTCTCTTACTAACTGCTGGGGTACTTGTGGAAAATTACCCATAATGTTATCCAATAATTATTTGTCCTATGGAAAAGTGGGTGGTCTACAGGTTTCAAGTAGATGTTTTCTTAGTTATTTGGAAATGCGAAATGCAAAATTTATAAGATTGGTAAAAGAAATATGTCAAAAACAATTTTCAGTTTCATAGACAAGCGGCTCACATCTCAAGGAATAGTGAAGAAAATCCAGATCCTAATTTTATACCAGTAATGACATCTGAAACACAACTTCCTTGGGAAAGACTGGAAACCAGACAGATAGAGGTTGAATGCATATTTTTTTGTTGATATAGATATGGTTGTGTTACACATTTTTGCATGCTACAGAAAACCCTGACCTCTGCCAGGAAACCCTGACCTCCATTAAAAACCAACCTTTAATATTGTCTAATTATGAGCAACAACAGTTGTGTGGGTGGAAGTGGGACATTTGACAGTCTAGTATGGAGCAAATCTCTTCTCAGTAGTAGACAATAAAAAAATGGAGACCACTTGTACTTTAGCTGCAGAAAATAGGACTTACCTGTTATCTTGGGTATCTTGCTTCATATTCTTTCAATATTTTGTTTCAAATATTTGAAATATTTTTTGCAGAATGTTGTAAACTTGGAAGATCTGATTGTTGATGAAAAACCAAGAGGGATATCAAAATCCGTTTTAGACAGTCTTCCTACATACAGGGTTGCCTCGAAAGTTAAAAATGTTTGTGAATCACATTGTGTTATCTGTTTGATGGAATTTGAACAGAAACAACAAATTAGAATATTGCCATGCCTCCATGAATATCACAGCAAGTGTATTGATAAATGGCTTAAGGTATATTCTATTAGAAGACATTACAAATCTTAGCCAATCACCAATTACATTCCATGCCTATTTTATAATCCAGGGTAGCAGATCATGTCCAATATGCAGAAAGGAGGTTAAAGCAGTTGATTAAACAGACTACTTGCAGTTTTTCACGTGATGTGTGCAAGAATCACCAAAGTGAAATGAAGAATATACAATGAATGAAAGTATTACCTAAAATATTATTGTACACACTCTTAAACATGCATAATGTTTATTTGCACATTGTCTTGAAATTATGCTCTGTGGACAGAAGCCATTAATATTATACAGGAACGTTTCAAAATCTCAGGCTTGTAGATACATTCAATATTGCTTTGCCTGTGCTAGAGTGAAGTTGGCATGTTTCTATGTTTTAATTTCATATAGAAGTTACAAAAGTTAAAGATTATTTTCATAAATTTGTATATTACTTATATAAAAAACAGTAAATGTTTCCATGCCAGAAAGGGTTTAAAGTATTACCATTTTACCTAGTTGTAGACTTGTGGTATAACATAAAAGTAATATAATAAATGTAGTCATGTTGTGTGAGCATAGATTGGTGAGGTGAGGTGAAGGAGTGATGGTGGAAAGCATGGTGGAAATCATGATGGAAATGTCTTAATGTTTATGTAATTAATGTTTTTGTAATTGTTTTTTTAACAGCAAAGGCAAAGCTGTATGAAGAATAGTTAGTTGGCTGGATTGTCATTTGTTGCCTTCTCCATTGGAAATGATTGAGCGTGATCAAAGTAAAATGCTAGATGGAATGTGGGTAGGGGGCAGTCATGGGGCAGTGAGGCTATTTCAGATCTGTCTGAGCACCAATTTTTGCGAGGTTTATCAAGAATTTGCTTAAATTTGTTCTGTTTTAGGTTGCAAACACTACCAAACAGAGAAATAAAGATAGGAAACATTATCCCACTCAAAAATAGGTTATAGTCCAGATGAAGAATCGAATTCACTAGTGCATAATAAATACAGGTCAGTGGTCTATTGCATTGTGGGCAATGTGGTGTGACCAAATTAGCCAATCAAAAGCTGCAGTTTCGGTCATGTGACAGTTTTTGACAGATTGAGTGATTGACAGTCAGTTTTCAAGACCATGTGGACAATGCGGTGGCAAGGAAATTCGCTCTTCGTTGCAAGAAAAGAAAACCAGGTGTGTGTATCTCTGAATACTCTGCATAAAAAGAACGAAGATACTATTCAAACAATGTTTCAAATATTTAAATAGTTATTAAGCACTTTTTTGTCTTTTACTGTTTCATTTTAGGCCGAAATCCGTCGACGAAAGCTGGATTCAATGGTCGTGAATTGTACAGTATGTGTTAAATAGTCTCTTATCTGTTAGTTATTGAACTAAAACGTTTATCAGCCAGGCTAGAATGGTTCTGTCTTCAGTATTCGTATCAATAAGTGTCAATTATTAAGGCAATAAGTGTCAATTATTAAGTGCAGAAAATTAAGTGCAATTTTTCAGCGTATTTAAGCCGCTGCTAGGCGCTTTAAGTTTCCTTGTTGTAAGCAAAGTTAGAATAGCTTCAGCATAGTATTCGTAACGATTTCTACTAATTTGCAGGAGAATTAGGTCCACATTTTCAGCGTGTTTAGCGAGTTTCCATGTGTTTTTGCAACGTCGGTGTTTTTCAAGTTTGTGGTCGCCGCCGTTCAACTTTTAGGACATTTTGTTTAGTTTTTAAAGCTTTCTTATATTGTAAGCAAAGATAAATTAGTTCTGTCTGAGTATTCGTATAAATTTGCAGAAGAATTAGGTCCAAATTTTCAGCGTTTCTAGCGAGTTTCCATGCATGTGCGTGTTTGCAACGCCGGTGTTTTTCAACTTTGTACTTGTAGTCGCCGCCGTTCAACTTTTAGATCATATTGTTTAGTTTTTAAAGCTTTCATTTATTGTAAGCAAAGATAAAGTAGTTCTGTCTAAGAATTCGTATAAATTTGCAAGAGAATTAGGTCCAAATTTTCAGCGTTTCTAGCGAGTTTCCATGCATGTGCGTGTTTGCAACGCCCCGGTGTCTTTTTAACTGTTGTAGTCGCCGCCGTTTAACTTTTAGTTTTAGAGCATATTGTTTAGTTTTTCAAGCTTTCTTATATTGTAAGCAAACATATAGTAGTTCTGCCTGAGTATTCGTACCAATTTGCAGAAGTATTAGGTCCACATTTTCAGCGTGTTTAGCGAGTTTCCATGCGTGTTTGCAACGCCGGTGTTTTTCAACTTTGTAGTCGCCGCCGTTCAACTTTTAGATCATATTGTTTAGTTTTTAAAGCTTTCATATATTGTAAGCAAAGATAAAGTAGTTCTGTCTGAGAATTCGTATAAATTTGCAGAAAAATTACGTCCAAATTTTCAGTGTTTCTAGCGAGTTTCCATGCATGTGCGTGTTTGCAACGCCGGTGTCTTTTTTAACTGTTGCAGTCGCCGCCGTTTCACTTTTAGTTTTAGAGCATATTGTTTAGTTTTTGAAGCTTTCTTATATTGTAAGCAAACATATAGTAGTTCTGCCTGAGTATTCGTATCAATTTCCAGAAGAATTAGGTTTTTTTTGGTGTATTTGGGCCGCCGTGCGGGGCTTTAATCTCGCCGCTCGCCGTCTTCTTTTTAAATGAAGGTCTTGAAGCACGCGGCATTTATATTTATACGATAGATAATGGACGTTTGCAAGTGATATCACTGCAGTAAGGTATTGATATATTATGTTTATTCATTTAAATGCGTTTGATTTAAATCACGCCTTCTGCTATTTGATCCCGTAAAAATGTGAATTCGCATGTGCTTCGTTCCATTTGCCGGTGTTCATTCAGGCAAATTAGATTAAGAATATTTAACTAAAATTTACTTGGTGTGTTAAAAAGATGAAAAAGGGGCGTTTAAAAACCCCAAATGACATTATATAAACAAGGCCAAATGACAGCACCATAAACGTTTTTTACCCACACAAAGCCGGTTAATAATCAGCAAGTGTGTAATAGACCTTTTCGGTAAAAACGTCACAACATTATCGTTTTAACTTTTAAATTTAAACTGCTTTGTATTTTACAAAACTTACATTTTCTCTACCTTGTCTTTTTACTGAGTGTTTTTTTTTATTGAAATGAATACAATAAAGCAACATGAGAGACACCTATTGTTGGTTACTTATTAGAACACCCTGAATAATTCTGTATATTCCATATACTACCATCAGAAGTATGGATTGATAAGCATGTAGATATTGTGCTTATACTGTACTTATTATCACTCTTTGATTTATTCATTTTAGTTGTGATGATGGAGAAATGCTACCATTTTGCATGCAAATACAAAATCTAAAATAAAATTCAAACCAGACATTTTATGCAATAAAAATCAAACCAAACATTTTATGATATTTTGGATTGCACGCAGCTCAGATCCCAACCCTTGGTTACATCTTGCATGTTTTGTCAGGAGTAATGAGTAAGTATAAGTGATCAGGGGCCCGGGTCATTTATACTTTCTGTATGCTCGACTGACCTAGTCCGGCATAGGCAAAATATTGCTCTTGGAGCACACAAAAAAAGAGATGCATGTTGAGATTAAAAGGGGGTAAATGGTCGAGTGTTAAATGTCTGTCCATTTTTGAATGAATGCATCTGTTAAATCTTGCTAAATTTGCATGTAATCGAAAATGCATGAAAATTTGTATTCGCATGTACAATGAGCATCGTGGTGAAGATGATGTGGTGGAGCTCATGCAGGTAACATACCATAGGTGAGCTGTTTCATATCATTTCAGATTAAGAAATGAATCATTTCAGATGATGATGGACCAGCCGACGATGACTGATGATGATGGACCACCCGATGACGATGACCAGCAGACGATGACAGAAGATGATGGACTGAAGACAAGTTTGATGGGTGGTATTATTCAGTTTTCTTGCATTCTATCCTGTGCATGCTTGTTTTCCTGGTGGTCTGCACTTAATGTGTAATACATTAAGTGAAATTCTTATTTCCCATTTTGATATTGATGATAAATAAAAATTCCGGATTGCATGCAGAACAATTAAATTAATGTATACAGCATGTTTGATTCTTTGAAAATGCATGTTCCTGTTTTATCACTTAATGTGTAATGCAATTGGTGAAATTAATGCATGATATTACTGAAGTATCCAATGGTGCGGCTAAAAATGATGAAGCATGAACTTAACTTGAAGAATGGAATTTGTACAGGTAACTGTGAACAAGAACCAGGTACGCATATGATTGTATTTGTTTGTTGGCACATAAGGCATTGGCATAAAAAAATTGCAACAAAATATTACAGTAATGCGCCACAAGATTGATTTCTGTAAGTGCATGTGCGAATGAAAATAGCGAAAATAATAGCATGAATGATAGGTGGTTGATGTATTTTAACAGGTATGAGATCCAAAATTAGCTGTGAAATATTCCAGTTATGCATGCCACAATTTAACATAAAGTACATTGTTCTAATTAGAGTAATTGACTTTCTAAGTGCATGTGACAGCAAAAATAATTCCCAGAATAATAGCATGATTATAGATGACCGTAATATAACTTATCTGAAATTTTCAAATATCCAATCTCATTTGTTACCTGAAGTTAACATAATACACCAAAGTGTTTAAAAAGCGAGTGTCCAGAATGATCTTTGCCAGTGCTTTATGGGCAGAAGACTCTTTCTTAAGCCATGGCTTCTTTCTCTCACTTTCATTAAGAGGATCATGTTCACATTTTCCACCATTTACACCTTCCTCCAACACCCACTCATGCTCATCAACAACATGGTGTAAAATCCAAATACAACATAAGGTGACTACATATTAACACATGTATGTACAGTTTGCACGAACTAGATAAGTATTGCTGCAAAAACCAGTAGTACTTCAATGTGAATCTTACTTTGAGATTTTTTGAGTCATTAGCACATGTTTTTGAACAATACCAAAAATGGTTCCTTATTGATGGTGCCCACAAGGTCAAATCTGCATTGTCTTTAGATTTAGCAGCCTAAAGAATAAAATCAATTCTAAATAAAGAAAGTTTTTTAACTAATTGCTGGTTGATATCTTCAACACTTACAGTAGTGATTTTCTTTGCAATGTTCTTTGCTCCATGCCACACATCATTCTGATGTGTGACCTCCTTATATTTCTCTTCCCTTTCTAAAAAATGCAATAATGCTTAATTAATAAACAAATGCATGTTGTAAATATTCCCTTACTGTCTTTTAAAGGGTAAACACAATTAATTATATAACATTGTAATCAATCTGCAAATGAAGTTGTTAATTATTGAAAGTCTGACAATATTGATTATAACAGGTTGAACTATTAGAGTTTTAGGAATTGCCATATTGTTATAATGTAGATACTTACTCATCAATGCAGCAATTTCAATATGACCATCAGTTACCACCTCCTTCATAACTATTGGTGTGCAAGCAGTGTGTCCATCTTTTCAAACCCAATCCTCTCCATATTATTGCTCTTACCAGCAGCTTCTCTCACATCAACCACATTCATTTGCAGTATGGCACGATCATTGGTATCAGCCAAGCTGTAAGCACAATATTGTGGACTATGGCCAGGCGAGTCATTCCTTCCATCACCACTCAATATAACCTCTTTGTTCTCTCTTTCTTTCCAACATTTCTGTTTGTGTTCTTCCAGTAGTCATTAATGGCAGGGATGATGTACAACTTCTGATACTGATTGAATAATATTGATGAGAAATACTGCAGATTACAGAAGTTGAACATCAACCCCACCTTGGCGTAGGAATTGCCAGAAACAACAAAGCAGAAGCAAGCAAGGTTGCCTGCTCTTGTTGCAAGAGGGTTGAGCTGCCCATCTGCCTCCAACATGACAAGACCTACACACCCCCCCAGGATACGACCAGGCATGTTCCAACATATGTTTTCTTATAGCTCAACACACAGCCACATCCTTGTAGTTTACAAACACTCCCATGTAATGATGTTATCAAAGCTATAAGAGTGTCTGTAAACACAATACACTTTTCCTTCTTGATTGCATCTTCAGGAGTGACTTCTTCCACAGTAGAGATGTATTCTGGTTGAGTCGTCTTATGTTGCTGCTGTTGTTGTTGTTGGGTTCCAACATCTTCTGTGGGCTCATCTCCATCATGTCCACGGATTGTCACATTGAGCAAGTCATTCAGTAATGGCACGTCAAAACCCGGGGGACATACACTACAGTAAAATGGCAGTAAGAGATATATTGGACGAAATATTTTATGCCATATTCAGTGATATATAATGTGTATATTTATGTTTTAAATCAATAAGCATTACAGTAGGAATGTCACAAAGATTATTATTGAGGTTTTGCATCATCACTTACTCAAGAGAATCGTCCGACAAAACCTGGTCTGCCTGGATAGTGTGTTCACCAAAATTGTCATTATCATCATCACTTTCATCATCAGAACTATCATCTTTGGCTGTCAATGTTCGACTGTCAGAAATCACACTCTGACCCGACTTGAGATATAAACACATATTGCGTATTTAAAAAGTAATACTCTCTGCGCGAAACTTTGCATGTATGGGTTTCAAATTATAAACTCAGTAATCACAATAAGTTTCCAATTACCTGATAGAATATGATGTTCTAACATCCGACAAAGCAGACAATGGACGCGGATTGAGTGCGCGCTTGGCGTTGAGGTTTTAACTATAAAATATTTCATACGAATGTTTTATGCGAATATTTTAAAAAAATAATAAATGTTTACGTTTTTTGAGCAGCACTTTAAAACATATGTTCTTACTGGGAGAAGAAAAATATTTGGAAGGTGTACTTGGCGGCATATCCGTTGATTCCATTACTGTTTCGGTTTGCGTGTCTGCATTGCTAAAGTGAGTTCAACACATACATAAAAAGCATTATCAAGTAAACAAATAACACACAAAAAAGGTCAGAGGTTTTATCATACTTACCAAACTATACGATTCATCGCAAGATAGCTGTCAAGAAGCATATCCGCCACATCCTTGTCTGTTCTCAATTTATGCTGCTCCTTAAACGCTCTCCATCGAGGGAAAGAACCCAACAAATACACTTTAGAGGCATCTCTACTAGCATAATATTCTTTTCTACTCGACGACATGACTCAGTGCTCTTGAAAGATTGAGAATTTCTTTCTTAAATTGTCGGCTGGTCATGGTTTTTAGACTGAACAATCCGGGGGATTATCAACTTCGGGTGGAGTCCCCAGGCTGGCGCACGCGCAGAAGCCGTGTCTTTAAAACAGGCAAAAAAATAAGAAATTTCAACCGCTCTTCACCGCAATTTCGGCTCTCTTCACCGCAATTTCCACCGCTCTTCACCGCAATTTCCACCGCTTTCACCGCAATTTCCACCGCTCTTCACCGCAATTTCCACCGCTCTTCACCGCAATTTCCACGGCTCTTCACCGCAATTTCCACCGCTCTTCACCGCAATTTCCTTTCGCTTCTACGCATGTGCGAGCTTTGTTTATATTTTTCGTTTTGGTGTGAATCCATTTCATTTGCGCAACATGAAGTATTCAAAAAACTAAATTAAAATGGCGGACGCATCAAGAGTGAAGAGTGGAGCTTTATAAAACCATTCAACAATTGTCTTTTAAAAGACAACCAAATAAATATTTTGAAAAACAACTACTGGAAGATATCTCCTGTAAGTTTGTCGATTTTATCTAAGTTTGAGATACTGTGTATAATTATTTTTACAGTGATTGTTGGATGATTATTAAATTTGGATAAAAGATTATACTCAGATAATGATTTTGTTTATAAAATACCTTCGTACTCTGTTCTAATATTGCAGGATTCAGATTTATGAGCAAGATAATCATGCTTCTATGGTCAAAGTAGCTCTTCTGAGTGTGTTTCATCATCGACATCAATGCCATGTGGGTCAACATCACTGAATGAAACTGCTTCAATACGAAAGCTTACAAGTGAAGATATAGATAGGAGAGTATAACATCCCAACCTATACATTGTAGTTAAAATATAATAACATATCAACCTCAAATTCAACTAATATTTTGTATGCAATCAAGCAAAATTTGGAAATGCTGGTTGTTAATTTTACTGCAATTATTACACAAGATATGATTACACTCCTTTATCATTACCCAATGCTGTCAGAATTGCTATCACATGTGAATGCAATATAATTTTTGTACACAATCATTATTTAATTATTGTTTTCAGCATAAATTATGCCTTATAAGGCCTTCTCCAGACAATATTTATTGCAAGCTATATGATATTTGCTCCAATATTTGGCTATATTTGTGAAAGATACAGTTGCAAGCTCATTATGATCTATTGCCTCGTTATCTGGTCCTTAACAACATTTCTTAGCACACTACTTAATAAACACCTATGTAAGCTTTTACTGATTTCATACAGTGAGTTAGAAGTCAGATATGTTAAAAACAGAAGGAAAATGGTAGGTTAATGAATAGTTTGGTATGTTCTTGGTTCAAAAGTATCTTCCGCATTTAGTGGTGGCAATAATTTTATTATAGAGAAAACACAGGGTATGTAAACATGTGAAATAAATATGTTATTATTTGATGTGTTTCAGGTAACTCCAATCTTGGGTGTGCTTCTTATCATCTTGGGCTTTATATCTGTTGTTTGAACCTGTCTAGGGGCAAATTGAAAAGAGTCAGGGTGATATTGTTGCAGACAAGGATGTTATCATTCGTCGTTCATGGTTGAATGATGCGAAACATATGTTACGCTGGTAGGTGATTTTTAACAACAGATGTTGCTTACTGCAGGATGAACTGTTTAGAACTGACAGAATTATCCAGTGTAAATATAGTTAGTTTGTGTAGGTTTCCTGCTGTAGTAACACTGAATCAATAAGAGATGATCCAGTATGCCATTCCTTGTTATGCCCTTGATCCTAGCTTCAAAATACATTGTTCTTTCTTATGTAAGTTAAACATGTATACTGAAATTAAAAATCTATTTATTATTTCCGTAAAGACATTTCTATCATATAAGTGTTAGCAATTGTCTTTTTTCTTTGTACATACAGACAGAGCCACAGCATCCGCAGTCCTTATATTGTGGGTTTGGTATGTAATATACAATTTCTTTTACCTAAAGCTATGAATCACCGACACGCCCACTGAATCTAATTATGATGTCACTTCCGTGGCGGGGCTTATTTCGCTACTTCCTTACGCTTTGACTTTTGACTCCGTTTTCATAGGCGTGGTCAGACACGCCCCCTTAATCTAATTATGATTTCACTTCCGGTGGGCGGGGCTTATTTCGCTACTTCCTTACGCTTTGACTTTTGACTTCCGGTTTTTCGATGGGCGTGGTCAGACACGCCCACTTTATGTAATTATGACGTCACTTTTGGTCAGCGGGGCTTATTTCGCTACTTCCTTACGCTTTGACTTTTGACTTCCGGTTTTTCGATGGGTGTGGTCAGACACGCCCACTTAATCTAATTATGACGTCACTTTTGGTGGCGGGCTTATTCGCTACTTCCTTACGCTTTGACTTTTGACTTCCGGTTTTTCGATGGGCGTGGTCAGACACGCCCATTAATCTAATCATGATCACTTCGGTGCGGGCTTCTTTCGCTACTTCCTTACGCTTTGACTTTTGACTCCCGGTTTTTCGATGGGCGTGGTCAGACACGCCCACTTAATCCAATTATGACGTCACTTCCGGTGGGCGGGGCTTATTTCGCTACTTCCTTACGCTTTGACTTTTGACTTCCGGTTTTTCTATGGGCGTGGTCTGACACGCCCACTTAATCTAATTATGAGGTCACTTCTGGTGGGCGTGGCTTATTTCGCTACTTCCTTACGCTTTGACTTTTGACTTCCGGTTTTTCGATGGGCGTGGTCAGACACGCCCACTTAATCTAATTATGACGTCACTTCCGGTAGGCGGGGCTTATTTTGCTACCTACTTACGCTTTGACTTTTGACTTCCGGTTTTTATATGGGCGTGGTCGGCAGTAAGGTCACAGTCCTCAGAACGTGCATTCTAATTGGTTGACCCGTAGCCAATAAAAATCGTTCCCATGTAAACGTCATAGGCGCTCTCTGTATGAATTTATTATTATTCTACACTCGCTTGCTGGGCTGGCTACATCGAATCATTTGTTATTTCCTATAATAGTGTTTTTCGCTTCTACGTTCACTCGCTGGCTTCATCGGTTCTTTCTTATAAAAAGTTCTTTGAGGGACAACTTCGGGTTATATATTATTTATGGCATCTTCCGGCCTTTCTGATGTCGCGGCGGAAGAAGGGGGAGCAGATACGACAAAAGCCAAGGTGAAATATTAATTTTTCTGCTTGTATTAATATTCTGCTTGTAGTAAGTTTTATAATATTTCAAATTATCTTTATTTTTCAATGTTATGAACTCAACTACATTAGAATTGACAGATATAGTTGGATGAACACAAAAAAATTTATAAATACGACAATTCAGACGCTTTTCACGTGCCATTTATTTTGCGTTGATTTGCATCGGGCAGGAGTATTTTGTCAATGCCTATCTAATATATCAGGCCACACTCTGCCTGTTGGGACAAGGCATTGGTAGGTGCCTAAATGTGTATTTTTTTACAATTAGCTAACCTCAGGATGGTCCAAGCATGGCAAAGGTTCCTGTCCAAATTGTGGTTTGCAATATAGTTGCCGTTACAAGCCACCAAGTTGTTCAGGATGCAAATTTTGAGCTTGGAGGATCATATGTCCCTAAAAAAAAGCCTCGTCCATTGGTGCCTAAGTGTACCTTGGTGGTGCAGCCATCAGACGGGTTATCAATCTACTCGGTTAATACCAGTACCTATGATGATCGATGTATTGTGGTTCGTGAAGAGGCTTCATCTATGTGTCAGCATCACCTGTGTAAACAGAATAGAGCCATTCATATTAACAGCCAAAAAGTGGCAAGCTTTAGTTGTCAGCATTTGGAATCCACCAGAGATTGTACAACTCCTCTTCAGACATTCAATGGGATATCAGATGAGGTCATTTCCAGTTATCTCTGTGATGATGAAACAAAAAAAACCCTGGCAGAAGTGGCAAATGCATCAAAGGCACAGTCATTTCCAGTTGTGGTGCATGTTTCTCCAACTATGTATTGCATCTTTGGAATGGCAACCACAAACAACACTGTTGGATATTGCCATGTCAAGGTAACGGAAAAGGAAATTAAATGCTGTTCCAAAGACTGCAAAGGTATGTTGAAGAGCAAGCAGCAAAAGTCCCGAAAAGTTTGCACCCACATTCATCTTTTATTGGCTCTTGGCATTTTTACACACAACGAATGTGTGTCAGCAGATCTTCGCCCACCAATAGTGACAGACAGTTCCTTGACAACAATTGACAGAAGTGGGAGCAAGTCTCGCAAGGCAACCATGGGACTTAAAATGAAGTTAAAGTTGCCATATGTCATTCCAAAACCCATTATTCAGGCAGCAGGTAAAATGGATTTTTCCGTGTGGCCAGAGCAGTTTGAACCAGACCAAACTTTGTGTGATTTGTGTAAAAGTCCTCTTGGTCAGTCCAAGCCACACCCAAATCAACGTGGGCGATCAATCATAATGACCAATGGATGTCCATTCAAAACAGTCAAAATGCTAGTCAAAGATTGCTCATGTTGCTTTGCTATGCACCAAGTGTTTCTCTACACATTAGGTAAGTATATACAGTTCAATATTTTTTTGTAGTATAGTAATTCTATGTTGACAGGTGAGTTTCTATTTCACAGTGTACATGTTGGCTCAGGGACAAAGGTTAATTTGATTCAATTTTATTGCCTTTTAGGTCTGTTTAATATTAGTGACAAGGTTCTGGTGGCACTTGAAATTCTATTAGAGTTCCGAGAATTGTTCAAAAGAGGAGTGCCAATTTCTGTAGCCATGAAAAGTAAATTAGCCTTGATGGTCCAGAAAGTTGAGGTAATTTCAAGATGATTGTGTATGTACTATGCAATAGTATGCTGTACAACTGCCTAGAATCTGTCAGTGTCAGATTAGTCTTAGTATTTACAATAGGACTAGTCTAATAAAATTGGCAAATCGTCTGGTATGGGAATTTGTTAAGGCCCTGTTAAACGATGCAATTTTTCTTGAAACTTGCAACTCCACTCTTGACTGATGTAACATTGGCAAAGTGTGACTTCACGAATTAAAATCTCTCAAGAGTAGCATTGCATTGCAAGTTGCAAAAAAATTGCACTGTGTAACAGGACCTTTAGTCTTGCTCTAAATATTAACAAAGTATCCTGTTGTATTTGTTAAGGAATCGCCAACAGAAAATGAGTTGGAAAGTATTGCTACACATTTATACAATGGGTTTTATTGCTTTGAGGCAATAACTGAATGCAATATGGATTCAGGTGTTTGTGGAATTTGTAGTACTGTTGGTGAAGTGTATTTTGGGGATGGGAATGAAAAAATTGCTGCAGCATTAGCGAGGTAAAGCATTCATGGACCAGAATGGCCACATGAGAATTTTAGTAACATTTTGGTCTTTAGTAGTGTTCAATTATTAAAATGTCCTTGCTGGTCTTTAGCCTGTTCTCAGATCCCTCTGATTTGCCAGAGCTTCTTACACAAAATATTTGCATTTTCATTGTAGATTGATTACTCACCACTACAAGATATAGATTGTGAGGAAGATGATCCTATTTCCCTTGAGATGTTCTTGGAGAAATTAAAATACAATTTGGTGGAAAAAACAACCTACACACGATCGGAAAAGGCCACTATCCACTTTTCCACCATTCCACCAGTCATAGCCCCATCATTGAGAGGTAAAAAATTGTTCAACACTGAAGGGGAAAAAAAAGTGCTTTTCTCAAGCAATATGGCAAACCTAATGAAGGTTTGTAGCATTACTCATAGTACAATTTAGCCATTCAATTAAAATAATATATGCTATATAATACAGCTTGTTTGTGACCATGAATGGTTATTTGGACCAGAATTGATTTTTTAAGTGAATTTAATTATGCATCTGTTGCACAGGTGATCCAGCTCTTTTGCATCATTGGATATCATCTCAAGTAGTTGACATGAACACAATTGAGCAATGCAGTGTCGAGAAGCTGAAAGAACTTTGTCATTTGTGTAATATAGCAATTTCAGGCAAATCAAAGATATTTACTGTAATTTACGATTGTGACTTGGTATTAATTTGCACGAAATAACTTGCATTTTATTTCTTTCCGTCAGGCAAGAATGCTCATTGATTTGCAATCATTGTATGAAACCTTGCTGGTTGGTTCATGTCCTTGCCATGGCTTCAGAAAAGTGCCAGGACATACTAGTAGTTTCTACCACATTGTTTGTCGCCATGGCGTAAGTATAGAAATATTTCACCTGCAATGCAACTCTACTTTTGAGACGTGTAAATTACGAAAGTACAACTTATATTTCGTATTGTTCTCTCAACATATCGAACATCTTCACTGACACTAATTAACATCTCTCAAGAGCAGAATTGCATTGCAAGTTGCGAGAAAAATTGCACCCTGTAACAGGGCATTTATCATCTTGTTTTCTTAGACAACCGTAGCCCTAGTCTTAGACGTATACAGTGATATACCATTTAGAGCATTTATAAAATTTACATTTATAGAATTTTTACTCTGGGTGTTCTAAAAAATAATCCTTTTGGGTGTCCTTTCCTTTCAGGTAACCGCAGCTTCAAAGTTTCTGACTTTACAGGAGTCAGTAAGAGATGCTGCCGATCTCTATTTATCATTTAAGCATATTCCTCTTATTTTTCTTTGCGACACGGCTTGTGGGTTTGTCAGGCACTTAGAGTGCCGGGTCAGTAAAGAAATGACCGAACAGCTATGGAAAGATAACAGAGGGTGTTTTGAGGTACCATCGTTGGATAAACCACCATCAAAGGTATCGTTTACGAAAAATCTACATATTACTGGTGTATTGTGCACATTCATTGCCCTGCAACATTTTTATTCAGTCAAGGTTAACTTAAGATATGACTTGAAAACAGTTTAGAATATTCTGAAAACCCATAAAATGGAACAAATATATTATTAATTTTGTCGTCATGACACTTCTAGGAAATGAGTGTCCCTATGCTGACAACAGCAGAATACAGAAAAAGTGACAATGATATGATACAGGTGGAGGATGGTAGCATGATTCATCCATTGACAGGCACATCCAGGAGATATGTTTTAGGTGACAGATTTCACACAGCAAGCAATCCTCACAAGTCACCCCTTTGTAAATATCACAACATAAATCTTTTGTCTCAGTCGAACACGATAAAAACAAGCTATCAAGAGTCCGAAAACAACCGAAAGAATGTGCGACGGTTACGAAGCTCGACGATGCAAAATTTTTCCACGCACTATTTTTATAACTTTTTGATGGATTTCTATCAAAATGAGGAAATAGTAAAAAAGCAACACGACGTAGCTTCGAGACAGCTAAAACCTGGGCAGATGTTATGCAGGAATTCATATATGCAATTTGTGATAAAAGATGGTGAAAAATAAGCATTAGGGTTATTACTCATCGCGCGCTTGTTGTTTATGGGTAGGTGGAGCTCATCAGTCTTGGAAGACAGTCCACCTAGGAGAAGGAAAACTCTGATTTAAAACCCCCGGACTCGTGCAATAAATGGGTCAGGCTGTCCATGTCGGATTCATTGATGCTGCTAATAATTATTGCAATACTTAATGTTTCCTAGGCATGCTGACGAGCCCTGAGATAGGGCGAAACAGCCATTATACACGTATTGTTATACGTAGTATTATTTATTGGATCTAGTTTTCGTAACTTTTCATATCTTTAGCTAGCAACTGGACGGTTTATTCGTTCTTTAATGTTTTCAATTAAATTATTTTCTACATTTCTGTTTGCAGAAGTCGCACAGCCTATAATGAAAAAAACAACTTGTTTGAACGTCAATCATATTTATAGGACGTTGAAGTATTAACATTACTGTAAATGTATTGACTTACCACTTTCCTTTAGGTACTCTTTCAATTCCTAGGCACTCCTGATGGTAGTAGCCTTTACCTGGACACTATAGTTATGGTTGAAAAATAAACAGTTATTGACCGACATTCAGTTTTAAGGAAACTCGTAAAAAAAAATCTCGGAGATAAACTAGAGATATAAAAGAAAAAAATAGAAAATAAACCAGAGACCACAAGACAAAAATCAAGTTTCTTCTTAAACTTTTCAAAAAACATTTAGAAAATACTTAGAGAAAAACATTAAGAAGAAACTACAGAAAAAAACTAAGCAGAAAAATAGAAAAAAAAATCGAGAAATAGAAGAAAAAACCAGAGAAAAGAAAACTAACTAGAAAAACTAACTAGAAAAACTAGAGAAAAAAACTAGAGAATAAAAGACAAGAGAAAATAGAAAAAAACACTAGAGAAATAGAAGAAAAAACTAGAGAAAAAAAAACTAGAGAAATAGAAGAAAAAAACAGAGAAAAAACTAACTAGAAAAACAAAAGAGAGAAAAACATTAAGAAAAAACTAGAGAAAACACTAAGTAGAAAAATAGAAAAAAAAATCGAAAAATAGAAGAAAAAACCAGAGAAAAGAAAACTAACTAGAAAAACTAGAGAAAAAAACAAGAAAAAAACATTAGGAAAAAACTAGAGAAAAAAACTAAGTAGAAAAATAGAAAAAAACTAGAGAAATAGAAGAAAAAACCAGAGAAATGAAAACTAAATAGAAAAACTAGAGAAAAAAACTAGAGAATAAAAGACAAGAGAAAATAGAAAAAAACACTAGAGAAATAGAAGAAAAAACTAGAGAAAAAAAAACTAGAGAAATAGAAGAAAAAAACACAGAAAAAACTAACTAGAAAAACAAACAAGAGAAAAACATTAAGAAAAAACTAGAGAAAACACTAAGTAGAAAAATAGAAAAAAACTCGAGAAATAGAAGAAAAAACCAGAGAAAAGAAAACTAACTAGAAAAACTAGACAAAAAAACAAGAAAAAAACATTAGGAAAAAACTAGAGAAAAAAACTAAATAGAAAAAAAACTCGAGAAATAGAAGAAAAAACCAGAGAAAAGAAAACTAACTAGAAAAACTACAGAAAAAAACTAGAGAATAAAAGACAAGAGAAAATACAAAAAAAACTAGATAAATAAAAGAAAAAATAGAGAATAGAAGAAAAAACTAGAGGAAAAAAAACTAGAGCAATCGAAGAAAATACTAATAGGTTTAACTTAGAAAAATACTAAAAAATACTAAGAGGTTTAATTTAGAATTGTCAAGTCACACAGAAGAACTTGCAAAATAAAAACACTAACACCATCAGACGAAAAAGGTTTATTTCTTAAACTTTACAAAGAAAAAAGATTTATAAATCCAAGTTTTGAAAATTGTCACATAATTCATCACATTTCACACTAAAAAATATTAATCAATGAAACTGGGTGCCTTTCAACTTTCTTCAACACCAAAGAAAAAAAGAATTTCATCAAAAAAATAATAAGAGAAAATATATTTAGAAAAAATACTAATACTAAGAAGAAATTAAAGAGAAAAGAAGTATGAGAAAAAGCCAAAAGCAACTGCTAAAATATTTTCAATTGTGAAAGCACAGGGAAAAACATGCAAATCAAAACACCAACACCACCAGACAAAAAAGGTTTACTTCTTAAACTTTACAAAGAAAAATTTTATCTTTATAAATCCAAGTTTTGAAAATTGTCACATAATTGATCACATTTCACACATGTTATCACACACTAAAATATTCAATGAATCTAGGATAGGGCTAAAATAATTCAGGTTCTTCTGGGGTGCCTTTCAACTTTCTTCAACTTCATTCATTCTAAAGAGAAAAAGCATTTCATCAATCCTTTTAGGCAAAAAGTTGTATTTTCAAACCTGACATCATTATCAAAAGATATTACTCATTATCTTACTTTAGCCATCTTTCATGGATAGACAATACATTTGTGAATGCATTTTGTTTTATGCCAATTATATTTTAGCTATTTTCAATAAAAAGAATGTGTCACATGCATATATTCAACCCAGAAATATGTCACTATTTAATTTGAACACAGAAAAACTGGGTACCACCCTTCTGAGTACTACAGAATATAAATCACATGGAAATCAGAAAAATTTCTCTCAAGTTTAAAATAGTAATTGCTGGTCTTTTCATGGATATTTATTGTAAGACCACCACAGGAATTATAGTAATCAGCCAGACTTGTTCAGCTGTTATAGCATTAAGTTTCATCATTGGTATCACACATGGTGACCATAGAAGCAAATTTCAATTTGATTGTTGTCATCTCAACAATGTAGTGGCTTTTTAAAATCAAATGCTGGCCATCCATGACAAAATCAATATACTTCAGTGCAGATATCTTGTTCACTTTCCAATCAATGTACATCTGACAGTAAAGTTCATATCCACGACTCATGTTGCACTCTTGACCAGGGAAAATCTTGAATATTACAAGAACACATGATTAATATAAAATTGCATTTTCAACTATCTTAATTATTGTCTAGTTTTTGGTCAGGCATTCTATGGTTACTTCATCCCTCTATATAAATATGCTATATTTATTCAAAGCCCACCACAGGAATTTCATTGGTGACCACATAGGGAGCATAGAAGCAAAGTTCACTTAGCAATCTTAACAAAATTGTGACTGCCTGACGATTTTCATGAAGATCCTAGTTGCAGCAAATTCCCCCTTATACTAAATAACAAAATATATATCTGGGCGGTTGATATATATTACAAGGCCACTACAAGAATTTCAGCTGCAAGG